TTGTACATGAAGGATTTATTAGCGCACTGTGTACACTTCCCATCTTGTTTTTGGCTGCACTCGTTATTGTCTGCTGAGCACACTCCGTCTGTCGGGGCGCCACCGGAATTAGAATTCCCAGTGTCGTTGCACTGCGAGCAGTACTTCTTGCCGTTGATGACGGCGCTACAGGTCTTGCAAGTATTGGGTTCACTGCCAGTTACCTCCTCACATTCGTCTCCGGCTTGCGCTGCCCATGCCATCTCGAGCATGAGGCCAATCAGCAAAACTGCGTAGAACATTGTGGCTCGACGCTCTGTTACACAGGGATATAGCAACTTCGCTCGTCAGTCCGTCCTTTCGTGGCATCTGCCTGTGCTGCATAACACACTGGCAGGGAGGGCCTCCACATGGGTCTGCGTTGAGAGGTGGGAGCGTGCTGATTCCAGTCTCATGGCCTGCCATCCCCGGGTCCCATGTAACTAGCCGGCCATGAAGATGGATCGATCAGTGCAGATCTCCTCCTTTACATTGCAAGGCGCATCACATGATAACTGCTACACGGTGGCCTGTCTAGCTCTTCACTGTGATGTGATGGTCTCCTGGCGACCAGCTCTCCTGCTGTGCCAGTCACAAGGTCTGCCAAGGAACTCCTAGGTTCTCCTGGATGCCTGACCAGCGACCCGATGGAGCCGGCCGTGCGATGTCCAGCAGCCCGAGCCACGGGTCATCACAAGCAGATGCCTCAGACACTGCTCGTCGAGGTCCTACATTGAGGCCCGGCAGGAGCGATGCCCCGTGGAGGATGGCTGCGTGTTCTATCGCGACTCACTACGACTGCCCCCTCTGCTTAGGGACACGCAACATGCCCACCGCGAACGGATGGATGTCCGTCTGTCATACGACTTAACCTGGTTGCACCGCAGACCGTCGATAAGCCTGCCCCCTGTCGACTCCTATGCCACTGAAGGGCTCTGCCGGCCGATCGTCTTTAAAGACTGTCCCTCGCCGGTCGCAGGCCCATCTAGGAACCGGTGCCCGTCCGTCCTCATCTGGGATGGTCCCACTGAGGTGGGCATGCCTTCGGACACGCAATGATGTGCCAGCACTTCTAGAGCGGTGGTCCCGCTCGCCTGACCGGCTCCAGCCAACATATCACAGCGCCTCTCACACGAGGGCTACCCCCGCGCACCGGAGAAAAGGTGATACCGGACGGCCAGCGCTATCTGGGCTGCCACACTCCATGCTAACTAAGGGATAGTGGAGCCGTAGACGAACTGGGCCGTTGTCGTCCCTCTGGTCTGGGGTGCCCAGGTCCTGGAGCCATTGCCAAGAGTGATCATCCGGGCAATGTACACAGCGTGGCCACCGCTGTCAGGGGATACTCTTATGCTCGAAAGTCTACCAGCAAGACTAGGCCCGGTTGGCTGGCCAGAGAACGGACTGTGTGCTGGTCAACTGGACTGAAGATTGATGATAGTGCTATATGGACAGCAAGCTAGGAACGTCAGTGCCCTCTAGATTTCGTGTCACATTGAGCAACCCGCTGTACGAAAGCTTGATATCTCGGGTGATCAGCTGACGTTACAAAGTGCTTGGTAGTCTGACAACCATGTGGAGGCGAGACAATGAGAGAGCCCTAAAGCAGCTCGCGAGCAGAGAGGCTGGTGTGCACAGCAATGTGATCCATTAAGTCTCTGTTGGGCGCACAAGGGATATCCAGATGCAGTAAACTGGTTGGCGCCTCTTATAACAGGCAAGGATTTCTATCCGCGCTGTGCAGTCGTGGGATGCACCTTGCAGACTTGAGGTGGACATCTATAAACACCGTGACTTGGAATGTAGTTGGCAAGGTGGTTGAGGTCTAGCTTGAGCGGGCAAGAGCTGACTATGCCACCTCGATTGGCAAGTACCTCAAACTGCGTAATGCGTGTAGTCGTCCTCTGGTAAGGGTGGATGGCCATCTACAGAGCACTATAAAGCTAATCGTGTGGATTGTGGGAGCATCATCCGGTGGCTCGTCTACTGCGGAAAGACGCAACTGAGGAACTGCTGAGTAGCAAACACGCTGACTGATATTGGTGTGCACCGTATACCTCTACAATAGGGTCTTGCGCTACGTATGGAGAGGAAACGAGCTCCCTCGACTTCGGAACAGTTGAGTATCCAGAAGCCTCTGCCTCGCTACAAATGCACAAAATCAAATCAGCCTCCAAGTCGTCCGCAGACTCCACGATTTTCCACGGCTAGAAGCCAGAGGGACTCACGTGTGTCCTTATTGCAATATGGGTCTATACCTAGTCATCCTATTACAGAGTGGGCTCCCTGGCTTTCTCCATCTTCTTTGTCTAAATTTGCTTCTCGAGGATCTTTGTACACGAGTAGCCTTCTATGTACCCAAATAACATCCTCCTTCCTTGAAGCCTGTCACCAAGACTAGATACCACTAGGTCAATGCGGACAAAGGCAAGCCTCTTCGCAGGTCCGTCTAAAACCAGCAACGGGCATCCAAACAAGTGTATAGATGCTTAGTAAGTTGACTATGATACAGACCAGTTATCACATGAGGCTTACAACAGTTGGTGTACAGAGTTCTGTTTTAGCCATAGGTGTGGAGCTCATGTCTCACCTTGAAAGACGGTGGAGCGCTCTGCAGGACCTTTCTGGATATATAGCTGTCGCTATAGCTGATAGGGGACAGGTGCGAAGACCCCATGCTTACACAGAAGCATCTCTGGTGCTATTCTTCACTGATAACAGATAGCTCAAACAGGCGGTGTCCATTCTACCATCAGACCTTATGCGGCGTGTGTGCATTATTAGAGAAGCTTCTGTAATCTCTGCTCAGTCTGCTGGGCAGGCACAGCCCAAGTGCAACGAAGACGGTGGTGGAGGCAGTCACCGGCGCAAGGCAATGAGGCGTGTGGCTCAGCACAGCAATTCGCCTTTAGAAGCCCTGGGCCTCTGAGACGAGCACAACACGCTGTCTGCACATGCAATTCCTCTTTCACGCTGCTTACCCGTATGAGCAGTTGCGATGCATCGTACGCCAGAGAGCGGGGCAGAGGGTCCTCAGACTACCGGACCAGTAGACCGAACTGGCAAGGGCAGCTAGCCATGCATGCAGAAACTCTGTCCTGAGGGCGGCGGGTGCAACGGCTGCCTCAAGTTTTTTAGCCGGGGTGGGGCTGTCGCCTGCTATCTGAGTGGTCTCTCATGCGAGCCACCGCCTCCCTGGGCAAGTCCCTCGCTCGTTCACCAACCGAGATCCAGATCCAGAGTTCGAAGGTGAGTGTCAAGCGACTTCGACGGGAGAAAAACTCTTGTTCTTCCCTCTTCCCAAGGACGAGGCAGGGCAAGTGCAATCGGTGGATTATCATGATGCGCTCCACAAGGCAGTTCCGAGTCCCCTGGAGACCCAGACACTGGTCTTCCTTGAGACCGAGCAGACTGCGTTCCACCGACTGCACATGGGCGGCATTTGCATGGCGCAGAGAGGCGCAGACTGATGGAACACAGCGGTCTTGCTCGACATAGCGAACATTCCAACAGTAGACGGCCTCTGCCAGGCGAGTATGCCCCGTCCCGAGGAGCTGCGTCGGGGCCTTCCTCCGGCTGCGACGCGCTGCACCCCTGGGCTCGATCCCTCGGGGCCCTGCGCATGCTTCTGTGCTGCGGGGGACAGAACCTGCTCACCAGGAGCTGAAGGAGATGCCCCGCTCACTGCCCGTGCCGACGACAGCGACGCGACGGGGCAGTCACAGAAGCGACAGGCCCGGCGAAGCAACATGGCTCGACGGTCACCACCGGGTGCAGGAGCACGGAGGGGCAGGGGGCCTCCTTCCTGGCCGGTCTCAAGGAGCCCCCAAGGCGGCAGAGAGCCTGAAGTCAGTGATGGCACTAATCACTCGCCGTGCTGGCCGGGATGGACCCACACGCGGCCCATGTGAATCCCTCGACAGGCAAGTCGGCCCCTGGGGTGCTTGGCTGACAGAGGCGGGCTGATCCTGCCTGCACCGAAGAGTGGTGGCCCGGGCCACCTGCCAGGGGTCTGCCACAGCAGTTGGCAGTGCCTGACACCCCCGAGTAGGCGGGTGCCGGCTACCGAGCAAGCCGACTTCGGTGAACCGGTCCTAATCGCTCTTGGTGCCTCAGACGACGCCTCTCAGAGAGGTGGTCCTGGACCGACGCCTCGACAGACCGAAGCATCACCCCAGGTGTGCTGTGCAGATGGACCAGCCCACACGTCACTGAGCCAGATGCACTGCACAGGATGGGCGTCGACACGGTCTCGTGCTGGGTGACGGACCGCCTGCAAGAGTGCACTGCGATCCATGAGCAGGAGGGCCATACTTCTCCCCCGACACAACGCATGGGAGTACTCCGTCGGCATCCACGAATGCGTACTATGACTCCAAGATGGAGGCGTACGTGGAGCGCACCTCCGACAGCAGGGTCGATGATTCACGTCATGGGGAGATGAAGAGGCACCCCGAGGAACGGGGTGGACACCCGAGGCTCATGGCGTGCGATTCTCGTCACGGAGAACTAGCACCAGGGCCACGTGGAAGCCAGATCGCCGTGATCGACAGCAGGCCCTGAGATAGTGTGTGGTCACCCAGGTGCCAGACGATGGTTGCCCCAAGCTAGCCAGAGGAAGGAAGGAACCCTAGAGGCATCGCGAGGAGCGGCGATCCTCACGGAGATGCTCGGGCAGCAGCGGGCGGCCGCCTCGGTGAAGCAGAGAGTAAATTAAGAGGTTCTCTTCCTCACCAGAGCCGAATGGTGGGCTAAGATTCAATGAAAGGCCACTTTGAGGGACGACTCAGCCGGGTAGTTTACTTGAACAGTCTAATGATGATCCGATCTATGCTTAGTACCTCCACCCGATAAAATGTTGTTTGTGTACAATAACATTATTCTGCAATCTCACACATTGACATATCCTTTTTAAATGAAACAGGGGAAAGAATAAATACCATTAACATTCGCCATATTGTTCACCGTATATACCTAGACATTTATGTTAATGAGTCATCTTCAATGGACATAATCACGTTGTCGGCCTTTGCAGAAACCTGGAAGACACTCGTCGCCGCAGCAAGGATCTCATCTGCACGTGCACTGATTTCATCACACGCCATCAGGAAGATATCATAGGCTGATATACTGCCATTAGATTCTATACTAAAGTAGAATGCGTTTGGCTGCTGAGTAACCAACGCTGGATGCCAGATTGTATTGGCATTATCGCCCTGTTCGCCCAGGGAAATCGGAATATTGAAGCAATCATTACAAAAGATGCAGCTATTGGAATCCTTGACAACCACTCGACGGTTTTCAATAGTAAAGACATTCCTGGGGCACGTCTCACTAATGTATGTTCTTGCAACGTCGTTGTGTTGCTGTGGGAGCCTTTCAAATTCATCGCACAGAATGATCCTGGCCAGAGGTCGGAGGACCACACAGGCTGCAGGGCACCATTTGGCATGAATCTTCCCCCTATCCTTGCGTGCATAGAGAAGGGCATTGATGGATTCGCCAGGTGCTAGCTTCAGAATGGGGATGCTCGGCGTCTCTGCTGCTCCAAAAGACGACTCTAGATAGTTGCTGAGAGTACTGATACCCCCGTGATCGAACTTTATATCCTTATCCGTGACTACCCGTATTTTAGTACTGTCATTAGAAATGTTCAGAGTTCCTTTGAATGTGCACTCGCGGCATTCGATCTCTGTTGAGTGCTCCTCGTCGCAAGTGTACCAATAGGAAATTGCACTGAGAGAACCTGCCGTTCTCAACGGAATGAGCCCCAAGCGGTGCGCTATGAATTCTTCCGTGAGGGTTGTACTGTTGTCTAAAAACTTAACAATATCGATAGCAAGGGTGGGCACATCGGCATATATGGCTCTACGAAGCCCGTTGACGTATGAGATGTCGACACCACTGATCTCTAGTTCTAGTTTGAGGTCCGTCTTCGAAAGGATCTTAATTGAGGGGTTCATTAAAATGAAATTTAAATATCACCCTCATGGCTCAGCCTAAGTTCGGTCTGCGTCCCACTATTTTGCTTCTCAAAGATAGCACGGATACGTCACAAGGGAAGGGCCAGCTTCTGACCAATATCCGAGCATGTGTGGCTATCAGTGACGTGCTTCAGACAACGTTGGGGCCTAGGGGCATGGACAAGCTAATTGTCTCTAAGGGCAAGCCTACAGTCTCTAATGATGGCGCGACCATAATAACGCTTTTAGACATTGTTCATCCTGCCGCCCGTTGCCTTGTCGATATCGCTAAGTCGCAGGACAGCGAGATAGGTGACGGGACCACCTCTGTGGTTGTTTTAGCAGGCAGTATTCTTAAGTCCTGCATGCCGCTGATAGAAGTTAACGTTCATCCCAGGCTTATCATCAGAGTTCTGTCGGAGGCCTTGTCTATGTGCATTGCAAAGATAAAAGAAATAGAGGTCAATATGCCGGAGTATGTTCCTGGAAATACTGGATTCAACGACGAGCTCCGCCAAAAGCTCGAAACCTTGGCCGCCACCGCAATGAATAGCAAGTTGATTGCACCATGCAAAGAGCAGTTCTCCAAGATGACTGTGGATGCAGTCATGAGTCTTATTGACGATGCACAGGACCAGACATCTAGCAAGCAAATTCTTGACGCGAACACCTTGATTGGGGTGAAGAAAGTGCTTGGAGGGGCTCTTCAGGATTCGCAACTTGTGCATGGTGTGGCGTTTAAGAAGACATTCACCTATGCGGGACACGAGCAGCTACCTAAGCGCATTGCAAACCCTGTCATTTGCTGCCTCAACTTTGAACTAGAGTGGCAAGCAGAAAAAGACAACGCAGAGATACGACTAACGGATCCAGAGAAGTTCAAGGATATTGTCAGCGCAGAGTATAAGATTATTCTTGGAAAGCTGGAGAAGATTGTCGCTGCAGGTGCCACGGTTGTTCTTTCAAACAAGTCCATTGGAGACTTGGCGACGCAGTACTTTGCAGACCACAGGGTATTCTGCGCAGGCCGTGTACTCGACGAGGACATGAAGCGTATCAGTGCCTGTAGTGGTGCTCGCATTATTTCTGCTGTTTCTGACCTGACAGATTCTGTTTTAGGTAAGAGGTGTGGTCTCTTTGAAGAAAAGCAGATGGGTGTGGAGCGCTTCAACTACTTTACAAACTTTGAGCATGTCAATACCTGTACCTTCATCCTGCGTGGTGGCGCAGATCAGTTCATTCAAGAATCCGAGCGTTCACTTCATGACGCCATCTGTGTTGTCAGGCGTGCTATCAGACATCCTAGATTCATCGCAGGAGGTGGCTCCATAGAGATGTACTTGTCTGCTATGCTCTACAGGCATGCCAAGACAATCTCTGGCAAGAATCAGCTGATCTTTGAAGCAATCGCAAAGGCTCTGGAGATTATTCCGTACTCACTCTGTGAAAATGCTGGGTTTGATTCTACATGCATTTTGGCGCAACTTAGGTCACTGCATTCCCAGGCCATCAAGCAGGGATCAGTCTGTTGGCACGGGGTGGATATCAATAATGATATGAAGACGATAGACTGTATGTCTGCAATGGTCTGGGAGCCATCTCTAATCCGCATCAATGCCCTCCAGGCTTCCTTTGAGGCAGCAAGAACTATCCTGGGGATCGATCAAACCATCGTTCTAAAATCCAGCGTCCAAGACGTCAATGCCGGCCGTGGCCAAACAGCTGATATGAAGCAGCGACTTGCTGATGCAGGCATGGGCGGAGCAATCGCCGGACAGGGGATGAGAATGTTCCAAGGTCACGGTGGAAAGTAGATTGAAAGAAAGTAAATTGAAATAAAATTTAGGGTTTTTGATGAACGGCAGTTGGGGTTCCAGACTGACCTCGTCTGGCAACTCTCTTAAGAAGAAGCCTGTTTCCGGCCTTGTGAATACGGGAAACACATGCTTTTTCAATTCTGCTCTTCAGTTCCTTAACGCCATTAGACCGATTTCGTATCCGATTTGCCTCCAGGAGAGCATTCCTCCAAATTCTGAGACAGACGAGGACATGTATTTTTATAACCAGGTAATTGCGCAGTTTGAAGACGTTGTGCGTCGTATGAGAAAAGAACGGTCGGTTTGCTTGGGAATTAGCCCACAGAGTCTCTTTTCACTTATGGAGACTAAGTATGATGGTATTCGCCACGGCATTCAGGGGGATGCCCACGAGGTTCTGACCCTGGTGCTGGATGCCGTGATCAGGGGCACAAACAAGAACCACAATAAGAAGTGCAACTATTATGACCCAGATGGCAACGAGGATCTCAAAGACGCGTATGAAAAGTCTCGCTCTGCGAAGCTTGTTGGGCTTGATTCGCCGTTCGAGCAGTGTATAGAAACAACAGAGATATCTCGTACTGTGTGCACTCATTGTGGATACACCAGTATTGGATTTCAACACGGGATTGGACTATCTCTACCACTGCCGTCTGCTCCCGACTCAGGTCTAGTTTCCCCAGCTTCCGCTGATAACAAAATAGCATATGATAGTTCCACTTCACTGACACACATTGTGGTCTATGTTCAGGATAAATGTAAAAGCATTCATGAATTCCGATTTTACATCCCAACTAAGTGTCTTCACATTGACTGTATTCACCGCGAATTGGAGGACATATATCGCGAAATGATTTATAACAGTCTTATTTCTTTCTCTCGAAAGCAGAACCTTTTCGATGATTTCCTTATAACTGCCTACAGCCACGAGTTCGATCTTACTGACCTAGATGTTATTGTCCGAACAATTTTAAGCTATCACTACCGTAACGATGAAGAGTACATTAGATCTGCGCACTCTCAGGTCGAGCTTTCTCTTTGCTCAGACTCAGGGGAGGAGGAGAACAGCTTACAAGATAATGTAGGCCGCGTTACTGATGCCGCTGATCCCACTGCCAAGGACGACATGCACCTCTCTAGTTTAACCTATGAACCAATAACATTTGGGAATGAGGAAATAGAGAAGGTGTCTAGGAGAGTATCCGAGTTTTCCGGTGAGTTGGGGGCAGATCATCTAATTATCATAACAATGCTGCATGCCTCCCCCTGCTCCTACGATAATCACAAGCAGCACAAGTACCTTACTAACATCTCATCATTATCACGCCCTACACCCCAACTTTTAAAGGTGGCCATATCTCTATGCATCGACCCTGTCAATCTTGGTGACTCTGGTTCTTGTCAATCCCGTAGTAGCTGTCCCGATCCACAACAGACTGCTACGCCCTTAGAGTTCTGCACCAGTACCTTAGCGTTCTCCTACTTCAATCCCTGTGATGATTCCCAGTTAACAAAGAGCCCTGCACTGACTGGTATAAATGACATAGTCAAGGTTGGGCTCAGACTACTGCTGTTCCAGTACGACCTATACCTCAGAAACACATACACTGACCTCCCACGTTCTTTGCTTAGCACTTTACTTTCTTCTGAAAGCTATACCATCAATCCATACCTCGAGCCTGAGAACTCCAGTGATCCTTTGGCGAAGAGCACAATTAGATACATTCTAAAGAGTAGTAAGCTAGAGCTTATAGACAGCATATTAAATGATACCAAAGGAGCTAGCAATACCGTGTGTTTTCAAGAGCTATTTAAGCCAGCCATAGGCCTTTTCATGCAGAAATGCCACACACAGACTTATAAGACGAAGCAGTTTTGGTCCTTAGATGATTGCTTTAAAGAGTATGCGAAGTCAAGCATTATTGAAGGCTGGAGGTGCGGCAAAGAGAACCATCAAAACCCGAGTGGAAAGAATAGTAGCACGCTCTACAAGGCGCCTCCCTATCTTATCATCCATTTGAAGCGCTTCGATCAAGTTTTTGATAATTGCGGGAGGTTCTATCTCGTCAAGAAGGAGGATAACGTGTGTTACCCTCATGTCTTGGACATCAGTCCATACATAGAAGATCAATCTGACACGGATCCGAAAAAGTACATGCTCACAGCCGTCATTTGTCATTATGGAAGCACAAACTACGGTCATTATTTTGCTTATATTCTTTCTAAAGAGACCGGAGAGTGGTGGGAAGCCAATGATGAGCGTGTTATCCCTGTGCCAAAAGTCAGAGTTATCACCCCGTTGGCATATATTCTCTTGTACCGTCGTATCAGTGGGGATCTGGACAACACTGAGCGTGAAGCACGCAAGAAGCATCGTACCAGGACAGGAAAGGTTGATAAGGAGCAGAGTCGCAGACAGGACATGGCCGACATTTACAACGAGTGCCAGACCTACAATCCGCCTCATAGTCCTCAGGGTTACGAGGACAACGAGTAGCAGGTAGAGCTCCAAGGTACACTAATAGGCATCAATCGTTGAATGCAGATTGATGTTCGTCACGTTTTTCACAACAAAGTAAATAAGGCACTTGTGTCCAATCTAGCGTTTGGTCGTCCCTCACCGCATCGCAGTTCTGTGATGTGTTTAGTCAATAATTTTAAAACTCAAAGGCTAAAGATGTTTTTAAAATGACCACCGCTCACCCTTTACCAATCCAGAGCCATACATTCTTCGACTCTCCTCAGCCGTTTGCAAAGCTGGCATCGGCGGACATTTACGATCTTGCGATTATTGGGGGTGGGATAAGCGGGGTTTCCGCGGCCCTTGAAGCATCTCACACCACTCTTAAGTCAATTTTGCTAGAGAGGGGTCTCGAGACGAGCGTTGCCACAACCCGTGCAAATAGTGGCATCGTGCATTGTGGAGTGCACACGACCCAGGGAACTCTCAAAGCCCAGTTGGAACAAAAAGGGAGGAGAATCTTTGCGCATCTCTGCAAAAGCCTGAACGTATCATTGCGCCGCTGCGGAGAACTGGTAATTGCCAGAAACGAGGCTGAACTCAACGCCTTGCAAGAACTTCAAAAGTCGTGTGCTGCGCTCGACTTGGAGTGCTCTCTCTGGGGACCCGCAAGGGTCAAGCTTGAAGAGCCTAACTTAGCTATTGATTCTATCGAAGGCGCTCTTTCAATACCCGAGACCAGTGTTGTCAATCCGTTTGAATTGTGCAACGCAATGGCAAACTGTGCGATGGCAAATGGTGTAGAGATATCGTGTGGATCGACGGTTACGGGTATTCGTAAAATTAATAGACTAGCGGAAGAAGATGGTGACGCATTGGTGGAGTCTGCTCCAAAGGTCATCTTTGAGCTGAGAATCTCTCGCCAGGGCTCTTCTCCTGTTTACCTCTACGCGCAAACTGTTATTAATGCGACCGGTGTTGATGCAGGATCTGTTACAGAGCTCCTGAAAAACGCCACCCCAATCAACATCACAAAGCGTCGCGGCGAGCTCTATGTTTTAGATAAAAACCTGAAAGACGTTGTCACTAGAGTTATCTTCTCTGTTATCCCAAATAACGCTTCATCAAAGGGGATGCTGATCATACCCACAGTTGATGGAACGGTTATGGTAGGCCCTACGGCTGAACCCTTAGGAAGCACTGGGTCTAATATGGCAGACATCGAGACGACCGAGGATGGCCGTTCTACCATCTTCGCACATGCTCATGCACTCTGTCCTCGTATTGTCCCAGAGGAGATCATGTATAGCTTCGCTAGCGCTCGGGCAGTTCTTCCTTCCAATGACTTTGTAATCAGAGATGAAGACGGGTTCATCCAATGCGCGGGAATACAGTCCCCTGGTCTTACCGCTGGTCCTGCCATAGGTGCATATTTGATCGAGCTGGTCAAGCTGCGCTATCCTTCCCATCGGATGAGCAGCATCGTGAAGCCACCCGAAGCATGGTTCTGGTACCCTATTACTAGCCGTCTCTGCCGCACTGCGTTGGATAAGCGCCACGGTCTTATTGAGAAGGATCTGAACTTTTCAAAGATTGTTTGCGGATGCGAGTGCGTTACTGAGGCAGACATCGAGAACGCCATCACCGAAGGCGCAAGGTCCATTACTGGTCTAAAGCTAAGGACCCGCGCAACAGCTGGCCGTTGTCAGGGGAGCTTTTGCTCAAGCAAGCTAAGAAAGCTTTTGGCAGCGAGGCTTGGCGTGTCCTATGAACAGGTTTGTCGAATAAGCCACAACACCCCGATGGACAAGGCATACCCATCGAGTACTGTTGATGTCAAGCTGTATCGCCCTCTGGACTGCAGCGAGGTCGGCATCCGTGCTAGCCTGGTGAGCAACCTTCTTTTCGGACCCAAGCACACTAAGGAGTCTGCGCTGAATGCCTTTTCGCTCAGCACAAAGCTTGTTCAGTGTATACATGCCTTTGATCTCGTCGTTCTTGGTACCGGACCTGCCGGTCTGGGAGCGGCTCTGGCTGCCTATGACACGAATCCCGATGCTAGGATATTGGTCATCACTAAAGACGCTTATGTGGGAGGGTCCTTGATGTATGCTCTTCATAGATCGCACAACGCCGGGGATGGTTCAACTGCGCTTACAGGCCCTGAGTTTGCAGTGCAACTTCGAGAAGATTTGATGAAGACTGGCGTTATAACTATTTTGAACACGTTTATTTTAGACAGTAGCTACAACACATCTCGTAAGCTTTTCACTGTGAAGTGCATGTCTGCAAACGTCGGACAGCTTGAGATATCTGCCAAAGCTGTTATTTTCTGTCTGGGGAGCCGCGAAAAGCACCGCTTTAATGCTGCTATCCCGGGAACACGCCCATATGGAGTTATGACCGCTGATGCTGCACTGAGGTCTATTGCCTTTGACAATGTTCTTCCAGGCAAGCGAGTTGTTATCTTTGGGTCAGGAGATTCGGGTCTGCTTGCAGCGCGTCAGATCTCCATCTCAGGGGGACAAGTCCTCGGTATCTATGAACCAGAGTCTCATCTTGTAGGGAATTCTCAGTACTTGGACCTTTTAACAAAGGAGTTTGATATTCCGATCAGCTACAATAAATCCATTTCGCGTATTAATGGACAGGGCGTAATAGAATCTGTGTGCATAGCCCCGGTTAATCCCTTGACAAAGGGGGTGACTGCAGACGAGGCCGAGACCGTTGCTTGTGATTGCCTCGTGACGTCGCTTGGTACTCTGCCCCAGATGGCCCTTGTCAAGGGGATGGGATGTAAGGGCGTGAGTTCTCAGTATTGTGGGCTTTTGGTGGACAACCGTTGTGCTGTTGCCAGCGACAAGCTCCTATATGCTGCGGGCGGAAACCTTCATTGCCATCCGTCCGCCGAGTCTTCCTTTGCAGAAGGAAAGCTGGCAGGGTTTAATGCTGCGATAGACGTTGGCGATACTGCACGCTCCTACAATCCTCCATCTGTTAACCTGACACTGAGTGAGACGAACCGGAGTGACATTAAGTACTTCATGCCGCAAAGCATCACCCTTTCAAAGCGCCCCACAGACAAGAGCGGTGAGACTTTCATTTACTTTAAAACGACGCGAGCCATGGCAAATGTCCGCGTCACGGTCTCCACAACTAGCACAGGTAAAGTGCTAGCAACGGAGAAGTTTAGGGAGGTGTCTCCAACGGTAGTTACGAGGATGGTCGTTTCCAACTCAGCCTTTCAGGACCTTGTGCCGGGCGTGAACATTACTCTGAAGTTGGAGTTCGATCCGCATGAGTTTTCCGTCAAGGTAGTTGATAATCGTCTTCTAGGGGTATTCTCCACAGCAATTCCTGTTCTGAACGGAGCGAAGCCTCATGTTATCGTAAAGAACAAGACGCCCGTCCCTGTCGATCGCATGAGTTCGGTTCTGAAAGAGCTTAATGCAACACCCGCAATCCAAGTAGAGGCACCCGTCTCAGCAGGACAAACAGTCCTTCGCAATGTCGCCGGCCAGACGGACTTTGTTGCGTGCGAGAACATTCCGGCTATGAAGTGAATTCCTGTTGATTGTGCTTTGCGCTAAGAATGACCTGGTGGCATGCCATGCTGTTCATCTGTTTCGCAATGGCAAGCACAGACTCTCCTGCCCCACTCCGCATATTTGCCTCTGCAAGGAGGAGCTTTGTACACTCAGGCTTGCGGGCCCGGATGGAGACGATTAGAGCTGTTGTTCCGTCCACACGACGCATACGCTGCTCAAGGGGCGCAAGGAGTCGCACACACTCGATGTTTCCAGCGCGTGCTGCATACATCAACGCAGTCGTATGTGTTTTGTCTGTGAGTCTGGCCTCCCAAGCAGTGAGGATACGGGCGCACATTGTATGGCCGCGTTCTGCAGCCATAATGAGAGCAGTCGTCCCATCTTTAGCGGCAATCTTTGACTCCAAAGGAGCAAGCATAGCAGTGCATTCAATGTGACCGTCAGAAGCTGCCTTCCACAGAGCTGTCCGGCCGTCCTTGTCAACCCGCTTGATCTCTTTAGAACTCTCTTTCAAAATTTCGACACACCTAAAGTGTCCGTTCTGTGCCGCACGCATTAGGGCCGTTTGGCTTTTATTGGTGCAGATGCCTGCTTCCGACGGGATAAGATAAGGCAATATTGGCGTCTGGCCGAACGCCGCTGCCTGAATAAGAGCGGTGCGCCCCGTCTGACTCTTCATCCCTGCTTCCAAAAGCAGGAGCGGGACAGTTTCTTCTAGACCGTCCTGTGCAGCATAAATGAGAGCAGTATAGCCCTTCTTATTGACAATTCCTAGCTCGTTCAACAAATAAGGTATCACATTGACGTTGTCTTCTATTACTGCTAACATCAAAGCCGTTGCACCAGAGCTGTCTCCATCCGTTGTACACATGGCCCCTAGCTCGTGAAGATGCCGTTGCACACCAGTGATATCTCCCTTTATAGCATACTCCATGAGCATTGTACGCTCTGCAGACAATACGGTGGGATTTCGCGGGGTTAGCACCAGGCGCTGATCCGTCTTATCTAGATGCGAGGAGATCTGTGTTCTGTATTCATCAATATCATCTCTAGTCGCCTTGGATAGACGGCTAAGACTGTAAATCCGACTAATAGGTTTAGATCCCGGCACGTTCATTTCTCCAAACCTCACTCCACCCCGGTCAATGGCATCAACAGGTGCGTGACTCGAGGAGACACGGGCTAGTGACGATGAGTCCGAGAGATTGGTCATACTACTAACGCATATAACCCCGGAAGCGGTGGCGTCCCTGTCAGTGGCGCATCTTAATGAAAAAGGACGGCTTCTACTCTTGGAAGGAACTGTATCTTCTGGCTCTACCGCTATGATTCCGAGGCCTATATCGTTCTCTGACTCACTATCAGAGGACGTGTACACGCCAAGCTTTTGGTGACGAGGTGTGCGTAGTGCGACTGCCTTTTTGACAGGAATAACAGCAGATGGTCTCGGCTCTTTTTCTACAGGCTCTGCTTGCTTCTCTTTTCGCCCGAGCAGGGACAACTTCGTCCCAATGCTCTTAACCTTGTGCTTGAACCAAGACTGCTTCCCACTACTTTTCTGTGTTTTTGCTTCATGTGACGACTCGTAGGAGACATCAGCAACCTGCCGCTCTGGGTCTTTAGGCTGAGGCACTGGTTGAACTGCTGGACCAGGAGTCAGCACACATGAAGGCAAAGGTGGCAACCTAGAGTACCGCAAAGAGGACTGTGTGGTATCAGGTAGGTCAGAAGGGGTAACTCGAGACAAAAGGTTAGCTCCACAGAATGGGCCGTGCATTTGTGCTGGCGTCAAAAGGACGTTCGCGTCGACATTACTAATTTCCGATGCTGTCAGAGTAGTACTGGGGGCATTTAAAGATCCTGGAGACTGATGCAGGCTCCCAGGCAGCTGCTCTGATGTAAAGGACAAGTCAGTTAGGCCTAGCTGCATATCCAGCCCAGCACTGCTATCTGTAGTAAAGCTTAATACTTCACTATTTGGGGTTAAATTACTACTAAACGAGATATTCTGCATCAAAGGAGCCATGTTGGGGTTGCTCTCGTCCACATTGTTGTCCATCCTCAGCTGGAGACAAGGAGTAGATGTGGAGATATAATCGTTCTCCATAAGCTTTATCTTAGATGTGGCGATTTCGTTGTAGGCCAAATTAGGCCCTGACACGGGCAGAGAGTCAGTAGAATCGCAGTCCAGTGTAGAAGTGGAAAACGCCTCATCATCAAGATCTTCAAAGTCACTAACACCCTCAAGCGCCCACTTGAGACAAAGATCCAGCACTGAAAGTCCTTTGCTACTTCTTACTAAAACTTCGTGAGATAACAAAGCGTGAAAGCAATCTATATAGCCATGCTTCATCGCGCGCATGAGAGCTGTTCTACCGTAAACGTCGAGAATCTTTGCCTCATGGTCCACAAGCAGCGCAGCTAGTACTGCGTTTCCCAGCTCTGCTGCATACATGAGCGCTGACCGGCCCTTGTTGTCACAAAGCCGTGCCTCGTGCGGCAAGAGCTTTTGGATGGCAGGGATATTATGCAACTCAACTGCAAGCATCAGCGCTGTTTTTCCTTGAGCAGAGTGCCGTCCTTTGAGATGAACTATCAATTTATCTATATATGTTAAATCGTTGTTTCTTATAGCCCAAAACAAGGCATTCTCTCCTCGTGAATCAGGAAACTCTCCTTCATGTGGTAGTAAGATGTCGACGCACGCATCATGTCTGCTTTTAATGCTTATAATCAAGGCTGTTTCCTTGACAGTATTTCTCAGGCCTGTTTCAAAAAGCAGCGTCTTAACACAGCTACTATACCCCATAGATGCAGCAATCATCAAAGCCGTGAAGCCTTTGTCATTTCTCGCTCTGCCCTCCCGCTTAGCCAGTATTCTAACACAGTTATTATGACCATTGCGAGCGGCCTTCATGAGTGCAGTTTCTTTTGCATTATCTACAATTCCGGCCTCAGCACGCGCCAGAAGGCCCACTCTCATAACGTTTCCAGCGTCCGCTGCCATCATAAGGGCTGTCCAACCTCGCTCATCCTGACAACCCATCTCTAGTGGAAGTAACAGTTTTGTGCTCTCCAAGTGGTTCGACTGCACAGCCATCATCAGGGCAGTCATGCCATGCGTGTTCTGATATCCTCCCTCCCAACGTGCAAGGAGGCGAGCTAATCTATAGTTGTTCTTCTTCACTGCAAGCATCAATGCAGTCTCTCCATCTTCGTCTTGCCGTCCTGCTTCCTTCTCAATCAGAATCTTGGCGCAGCGTGAGTGATCATGATCTAGGGCATACATAAGTGCGGTTCGGCCACTGGAATCTGCTAAGGTCGACTCTACCTTAACAAGGGTCTTTATGGCCTCTTCATTACCGTGCTCTGCGGCGAGCATGAGAGCCGTCTGGCCACGGGCATTGTATGAACCCGCCTGGTCGAGATTTTTCTCTAGCTCAGAAATATTCCCGTGAGATGCCGCAACCATTAAATTAGTGGTACCCTCTCCTACAAAGGCAAACGGGCAGGAGTGGACCTTATGCATTTTTTGTTTCATTTGCTAAATGCACAGCGTTTCCTAGAATAATTTTATGTAGTATATTAGAACGAGTAGAGGTTACCATACATTCTACAGGCCAGTTGTTACCGTTAGTTATATCTAGAACATCAATTGCGCATTTGTATTAATTGCAATGGTAGGACGCCCCTGAGGCTGTCGCCCGTGAAATGGTTGCGAAGCTTATGCCACTAAAAAGACCGACTGACCTGTTATTACAATTAATACAATACTTTTAAACGAGGTCTAAGTGTAAAGCTTCCCAGACTTGTTGACAAGAAAGTGTAGCACATGTAACTGAGGTATCTATAGCAAGCAGTTAGCAAACTCCCCAGTAGCTAGCGTTATTGACAGGAAAAATAGATTGCACATTGAGACAAACAGACGCTTAAAAAACGGACCAGGAAGCTTGTCCGATAATTCCGCCAGTTGATGCGGACCCATTCGAAGTCAGCAATGGTACCATTCGTACCCGGCGCATACCAACGTCATTGCCAATTTCGCAGATATCAATTATTTTAATATCTATGCTACTCTTTGATTATCTTAGTATCGATGAAGCTTTGGCGCGCTCCGAGCGTATTTCTGTTCGTACGAGGATGGAAATACACGCCCTGGGGCTACTAGACACAACGAATGCATCCCAGGAGTTGCAAAAAGGCGCGACCGTCTATGTGCCTCTTTGGTTCGCAGATAGACTTCTTGAGCCAAATTTTATCACAGTTCGTACATCGGGAATGGTAACGCAGGAGAAAGAGCTTGAGATGATAACAGAGCCGTACAGCGTGTCGAGTGCAGCCTATTATAAATACACTCGCAACGCTTTCGAGAGCGCTGCTCTTCATTGCTGTCTTATTAAGCGTGCCGCATTTGCCAGCAGCGACTTCAGGCGAAGCTATTTCAACAATTTAAAGAAACTCATGTCGCGGCGCTTTCGCCTCATCTGCTCCAGGAAAGCATCGGATCTCTCTGTACTTCACCGCACCCCTCTCACAACTTGGGAGAAGGAACTGTATAAACATGAATGCTTTTTCCGCCGCCGATGTGAAAGGTTCAGACGAAATAGGCGCGGAAACACATACTCACTCAAGCTAGACCTTCTCTAGTGCAACTCGTTCAATTACTTGACCAAGTCAAGCATAGATAAGAGGACTTCTAGGAAGCAACCCAACTCAAAGCAGTCCACTTGATAATTATTATCTGGCTCTATCGCCCCTACGATACGAAGTAGCGTTCCACATTTTAGCATCGATAGAACAACCATTCTATTTTGTGACCATCTACTGCAACAAGCAGCTCCCCTGGTGGGAGTAGACCCCTGGTCTACGGGATCCTGGTTGCCTTTTTGCTGCATTCGCAGGTCTGAAATAGTGACTCCTAGCGCTCCATTCCGCAGTAGATCGGCTCGGACTGCGTAGAACAGCTGCACACCCATCGTGTCGGACCAGTGAGAACTCACATAATTAACTAACACGCGCATAAGTGTATGTTGTGTAAAAATTACCCCATACCTGTTGTTTTGTATGAACTTCACGTTGCTCCGTGTGGTTAGATGGCGAAGCGGGCTTTCACGAAAGAAGAGTGCGAGGAAGGCCAAGAAGGAATCCCTTTGGATGAATGATTCAGCGAAGGCGTGCATTCGCTCTACGTTTAGTCTAGCCAATGAGATTAGCGCATTTCGGTCCTCTAGGACGTCAACGTATGTAGGGATAGCACATTGTTGCGGCACCATGCGATGCTCCATATAGGCATACAGAAATGAGATGAGTTGATCTATTTCGCGAGGAGTTAATGTTTCCTGGGGTTCAGGTTGAACTGTGAACTGATGATATAGAGGGGTGACATCAATATCTGTCGTCGTCCTCCCTGAAAGAGCACTATAAGCAGAGCGAAATGTAAGAGCTGGCGAGACGGCAATCTTCTGGCTCTCCCGGCCAGAGACACAGGGATCTGGGTTAGCAGTGTTAGTAGAGGCGTCTACATTCGCTGTGGGTTCATCTGGCCCAACCCCTAAACTTTCTATCCGCAGCTTCACGAGAGGGCCACAGCCACACATTCTAAACATCATAGATTCTAATTTATTCCCAGCTGTCTACCCTGCGGAGGGAAATGACTGATAACGGAACAGGGAAGTTCAACGGGACGTGTCGGCAATAATTTCTCTCAGAGAGGAGAATGAGAAGGCTTCCAGATGATAGAGGGGGTTGGACCCAGCGATGAGCCGTGCCTCATATTCCATGGCAAGGTCTGCCAGATTGAGAAGTATTTGAGGTGAGCGTTGGCCCATTCTCTTTGCCTGATCTTTGAAGCCTTCGTAGAGTTTTGTCAAAATCATATCAGCGGGAATAGCCTTTTTAAGCATCTCCACAAGCGTCACACGAATAACATCAAGCTTGTCAGATTGCTCTGGCTTGGCACTTTTTCCAGCTCTGGCAGCTTCAGCGCTCTTCGCAGCCATTTTACGGGCTGTTGCCACCTGGGAAGCTATGTTTGTGCACAATGTCTCCCATTCTGGAACAAGAGATTGGACACTGACGTTCTTTTTAGAAGAGGCGTACTGGTAGGTCTGGAGCAGAAGAAAAGCTCTGCGGAGGTCTCCGCGGGCCACTGTAGCAACTTCAGGCAACAGCGCGTGCAAGCTTTCTTTGGTAAAGCCTTGCATCAGTCGATGCTTAGTAATAGTTGTCTCCAAAGCGTGGACTATCTCCTCGTCTGAGAATCCTGGGACCCGGATACAAAAGCAACGGCTTACAATAGGAGGAATGAGGCCCGAGATGCTCTCAGCCATGAGGATCAGCTTACACGTTGCAGCATATTGCTCCATGAGACGCCGCAATGCCTGCTGGGCCGTGAACGACAGCTTGTCGGCATCCTGTAGAACCACAACCTTGAACTTGTCTCCTATGGAAGACGTCGATGCAGTCTCTTTAAGCACCGTTTGAATTATGAAGACATCGTGGTTCCCCATTTCCGATGGATTGAGCTCCAGGTGGCATGCAGTACTAAGAATATTGACCTCGCAAGTGTCCGTGTTGGTCTCGTATAGCATCGTTGATGGAATGTAGTCCAGCGTCTGCACGCCATAGACGCTTCTGATGTACCCTAGAACCCGGGTGTGGCGACCTGATCCACGGGGGCCATGGACAAGGAGATGAGGTGGATTTTTTGCCCGGGCGACGCTGATGAAAAGCCTGGTGGCGTCGCAATGATAATCCATGGCCTCCAGCTGCGTGGGGGTGTACTTGTTGCACCACATGCCGGCGAGGCGAGGTCAAAGAATTTTCGTGAGAAGGACCGCAGCACGACGCCGCAAATTTGAGTAAAGGAGTCTCGCACACATACAGCATACAAACATAACATACACTTTCTTGACCATGAGCTTGATGCCCGTCTTCTTCTTCTGAGCGTCCCACATGTCGAAGGGCGCGCGCTTGGGGATGAAGAGGATCCCGCGGAACTGGGCGGCGCCGTCGACACGGAAGTGCGACACCGCGAGGTGGCCCTCGTAGTCAGAGGGGTTGATCTGCTTGTAGAAGTCCTTGTACTCGTCCTCGGTGACGTCCTTCGGGTCCCTGGTCCAGATCGCGGGCTGCTTGTTCACGTGCTCGTGGACCTCGACCTCTTTCTTGACGGTCTTCTTCTTCTCCTCCTTCTTCTCCTCGTCGTCAGAAGCCTCGTGCACCTCATCCTCTTTCTTCTCGTCCTCCTTCTTTTCGTCGTCCTTCTTCTCCGGCTCGCTCTCGACCTCTACCTCCTCCTCGCGCGTCTTGTACAGGTAGATCGGGTAGCCAATGAACATGGAGTGCTTCTTGATCAGTTCCTCGAGGCGATCGGCCTTCAGGTACTCCTTCTGGTCCTCCTTGAGGTGGAGTATGATCTCGGTGCCGCGCTGGAGCTCCTCGCCAAAGTAGTCGCGCGGGCACTCCTCGATTTCGAACGTGCCGCCAGCCGTCGAGCTCCACTTGAAGCAGCTGTCGTCGTTGTGCTTGGTGATAACCTCGACCTTCTCGGCAACGAGGTACGCGGAGTAGAACCCGACACCGAACTGCCCGATGAGGGAGACGTCGGCGCCCTCGGAGATCATCTCCATGAACTGCTTCGCGCCGGACTTGGCAATCGTACCGAGGCAGTTGATGAGGTCAGCCTTCGTCATGCCGACCCCCGTGTCACGGATAACGAGGATGTTGTCCTTCTCGCGCGGGATGACGTCGACCTTGAGGTCCTTCTGCTTCCCGAGCACGCTGGGGCGCGTGAGCGAGGTGAAGTGGAGCTTGTCCAGGGCGTCGGAGGCGTTTGAGATGAGCTCGCGGAGGAAGATCTCCTTCGACGAGTAGAAGGTGTTGATGATGAGGTTCATCAACTGAGAGATCTCAGCCTGGAACTCGAAGACTTCAGCGGGCATCCTTTTTCTTTCCTCTGCTCTTGATCATCAAAATGATCAAAAGTGTCTAAACATTTTGAAAAATCAATTTTAACGATCACTCGCCGTAGACTGCGAACCTTGCGAACTCGCAGAGCATTCGCAAAGGCTCCCAAAAGGAAAATCTGCAAGAACCGGCAGCTCATGCCCAATCGCTTTGGATAAGCGTTTGATCCATTCACTTTCTACTCTCTCCAGTCACATCTCGATAGGTTCTGTAGCATACGTCCTGTCTTGCCGTGTGCTCCTGGACTTCTGCTCCATCTAAAACAGTGCAGTTTTCGAGTTCGCAGCCCTGGTTAATGGTCGCATTGGAAAATATAACGCATTTTTTCAAGGTCACGTTGCTATGAATAACGACTCCGGCCCCGATGACACAGTGGGCGATCTTTACGTGCTCGCCTATCTTGCATCCAGGACCAATGACTGACATTTCTATTCGTGTGTGGTCTTCTAGCTCAGCCTCGTGGAATGTCTCGATATCATCAATGTACTTTACTGTGTCTAGCTCGGCCGATTTGTCGCGCCCAGGTCTGCTCTCCCTCCTGACCTTAAACATTACATTATCTATGACGATATCCTTTGTTGAAGCCGGGTTTCTGGCCGAGTCATAGCTGTAGTTAATCATCTGAAAATTGCTGCGACTATGATGGCGTCCAGGCTTCCATGCGGGAATGCTATAGAGGTTATTCTTAATGGCTAGATGGGTACGCAGATAGATGTCCCTGGTATTGATTAAGCAGTGTATGTTTGGAAAGTTCTTGTTCATCTCCTGTATATCCTTTTCTATCGTTGATGAGTAGCGTTGATTGGTCAGTTCAAACCCCGTCACAATAATCTTCCGCGGAGGCTTTAGCTTATCGCTTAACGACTTAGTGACAAGTACGTCATCCAGAGAATGCCGTATAGACTTGATGAAGTTCTCCTTCAAACGCTCACGCTCTAAGTTGCTCCATAGCTCCTTGTTTAGGTGGACCCCGTGTGGACTGGTTGTGACCACAGTGGACGGGAGGGGAGCTGCATCACATAGGCTTGAGGTAGGGAAGTCCGGATGCTGCAGTGTAGGTGAGAGGATCAGTGGTTTATCAGGATTGCTCTGCCGTGTATAGTTACTTGCATCTGTGGTAAGGCAAATGTTTATATCAGGAGAGGTCTTCAAGTAAGCTCTAATGTTGGAGTGCTGTGCCTCATATGGAAGGTTTTGCTGCTCTACTAGAAACGGCACCAGGTCATTAAACAGTGACCACACCCTACTGATGTTGTTAAGGTACTGAATAATTTCGCGGGCTAAGATAATAATGCCTGGCGGCTGACTATATGCCCTCATCCTGCTATTCCCTTGAATAGCGGAAAATGGTATCCTAACCGTAGTATTCTCAGTCATCGGTTGGAAGTAGTTCAGCGTGCCAACAAACGACGGGAAACGAGGTAACTTTCTCATAAGGTTGTCCTGAACTTCTTTCAGAAACAGCTGATTAGTATCATCAAGAGATGCAGCTATCTGCTTTAGCCTGGTATCTGGTAGCTGCAAGAACGGTAGATAGCGGTTTTCAAAGGTTTTTCTGTATTCTGGAACGTTGAGATTGTAGATGCTATTGTAGCTAATGATCTCCTGGTATATACTTTGAATAATATTTGGAGCCACGTTAGGTGCATTAGAGCTGAGCCTCAAGAGGTCTATGGGTGGGTTGTGCTGTGTGGTATCGGCGAGCACGGCGAAGCATCCGCCTTTGCACTTTTTGAGCTTTTCAGCTTCTGTCTTCTCAATGGAGACGTCAGAAAGAACGACCGTCATGGTCGCGTTGGTGTCCCTGTGGGCTTTGAGGTATAAGGAAGGAACGATGGTTGTGAAGCATGAGGAACAGACAACAATGATGTTCTCACAGGTCAGTTTTTCGTCCTTGTTCAGTCTATAGATCGCGTGGACAGACTCGTGGACATCTTCATAGCAGACAGGAAGAATGGTCCAAGACATGTCGTGATTATAACTAACTTGGTCAAAGAAAGAGAGAAGGCTTTCAACGGCGCTCTCATAAAGCTTTTTATACAGCAGGATGAAGTTATCGTACCCATTGTTGTAGAAATGGAGCAGCGTGTAGTATATGGAAGGGTATGTTGAGATGCTCAACAAGCCGTTAGGTATACTGTGCGAGATCATGCTTCGGGCCGGCTGCTCGTCATATCCAATTAGGATAACCACTTGTGCCTCTGTGTATGGATGTGAAACTGAGTGCATAGCGTGTCGAGAAACAAACCTAAGCGATTATGAATTAAAACTGCAATAATTGAAAACAGTCGATAACTCTGCTTATTCTCTGATGGACGCCCTCATGGCACGGCTATTTGACCCGCAGAAGCGAGATAGCGCCATCCTGGACCTTCTTTCTTCTCTATCCAAGGACCCACCGGAGGAAGGGATGACTCCAGAGGATATTTGGCGTGTTCCGGGGCTGTCGCTCATTATAATTGGTTTGATTGCTCAATCCTATCGCAGCATGGAGCGAGTAGGCGATGCAGCAGAGTGCCTTCCACAGCTTCAATCTCTTTTGGATTTACTAGTTATCTTATCGTCGTCTAAGGCCGTTGCAGAGTCTTTCATGGATTCCAGCCTCGTTGTTGCACTTTTTCCGTACTTCCATCTTCCACACACACCTTTGTCGGTGCAGGGGTCCGTGCTGCTGATCTGTGCCAATATTGCTCAACTTGAGCGCGGCCCCAGCTACCTTATTGAGGCAGAAATTTTGCCCCTCATCTTGCCGTTGCTGGCTGGGAAAAGCTCTGAGGGGGTTTATGAATGCTGCTGTGTGCTGCTTCACTCTCTTGTTTCAGCTGTAGCCGATAATCCCTCTGAATTTTCAAAGATACTGCCGCCCGACAAGCTTACTGCATTGACAAAGTTACTTATAGAGGTTGCTACACGGATACGATCCGAAGACGGCAAAGATTGGCTGGTTCCTCGCAGCTCCGTTCGTCCGCTTATGCTCACCATTGCGGCTCTTAAGGGCCTTACTAAAATGAGGCATTCCCCAGATGTTCTTGACCGCTTGAGGAGGCTCTCCGGATCAATTAGAGATCTGGATGTGGACATTTCTAATGCCCTCAAGATAATCCTTTCCAGTGAATAATTATTTATGTCCGCTGGCGCATCTAGGCTTGTAAATGGAAGAGATGAGCAGGGTTTCCAGCTGCCGAAAAGTGATTTTAGCCTTTCTAACGGTCCTGAGGGTAAGCTCTGCAGCAATACGCCAACTGGCACCCCAGGCACCTTTTACGGTATGCTCACAAGGAGCTCTCTCTTAGACTCTTTCATGTGTAGTCCATCCAGAACGACTCAATTCGCCAGCTCAGATTCAAGTTTGCGCCTGCGTCAGAGTCAGGTCATGCCTGTCACCTCGTTAGAATCTTCACAGTATAGCCCTGATGCTGGCGACTCAATGCATCTTCGCACAGTTACCCAGAGAACCATTGCTACTTTGACAGCTGAGAATGAGGAGCTACGAGAGCATATTAGCGTCCTATCTAATGCTCTCCAAAGTTCTACCGTTCTCCTTGACAGGAAAGAGCAACTGATCCAGGAGCGCAATACGTTCATCAGGGAACTGGCCACACGTTTGCTCCTAGATCGGCAAAGGCAGTTCTAAGGTAAGCTATAAAGCGTGGCAAAACCAAAAATGCAATATGCGTGCCACCAGAAGAAGATCGTCCTCAAGGGGCGCAAGCGTGGGGTGTACCTAGTGACGGCGGAGATCATGGCCCAGGCTCGAGATCTTATACAAAGCGTTCGCACCGGAGTATGCTTCCTTTTTCTAATGCACACCAGCGCCTCTCTGTCGATAAATGAGAACGCAGATCCAACTGTACGAGAAGACATGAATGCTATCATGCATAACCTGGTCCCTGACTCCTCCAACTATCGGCATAACTACGAAGGAGACGACGACATGCCTGCCCACGCCCTGTCCACCCTTGCCGGATGCTCCCTGACTATCCCCATCTCTGGTGGCACCCTTGCTCTAGGAACGTGGCAGGGGGTATATTTACTGGAGTACAGACACTTTGGGGGAGACAGGGAGATCATGGTGACTGTTCAGGGGGCCGCCGCAAAGTGAGCTCTACCGTCCCCCTATCTGTGATGTTATCTTGTGACCGAACACATTCTTCTCTGTCACCGGTACGCGGTCTCTTCCCTTCACTATATGTATGCATCGCACTAGCTCATCTTGAGACGTGACTATGGGGAATTGAAATGTGTTCTTAGTCGTCTTGACCTTTAGATTTGCAGCTGTAGGCTTTGCTATGCAGATGGTCACCCCTGCAGCCAGCTCCGATGAGACCTGGTGAAGGGCCAGGATGGATCTTGGTTGCTGTGCTGCCGATTTGCCCCCGAGCTCCTGATTTTTGCTCTCGTCTCCTTCTGCTTCACATGCATCACAGCTGTTTTCAATCAGATAGAATTGTGGGATCCCCTGACCAATAAGTGAACATATGCGCACCTGTAACGTTCCTTCGGATGTCCCGACAGCCAGCTCGTCAAGTCCTAGAACGTCTTTGGACGCCTTAAATCCAGGTTCTTTGAATGATACTGCACTCTCACCCAACCGCAAAGTAATGCTAGAAAGGAGGGCTTCTATCTCAGTATAGCCCTCTACCGCCTGCTTGAGGCCAGGGTCTTCTATGCTAGCTGTATGAAACTGCGTCCACGCGGTCTGTAGGTCCAAGGTTAATCGAGCTAACATAGCCAGATTAAACCGAGCATCTGGAAAAGGGAGGTCCTGGCTTTCTCTTATCTGAATGGCACGTCTAAGTGCACAGGACGCCCTGCTGAAATTAGAACTATTACTATCTGCTGCGAGACGAAGCGTGGACATCCCCAGAGCAAACCAGGCTTGACAGCTGTTAGGGTTAATCTGTACAGCGCTCCGCCCCATCATGACAGCCCGTGCTAAGGAGTCTGGGTAAAGGTCTTGGGGACGCAGTCTAAAGAGTAGGGACAGGTTCACCAGCGGTCTCTCGTCTCCGGGAAGCATGGACCTTGCTTTCGCCAACATAAGTTCAGATCTCCGCCATGCCCCTGCTTTGATGCTGCTTATGCCGTGCTGCAGATATGTCTCAGGGATGGTGGGGTCAAATCGTAAGGACGTATGGAAGCAAGTGGCGGCCTGATCGTGATAAATGTCGTAGACATTGTATGCTATCCCAATGATAAGCCAGAAGTATGCTCTGTAGGTAGGAGAAAGCTGACTTTCGCTCAGCTTTTCCTTTGTGGACTCAACTAAACTTGAAACTCTCTCTTCCAGCTGCTTTTGCTTTTGATCTGCGTTAGACAGGAAGGTATATTCGTTATAAGTGTACAGATCCTCCAGCTGTGCTGCCAGCCCTTTCATTATGTCGATTATCCGAGGATCTGTCCCATCTATTTCTGGTATGATTATCATTAATTTTCTTGACTGAGGAAGGGCTTGAAATCAAAGCTATGTTTACACTCAAGCACAGGGTTTTTTGCAAGAGATTGGTCGTCATACGGTTGCTGTAGGGTTTCATAAAGCAGTTTTAAATAGGTATTATCGGAGTCTTTAAAGTACTCCGAAGACCGCTAGCTTGGCCGACGCGACTCGATCCTCCTCTGCAGCAGCAAGGTAAAAGTTGTAGCTTTCGCTATCCCACATTACACTAGCCTCTGGTCCAGCGCTAGTCTGCGCATCATCGTAATAAACGGGGATCCAGGTACGTACCAAATTGCTATTTCGACAAATAAGATCCAAGAGGTCTTTTTCGTGGACAATAGCTGCAAACAGAGACTCATAGCTTCTGTCAGTGGGGAGCATATCAGCTCCTTCTACTGATTGCTGATGCTGCTCATCATAACGCTTCAGAGCCTGCCTGACCATGTTATATGAAGCTTCCAATGACACCAATTCATTACCGGTTGATGTCCATCTGTTCCCTCCCGTCAGCATGCGGTATGAAGGCTCCTCGACGCCTCCACAGATTTGTCCGGCCATGACATACAGAACGCTATCTCGGGCCAAGTTGACTCGTCCATCAGCAACCTGCTTCTGAATAAACCGGTAAAAGTAGTACTCTGAGTAGAGAACCTGGATGGTGGTGACAGGGTCTGAATCTCTAGTGCAAGCGACATTCAAAACAACAAGGTAGGTGCTTTCTAGCTTTTTGTGCTTAACCAAACAAATAGTGGCAGTGTTCTCCGAAAGAAAGCGTTTCCATATGGCCGGTGAAGCCTCGTTCAACCAGGACATGGAAAGCACGTTGCTAAGGTATATGTTATCGTAAGAAATAAGTTCGTACTTTTCGCTGTTAAATGCTATGGTAGAGGTTTCAGTGGTGTAGTGGCCATCGAATGGGCACTTCTGGGTGTTTCTGACGGACTTCCCCAGGTCTGCAGAGAAAAAGGTCGCCACATATGACTTGTCCAGTGTAACAAATGGCCACTGGGGGCATACTCTGGTGTGGATAAAGACGTACTTGGATACCTCATTTTCATACAAATATGCGTCAAGAAACTCAGCGAAGTCCGACCTTTGGAAAGCAACCACATCTGGTGATACCTCTAGGAGGTACTTAGCAAAAGATCGTGTGCGAAGTGCAAGCCAGCTCGAACGCGCATTCTTTTGGGATGCAAGAAAAGATGGGATCAGCTCCTGTGCATGACAGCCTGGGCACCAATTCAAAACACGTACATAATCCTTGGTGAGAACAGAAGCGGCTGTGGAGAATGCTTTTAGGTTTAGAGACGCTAAGGCACTGGATCTATTAGGCATCATCCACGCTTGCTTCACCTCAGTCTTCAAAGCGTTCCATCGTCTCTCTGAAAAACCAAATAACTTCTCTCTTATCTCTGACATCAGTTGTGTGCTATTATCAGTACAATCGCGCCGTATTCGATCCAGGATTGAACCGGAACCAGTGTCCGCTGGCCCTAGAGTAGCACCTTCACTTATTCCAGTTATATGTGCAAGGAATAGTGGACATATCCGGGTTATGTTGACGAGACTATTCGACCGCCACGAATCAGGGTTCCTAGATATCTGGGATAAGATAAGGTTGGTAGGGGCGCTGTCTTCCAGTACAACTCCGTCCTCTGACCCAATTAATTCTGGTAAATAAAGATATTCATTAGTAAGCGGGTTGTACACCATATCGGGCAGCAGAAAGCTGACAAGATCCTCCGAGCCGAGTATAGAGTCGGAGAGATAAAAGTCCGGTTTGAATCGAAGCTGTGCACCAAACGCCTCTTGCAGAATAGAGACCATCTCCAGGGGATCCTCTCCGTCCTCAATGATCAAAGCCATATGAGAGGTCGACGCAGCAAGATTCTGAATACGTGCAGCCGTCTCTTGATCCACCTGGGTAGTATGTGCAGGAAAGTATTCTGGTAGAGCGTCCACGATCCCATTAACGTAGTGAAAAACTGTAATAATGTCACAGAAACGCTCCCATTTATAGTCCTTGTAAATGGAGAACCCTTTGGTATAAAGCCTGCTGATTAACCGTCCCACCTTTGAACAGTCAATCACTATCGTATCGTCGTCCATCTCGGGAACACAGATGGGATCCGTGAGACAGGGGATGTCAATCTGGTGTACGCACATGTCGTAGTAGGTCGCAAAGTCTTCATTAAAGGCAACATAGTAGTTGAATTGATCAGCAAAAAGAAGAATTGGATGCACGAATGCCTGGAAATCAAAAAGGGGGAGGACGTTGAAGGGTGCGGACCGAAAGTTAAGATAATTCAAATTGATATGGGATGTATGCATTTGGTCAGATTTTCGATAAACCGGAAGATATGTGTTTGGATGAAAGTGAACAGCGAGCTTTGGGACAGGCTGGCGAAGTAGAAGATCCTTTTGATTGGCACGATGAGTGAGACGCTTTCCGTCAATGGAACTAAAGATAGCGTATGATGGCATGCCGGGCACCAGAGACATCTCCGTTCTCTTATCTTGGGGTATGTGAGGATTAAGAGCCATGGTGAATAGGTCTGAGAGAGGCACCCCCACGAAGTGGCTGGCTCTCAGCTCTTTGTACTCTATCTTGAGGGCCTTATCAGCCAAAATGACACTACAAAATGCATCTGTCTGCAACAAAGTCGACTTGTCTGCAAGGTGATCCTTGATCAGAGGGTCTGTTTGGTATCCCGCAACGGAGTTAAAGACAAGTGAAGGAGGTAAGCCGGTCGCGACAGCCAGCTCGGGGACGGTCTTTAAAGAGGCCATGGAGTAGGCGTCGCCGAAAAGCCCAAAATTTAGTTTTGCTCTTTACTTACTTTTTGCCGACACCAATCATTAATTTATAGCGAAGGAAAAGATTTCGCCCTCTATATAGAATGAGCCGTTGTTGGAGCCCAGGACAAAGACGTGGGCAAAGCCTATAGGCTGATTGGAGTCGTCGATGCTCAAAAGGCCGGACACTTTCACCAAGTATCGTCCCCCGAGATCCATCGCAGAAATAGTAGGATTAGGAATATTGACGGTTTTGAAGCTCATGCGCTCGAGCTGTTGCTGGATGGCCTCGATTCCCCGGCAATGTGTTCCGTTGAAAATCATCTGCGCTGTGGGGCTGTAAAGCGACAGGACGTTAGCACGTGTCGCCTGGTTGCAGAAGTTGGAGTAGTAGTGCTGCACAAAGGAGCTTGCCAGGGAGTTTGGGTCCATGATTTTTATGGAGGTATTTCAATTTAATGTCCATCATTTGTGCCATCACATCTTACATTTCATTTTTTAACGGAGGCGTTATTCGGAAGAGGAAGATTTACTCTACTTCATTGAGGTCAGTTTGATAGCTGCTGTTTGGGTACATTCTCTCGTGTGAGTCGTTGCAGCACTGGGCGGGTCTCACGCTGGTTAAGATCATCGTCCAGTGACTAACTACACACTGCTGATTGACATGGACTCACCACATGACTACTATGAATCCTTTGATAAGCAGGTTGGAGAAGCTCTTGCTGGGATATCTGGTTCAAGTCTTGAGAAGTACATTGAATCTAGTTACACTGAAGAATACTGGTGCTTTGGAGTTCATCATCACAAACAGCCACATATCCTTGATATAGATGAGATGTCATCATAGAGCGACACAACCTTGGTGAACCGATCCTGATCGCTCCTGATGCTGCAGATGATACCCCTCGGAAAGATGTGACCCTGGACCGACGCCTCAACAGACCAAAGCATCACCTCTAAGTGTGCTGTGCGAGGATGGACGCAGACCACATCGTCACTGAGCCAGACACACTGCATAAAGTGATGCCTCGACGCGATCTCGTGTTGGATGACCACACAGTGTCGAAGAAGAGGTGCACTGTGGTCCATGAGCAGAAGGTATGGGTTGACCATGACAAGGCGAACCAGAGCCGGGCCTCTTCCTTCCAGACACCAGCCAGGCCGTCGACATAGGAGTGGTTCAGCCGGCATCCATGAGCTCGTACTACCACTCTAAGATAGAGGCATACGGGGAGCACCCTCCCGATCATACTCGGGACTGACGGCACCCTCCACGAGAAGACAAGGGAGCACCTCAGGGACCTAAGGATCGACACCTGAGGTTCGTGGCGTGCGATCTTCATCATGGAGTACCAGCACCAAGGCGACTCTGGAGTACATGGTCAGGGTCAATTGCTTCTGAGGCCAGACTGCTGTGGCTGACGGAAAAGCCCGAGACAACGGGTGCTCACTAGATATCAGACGACAGCTGACCCGAAAGGCCAGAAGATGGGAGAGCCTCGGAAGGCACCGCGAAGAGCGACAGAGACTCCCAGTGGATAGAGTGAAGTTTCTTCTTCTTCTCCCACCGGAATCGCTTGACATCTGAGCTCATATTCTCAGATTTTGGTTTCTAGACTCTGGACTCTAGATCTCAGCTGGTGCGAGGGCGAGAGGGACCCGCCTACCCAGAGTGGCGGTGGCTCGCATGGAGGGGATTGCTCAGGTGGCAGATGGCAACCCCACCTCGGTGAAACGGAGAGAGTAAACAAGATGTCGGGCCGCGAGGCCGGGGCGGGGTCCTGTTTACTCTATGAGAGGAGAGAGATGATAGAGGGGTGGTTATACCCCTTGACTATACTGAGGGCAGTATTACCCCACTTACTCTTCATGTCCTTCTCCTTCTCTAGTAGGAGCCTCGCCACCTCTGTGTGGCCATTCCGTGCTGCCAACATGAGTGCTGTCCATCCACTACCATTATTCATGCCCCCCTCCTTCTCCACCAGGAGCCTTGCTATCTCTGTGTGGCCATTGGATGCTTCCCTCATGAGGGCAGTCCATCCATTACTATCACTCATGCCCCTCTCCTTATCTAGAAGTTTCTTGACGTATCCCCCGTGGCCACACTCCGCTGCTATCATAAGGGCTGTCCTCCTACTGTTATCCCGCATACGCGCTTCATGCTCCCCAAGTAGCTCGATACACTGTAGGCGATCCTCATAACGCTCTGAAACCACACTACCGCGGCCGGTACCCATTGACGCATCAGTCGGAACCGCTCGTCCATCGAAAGTATCACTGAATGCAGAAACAGCATGCATGAGGGCTGTTTTCCCAGCTCTGTCCTTCAGGCCCCTCTCGTGCTCGAGGAGGAACTCCACTACTTCCTTGTGGCCCTGGTGTGCAGCCCACATGAGAGCAGACATCCCAATGATATCAGTGCGTCCCTTCTCGTGAATGTTTTCCTTGACTTCATCCGTGTCCCCGAGGTATGCAGAGTAGATAAGGTCTGTCCATCCTGATACATCGCTCTCGTACCCTATTGGGAGCTCCACAGCCTCGTCCCTTCCATTCTGGGCGGCGATGATGAGGGCTGTCTGGCCCCGCTTGTCCCTCTGGCCCTTCTCATCGAGGTGCCGGAATGCCAGGTCCGTGTCTCCGAGGGCCGCGGCACACATGAGCATCGTCCACTCCATAAAGTCCTTCTCGTGTGCCATGAGGAGCATTGCGACATCGCGGTGGCCGGCTCGGGCTGCACAGGAAAGAGCCGTGCAGCCGTTGTTATCCTTCAGGCCCCTCTCGTGCTCGACAAGGGCCCTGACAATCTCAAGATTCCCCTTCTGTGCGGCGATCATCAGGGCCGTGCGGCCTCTGCTGTCGGCCAGGCCCCCCTCGTGTAGGGCCAAGAAGGAGGCGATCTCTGTGTGGCCCCTCTCTGCGGCCATCATCAGAGCAGTGCGGCCGTTCTTGTCCTTCTCCCCACGATCGTGAGGGACGAGAATTTCAACCACCTCAGGGTGATTGTTGTACGCTGCGTGCATAAGCGCGGTCCAACCGTTCTTGTCTTTGATGCCACCCTCCTTCTCAAAAAGCAGCCTAATAGGATCAACGTGTCCCCGCTGGGCCGCGTGCATGAGGGCCGTCATCCCCTGTCTATTGCGCCGGCCGGTACGGACTTCCGCTTCAAGCAGCATCCGGACGGTCCCAGCATTTCCTTCCGCAGCAGCACGCATAAGGGGCGTCCAGAATGAATCCCTTGTGGAGTGAGGTACAGAAGAGGCATCCTCTTGACTAGAACTGCCTGCTCGCGACCCTCCGCGTTCGTTGCATGCCATCCTTTATTTTTCCTGCCGAAGAAAGGGCTAAAACACCTGTAATTCACACTGTAATCTACAGCTCAGTCAACTGATGTCCATACATGTATTCCTATATAATTCTGGCACTTGCTGATTCTTTCTGTTGCATATAATTGTATGCAGTGTTATGCGTCCATGTCCGGCCTCTGCTCCTTCGTGCTGCGGCTAGATGGGATCTTGTGAAGTACTAGGCTAGAGCCATTAACAGCGTAGAACACTGGTGGGCTTTCATCTCACCCGCAAAGTGCAGTGCGCTATGCTCTGTCTGTGAGCACTCATGCTTGACTACCCAAATGGGCTACGTGATGTGGACTACTCTGAGACTGTAACCAAGGATTCGTGCTCAGTGCTAATTCATCTGCCGCTGTCGTTGGACCTCGTGGCAGCCATGATCTCAGATGCCTTGTGCTTACATCTGTAAGTCTTCTATGGTTGAAGAAAGTGTCTGTACGAACAGCGGGGGGCTCTCCCATGAGTTGCAGCTATGCCCATTGCAGGACCTTCAGGTCTCCTTGGACGTAGTCTGCCCAAGCTCAGTGGACTGCTGTGCAGAGAGTGCAGTCGCTCTTCACCTGTTACGCTTTCTCCTGAAGAAGGCACGTTGCGGGAGCACTTCAAGCCCTACACTAGTGGAAAGCGCCATCGGCAGAACGCAGTCCACTGAATTCTCACGAAAGAAGCCGCTTCCACAGGATGCCCGTGGAGAGCGGCGCAGGCGGCCTCCGTTCTGTCGGCACGTGCGAGCTGGCCCCTTCGACACACACGTTCTGCGCCTTGTACGAGGCAGAGGGGTCCTGATGGGATAAAGTACCGACGCGTGTTACGGTGTGAGTGGGACGAATGACGAAGAACCAAAAAACGGTCTCACACATGCTAACAGCGTTGAACAGTGTACACTGTGGTCTCTATAGGCTCACAAAGCCATCACAAAAAACGAGGAAATGAGCCTGATGGACCAGGACGAGGGCAAAGCGGCAGAAGAATCCTTTGGCCGCTGGTTTTCTGCTGCACAGCGCGGAGATTGCGCCTATCTAAAACAGCATATAGCGACCATGCGGCGAGCCGTGGACTCCCGAGGAATGACTGCGCTGATGCATGCAGCGGATGCAGGTCACGCATCGTGTGTCCAAGCACTGGTTAGTGAAGCGTGCGAAATCAGCTCTGAGGGGTTCACGGCTCTTGGGTACGCAATCCGCGCGTCCTCGATTGATGCTGCAGGAGTCTTGCTTCCGTATGAGGGCTCTGTTGAGGCCTCTTCCGGTCTTTCTCCACTCCTTATGGCATTGAAGTACAAGCAGGACACCATTGCACATATGTGCTTTGAGCATATGGATCCATCCAAAGATCTGGCTCAGGGCAAGGATGGGGAGTTTAGAAAGATATTAATGTTTGCTATTGAGCTGAATGACTACGAGCTCCTGCAGGACGCCATCCGTCACTGTCATAAGCTGCCTGCGGGCGATATAGCCGAGGCAATTTCTCTCGAAACAGCTGCCGGCCCAACCTTTTGCATAACGTACCTCATGGGTGTGCTTGACGGACTCACACACCGGGATGACTCAAGGCGCCAACACGCTTCTCCCATACTGATCACAACGACTCCAGATGTTGTAAAGGGTGGTCCCAAAGTAGATGAGAACGGAAACACTCTCTTGATGAGGGCAGTCATGACCTTCAACTATAAGAAGATGCTTGACTATTCTTCTATCCTGTGCAGAAACGTGAACAGGGAGGGGAAGACTGCGCTCATGATCGCGGCAGAAATAGGCAATGAGTCCGCTGCGGCAATACTCAGGAAATACGAGGCGAAGATCCAAGATCCTGCTGGAATGACGGCCCTGATGTTCGCCGTGAACAAGGGAAATTTAAAGCTCGTCCAGACGCTGTTAAAGTATGAGGTTGGTCTGAAGGACGTTGTAGGTCGGACGGCGCTAATGCATGCAGTACTATCAAACAACCAGCCTATTATTCAGGAACTTATCAAGTGTGAGACTAGCAACCAAGATTTCCAGGGCAAAACAGCCCTTATCTATGCCGTAGAGCAGAACCTTTATCAAGCCTGCAAGGCGCTCATTCCTTATGAAGCGGGCTTGGTGGACCATAGGGGTCTGCGTGCAATAGATTATGCCAAGCTCTTCGACAATATGGAGCTGATAGATCTTTTAGAGGACTCAGAAGGAATTTCACGAAACTCTCTTCAGCAGATCCTGCTTCGTCACGGGCGGCTAGCGCCACGCATATCCAGGCCCAGCCCCAGTCGTAGTAGCCCTAGGCCGGCTCTCTCTGGTTCCACTGTGAGCAAGCCCACTACTTCAACACAAGATAAGCAGCACACCACTGTAGATGTGAATAAAGAAGGCTCACTGCCTGAAGACGCGAAGGTATTTTCCACCGATCTTATCTCTGCTGTCCACGCCAGTAGGTACTATGACATCGGTGTTCTAGCCCCACATCTTGCCAACATGAGAGATCACCACAACCTCACGGCACTCCATTACGCTATCTACCAGAACAAACGAGTGGCAGTACGCATCTTGCTTCCTTACGAATACGAATCCCTTAATGGGTTTACTATTCCACCAGAGACGCGACCAGAGATAGTCGAGATGATAAACCTCTATAGGAAGTGAAGCTCTCATATAAGTACCCATTCAATCTGTATAGGCAGGCCTGTGAGGTATCTATGGAACTCATTTCTTTTTACCGCCACGTGAGTTGTTCTTGAAGAAGATTATGTCCCCATCTTCAACAACGTAGTTCTTCCCTTCGGTGCGGACCTTCCCGGCTGCCTTGACCTCTGCTTCGGACCCTAACCTCTTGAGATCCTTATAAGTATAAACCTCTGCACATATAAAGTAGTCGCGGAAGTCGCTGTGAATGACCGCACCTGCATCCGGCGCCTTGGTGTATTTTCTGACCGTCCAGCATCTAACTTCGTCTGCACCACATGTGAAGAAATGACAGAGGTTCAATGCCTTATATCCCGTCTTGATGATCTTATCGAGAGCCGACTCCACAACGGAACCGTCAGGGAGCTTGTACTTTGAGGGGAGCTCGCTGAGGTAAGCGTCTCTAGCCTCTGCAGAGCCTAGCTCCAAAAGCGTCGCCTCTAGCTTGGCGCTATATGGAACTATATGCGCATTTTCGTTTCTGGCCGTTATCCATTCCTGTATCTTGGTAAGAAACTTATTCTTCTTCTTACTATAGTCTGCCTCGCTCATGTTCAAAAGATAGACCACAGGCTTGCAACTAAGCAACTGCAGCTCGTTGAGAATCTCCACCTCACGGGGCGACCAGCTCTGGGCAAAGAGATCCTTCTTTTCCTTGAGTAGTCCCTCTATTTTTAGGTATATTGGTTGGACATCCTTGAGACTTTTATCCAGGCCCCGCTCGATCTTGCGCTCATTATCGGTGATGCGTGCTCCAAGAAACTCAAGGTCCTTTGCTGTAAGTTCGGTGGTTATGATTTCTAGGTCACGCGTGGGGTCAATCTCCCCTTCCACGTGGCTCACATCTTCATCTGGGAAGACACGCACGACATGGTAAATTCCATCTACTGCCTTGATGTGTGATAGGAACGCATTTCCAAGACCATTGCCCTCTGAAGCGCCCTTAATAAGACCTGCTATGTCTGTTATGTCCAAGAACGTGGAAACTTCAGACTTCGGCTTAAAGTGTCCGCAGAGCCACTCGAAGCGCTTGTCGGGTACAGCAACACGCGCATGGTTGGGGTCTATCGTGCAGAAGGGATAGTTTTCGCTGGGTACCTGGACCTTTGTCAGAGTGGAGAAGGTGAGAGACTTTCCCACATTTGGAAGCCCAACAATGCCCATTGAAAGCGAGTTCTTGGCGCGGCCCAAAAGGGCGATGACCTTCGAGTCGTCCTCCTCCTTCTTCCCTTTGGGTGGCATTTGGCAGTTTCAAAAAATTGGATCCTAAGCTCCCACCAAGCAAAGAATTTTATGACAAGCCGTACTCATCTTCTTCAGCGGTCGCACATCAAGTTGGTATCCTACCCCCACAAAGTCAACTCGGAGTACCACGATGAATACGTCCCACGAAGTGTTCAGGGAAATTCTGTTGATCCAGGTGCAGCAAGCGCCAATCTTAGGAAATCTCACTTTAGCATCAGTGGTGATCACACCTCAAATCTTGGTTTATCTGAGCACCAAGCAGAATTCATCGAGAGGCCGTTTGACGTGCAGGAATCTGCCGTGAGTTTACACCATAAACCAGACAACATAAATCTCACCCAGGGTGGCCATGTCCCGGAAGGTGAGTCTGTCTACACACACGACTATAAGCCATACCCAGTAGGTTCTGGTGCGGTCCTTCCTGCTGCAAGCATGGCCCTGCAGAGATCGCACTTTGAGGTCGCACCTGGGAGCTCCGGTGTGCCATTAGGACAGTCGATCCAGCAGACAGATTTTGTCAGGCACTCAATAGACCCAAACAGACAGCTTCTGGATACGGCAACTCTCCAGAGGTCCCACTTTCCAACAGCCAACGAAGGATTCAAGGGGAAGTTCTCTGAAACGCAAGATGAGTATAGACCGTATCTTACTGGCTCAAACTATGACGAGCTTGCGGCTAAGCCGGTGAATATGGCGCTGCGGAGGAGCCACATCGATCAAGGATATGATCCCAGTGGACCTCGCTCTTCAGAAACTAGAGACATGCTGAGCCAGACGGCAGGAGTACGCGGAGATAAGTGGGATAACATGGACCCGACTGCGCTGCGGAGGTCCCACCTACCATATCCCATGCAGGCCCAGATGCTGACCAAGGAAACTGAGCACCAGGCAAACTACGTTAATTACCCTGGCCACGTCCCCTCGGGTTTGTTGAAGCCTGAGTCTGAGGATACAAAGAAGCATGTACTTAATCCTGCAACAGTTGAAGGCAAAAATCTGTCTGAAACTGCTGCAAAATATGTCGCCTACAACCCTCAAGAATTGAATAATGCTCACTATCAGCCATCAGACCTGAAGAATCGCATACAGCGGGAAAGTGGCTTCATCAATTTGAACCCAACAACTGCAAAGTTTGCTGGAGCATCAGAGTTCATGGATAACTATAACAAGGTACCCAGTATAGATGCGCGTTCATCCCTAGATCCAGATGCTGCGCAGCGTCTACGGAGATCACACCTTTCGGAGCTGTCTGGTATCAATCCACTCCAAACCACAACCACCACGTCTGACATGCTACTTCAAAGTAAGCCGTACGCTGGCCAAAAGCTGACTGATGCTGTAGACATGGGGTTGCGCGACTCACACATAATGAGGGAGGCAGCGGGAGGCAGGTTCCTCAGTAGTACAGAGTACAATTCCAAATACATTGCGTTCAATAATTGTGCAAGTGCTCCTGTGGATGGGTCTGGCCTAAGAAAAACGCACTTTATGGTTGGGGATGGCACAAAGTTTGATGGTGAGAGTACATACCACGCAGACTACCAGCCCAAGCCTCTTGAAGGGAACAGGTGGGAATTTAAGGAAGAGGAGTATGCGTATCTGTAGTATCAAGCGTGCGCTTCTGGGTAGGGGTGCTGTGTAAACTGCTAGGGACACTGTTAGGGACACTACTTGTTTCACTACTAGCTATCATCAAACGAAAGCTGAGATCTAGGGGAGTTGATTGACTTGAGAAGGGAACAGGTCCAACTGTTTTAGAGCTGAGTTGGTAGTTGCCAATCAATATGGAAAGATAGTACTTATCGGGTTGCAGCTCGAGCTTCATAACAGAGAGGAGCTTAAGCATCGCTGTGTCCATTGTCATGAGAAAAACAAGAAAGTGCCCGCCTTTATCGTTGAAGGGCAAAAGCCCAGCGAGTCCGTAGCTGGCAAAGTATAGACTACCAGTCTCTGGCACGCCAAGCTTAATGGCCGTAGGCCCTTGAATTAGTGAGCAAATAGACCAATCAGTAACAATACAGGACGGTCGGACAGCGGTTTCGCGCTGAAGATCTGCTATATGATCGGCAAGAGATATAAGCATAGTCAAAAGGCTTGCACCTTTGCTCCTGTCGGGCATGACTGTGCGTAGTCGCTTCTTGGAGTAAGCTGTAATGAAATAGAAAATCAGAAGGTGCAAGTGCAATCGCAAGTAGAGCAGCTCTTCCGGAAGGAGCAGCGAATCGAACGTTGAGCCAGTTGTTTTTGAAAGTTGTTCTCCATGATGTGAAGATAAAGATGAAGCATTTTGTCTCATTGTCGAATGAAGCCCCATTTTCCATAGAAAAAGGTAAAGAGCCATTGCATCGGGTGAGGACATATACAGTTTAGAAAGAGCGGCATTCATTGACCGGTCATAAAAAGAGTGAACTGCCGGATCTATAACTAGTGCAACGTAATAGAATAGTGTCAAATCATTTGAGGTTGTCACCAAGGAGATGCTGGTGGTAGTATATGCTATTATTGTATATTTAGCATCTAGTAGCGCGTCATGAAGGGTACTATTTTCAAATCCACCGTCTGTCAAGGGACTGTGGACACTGTCATTAGGTGGTGTAAACAATAACGCAACGACTTCATCTCTGGGGTACACGCCCAACTGGTGGTCTCCACAAACGATCGCTAATGTTCCTTGGCAGACTGGGCAGTGTTTCCGAATGAGTGTTTCTAGCTCCTTAGATAGAGCTGTCGAGAATTTAGAAGTAGCTCCGGTGCACGCATAACTGCTTAAAAATTCAGTCAGCTCCCTGGCCACAGCCACTAGGGTATCTGGGCACAGCTCCAATGAGGGCAGCCGGTCCTTCTGCATAAGAACTCTATCTTTACTATCTTTAAAACGCCATGGACTAACTTTACTACTACTCCATTTGTGTACATGAAAAGATATGTACGACAGTCGGGATCTCAAGGAAGGCGTGACTGCCTGTGTCTGACAAAAGGTGAAAAAACTTATGGGTTGCGGGAATTCAACTGCTATAAAAGAGAATCAGTCACTAGCTTTCAACATTGCTACCCCCAGTATCTACCGCGGAACTTTATCTCAACAGGAGCAGGAACTTTATGACTTTATACTAGACGGCTATAGATCCTATTCGTCATCTTTGGATTGTCTCATGTACGCTGCAGCTAGAAGCCGAAAGTCTGCAAACAGAGTCAACCAGGCAGTACTTCTGGATCACCCAGAGATCTTCCACACCTTTGTTGAGTCTATTTCCACAGACCAAGGCAAGTGCACCCTAACATTTGCAGCATTCAACCCAGAGATAGTTAGGTCTAGGGCCCAGCAAATCATGGAAACGATAGACCTCTACTTTAAGCCGTACTATCATTCTCAAGAAGTGGTCGGACGCACAGAAACGGACCTTGCCAAGATTCAGGTCGTTATAGAGTGGCTGCTCAGCTACGGAAGATACGAGGTGCTTTCTGACACGGATATGTCTCAATTCACTATCGAGGGGTTCTTTCTCAGGCGCAGATCTTCATGTGAAGGTTTTGCCAAAGCGTATCAGCTCCTTTGCTCCATGATCGGAATACAGGCAACATGTGTTCGCGGTGACTACTCTGTCAGAGATGTAGCAGCCGATGTTTCTATCTTTTCTGCCCACCCGAAGGATGCATCTCCGCGAACAGTTTTCAGCACCCACGGAACAGACAAGTTCAACGTTATGAATGATGTCACACATCAGTACGATCACATATACGGAGAGCAAGATGCCATGGTACTCGATCTAGTGCAGAAGCAGCACAGTGAAGGTATCCTTGCTGGGTCGACGAATATGAACATGACCTTGAGCTCCATCCATCGTCCAGACAGTCTTGGTGGCCATAGATATACAGGTCATCTGACCAATAAGGGAGAGAACGGCTCAGGTGAGTCGTTTGCAGGGATAGCGGTATCTGCTGAGGACGGTGAGATAATAAACAGGAAGATTGTTGCCACTAAGAAGGGCACTAAGAAGAATTTTGAAACTATTGTGGAGGAGATCAAGCCAGAGCCCGATCTCAACTTGTCTGCCAGCCAGGTCCTCAAACCATCCACCCAAACACAGATCGGCAGAGACACGGAAGCAACTGCAATTGTCTCAGGACCCCTGGGAAATAGCAACGTCATCTCTTTGCCTTCTAAATCTGCCAACCGGCGGCACACGTGGTCGATGACTAAGATTGACGGTGCCTGGTATCACACGGACGTTATTCTCTGCCTCAGGGGAATGGTGGATGCATACATACCATCTGCATTTCTCAGAATGTCTACCTCCATCATAGTGAAAATGGGTCTCAACATGATGTCTCTCATAAAGCCCTTCCCCGTTGACGCACCCGTTTTTGGAAAGAACACATGCGTATTGCGATCGGAAAAATCCATTGTTGGTGACATCGTCTCCTTTCTCTTAGCGAGGATTGCAGAGCTGCAGAGCACACATCAGATCCAACCGTCTGAGCCCGGTTCGACTGCGCCCCGTCCAGGTCCCGGGTCCTCTGTATCTGCATCTGCTTACCCCGGTATCCAGGACTCACTTGGGATTAGCATTTATGGAGCCACAGTGGATCACAGCAGAAATGCAGCAGGGGAAGGACACGCTCCGTGGACACAAATGGCAATGAACATAGGCGGGGCGATGCCCTACAGTCTTGTTCCTCCAACAACAGACAATAGCAATGAATCTATGTATGAGGATAAACGGCAGCAGAGCTATGAGGAGCCGAATGCACAAGCGAATTATGAACAGTGGAAAAAATCGCGCCTAATGGCTCTACAGACGGCCTTTATCAATGAATCACTACCTCCAAGCATGCTTCCACCCATACAATCATCTCAGTCGTCCGCACAGGAAGCCCCGTTAGTCCAACCATCTCAATCGTATGCAGATGATGACCAGAGTGTATTTTCTAGCACCTGGACAAGACCGGTGTCACAAGCGACATATCAGCCCCAGAACCCCGTAAAGCCTCATGATATCCTCTCCAGTTTAGATCCCGTGCTGACCTTTGAATTTGTTTACGAAGTCAATCTGGATTGGTCCGTTGCCAGGCGGATTGTCAAGGGGAAAATGCCGTTTATATCGTCTCAGCTCATGACCAAAGGATATCGGGTATATAACTACACTGTGGAGAAGTTCCTGACCACAATAGTCATAGAGCAGCGCCCGGCAGAATGAACACGCAACTGAAAAGTATAGAGTAGCATGCTTCCATTTACTGCTTCTGGGCAGTTGATGAGACCCTGCGCCTCTCTACCTCGTCCTCAATCTGCGCTCTTGTCTGGTTGTGAATTGCCATCGCATTCTTGACCTTGCTAAGCTCTGCGCGCCTGGTTTGGAGGCGTGAATTCTCAAACTCTATGGCATCTGGTACCGACATCTCCGCCGTGTATCCTCCCCCGAGGATGACCATGACCTTCGATGTGTCGGGGACGTTCCCCTTTACATAGGAAGAAAGAGTGAGGGGTACAAGGACTTCGTCATCCGGCTTGATGCTCTGAAACTTTTTGATTGCCTCTATTGCGGCAATGCGCTCATTGATTGCTCCTTGGATGAGTGGGAGCGTCTTGGACAACGTATCCAGCTCAACTACTACCTGCTTGTAGATGGCCTCTAGGGCCTCGTTTGGTAACGTACCCACATCTAGCTGCTGGCCCGGGACATCTGATGGCTGTACGTTGCTAGTTCCGGTCATTAAATTCTCAACCAACAACAAAAAAAACCTTGTTAAAGCCATATGCAATAAATTGTAATTTTAACAAAAAGGACAGAAAGACCACCCGTTGACCCTCGGAGCCTGCCACAGCGTGTCTGAATGAACAATGAGCATGTGGTGGAGTTTAGTCCAGGGTACTTTGGACTCTATGACGGGGATGAGCTGGTTCAGGCCATGGAGAGAAGGAAAGAGGCAGCAAAGGTGACCAACGGATGACTACTTGGGGACCTTACTCCTGTGATCTGTCTGTCTCAGGAATGGATGCCGGAGGATATCCTCTATGGAGATCCGGGCCTCTGGGCTTCTAATTAACATCCGCTGGATGAAATCTTTGCTGGCTGGGCTGAAGTCCTTAGTAAAGCTATACTCTACGTTGGCTATATTTTGTCGTGTGATCTTGATTTCGTCGTGGTAGAAGGGCGCGGTGCCACAGATGAGCTCATAGCACAGGGCTCCGAGTGACCAGATATCGCAAGCCTTATCATAAGATTGTCCGAGCATGACCTCCGGGGGAAGGTAGTCGAGAGTTCCGCACTGGGTGCGTCGTCGGCCACCGTGGGTTGGATGGTGCACGGACCATCCAAAGTCTGCAATCTTGTATGTGTAGTGTGCCATTCGGACTAGCTCGTGTTCATGCACAGAAATGGAGTCATCTGAATTGTGCGCATCTGTGTGCTCTTTGGTCTCTTTCCCCTTGCAAATCAAGATGTTTTCTGCCTTAAGGTCCCTATGGAAGATGTTCTTTCTGTGAAGATACTGTATCGCCTGTGCCACGTCTCGAATAATCTTGCTTACAACGGGTAGAGGAAACTTCCCGAACTGCTGTAACCTTTGGTAAAGCTCGCCGTACGGAGCCACTTCGAGGACCAAAAAGACTCGGGTCTCGTCCTGGAACCAAGTATACAAGCGAATTATGTTTATGTGCCTCACATTAAGATGTATATCCAATTCCCTGCGCACCTGGCCCTCAACACGCTCCGATTTGATGTAGGATTTATACAGCACTTTAAGGGCAACCACCAACTTGGAGGACTGTTCACGTGCTAGGTAAACCAAGCCATACTTTCCACGACCAAGAAAGCGTCCAATCTCAAAGTCCTCTATTGTAGTGCGCTTTCCTGTCCCTGTGTGGGGTACCAAGTGCTGCGGCATTTTTTAAGTTATTTACTTGGAGTGCGTCTTGTTCTTCTTATCGTCATCCTTGCTCTTATGCTTTTCCTTGTCTTTTTCTCTGTCTTTATCCCTGTGCTTGTCCTTGTCTTTATGTTTTTCCTTATCTCTTTCTTTATCCTTATCCTTGTCCCTGTGCTTCTCTTTATCCTTCTCCTTCTCCTTGTGCTTTTCTTTTTCTTTGTCCTTGTCTCTGTGCTTTTCCTTGCTCTTCTCCTTATGCTTCTCCTTAGCGTCCTTGGTGTCATTGGTGTCTTCCGCATCCACCTCAATTGGTGCCACGGGCTCGTCTTTCTTCGCAGCACTCGATAAAGGCTCTAAGGGCGCTGGCATAGCATCGTCTTGTCGTTCTTGTGCATTCTCCTTATTTCTTGAGCCCTTATCCTGTGAGGCCTTGGTCTGCGTGAACCCAGTGTCTTCCTCAAACGCCTCCGTCATTCGAGTCTTTTTGGGCTCAGCAGCAGGGGCTGTTTCCTTCGAAAGCTTCATGTCCCCCTTCCCTTCATATCCTGTTGCCACTCCGCGCCTGTATGCTTCCATCTTCTGTGAAGCAATAGATTTTCTGTTTGAGCGAGCTTGCTTGTCCCCTTCATAGAAGCGCAGAGACGCGTTTATCTTCTCAAGCTTTCCTTTAGCAAAGCTGGTGTTAGAGGACTCCGAGAGAGCGTCCACACGAGCAGCAAGAGATGCGTTTGTTGCTACGACACGTGCCATCTTCCCTCGATTGGTTGCAGATGCTTTTCCCACAAGCGCAGCGTGATAGATAAACCCATATTTGGGCGTCTGCTTGGATCGCATTTTCTTGGCACGGAAAAGTGCACGTTCTGAGCCAAGAATCTGCAAGGTGGATGCGGGGAGCTTGGCAAGGTTGAGCAAACTTCCCGCTTTGGCCAGAAGACGGACGCCGACGATGGACCCGACAATGCGGGTGAAATTGGGTGCAACAGCAAGCATGCGTGCCTCAATGTACTCATGCAACTCCTCGCGGTATGAGACCAAAGAAAGAAGCTCCTCAGCCAGGTGGACAACTCTGTCGGAGTCCTGGTCAGTAATATCCGTGCCAACAGATGTCTTAGCAGCAGATATAATGGCATAAGCTTGATCCTTAGACGCTTTGTTAAGGGCCTTTATGAACTTTTCGCGGCCAGACGTTGTGAGCGACTCCTCGAGATGCCTCCTGTCCCGGAGCACGACTACAGTCCTGGCATAGTCTATATTATCTGGTACGATAGTAATCAGCTCGGGGAAGTGCCAAACCATCCACTCACGAAGTCGCATGGCAAACTGGTTGATATCCTTCTCAGTGTCGTCAATTAAAGCAATGGCTTGAATAAGCATGATATCTATAGAGTCAGCATTGAACTTGACGCGGTAGCGAGAAAAGGAGTGTGCAAGCCCCATCGCCATTGAGCTGTCGTGTTCTTGATCAAAATCAGGGAGAATGGAGGCCAGATGCGTACGTATCCCCCTAGACAGCTCAACAACTATGTCATTAAATGCAGCACGGACCCCGTAGACATCCTTGAGGGCGGTAACCATGTGAGGGTCCTGGACCAGGAGCTTTTCGGACGCATCCTTCTTGGCTACGGTGTTCACAAAGTGTTTCTCCACAAACTTTTTTAGCTCCTCGCTCACATCCTTCTCAAAGGTTGAGGTTTGTGTGGCTAACGCACCCTCGACGCTTGGAAACTTTGAAAATGAGACAAGGGAAACTATTTTCTGGACGTCACTACTTGTGCGCATCATTGCCCCGACCAGGTCGGCGGCCTTAAGCTTGCTTTCGTCCAAAACCTTGAACATCGCTAAGCCAGACGCGGCCTCATATAACAGGTACATTTAATAAAAACAGAAATCCACGCTTGGGCATTTATTGCAAATATTATTTTACTAATGACAATTTATGGTAAATTGCCAACACTACAGCCTCAGCAGACTCTATCCCCAGGGTTTGCAACGCAGTGAAATGGCTGACAGGGGCTTAGCTGTGCGCTCACCACCAAAGCGAGCTCCACAACGTAAGGCACAGATTACTCAACAAGGCCCGACAGAGCCTCTTTCCTTGGTGCCCCGGGGGTCTGTGTTTCGGCGCTATTGTCTCTGTGTCAGTATGGATATGTGTGCCTCTATCCCTTCTCAGGGGTCGTCTGTCTTGCACGGGTCTTCTGTCACCATAGATGCACCTGTCAAGAAGATGCTTCAACCCATGTGGAAAACCCCGCTCTCTTCCCAGGAATTCTGCAGATTTTGGGAGGAGGATTGGCCACAGCTGCGAGCACTGCGAATCCAAGCACTGAGGGGCTGTCTGGTCACGCTCCGCTCCGTTGATTCTGCAGCTATAACGCTACTCAAGGATAGGGTCTATGAGGCCCAGCAGTCTTTTAGTGCGGCCAAAGAAGTTCATGATAATGATCAGGCTATGATCCACGTCTGCCGGGAGGATGCATTACGAGAGGCAGCGCTTCTCGGGCATGCTGACAGCAAAATCCTGGATTCCATGACACACCTTGCAAACTATTCCACCCAAGGACTCAGCAGTCATAGCTCAGGACACGCTTCTGCATGTACTAATCTAGATGCTCTTGAACAGCACATGCTTAGACTCTATAAGCAGCTCTTTTTCAGGGCTTTTCACCTTCGCGTTATCTACATACAGAACATGTTACGCTTATCAAGCGCAGTGATTCTAGACAATGATACTTACATGCTCCTCAGAGGCACTCTATTGACGTGGCACAAGCTTCTCTGTTACAAGAGGTGTCTTATGCAGATAGACAGTCTTGTCTCCGGCGTGCTGAGTATGTTCACTAAAAGAAGGTGCCTGGATCAGTGGCTTAGTGCCTTACACACGCGCGTGGCTGTCCAGAGAGAAAAGGTTTTGCGGAGATTGCTCTACGACTCCATTGGGCCCTCTACTACAAGCTATCCAGAGCCTTCTATTTTTTCTTCTCCCTCTATCCTGCAGCAGGAGCCGTCGAGAACGATCACATACAGATCAAGCGAGCCCTATCTCACTCATTTATACAACATATTCATAGCAGTAGGAACTCCGTTGACTCCGCAAAGCCGTTCGGTCTTGTCCCTTACGGACCTCTCTATTGTTATAGGACTAATATCTAAGCTGTCCCGCATCCGCAGAAAGGCCTGTATAGTGTTTAACCCTAGTGACACCAAGCGTATTCACGAAACGAGGCCATCTTTCATCGCTCTCAGTGAAGTACTACAATCAGCACATACAAGGGCAGCTTTAGAAACATTTGGAGCAACCTATTATAACAGTATCCTTGTTCAAAAGGTGTTCTCAAGGCTTCGGGACGTGTTCTACCTACACACCTTACATAATCTTGCGATCATCTACTACACTTATGTCGAGAAATCGCGCATAATCAAGATTTTATCACTAGGCCTGAGCGTACAGCGGCAGTGTGTCTTGGTCGCAGGGACAAGACTTATCCTGAGGATTTCGTTTGCCCATCTGTGTCACGCATATGCAGAGGCGAGTGCCTTTAAAGATAATCAATCCGACCAATTCTACCGCAACCTTTTGGTCTCCATTGCTTGGAGACACATCTCATCACTGGCGAAAAGGTATGCTGAGCTAACCTCTCGGGCTGCTGGCATACTAGCACGATCGACCCTTGACCTTAAAAGAAGCGCATTTGAATCTTTTAAATTAGCTTATAGTTGCAGCGTGTTCTTAGAACAGCATATCAATAATAGGCGCAACTTTAGATACAGGCGGATCTTCTGGGCCATGCACAGACTGGCACTACAGCGCAGAGCGCTTCGTAAGATAGTGTGGGAAATTTCACTTCCGTGTTATAGACATACGATTCAGCTGGAAAGCTATCGTGCCTCACGGACCTACCAGCATGACATCTGCCGCATCTGTATCCGCCACTGGCACGAGGTCTCTCTACGTAACCAAAGAGCCCTAGCGCTGCAGCAGCTGGTTGTGCAAGCAGATGCGTTTCACACCCAAAAGCTAACCCGCTTTGTTCTGCACTTACTTCTGTTAAAGACTAGGCAGAAGCAGGAAAGCCGTCTCTTATTCTACAGGCGACAAATCTGCCTGGTGAAGGCTGCCTTTAGACAGTGGAATATACGCTTGTATCAGCATCGAAGAGTCATTAATCTGGGGGCTACCCTAAAGGTGATAATGGACGCGTATACGGCGCGGTTTGCAAACGCCATCGTAACTGAGGTGTTTCACCAGTGGAGAATCCAAACAAAGTCACGATGCTCCCATAGCTTCATGCTCCAAAGGCAGGCGTTTCAAGCGATGTGCGCTATATCAGTATCAATCAGATATCTCCATATATCAGATAAGCAATACTGGCGGTCTCTCATGCGGAGGGCGTTCTCCACCTTGACTGTGCTCCACCAATACCAATGCCTTCTAACCAAATTGGATAAAAAATATGAGCACACGTTAAAGCAAGTGGGATTATCTTCACTAAGAACTAGCTACATGCTGATCATTAGAGACACAGCGCGAGCGGACCAATTTTATCAGCGCTGTCTTTTGACCAGGACATGCAAGGCGCTGGAGTATGTGGCAGTTAGGTCTCGGATATATACATATGTCTACACAATAGGAATAAGGTACATCAAGTTTTTTTATCTGCGACGATGGAAGCTGTCCCTTCGTGCATCCAGAGAGGCCATTTATCTAGAGAAGCAGGCAGATTCTTTTTACAAAGGGCTGCTGGAGCGTTGGGCAGATAAGGCTCTCTGTGGCTGTAGTGCAAGAACAGATATCCCAGTGTCGTGTCTTGTATCTCACACAAACAAGGAGCTTTTAGAAACCGGGCTGCTTGGAAGCATAGTTCTAAGTTCCAAAGTCCTAAAGGCGCACTTATTGCATGAAAATAGATTACTACTCGCTGTTTTTGACGAATGGCGGTATGCGGTGATCCGAAGGCACCGTCTTATAAGTATGCGCGGGCCCATTTAATGAGTGCATTCTTGCTCATGCTTTGTCCACAGAGAAACTGCCCCTGACGCACTAACCAAACAAAGGTCGGCCAAAAGCTCGTGGCCAATGTTGATGTCTGGAGCAGTGGCGTGTATAGATAGGAGAAGTCCATCGAGCATAATAAGATAGTCAACAAGGGGCAGAGAAAGCTCATTTGCCGATGCAGTGGTGGAAGGAAAGAGGCGATTAGGGGCGTCCTTTAAGGCGTCCTGCTTGGGCTTAGGAGCAGAAGTTAGCGTAAAGCCTTCGTCGCTGTGATCAGTGGCAAACACTGTGGCAAACGAGCTGTCTATAGAGCGGCGAAGCTCCTCGAAGTAAGCATTATCGTCAGGTGTAAGATGCTTAGAAGCCTCTTGATAGCTACTAATGGTAGCCTGCAGTTGTCCCTTGTGCAGGAGAGGCTTAGGATCAATACCCACAGTTGCAAGGGTATAAATGGAGGATTTTTTAAGCAGTGGATTGCGGTAGTTAGTGGTTGCTGTCTTGAGCTGAAAGCTCTTTTCATATTGTATGTACTGCTCTGTGAGCACTGTTAGGCGGGTGAAGAAGTGCTTGAGCAGAAAGTTCTTTAACGCCTCACGACGGGACGCGACCACCTGGCGGATGTTTGTGGTTTGAACAGCTATGGACACATGAACATAGAGCTGCATCTGGGGGTCCCTGAACGCAGCAAGGAAGTACTTATGTTGCATGATAGCAAGAGGATTTAGAAGAAGAGCTGCTTGTCTACCCTCTTGGTCAGATGCATCATCAGCACAGTTGTCTATCGCTAAACGCTGGAGGTGGTCATCCCGGAGGTATGTGCTGAGTGTTGTTATCATGGAAGAGTAATCAGAGATGTACCTTATCATGGGCCCATAGTCACAGTTATCGGCAGCGCAAACTCGCGTTAGATCTGCCAGGTCTAGCTTCAACAAAAGCCTGGCATAGCGGATGATTATTGCATGCAATTGCATATAAAACCATTTTGCAGTAATGTATACTGAAAATGGCACGAGTAGAAGCGACTTTATCTCTAAGTTGATGACGACAACGTTCCCAGTGGATACCTCCACCACCAGGGTTGGGTCTGCATCGAATAGAGTCGAGAATAGCGGAATTCTTGTTCTGCCTTGTGTCAGATCGACAAAGTGTATGTACTCATCAGCGTGTCCCAGGCTTGGTCCAAATTCTTTCAGGTATGCGTCAATGCTGCTCGCCAGACGCATTTTCCTATAGAAACTACTGGGCTGGTCGCAAATGGAGCTATATACCCCCAATGTAACTTCTGCTAGAGTAATTGCTAAGTGTGTCAAGCCGTATTGAGAAATCAGCAAGGAAACAATGTTGCAAAACACCAGCTGGGCAGCATAATCACGGAAGCTCAATGCATTAATGCATCCTGACAAGGTACGCAAAATGCTGGCAATAAAGCGCAGAAGTGTTGTATTGTAAGCTAAGATCGGGCGAGTATTGAGGGCTTGCGCAAGCACATCTATCGTGTGAAGCCCCAGACAGAAGCCAGCTGAATCCATTGTTTCATCTATCCCATAGTTTTCATCGTAATCAGCGATGGCCAATATCTGGGTAATCACACTGACGGGGATGAGAGGCGTGTTAAGCGTGTCCAGTCCGCACATCATGTACTGCTGGTGCTCCGTAGCTTTCGGCTCATAATAAAGGCACGCATGCTTGTTGCTTGTCGGTTTATCCATAAATATGTTTGGATGAAAGATACCGGAGGTAGTTGATGTAGAAGAGCCAGGTATCACCTGTGGCTGATCCATATCCAGTTCTGCGGTTAACTCGGCAGTGACACAGGATTCGCGATTGGTACAGGTTGAAGACTCCCTGACTTTTAGCAGAGATCGTTGGCTTTTGGATGGGGTGTGCTCTAGCGTCTGCGGCAAGGGTTCCACTGGTTTGTCAGCATACAGCATCATGTCATGCATGGCCAGGTAGAAGTCATGAAACAGAACATAACTTGATAGACCAGAAAATGAATCCTCACCAAGGAGGACAGTCTCCGAAGGCAAGAGCTCACGTACATATAAACTGTGCATCAATGAAAACTTAAGCAGAAGCTCGGATAGTTCCAAGTTTTGCGTTATTAGAAAGCTTTCTAGCAGCTCAAAACATTGAATGGACGAAACGGAAGTGCCAGAGATGACGCTACTGAAAAGGTCTGCTTCAGATCCAGACAGAGCGAGCTCTGTCAGGAACCGATGGGGAGAGAGAGCTGGGTGCTCATAGAAAGATTGCGAAGGACTCAACATTCCCATCACTCCAGAAACTTTTGAGACGTTGAAGCAATCGGCATACGAGGCATCTGCTGCGATATGAAGTCTGTTATGCTGGAGAATCGCTGGTGCTATTGCGGTTGCTGACTCTTGATTGTGCATACATGTACCAAGGCTATGGGTGTCAGATTCTACAACATGTAGAGACTGAGCGTGATAGGATGATGTAGCGATGGAAGGTATTTCCGTGTTGTGCTGCATATAGTCAAGAATAACAGTATCTTCATGGCTTTTGCTAGCTTGGTCTGACTGGCGCTTATCTTTCGCATTCTCCAGTTTAATACGAGTAAAGGACGAGTCACTGGGATGGAGCAGGCACTTATACGATGGACCCATAGACAATGATAGGAAATCACAGATGTAGGACCAATATAGGCGGGACTCTGAGGCGAGCTTCACGTTGAAGAGACTTGCAGACGCTCTGATGCGATCTACATCAAAGGGTTCGTTTTTAAATAAATTGCTTCCAAAGAAGCGCAGTGTGTACTTGCTTTCCTGTATGTAGTGAATGGAGTAATACATCCACAGCGACGGGTGCACAAATTTGGATGGGTCCAGGTTTAACTGAGATGCTCCACTAGTACAGAATGTGTGAAGAGAGTTAGTAGCGGATATACATAAAGTAGAGAGGGCCGAATGGAGATATAACCTCTCCGGTCGTTGCTCATAAGGTATGCGGCGCATAATTGGAGACGCGAATTTCCGCGGCAGTATGGCGTATGGCAAACCGATTGTTTTGTGGAGAACCGCAGAGTCTGTCGCCGTTGAGAAAAAGCTTAGTATTCTATTTCTGAATGCAGAAGCTTGAATCATAGGCATCATCTGGCCCAACGGCTTATTGCGTATGAAGGGATGTGTACCAGGGGGTCCAATGATGCTCTTCTTTAGAATATTGCAATCTATCCCTGCACTCGATGGAGGATTGTAGCTCTGGCCGGTCGAAATACATTGCACCATGGTCATGCGAAATCTCATAACGATATCCTTCCAACTCCTGGAGTAGTCATAGCGCATCTTTTGGTATAAGTGCTGGTCAAAGTCTACATTGTTATACCCAGATTGTGTGGCAATGGCACCACTCCCCAATAGCCGCGACGTAGACACAGTCTGCTCGCCCACCTCTGCCTTAATCAAACCATTGAACCCAGAGCCTGTGATCAGCGTGTGACTAAGGGACTCGTTCATTGAGGCTGCGCCCATACCTGTGCCATTCTGTGAGCCAGGGTCTGCATTCAAATGGGAGTTAATCATATAGTCAAGCTCAGCAGCATCTTGGATGGTGGAGAGAATTGGAAATGCTTTCTTCGTCAACGTAGCGAACATCTTCGTGGCTGATTCTATCAACAAGTCACAGAGAACGCTTCTTGAAGAAACTAGGGTAGTATCAGTATGCTTTGTGACTAGCTTAGTCAGCAAACCCTTATAGTTATCTGTGATAGTAACACCGTCACACACCGGCTGCATCCTGGTTGTAATGTATAGTCTAGCAGGTGCTGTTATCTCCAAGATCCAATAGTCATCCTGCAGTTCAGGACAATAGACCTCCTCTGTTGCTTCACAGCAGAACAGGTCCCTCTCCAATGCCTTCGCTATCTCAAGAGCTGCAGAGAGGGTAGAAGTAATGGAGTCTATGCATTCTTTAGAGATGGTGATTTGGTGATGCGCGCTGAGCTCATTACTGGATGGTGTGGGTGTTCTTTCTGCGGTAGTCGTAGAAATCAACATGTTGATAACTTTTGAGAAGTTATAACTAAAGTAGAAATCTAGCAAACAGCCTAAGAACATCGAGTAGTGATAAATAGTTCGCGCATAGTGCGTTTCGACCTTCTGGCAGGGAAGGTCACGGATTGTAACTTTTTTTTCAAGCTCACAGACAAAGCTATTCATATGCTGAATAAGGTACAGTAGGAATTTTCCCTTGGTGAGCCCAAGGAGAATGGTAGTGAGGGACAGTTCAAAAGGATCGCATTCAGACCAGAGGGGATTAGGCTCCCACACTGGTACATCAGCAACAAACCGGTTTGCGCAAAAAGTGTTATTAGACAGAATGGGCTTCTTGAGGAGAAGGTGACCAGCATCCATAAGCATCTCCTGGGTGCTATTTATGATGATCTTCTGCGGTTGGAGGGACCGGGCCTTGTTGCATGTACACTCTGTGCTTGCCAACAAAGAAAACGGGGAAGGGAATGGAAAATCTGTTGACAAGGGAACAGAAACAGATGTGTATTCGTTCTCAATGGCTGATTTAAGCTTGTGGATTCTGGCATAGGCAGCACCCTCAGACTTATAAAAGCCCCCAATCGAGAAAGATTCATCAAGAGAGGTGGCAAGCCTTCGGGTTTGAAGAAGTTTGTGGCGCAAGTTAAGATGAATTTGGCGACAACTTGTGCCCAGAAGCATCTTAGATCGCGTGTATGTTAAGAGAGCTTGATGACAGACGAAGATGTACCCAAAAAGGGCTATAATGTCATTGTAGCTAATAACTTCCTTACCCCGGGAAGAATTGAGCTCCAGCGCTTTCAGGAGACCTGTAAAGAGCTGTTCAAGAAGAGAGCTGGAGTAGCAACGGTCGCATGTGAATATTCGTTCACGAGATGCCTGAACATTAGCCTCTGACTTGTCTTTGTAGGCTGTTGGTAAAAGCCTGCTCTGGCAGCTACTACAAAAAACAAAGCATTCTGTAAAGCAAGACAGAAAGGGATAAAACACTAGATTCTTAACTGTCACAGGCGGTATATGTGCACTCGTGCAATTGTGCGTTCTAGAAGACCTGCTTGACATCTGCAAATAGAACTGTGGAAGCTTGAGTGCATCTGGAGCGGTGCTGGATACTTGCGAGGATCTGATTGGCTGGGTTTGATTGCTGGGGGCTGGAATTGTAGGCACCCGAGGTGGGATGGGACACCCAGCAACGTGGCTATCAGTGTAGGACCCTCCATTCATTGGCGCACGATACTCTTGGCCCAAAAGCCCAAGTTTGCCATATGAACTCCCTCTAGATGGGTGTGGCAGCGCGTCATTGTAGAGACCTACAACAGGGGTATATGACAGAATTTGGTAAACGAGGTGGGTGACTAGTCGTGAACCCTGCATAGCAGTGAATAGAAACGACATTAAGTACAAGTGATTTTCGGCTTCGTGGGCCCGGGAGGTCACATAGCGGCATGACCCCACCTTTACACGGGCACGCTCCGATGCTTCATGGTCGAAGTATGGGGCAACAATGTAGGAAAGCAAAAAGTTAGCTGCTTTGAAAGCAAGGTTTCTAACAGATGTGCTCGTAAAGTACTCCGTCTCTTTGATAAACGTTACAAAATCCGAAACTATCTGATACGGATCGACAGTAACACCAAAGATCGACGGATTCTCCGTTGTAGCGGCATCACAGCGATCTATGAATGAGCGTGAATTGACAAGTTGGTCCCTCGACTCGGAAGACACCAACAGTAAATACAGGTTATCAATGGTAAGATCTAGGGCAGTCACATATTGCTCTGGGGTGCCTTTCAAAGAGCTGATTAGAGAAAGCATTCTGGCTAGCAAAAACGTCATGTTAACGTGTATCTTGTGGTACATTAATACAAGCCTTACGTACTTGAGTGCATGCACAAGTAAGGGTGAATCTTTTGAAAGAATGATCGTCAAGTCACTCCTACTTATTGAAAGAGCTAACTCGGAAAACTCCTGAGTTGTGAAGACCGTCCCGAAATCTAGCAGCTTAGAAAGATATTGACTACACCTGTCGTACACTTGCTGGTCTTCTAAGGAGCAACCTGACGGCTGAAAGCCGAGCATTTTTTATTTCAGCTACAGAACGATTTACTCTGCAAGCAATCAATGCCGCTTTTTCTGCTTCGCCTTAAATTTGCCTAAGGCTGCATTGACGAGACCCTGCTTCTTCATTGCTTTTTTGCCAACTCCGCCCTCGAATGCGTGGCCCTTTCGGAGATCCTTCTTCATTCGCCGATCGATGTGCTTAACTCCCCGCTTGTCGCGACGGCCCGCGCTAGATAGCGCACCAACCTTGTTGCGGTTACTTAAAATGACACGCTTCTTCGTCTTAGATTCTCGCCTGTGCATCTTTGCAGCAGCCTTTTCTAATATGGTCACCTTTTCTCGCTCGCTGATGTCGGTTCGTGCAGCCAGTGTGTCCGCCTTGGTGGTCAATTGCTTCAGGCGCGAGTAAGCCCGCATGCGCTTTCTAGCAAGGGCCTCCCGGACTTTCTTGATTGGCCTGGCGTTGAGAGCCTCAACGCGTGCTCTCTGAAGCTGTATCTCTTCTGCAGTGAGCGGCACTTCTGGCTTGCAATTCCGCTCTTCATCATCGACAAACCAGCGGGGGAGTGTACGCGGGTCTTCATCACGATAGAAAGAGAAGCGATTAATTGAGGAATGTATAATCGCCTCCTTCCCCTTTTTGGTCGTCATCTTCTGCACGAGTGCAAGCTTCAGGGCCTGGTTGTGTGGATCCTTGAGAAGAGCTGTGTCCTTTTCCTTTTTGTCACCTACGAACATGTCGTCCGACGTTTCCTCGCTGAGATCTGTGTCTGACCCACTGGTATGTACGTCTCCTGTGTCACCTACGTCACCACTGGTAATAGTTACACGATCTGCTGAGTACCCTAACCGTGCCGCTTCTGTCTTGATGCCTACTACATGCTTGTTTGAACCAGGCTTCTGTTGGCTCCCTGACGTTAGCTGCTCGTCCGGAGACTGGCCCTCCTCTACCTCGTGAACTGGGAGTAGTTGGATCTGCTGCTTGAGACCAGGAAACACACTGTTTTCTGCGTCTACCTCTCTGCTGAGCTTGGCCAGCTTGGCCTGCCTGTATGCCTCTTCCCTCTGCTGCTTTGCAATCTCTTTTATGCGCTTGTTGTGCGCTGCGGTCTTGTCCAGGTAATCACGAGGAAGCGGGAAGCTATTCCAGTACTCATCGTCTGCAGTACCGGCATCCTGTGCCTCGGGTCCGTTGATGTTATGCAGTCTATCGATACCAGGCTGCTCTGAAAAGGCTTCATTAGAATACCATCGCTCCGCTAACTCGGATTTGCCTGCAAGGTTCTCATCATCTACCCTCTTCGCATTGATATCTTCATCGAGGACGATTCCCTTCGCCTTACGATATGTTTCTTCCTTTTCACGCATTCTTCGTTCAAGCTCATCCCTTTTTTTGAGCATTTGATCATACCAGTAGTCCGCATTACTATCTACATACGCTAAGTACCTCTCCCGAGCGGCCTCTGGGTCCTCATCCGAATCATCGCTACTGGTTTCTGTATCAGAGCCTGGTCCCTCTTTCAGCTTTAGATCACGGTTTTTCTGCAGAGCTGAGAGAACACTAGTTGCATCAGAACGCTGAATCGCTTCTTCAAGCCCAGGTATCAATTCCGCCTCGCCGTCACCTCTCTTCAGAATGGCACCTGCACGCCTCAGAAGAGTTAGCGAAACCTCGTCGAACTCTCCTTCTCCGCCCCTAGCAATCTGCTCCATACGCTTAAGAGCCTCCTCCTTTTCCTCATCACTGATATTCTGAAAAAGATCTGCCTTTGCTTCTTCTGAATTGACAGACTGTAGTGCCGAAAGAAGAAGGCGAGAATCAAAGAGTCGGAGGGCCTTGCAGACAACCTGATACTTTTCCATTGTGAAGAGCTTTCTGAGAGTTACAGAATCAGCCGTCTCTGCAAGGTCATCTACCTGTGACTTGCTTTTAAGCTGTCGTGCCTGATCTTTGGCCATCTTTCGCTCAGCTCGCTGCAGTTCACGACGCTCTTTCCGCAGCTTCTCACGCTGCAGGTATTGCTCCTGTAGGTGTGCTTGCTGTTCAGGTGTCAACTGGAGAAACTCGTCGCTAGAGTATGCCGGAAGCGCCTCAAGCTGCTCAAGAGTCGGGGCGCTCTTCGGGATTTCCACAGGAACGGTTATCTCACAAATGTGAGCTATAACCTTCTCACGCCACTTGAGAAGTTTTCTAAAGTCCTTATTATTCATATTCCGGACGTCTTGGCAGCAGTACTTGATTTCATCTGTGGTTGCCACGTGCGCCATAACCTCGTGTTGCAGCCGCGTATATTCATCCCAAGTATCCACCACGCGGTGGTTAAACTTAATGCTCGGGTCCTTCACTTGTTCTCCCCTTTTAATGTCTCCATAGAGGTGCTGAAACTTTGGATTCCCCTTGACATCCTTATCAAAGGAAATCACGGAATACTTAGCGAGTAACGTTATTGGAGACGGATGCATAAGGAAATCCAACACAGGTATCTGCATGTAAAGGCCACCCCCACGCTCATCAGAGTAGCCGGTCCTGTGCCTTGCGGTGTGGCTAAGGTCCTCCGCCAACTGCTTGAGAGACGAACTGGTTTTGCTGGATGAGCGGAGGGCAGCATTGTACATGCTTTCCTTGTCGGATTGCTGCTGTATGCCGGTGTAATTTTTAAAGACATGGTTAGGGTCAAAAAAGCGTCCATCAATCTCCTTGGGATTTTTATAGCGTAAGCAAACAGCAAAGCATTCGGAAGAATTATCGCGGGACGCCCTTGGCTTTGTAATCTCTACTTTCTCAAAGAGCTGGCGCAACACATACAGGAGGGCATCGTGGTCTGCACTTCGAAAAATCTTGGTGATGAAGGTGCCGTGCATGCGCAGAAATTCTGTTGCTAGCTTGCAAGCAGCAAGAACAAGTGTATTCTGCCCGAAGGCGTCAACACCCCATGCTGTCCCCATGTTCGGCGCTCCATCGTGGATGACAGTATCAACAGCCCACCCCTTCAGTTTCTCAGTTAGTGCGTTGCGGCATGCAGCGGTTGTAATGTCAGAACAGAAGGAAACGACACCATTGATAGGCTTGATGGGGTCTAAATCAACAGAGACAATGAGGCTACCAACAGGCATCTTCATAGCAGCAACCTGCGACCAGCTGCCTGGGGCGGCACAGAGATCGATAAGACACTTGGTGCTACTAAGAAAACCGTACTGCGCATCGAGCTGAATCAATTTATATGCCGCACGAGAACGGTACCCAGCCTCCCTGGCCAGCCGATAGTACTCATCCTTTCTGTTCTTGCCTACTTTAGAATGCCTGGCTGGCATTGCAATTAAATTGGGGAGCCATTTTTTAAAATAATTAAAGCAAGGCGGCAACTTCAGAGATATTAGTAGGGCAAAATGGTCAACTCCTTTATGTAGCCCCCATTCATTGACGCAATTTCCTCGGCGAGTTGACTAAATTCAACCACCTCATCTTCCTTTTCAACATCGCTAAATCTACGCACCTCGTCCATCAGAACCACCTTATTGCTTATTGAAAATTTGTCAATATGACAGTCCTCGCCAGGGCACGACTTCCTTCGCTGGGTGAGCGCTTTAATAATAGAGTAGAAGCCCATTCCATCATTTAGGTTGTTCTTAGATATGTCCAGGCTCTTAATCCTAATACTACTAGAGGTGAGAATCTTACATAGCTGGAGGCAGGAGAAGAGACCAAGCCCACAATCTGCTAGCTCAAGAGAGCTTATTCCTGAGACATGCTTGATGGGTCCTGCCCTCCATATCGGGGAGATGGGGGCAGGTAGGGTTCCCATGAAATCCCTTGCAACATCAGTTCCATACTTTGTTATCTCTGGAAGAACGCAGCCTCCCATGAAGCAGCCCAAGACAAACGCACCAGCCTCATCGCCAATCTTGTTGCAATTTAAGCATAGGCTACTGAGACGAAGGGACGTCCGCGCCATGACCTTACAAAGGCCATATGCCAAAACACATGCTCCGATGCTACCAAATTGATTGAGCGACATGTCAATCTTCTCCAGATTAATAGAATTGGGTAACTCTGTAATGAGCGCTTGAAGCCCATTCGCTGTGATGCGGTTGTTAGCAATGTTAAGTTCTGACAAGGAACCGTGAGCGCATAGATATTTAGAAGCACTTTGCAGGAACGAATCGTCTAACTCATTGGAGGACAAGTCCAAATGAGTCAGCAAACTGAGCCCATTGAGCATGTGCTTAATAACGTTGATCAGCTGTGAGGCTGGTACAATATGCAGACTGGAGAGCTTGCGATGAAACTGAACTTTGTCGAGGAATGTTGGGTCTGGAGGAACCTCTGTCACATCACGTCCAGCAGCCTTCATCTTCTTGAGCTCTTCTTCAGTAAGTTTCTTGGGGGGAGCAAAGGGTCTAGGCTCGCTAGATCCAAAGTTGTAAAGAGCAGTGGCTCGAATCATCTCTAAATACGGATCTATCACTTCATTCTTCTTTGCGTTCTTTTCCTTTTGAAGAGCGGCTTCTTTGGCCTTTCTTTCTTGCTCTGTCATAACCTTCGCGCTCAGGTCCAGCTTTTCGCGGCCACGTCCCTCTTCCTTACGCTGAAGCTCCTTTATCCTATTATATTCAGAACTGGAATAAGCGAGCTGATCAGATGTAACTAGAGGTGGCAGCCCAGTTCCATCTGCCAATAGCTCGGCTGGAGTGGCTAACCCGTTGCCCTCCAGGTTAAGCACGGTCAAGCTGTGGCGATGGTCTGCTTCCTCGTTTTCCGGAAGAACATAATGCATGTCAATAATGCACTCATCAGGAAGGTTCAAGAGACCCTGCACGATAGAGCATAGCCCGCTCGGGCCTATCTTACAGTTCTTGAGTGACAGTGTTTCTATAGACTTTGAAAGCTGACCGTGTATTGCTGCAGCGAAGCATTGAGCGCCAAGCGGGCCTAGGTAGATGTTTGTGAGGTCAACGTGGACTGGGTTGCGCCTTATGGCTGCAATGACTATCGCAGACGGGTGCACGTCTCTTTGAAAACATGCCTGCTTGTAGAGATGTATTCCACAGACATCGTCTATGATTTCTGCCGACATGTGGTCTTCATAGGCATAGGAAGTGAGCTGCGCGGTCTCGTTGTTCATGATCTTGGGCAGATAGTTGGCGTCTATCCCATACAGCTCAGGTATTGCAACAGAGGGGTCTAGAAAGTCTGCTGCCTCTGTCCCCTTGACGGCTGCGATGTCAAAGCTAATACCAGTGGTAAATGCACTCTCTGATTCGTTGAAGAATTGAGTAATTCCTGACTTTGCGGAATGTAGAACTCTGTGATTGGACTTTCTGCTGGCTGTTCTACGGATGCTTGTTGGTGTACCCAGTCTTCCAGGAGTACTGGGTGAGCGAACCATGGATTTACGCGAAAGAGGCCCGGAGGTTGGCTCCTCCTGAGAGCTATCTGAGTGGCCTGACTCCCCTGAAAGCACTCGTGGAACGAGCTGTTGGCTTGAACTAAGCGTTTTGCTCGACATAGAGACGCTGAGGCTCCCACTGGCAGAAGCCTGTGCAGCCGAAGCGGCACCAACATCTGGCATGGCGGACATTAACAATTTAGAAAAGCGAAACAGCCAGCGCCGGTTTACTCGCAGATGCTCAGACCTTCTCGGACTTGAGGGCGTCCTTCCAGTAGTAGAAGTACGGGTCTGCGCCGTCCCACTTGCAGAAGACAACCATCCCCGATTCTACATCGTTGGAGGCTCCCAGATAGAAGCTATAGTCGTCGAACTTCTCCAGGAGCCCCGTAACCCAGGCGTTAACCTTCTCTTGCCAGGCAGCGACCTCTTCTTCAGATTTCGTCTTCTTGAGGTTCTTGCTCATGGCCTTCATAAACTTCTTAAGATTGCTCATGAGAGTCTTCTTTGTAAACTCTGCCTCCGCAAGATTGTAGCGGAAGACGACGTCGACAACCTTTTCTGCGTCCTCGTCCTCCTCATCGCCGTCGGCAACTATCATCTTCCCCTTAATGACGTAGAAGAGGTCGTCGGTGGAGGTGATGATTGCGTCGCTAAGGAGCTCATCCCCGTTTATTATGTCCTTGTAAATCAGCATGCGATATTTTTTTCCCGCAACCCTGAAGACCTGAAAAGTGCAATTAATTATTCTTTTGATGGGGCAGGATGTTGACCCGGAAAGAAGGCTTCTGAGACAACCACAGTCATGCAGACCTTTCAGGCCTGTGCAGAATTGCAGAATCCTTCACTAGTGTACCCTGACTTGTTCTCTCACGTTTTCTGTAAAATCCGGAATTTTAAATCGCGAATGGCCAGCAAGCTCATGGAGCCAGTTGCGGAAGATGACTATGAGCCCACTGAAGAAGAGATACAGGAGTATGCGCAAGCGCTTGGCTTTATTCTTCCCGATGACAACGATCTTCTATACATTGCCCGCGAGGGTCTGAAGGCGCCCTTGCCCCCAGACTGGCGTGTTGCTAGTACAGCAGACGGAGATATCTACTACTATCATAAGGATAAACGGGAACCTACTTGGGATCATCCGATGGACGAGTTCTACAAGAAGAAGTTTGAGGAGGAGAAGGCACGAAGGGCAAAGAAGACGAACGTGCTAACATTTACCAAGATGACTTTGCCTAAGGAGTCTGCAGAAGAGAAGCTCCTTACGAGCGGGTCCTCAAATTCTGGCTCTTCACAGGGACCTAGAGATTCTGTCGAGCGGCCATCATCCCTGCCCCAGCTTTCGGTCATCAATCTTACTGGCTCATTAGACAACCAGGAACCGGGTAGCATGCCCAGTACTGCAAATCAGTCCATCATCCCAACAACCTACAGAGAGTTTCAAAGCCCACTGAGTGGCATCAACAGTAGCGGCAGAGTCGGCGATGCGCCCTCAGTCCAAGGAGACTCGGTCCAAGAAGATATACCCAATTCGGATGGTAGCAAACCCGATATTATTAAGGGCATTCTGATGGCACAAATGGGCTCCCTCCCCAAGCAAGAGGCTAGCTCCCCCAGTGCGGTCAATGAGACTGCAAATGAGTTGCCATCGCAGCTTTTTGGAGCCAAAGACATGATTGAGCTATCTAAGCAGCATGCGCAAGAAATGGCCGAGCTGTCTAAAGCCCATGGAGCCGCAATTACTGATCTCTGTGAAGTACATGCGAAGGAGATTCTAAAACTTCGGGAAGAGCACAGCGAAGGGATCAAGAAGATGAAACAGGATCTAAATGAGGAGTACAAAAGAGAATATAAAACACTGAGAGAGGAGTTTGACCGCAAGGTGACAGAGCTCCGTGAAGCGCACGATAGGCAGATGAAGAAACTTGATAGCATGTATGGTGATGAAGTGCGACAGGCCAAACAGAAGTACGACAGCCTCATGTCTGATAAAGATGGGTATGAGCGTAGAATAGCCGATTTGAAGGTGGAGCAGTCTCGTTTGCTCGCTGAGATCAATGTCCTCGAACAGAGCCTAGTGACTCTTAAGCAGACAGTGAGTCAATTAACCGTTCAGCAGCAATCACTTCTAGGGCAATTACAGGCTCAGGGCCTCCAGCAAAAGCCCGCTCAGTTACCTTCACCAACTCGTAGTGCTCTGCCCAAGGACGCTGAATCTCCAAAGACCTTACTTCATACAGTGGATATAGATGCATTCTCAGGCTTTGGAAACTTCATTGTCTATTGCCTACCGGACCCGGCACGGTCTGCCCTTCTGAGCGAAGTTCTTCGATTGCGCGTGATTGGTGACTACCTTCGTCAAGAAAAGAGGCACACAGACCTGCGGGTAAAGGCTATGGAGGCTCGGCGGGCAGCTTTTGTTACTCAGTCAAAGATAGCCAGTGAGGAAACAAACAGCCACGGCGGGCCTACAACCAGCAATTCCACGATCCAAAAGATTTATGAAGAGCGCAAGCAAATCGATGCCGACTCCAGGGAAGTCAACCGCGCAATAAGTATCTACAAACGGTCTAGCGACTGGCTTGCAGAGAAGAAACTATTTACAAACACACTATTGCGGTTCCTCATCAATAGCGTCAGCAGAAAGAACGAGCTCCTTGCTGCGTTGTCGGACTTATTTAACGAGTACACTGATGTCTTTGAAAACAGAACAGATGGTCCGTGTACGGTCAACGCAATAGGATATAGCAATGGTAGGCTATCGACTGGCTTTGTACCGCTCACGTCGCTCGAAACGCCGGACGCCAGGAGCACCCGAGGCAGCGGTGCCGACCCCGGTCCGAGTCGGAGACAAAAGGAAAGCTACATCCGTGGAAAGATCTTAGAGTTATTTCAGATCAATGATTACAAACTGTTCACAACCATGATCACTGGGATATACGGAATAACACCCGGGATGCCCGGAGGCAGCATGGAGTCGCTGTCCTCAAGCATTGTGATTAATCAGATATCAACAGCGATTGGTGCGAATAAGTCCTGCTGCGGGCGTATAGTGCAAGATGATGACGCATTCTATCTAGAAAGGAGAGAGCCTCTCCCTGATCTCGTTGCAAAATTGTGGCGCGCAGAACTAAGAACGAGTAGCGATGGTCCCGCGCCACCAAGAGCTCCTGAAACCCGTGACGCAAAGAAAAAGATCCTTAGAGGAGAGGAATACTTCAATGAAAAGGGGCAGAAAATAATTGTCCCCACAGATGATTCGGGCTTCATTGTGATGGTTCCCGATGTGCCACCGCCGGTCAGCAAGACAGATCGTCGCCAACGGAGAAGGTTTACGCCAGAGATTGCTATGGTGAAGGAAGCTCGACAAACCACAGACGCTGAGAAAGCAAAGGCATCCTCTAAATGGTTAGACGAATATCGCGTGGTTACCAAGGGTTACATTTAGAAGCATTGTAGCTTCCGTCATTTATCCTCAAGCAGGTAAGATATCGCATGAATTCTATTAGACTCAACGAGATCATCAACTACCGCACTAACCAGTCTATGGCGTCGAATAAGAGTCAGGCCTTTGAAGTCGGGAGAGCTGATCTGTAAAGTGACATGAGCTCCCTTACCAACACTTTGCGGGGGCGTATTGTCGATAACTTTGATAAGTTTGGCGTCTGGAAAAACGTTTTTCAGACGCTCCCGAATGGTGCTAAGGGTCGTGTTGTGCTTCTCCACAGCAGACAGAGACATTTTATTTCGCGCCTCAAAATTCAAAAAATGGAGTCCATCTATAACCTAGCGAACACAGACCAGCGCTTGGAAATAGAGGCGTACATGCCTTCAGCCGCTGATGCGTGCGCGGCTATGCCTAAGAAACGCCTCTATCAGTCTGGATTTCCAAAGGAATACTGCACAGTCCCGAAGCATATGCATAAAACCCTGGGTCCTGCGAAGGTTAACCCAGCAGACCATACTAATTGGCTTAAAAAGGGATCGGGTAATCCTCCGCTTCCTCAACCAAAGCGTTGGGATTACGACGAGCACGACCCTCTTCCCCGCAAACCCGCTGTCTATCGTCAACACTACTATAAAGCTGGGCGTATAGGAGCTGGCCCCACTTCGTCTATAGACAACATAAATGATGGGGCCAACGATGCAAGCCCAGCAAACGCTCACGGCCACAGCTGTGAGTGTGGAGGCAATTGCAATTGTCAGAACGGGGGTGCTTGTCAGTGTACAGGAGACTCTCCGTGCCACTGCTTGGTGGGGGGCACATGCAGTGCTGGCGACGTGGGACCGGATACATGCGGTAGAAGGGGATGTATGGACTCATGCGAGGGGCCACTTGAGCCCAAGGTGAATGACAAGTACACGAAGAACGAAAGAGCGATAGCGCCAGATGGACAATCAGTACCAATAACTGGGTTGCGGTCCAACAAGAACTTCGTAAGGGCCAATATTATTAACGCAACCGTAATGGTGCCCCCTCCAACTGATAAAGCCGACATGGACTGGACAGAGAAAGAAGGGTATGGTCAGACGCCAAAGTACCTGGCTAAAATTAAGAAGCAGGTTGCTGCAGAGCAGGAAACAATCCAAAAGATAGAGGAGAGGTACAAGGGCGGGGTACAAAAGATGGCTTATATGCTCGATCCAGTCGAGAAGGAGCAGCTTTTAGCAGGCATCAAGGCGAACTGGAAGTTGCTGAACGAAGAGTATACCACGCAGCTCAAAGTGGTTCAGGAAACCTTTGGGCAGCAGAACAGGAAGATGTGGCTGGAGCAAAGGCTTGCCGATTTAGAAAACGATATTGCTATCCTAGAACGCGAAACGATCTTTGTCGAGCAAGGCTAAAGGCTAACATCACTGTAAACATATGCTCTTAAATTTGTACGATAACCATGCACGAACAGTGGATTTATCAACGCCTTCACAAGATCGAAAAGCAACTAATGACAACGCACTTGGGTTTATTTGAACTGGTGACTCTGTGTGTAACCTCAATTGTTCTATCGCAGAACGTTGACCATGGACTCTCTGGATACGGGATCATATACTGCTTGTTCGTAATAGTAGGAGTTATGGCAATAGGAACTATCTCCGACGCAGTTACCCTAATCCACATGTACAGAAAAGTACGCCCAATGAAGTGGATACCCAATTGTAGACCGTGGGTTGTTACCTTGATAGGAATAATCTTCCCCCAATTTGGTGTGTGCATCTTGCTCTTCCTGGGCTTGCTTCTTCTGCTGGCTGAACTGACGGGGTCGGTGGAGATTGCCATAGCTATCCCAGTGGGAATGTCAGTATTTATTGCTATTTCCTTAGTCGCTGCAGGCCTTACCCTGTTGCGCGTTAGGTATTTCCCTATCTAAGTAAAGGCCAGATATGCCCTGCAGATCTCCTTTGCCAGTTAACCAAAAAACAACATGTCAGACGGTGCTTCCTCCCCACAGAAGCGGAGGGACTTGTATTTTAAAGTAGTGAGCCTTAACCTCTATGACCCCACGATAGACCCGCACGACCCCAAGCTGCTCCTGCACCTCCTCATGGCCAAGGAGCTCTTCTGCACTGCTCTGCCGCGTATGCCTCGGGACTACATAACCAGACTCGTCTTCAACACTAGCCACGAAACGGCATGCCTTCTACAGTATCCCCACGACCCCGGCACGTCACCACTGGTCGCTGCCATATGCTACAGGACGTTTCCAGACGTGCGCATCGCAGAAATAGCCTTCTGTGCGGTTTCGATCACGCGGCAGTACTCCGGCCTCGGGCACTGCATTATGAATTACCTCAAGGAGAATATAAAGAAGCGTGGGTACACGGACATTGTTACCTATGCAGACAACGCTGCTCTGGAGTACTTTTATAAACAAGGTTTCTCAAAGAACATCACGATGCCGGAAGCCATCTGGTACGGTAGAGTTAAGCATTATGACCAAGCAATCTTCGTGCAATGCCCTCTTTATAGAAACATTGATTATACTAAGGTTATGCAACGCCTCCGGCGACAGCGAGAACTGACTCTGAAGCGGATAGGTGTGGCTCCTAGCGCATTTCCCGAGGCACTAAAAGGCAAGGGATACGTTTCTGTAGAAGATCTAGTAAAGAATGTCACTTCGTTCCGGCAAGTTGTAGAGCTTATAAAGAAAGACCCGCAAGAGGTTTATCAGACCATTGAAGAAAGCATAAGCACCCGCGAAGAGATCCAGCGGTGTAACAGCGCTGCATTGTATGCTGTTGTCGTCGAGGCAGGCAAGGCATATGCTCTCCCCTTTCTGGAGCCCCCTCCGGCAACAGAGTGGGCGCCAAACATAGTACACAACGACCTACAGATCATGATAGACAAGTGCCGAAGTTTCTTCTATAGAACACGGGGCATCTTCGCTGAGCACGCGAAATCCTTGTGGCAACGGTGCTTGACCTTTAATGGGGATGCTTCTGATCGTACAAAGCTTGCCTACGAGTTGTACCAAGGCCTGCTGGCCTCGTTTGATTGGGGTTACAAGCAGTATGTTGAAGAGACTTCCCACGATGACCTAGGATACTGTTACCCGGAGCTGCAGGCGCAGAATGACACCTCTGTATGCGCTGCTGCCATGGAAGAGGCTTGTCCGGACGTAGAACAGGCCTTTGCCGACCTTGGTTTCTGAGGCCTCTATACAATAAAGCAATTTAATTTGAATTCCTGTATCTCTTTTCTGGAGGGCTCGATGACAGACCAGGTTAAGACGCGTCGCAGGGGCCTTGCGCAGCCGAACTTTCGAGGGGTCGAGGTGGAGAAGCTCGCCACCATGAAGATCACGGACATTCTGCCCAAGCTTAACGCGCGATGCAGGAGGCGCATAGGGAAGCACGGGCTCTCTATGAAGCACCTTCGTTTTGTGAACAAGTTGCGCCTCCGCCGCGCCGCACAGCCCTCCCAGAAACCGAAGATCGTCAGGACTCATCTCCGCGACATGATCATCTTCCCAGAGATGATTGGGATGACCGTCTCCGTCTACAATGGACGCCAGTTTATCCCGGTTGAGATCAAGCCGCCCATGGTTGGACGCGCCCTTCGCGAGTACTCGATGTCTTACAAGATTGTCTCTCACGGAAAGGTTGGTATCGGTGCCACGCGTTCGTCGAAGTTTGTCCCGCTGCGTTAGTCCCGCCCACCAGTAAACATTCCTCGAACTGCATTTACACTAGAAGAGGTCTGCGTCGCCTTCGTCTGCGTGCAAGTACTCGTGGAGGTCTGTGCAGCAGGGGGCCCTCAGGGATAGAAGCCCCGCGTTGGCGAGAGCCTTTTGGGCGGTGGAGTACCAGCCATTTGGAGAGGCCTTATCATCTGCCGTGAGCACCAGCCTTCCTAGCGCGCCTGACGCAAGGTTAGCAATCTGAACATTAGGCTTGCGGTCTGGCCCTTCTGCTGCGGCCTTTGCCGTAGCATCTAAGATGGCATTTATCAAAAGTTCGCAGAGTGACGTTTGAGCATCAATGGCCATTTTCTTCGTAAAGATGCGGCTTACCGTGTATAGCAGTCTGTAGCCATAAAGCCTCTGCATCGAATCTGAAGACCTGACGAGCTTAATGATGAAGAAGTCCAGATAGCGATCAGCATTATTTCGGAAGTCATGCATTCCTCTCAGTTGGACGAACCAGTTATGAATATAGCGGTACAGCGACTCTAGGACGCTGCCAGGAAGAGTGTCTTGGAGCTCCAAGAGGTGCAAAGGCACACATGAATCTGTTATAGATGACTGGTCAGAAGATAAGCAAACGCAGGAGAGATAGTCAAGTGCTGCTCTTATGAAGCGCTCGTCTTGTGCGGTGGAGCTATTCAGCTCCTGGGAAAGCTCATCACACACACTTTTCACAACTCCAAGAGAAACATCACAAGGAGCTTTATCAAGAACTGCGCGTGTCAACCGAGAAAACTCTGCTTGAAAGGCAGATCCTTCACTTAGCTGACCCTTTTCTCCGTATTTTGCGATAATGCAGTCCTGAGAGGCTGCAAGATCGGACTCTTTGGGGACGAAAAAGAGGGGCTTCTCAATTGTAATAGAGCCTGCTTTTGTTGGAGGGCTTGGAGATATACGGGTAGAACCAGGATTGGGTAGAGAGGCACCTGGGATGCCCAAGGCACTGCTCTGGAGCATAGGGGCAACCATACGTCCCAGAGGAGTTTGCAAAAACGCCGCACCTTGATGTACGATGTGCTCAGGAACCTTCTTATCACAGAGAAATTGCAGAAATTCATCGCTGAAATGGTTACAATTGTGTTCAATTAGATTGTAAGCAGACTCAGTATAGCGGGACTGGACACTGTTCAAAAAGGCGCGTATCTCGTCCTGTGTCTTAGTAGTCTCGCCCATCTCCATCTGCTGAAGAGGCACTCCGAAGTGTGTTTGCCCCGCTGGCTCAGACTGGATACCAGCACCGTAGTAGTACTCCGTTCCAGCCACGACGACACCAGTGTGATAAACGGCTTCTATTGTCTGCCCCAGCAGCATGGGGCTCACGGTCTTGGCAATCCCTTGCGACAGGTCATAAATGTGCAAACTGATCTTCATTTTTAAATTATGTGTGACTACAGCTACGAAGTCTCCACTCATCTTACTGCTTGGTAAGCTCCAGGTCATCAGAGCTGCCTTTGCTAGAAGGAGTACGTAAGTCAGGAATGCTTGCTATGTAGAATAACCACTTAGCTCTCTACGAGGCAGACCTGCTGCTACCTGTGCACCGCCATAAGGATGACCTTTTCAGTACTGACAGTAGAAGACGTCATCTGAAATGGTAGATTAAAAAATTATGAATCGAGACTATTCTCGCACGGAGTATGTCTTTGGTTCTGACGCTCTGCACAGGATGCAGCAGGCTGAGTTTTTGATTATTGGTGCAGACGGCCTTGCCCAGGAGATTGCCAAAAACCTGGCGTTGACAGGGGTTTCCGCTATTAGGATTTTTGACCCTACGTCAACATCATACCGTGACCTTTCCTCAAGCCCATTCCTTCGTCTTGAAGATGCCGAGTCAGGCGCTCCAAGAGACAAGACAATAGCGTCACACATCCAGCAGCTGAACCCGCTCTGCACGGTTGAGGTGGTTGACAATCCGTCCTTTTCGTCCGTCAAGGAGCTCATTCAGCCCTCCAAAGTTGTCATCCAAACCTGCTGTCTCCCAAATCTTCCGCTTGGACACGTTGGGGACGTGTGCCACGCAGAGGGGATACCTTATATCATGTGCACGACCAACGGCCTATCTGGCCGCCTATTTTGTGACTTCCTTGCCCGCCACACTATCCTAGACATTGATGGCGAGCGTTGTGAGGATATCACATTGAGCAGCTGCATCATTGAGGCGACCTCTTCTCATGTATGTAACAATGGCATGCGTGACTGGCGCTTTTTCTTTTCTACGTCGAAGATCCACGACTTATCAGATGGTTATACAGTCCTGATTCGAGATTTGAAATTCGTCGCAGTTGATGGAAGCGGAGCTCAACAACCTACTGTTTCTATGGAGCGTCTTGAGAAGCTTGTTAATCAGCAGATATGGACCATAAGTATCACAGGGCATTCTCGCTTTGAAGCGGTCCCATGCAATTCATCTATTGGCGCAGCAATCTGCTCTTTCCTTTCGGAGCTTAAGCAGAAAGGCTTTGAGGCCCTTCATTTGCGAGGTGGATACGTGAAACGAGTTAAGGAACCACTTGATATGCCCTTTTTACCCTACTCAGAGGCAGCCAGAACCCCACAGTATAGCGACCTTATGGTTGACTTTTCAAAACTTGGCCGTTCAGATGTATTGCATTCCATTTACAGTGTGATTACAGAGGCAGCCTCTGTGGGGCACACTTCTGCATCGGCTCTGCTTGCTCCAGAGACCGTCTGGAATAGCGAGTTGGCCCGCACCAATCTCGATGGGTTAATTGCCTTCTGTATCGAGTACAAGGGTTCACGGTCTCTGCTGGAGATGTGCCTTCCACACCTGACAAATAATGATAACAGATCTCTCTTAGAGACATTCTTAATGACGTATAACGGGCAGATTTCCCCACTTGTTTCTTTCATGGGTGGCTGGGGTGCTCAGGAAGCGCTTAAGTGTGTTTCTGGTAAGTACACTCCTATCCACCAGTTCTATTATTATGAGTGCTTCGAAGCACTTCCACCCAAAGACTCTCCATTTCACCCTCTCAACGGGGGCTTTAACTTATCTAAAGACATTTTCCGACCTGCAGATAGATATGAAGGCCAGCGCATGCTTTTTGGCAATCGGCTCCAGGACTTAATTTCGCGTGCATCACTTTTTGTCATAGGGGCAGGTGCACTAGGATGCGAGCTTCTCAAGCAGTTTGCACTTATCGGCGCAGCAACCGATACACAATCATTGCTTGAGCTTACAGACCTAGATAACATAGAAAACTCTAATCTGTCTCGCCAATTTCTGTTCAGAGAGAAAGATATTGGTAAAATGAAAGCAGAGGTGGCGGCAGCCAATGTGAAGCTCATGAACCCGGAGCTAAACATCAATGCACGCTGTCTCAGGGTCGGGGAGGAGACAGAGGATGTTTTGAATAGTGAGTTCTGGCTAAGTAAGACCGTTATTGTTAATGCCTTAGATAATGTCCCGACAAGGATGTACGTTGACGGAAGGTGCTGCCTTTATCGCACGGCTCTTCTGGAGTCAGGAACGCTAGGGCAAAAGGCAAATATGCAAGTGATAGTCCCGTGGCTGACCGAGACGTATGGCAGCCAACGGGATCCAGAGACCAGCGATGATCCTGCCTGCACTATCCATAACTTCCCCAATACGATTGTTCATTGCATAGTTTACGCCACTTCAGAGTTCAAGGGCGTATTTGAGCAGGGTTGTGCAGACTTTGCCAAATTGAAGACTGAGGGGCTTCAGCCATTCGTCGATAACCTTCTCAAAAATAAAGATACAATAGAGGCTCGTCTTCTCCAATTGCAAACCATTTGTATGAAGCTGCCCCATTGTGTCAACATTATAGACCGTGCGTGTAATTGGGCCTGTGCCTTGTTTGAAAAATACTTTATTTTGACAATAGAGAAGATCCTAAGTGATTTCCCCGTAAACGCAAAAGATAAGGATGGCAACAACTTCTGGAGCGGGGAGAAGCGTCCGCCGCACAAGCTTACTTATGACGCAAACAATCCAATTCATCATGACTTCATTTCAACGGCCGCCCGTCTTTATACGGTTATTCTGGGGAATGACGTGGATATCTCCTCTGAGACTATCATGTCCATCGCGACAGCATACTTCGCAGCGTCATCGGCTTCTCCTGCAAAAGCAGTTATACTAACAAGGGAGGTAGCTGCAAAGCAGATTTCTAACTTCTTAAATTGCACGTATAACCCAGAGACTATCTCTCAGCTCCTTGCCGACGATACTCTGTTTGACCAAGAGTTCTTAAAGCATCTGTCACCGTGGGGCGTGACTCCTAGGGCCCTTGTTTTTGAAAAGGACGACCTGACAAATGGACACGTGCAGTACATTGCGTCCTTGGCCAACCTTAGAGCAGAGAATTATGACATCCCGACTATTGATTATGCGGAAGCCCGCCGGCTTTCGGGAAGCATCATCCCTGCAATGGTCACCACTACAGCCAGTGTTGTTGGTCTTGTGGGAATAGAGTTCTATAAAGTACTTTTGTGGAACAATCCAGATCTTAGTGCAAGGCACCCACTTGCTGACTACAAGAGTGCGTTTTTCAACTTTGCTCTTCCTAGTCTTCAGCTTTCAGAGCCAGGCCCGTGTACCTTTGTGGAGTGCTCTACCACCAAAGAGAAGATCACTCCGTGGGACCATATTGAGTTGCCAAAAACCGTAACAGTTCAAGGCGTTATTGACTATTTCCGTGACCGTTACAAGGGTGATGTTGATTCAATCATCTTCAATACCCGCATGGTGTACTCTTCATTTGGAAATGGGGCCGTTGCCTTAGACAAACGTCTGGCTGAGCTGGTCAACGATCCTCCAGGTCAAATCTTCTTTATTGTTGGGTGCTCAGACCCTGATACCTATGACGAAATAGAGGTCCCCAAACTTTGCCTAGTAAATTAGAACTGATTCGACTAGTTACTTTGCCTATATTTGCAGATCTTGCCAATCGCCACAGTGTCACTCTATGTTCCAAAACGGGATCCAGGCCCTCGTTTGCACGGTGTGGACAGGGTTGCTCCGCCATCCTTAATGTCAGCTAGGCTGCCTTCAATCATGCTTCTCCCCAACAGGTGTCGGTCCCTCGCCCCTGGGGCTACTTATAAACCGTGGTGAGCGTCTCCTCTATGACTCAAAGCATGCTCCACTCTCATCAGCATAGCGATCCCACAAGTGCATAGCAATACTGAGGGCGGGCGGATAACTAGCATGAGCGCTCACACACTGATTACACCCAAGCATTACCAATAGGATTCATTGGTGTGGCCGCTTACTGTTCAAGTGTGTGTTTACTTTCTCCCTCTATATATGAACCACCAGCAGAGGAAACCGACGAGGCCCCCGACGACGATGATGACAGCAACAGCGATGCCGGCTATGGCCTCTTTGTTGAGTCCGCTCCTGTTGCCCCCGCTGGGCTTGGTGAATATGCACGCCTCACCCTCCAGCTTGTAGTCACCCCCGCACTGGCCGCACTTGTTCTCCTCGCTGCACCTGACGCACCCGTCGATATTGCAGGGGATGCACTGGGAGCCGTCTATGTTCGGCCTCTTGCCCCCCTCTGTGCAGGCGGAGCACATGTCATCCCTGTTGCAGTGCGAGCATCCACTAACGGTACATGTGAGGCACTCACTGCCAGCCAGGTTGGGCTTATTGTTGTTGTTACACGCTGTACACACAGCAGCAGTCATACCACCATCAGACGGAGCTACTGGGGTTGTGCATGCCGAACAGCCATATACCCCCACATATGCCTTAGCGGTACTACCAGTACCTGTCAGTGTGCCTACTGGGTTACTACATGTCAGGACAGACTGATCAGTGCTGGATGCTCCAGGGACTATGAAGTATCGACCACTCTCACCAGGGACGGTGCACCTCCCTCCCTCGGCGCTCTTGCACATGTGACTGCCAGGAGCCTTCGACACATCATAGCAGCCGCCCATGAAGAGGAAGAACCCGGCAGCACACCGGGTGCAGACGCCATTGGCACAGGTATTCCCGCCCTTATCCCCTGTGCAAACGCCATCGATGGGGAATGTGGCGGGGTCTCCGCACAGCGAGCAGTACTGGGAGAACGCCCCGGCGCTGTCAACGACGACCGCCCCGCAGGCCCCAGACGTCCCCCCGCAGGCCGTGGGGTCCTCGCAGGCCTTTGTGCACTTCACCGGATTGGTTCCCTCCTTGCGATAGTTGGACTTGCAATCGGTGCATGTAGGGGTTAGGCCGCTGTTACATTGGGAGCACCCCTCGATGCCATTGTCGGCTTTACTGTCGCAGGCGAAGCACTTACCAGCAGAGCCGGGTTGTTTCATGAAGAATCCAGGCTTGCATTTAGTGCACTGATCATTGCCAGCAGCAGAGCATGTAGCACAGTTGGCACCGCAAGCTGTGCATGTAACCGTACCACCATTTCCACTATTGTAATATCCATCGAGGCACTTTGTACATGTAGTTTTAGAGGAGCAAGTGCTACAACCTAGAATCCCACCATTCTTAGCATCACCACACGGGACACAAGCCTTTGGAGATTGTTCAAGGAAGTGCGTATTGCCACTTGCACACTCTCCCTCCGCAACGCACGTCGCTGACCCATCGAGGTCCACCTTAAGGAGAGGCTTGGCTCCTCCACTATTACACCCAGTGCATACGGGCTTCCTGAGGGTGTCACTGTATGTACACGTAGCACATTCATTGACACTTGTGTCCGTGCACGGCTTGCACTCGTTTGTTCTTATATCTGCATAGTTACCAGTACCACATCCACTAGTGTCTACACAAGTTCTATCATTACCATTTTCTTTTATATATTTTCCATATTTGCACACTGTGCACTTAGCTGTAGATTCACAAATCCAACAATCAGCTCCACATGGTGTACATGTATCTCCACTCTTAAAGTATTCTGTCTGGCATTTTCCACAGGTAGCAGCACCAGAACTAGTTCCTGCATGGCTACACTCTGCACAGTTTGCTACTCCTGTATATCCATTTGCTCCCATCGTATCATGGCACAGAATGCATTCTGTTCCCGGCGCAGCATTAGGGTCTCCATTCTTAAATACGTATTTACCACTATTTCCTGTATTACAAGTGGTACACTTTCCATCATCAGCCCTAGTGCATATCTCATTGCCAGGTCTATACTTTATGCCATAACACCCTCCCATGAAGAGAAAGTACTCACCGCCGCACTTTCCGCAGGTAGTATCGGAACTTGTCAAAGCGGTACCATCACTTTTGGTACATCTCGCTTCAGCAACATAAGAAGTGTCGAATAGAGAGCATTGTCCATTGATAGGAACCCCTCCTGCCCTACACTGAACACAAATCTCTATGACACCAACTCTTTCACAGCTATTCGGTTTGCATGTTACCATGTGATACCCCTTCTGTTGGCAAGGCGCTGCGAAACTATTCACTATGAAGTAGAAAGTCAATAACAGCATTCTAATATAAGCCATCCTATGTTTTTAGCTTTCACTGATGGTAGCGAACGCTCCCAATAAAGATATTCTTTTTTATTGAAAACTTCACTAACGAGTCTAAACTAATTAGTCTAAAGTACCATAACCCTCTATCTCAGAAAATAATGTCTCGGTCCATGGTTAGGCAGGAAGTATGCCGACTGTCATATATCGCGTAATTAGCATTTCATCACAGCAATACGGCCTCTGCGAGACTCCAATGCTCTTCGTAACGATTCTGCCTGAACATGAGGAAAAAGGTACCTATGAGCCCCACTGGATGCTGACGCTTGTGATCCTGTGACACCTGTAACTACTGATTTTGTCACACTGTCAATCGATGGTCACCCCAGTGATCTGTGCTGTGCTCTCCCAGTATCTCTTAATAACCCACGCCGGTTGTCATGGAGCAACATCGTCTTGTGGGCCTTGGCGCAGAGTGCCCGTAATGCTCGTGAAACTTCAAAGGGTCGGACACTAGAGAGGATCCTGGGGTGCTTCTGGTTAAAAAGGCTCTTCAATCATGTCCTTCAATCCCAGTGCCACTTTCTAAAGTTATCACGTGGAGCACAGGGGGATAGGTTTTACCAGTCTTATGTAGAGGTCCAGAATCGGGGAATGCAACTGGCCGTTGTTTTTAACAATAGTACCAATTGCTGCTTCCACTGAATCCTCTTAAGACACTTAGAGCGCCCGCACATGGATTCCTGTATACCTTTCACGGTTGTCTGAACCGTAATCTCTCATAGTCCTGCTCTCTCTATTAAAGATGTTATACTCATAACCACTATAACGTTAAGAATGCCCCTATACTATATACTGACGTGGATTGTCTTGCTCCATTCTGTTCAGCGTTCGAAGATTGTGTGTTTCCATGTTGCAACTTTATCAGATGAAGATCCAGTTCCAGCCCTCTATTCCCGCAATCGTTAGTTTGGTGAGATACCTGGCTACTGCATACGTTCAGAGCGGCGCTATTCGTAAATACACACCTATGGGTATAGAAAAAGAGGTAGCAAGCATGCAGGAGGTCAAGACTTTATTAAGCTTTAGGCTGACTGGTGCACGGTGATATGTCTAAAGTATTATTAGTGATTCACTCCACCCACCGGTTGCTTCCAGCGCTGTGCTGCCGGGCCGCCTGCAGGCACGATCCAAAAATCTCACGAGTAAATTCTCGTTCAAGTTCTGGTCAGTCCAAGGACGATGGCTGGTTGTAGACGACATACTAGGGAGTCCTCTTTATTAGTATATCTAAAACCTGGCACCTTCCCCGGTCGCTCTGTGGAAGTGTGCTCAGTCTGTGTGTGCACGTCTGCCTGCCCAGGATTCAGGCCTTCTCGCAGACCCTCTGCTCTACCGGTGGCGCCTCTCCTTGGTCTTCCTTCGTGGTGGATGAAGCTCGGGTCGCTGTTTCTTTTTCAATAAGGTCCCCTAATTTACTCTCATCTGCTATCTGAGTGGTCTCCCACGTGAGTCACTGCCACTCTGGGCAGGCCTCCCACTCATGCATTAGCTAAGATCCAAATCCAGGATCCGAAGCTTAGATGCCGTCCACTCTGGAGAAGAGCCTTGTGCCTCCTCGCCCGGGGAGCCGTTGGGTGCTCCACTATGCGCTCCGGGGCGTCTCTCCGCTCTGGCCTGTCGGGGCCAGCCACCGTCTGGCACTAGTGAGCACCCGTTGTCTCTGGCCTTGCGTCAGTCGCGGCGATCCAGTCTCGAGAGCAGTTAACTCTGGCCATGTACTCCAGGGTCGCTTTGTGGTGCTGGTGCTTCATAACGAAGATCGCACGCCATACCTCGGATGTCTACCCCGTTCCTCGGGTGCCTCTTCGTCTCCTCGTGGAGGGCACCATCAGTCCCGAGTATGATCGGAGGGCGCTTTCCCCGTGTCCCTCTATCTTGAGGTTGTGGTACGCATTCGTGGATGTCGATGGAGTACTCCCATGTGTTGTGTCGGGGAGAAGTATGGCCCTCTGCTCATGGATCGCAGGGCGCTCTTGCAGGTGGTCCGTCACCCAGCACGAGACCGCGTCGACGCCCACCCTGTGCAGTGCATCTGGCTCAGTGACGTGTGGGCTGGTCCATCTGCACCGCACAGCACACTTGGGGTGGTGCTTCGGTCTGTCGAGGCGTCGTCTGAGGCACCAGGAGCGGTCAGGACCGGTTCACCGAGGCCGTCTCTCTACAATCGGCACCCGTCTACTCGAGGATGTCAAGGCATTACCAGCTGCTGTGGCAGACCCCCGGCAAGTGGCCCAGGCCGCCACCACTCTCCGGTGCAGGCAGGATCAATCCGCCTCTGTCAGCCAAGCACCCCAAGGGCCTCATCTCTTGTCGAGGGATTCACATAGGTCACGTGTGGGTCCATCTCGACAAGCGGGGCGAGTGATTAGTGCCATCACTGGCTTCGGCCCTCGGTTGCCTTGGGGGCTCCTTGAGACCGGCCAGGAAGGGGGCCCCCTGCTACTCTGTGCTCCTATACTTGTCAGTGCTGACCGTCGAGCCATGTTGCTTCGCCGGGCCTGTCGCCTCTGTGACTGCCTCGTCGCGTCGCTGTCGTCGGCATGGGCAGTGAGCGGGGCATCTCCTCAGCTTCCGATGAGCAGGTTCTGTCCCCCGCAGCACAGAAGCATGCTCAACCCCGAGGGACCAAGTCCAGGAGTGCAGCGCGTCGCAGCCGGAGGAAGGCCTCGACGCAGCTCCTCGGGGCAGGGCACACTCGCCTGGCAGAGGCCGTCTACTGTTGGAATGTTCGCTATGTCGAGCAAGACCGCTGTGTTCCATCAGTCTGCGCCTCCCTGCGCCATGCAAATGCCGCCCATGTACATCCAGTGGAACGCAGTCTGCTAGGTCTCAAGGAAGACCAGTGTCTGGGTCTCCAGGGGACTCGGGACTGCCTTGTGGAGCGCATCATGATCGTCCCCTGATCGTGGTTGTCCTGCCTCGTCCTTGGGAAGAGGGCAGAACAAGAGTTCTTCTCCCGCCGGAGTCGCTTGACACTCACCTTCGAACTCTGGATCTGGATCTCGGTTGGTGAACGAGCGAGGGGCTTGCCCAGGGTGGCGATGGCTCGCATGAGAGACCACTCAGGTAGCAGGGGACAGCTCCACCCCGGCTAAAAGACTTGAGGCAGCCGTTGCACCCGCCGCCCCCAGGACAGAGCTTCTGCACGCATGGTCAACTGTTCTTGTCAGTCTAGCCTGCTGGTCCAATAGTCTGGGGACCCTCTGCCCCGCTCTCTGGCATACGATGCATCGCAACTGCTCATAGGAGTAAGCAGCATGAAAAGGCAGTCGCATGTGCAGACAGCGTGTTGTTCTCGTCTCAGAGGGCCGAGGTGTCTAACTACAGAACACTGCACCGAGCCACACGCCCCACTGCCCTGCGCCGGTGGCTGCCTCCACCACCGTCTTCGTTGCACTTGGGCTGTGCCTGCCCAGCAGACTGAGCAGAGATTACAGAAGCTTCTCTAATAATGCACACACGCCGTATAAGGTCTGATGATAGAGCGTACACCGCCTGTCTGAGCTATCTGTTATCAGTGGAAGATAGCACCAGAGGTGCTTCTGTGTAAGCATCGTGTCTTCGTACCTGCTTCTCCATCAGTTATAGCAATAACTATATACCCGGAAGGTCCTACAAAGCGCTCTGCCGTCTTTCAAGGTGAGACATGGGCTCCACACTTATGGCTAAAAACAGAACTCTGTACACCAACTGCTGTGAACCTCATGCGATAACTGGCCTGTATCACAGTCCACTTGATAAGCATCTATACACTTGTCTGGATGCCCGTGGCTGGTTTTAGACGGACCTGCGAAAAGGTTTGCCTTTGTCCGCATGACCTAGTGGTATCTAGTCCTTGGTGAAGCGCCTCAACAAAGAAGGATGTTATTTGGGTACACAGAAGGCTACTCGTGTACAAAGATCCTCGGGAAGCAAATTTGGACAAAGAAGATGGAGAAAGCCAGGGAGCCCACTCTGTAATAGGATGACTAGGTATAGACCCATTTGCAATAAGGACACACGTGAGTCCCTCTGGCCTCCAAACGTGGAAAGATCGTGGAGTCTGCAGACGACTTGAGGCTGATTTGATTTTGTGCATTTGTAGCGAGGCAGAGGCTTCTGGATACTCAACTGTTCCGAAGTCGAGGGAGCTCGTTTCCTCTCCGTACGTGGCGCAAGACCCTATTGTAGAGGTATACGGTGCACACCAATATCAGTCAGCGTGTTTGCTACTCAGCAGTTCCTCAGTTGCGTCTTTCCGCAGTAGACGAGCCACCGGATGATGCTCCCACAATCCACACGATTAGCTTTATAGTGCTCTGTAGATGGCCATCCACCCTCACCAGGGGACGACTACACGCATTACGCAGTTGGACATACTTGCCAACCGAGGTGACACAATCAGCTCTTGCCCACTCAAGTTAGACCTCAAGCACTTTGTCAATTACATTCCAAGTCACGGTGTTTGTAGATGTCCACCTCAAGTCTACAAGGTGCATCCCACGACTGCACAGCGCGGATAGAAGCCCTTGCCTGCTATAAGAGGCGCCAACCAGTTTACTACATTCGAGCATTTCTTGTGCACCCAACAGAGACTTAATGGATCACATTGCTGTGCACACCAGCCTCTCTGCTCGCGAGCTGCTTTAAGGCTCTCTCACTGTCTCATCTCCACACAGTTGTTGGTACTCCAAAGTACTTTGTAAAGTCAGCTGATCGTCTAAGGCATCTCGTACGGCGGGTTGTTCAATGTGACACGAAATCTAGAAGGCACTGACTTTCCTAGCTTGCTGTCCATATAGCACTATCATCAATCTTCAGTCCAGTTGACCAGCACACAGTCCGTTCTCTGACCAGCCAACCGGGCCAAGTCTCGCTGGTAGACTTTCAAGCATAAGAGTGTCCCCTGGCAGCGGTGGCCACGCTGTGTACATTACCCAGCTGATCACTCTTGGCAATGGCTCCAGGACCTGGGCACCCCCAACCAGAGGGACGACAACGGCCCAGTTCGTCTACGGCTCCACTATCCCTTGGCTAGCAGGGAGTGTGGCAGCCCAGATAGCGCTGGCTGTCCGGTATCACCTCTTCTCCGGTGCGCGGGGTAGCCCTCGTGTGAGAGACGCTGTGGTATGTTGGCTGGAGCCGGTTAGGCGAGCGGGACTACCAGTTCTAAGGGTGCTGGCACATCACTGCGTACCCGAAGGCGTGTCCACCCCAGTGGGACCATCCCAGATGAGGACGGACGGGCACCGGTTCCTAGATGGGCCTGCGACCGGCGAGGGACAGTCTTTAAAGACGATCGGCCGGCAGAGCCCTTCAGTGGCATAGGAGTCGACAGGGGGCAGGCTTATCGACGGTCTGCGGTGCAACCAGGTTAAGTCGTATGACAGACGGACATCCATCCGTTCGCGGCGGGCATGTTGCGTGTCCCTAAGCAGAGGGGGCAGTCGTAGTGAGTCGCGATAGAACACGCAGCCCTCCTCCACGGGGCATCGCTCCTGCCGGGCCTCAACGTAGGACCTCGACGAGCAGTGTCTGGGGCATCTGCTTGTGACGACCCGTGGCTCGGGCTGCTGGACATCGCACGGCCGGCTCCATCGGGTCGCTGGTCAGGCATCCAGGAGAACCTAGGAGTCCCTTGGCAGACCTTGTGACTGGCACAGCAGGAGAACTGGTCGCCAGGAGACCCTCACATCACAGCGAAGAGCGAAGCATTGGTCAGCCATGTAGCAGTTATCATGCGATGCGCCTTGCAACACAGAGGAGGGGCCTGCACTGATCGATCCATCTTCATGGTCGGCTAGCTACATGGGACCCGGGGATGGCAGGCCATGAGACCGGAACCAGCACAACTCCACCTCTCAGTGCAGGCCCATGTGGAGGCCTTCCCTGCCGATACGTCATGCAGCGCAGGCGGATGCCACGAAGGGGCGGACTGACGAGCGAAGTTGCTATATTCCTGTGTAACAGAGCGTCGAGCCACAATGTTCTACGCAGTTTTGTTGATTGGCCTCATGCTCGAGATGGCACGGGCAGCGCAAGCCGGAGACGAATGTGAAGAGGTAACTGGCAGTGACCCCAACACTTGCAAGACCTGTAGCGCCGTCATCAACGGCAAGAAGTACTGTTCACAGTGCAATGACAGTGGGTCTCAATCTGCTCCGACAGACGGCAAGTGCACGGCAGACAACAACGAGTGCAGTACTAAGAACAACGGAGTATGCACACAGTGTGCTCATGAATCCTTCATGTACAAAGGCGGATGCTACAAAAAAGCTACTGAGCCTGGTAACACGATGTGTGAAACAGCAAATGCTGGAGTGTGCACGCAGGCTAAGGCTGGGTACTTCGTGCCACCAGGTGCAGATAGAGATAATGCACACCAATCGGTCATACCATGTGGAGATGTTGAAGAAGTGTTGGTTGGAAACAGCCACAAGTACAAGGGCGTGCTGCACTGCAAAGTGTGTGATGCACCCAAAGCAGCAGCAAGTGATACTAATCCTGTGCCTGCCACGTGCACAACCTGTGAGGACGGGTTCTTTGGCCCCACTTGTGAAGCATGCCAAGACGAGAATTGCGCTACGTGTGCCGTAACAGGCAATAACAAGTGTAGTAAGTGTAAAGGAACTGGTACTAAGACATATCTGAAAGTGGACGGTGGCAGCACAGGCACGTGCGTCGAAGCATCTGGATGTACAGCGGCTACGTTTCCAAAGGTCGATGAACAACAGGGAAACAAGTGTGCTGCATGTAATAGTGCGCCAGATGGTGGAATCGCTAATTGTGCGACGTGCAGTCTGCTCACTCAAGGATCCAGAGCCACCCCTTTGGTCACATGCTTGACGTGTGAACAAAACAAGTATCTCACTCCAGAAAAGAATGCGTGCTTAGATGCCTGCCCTGCTGGAATGTATGCTAATAGCAAGGTGTGCACCCCCTGCCACGAGTCATGCGCAAGCTGTAGTACTAATGCAAAAACGTCGTGTACGGCTTGCTACCCTGGGTATGTGCTAAGCAAGGGCGACGATGGAGCCACCGGCACATGCATCCCAGAGTGCACGGGAAGGTATGCAGAGAACTGCGCAGACGGGCAGTGCACGGCCGTCGTTGGGGGCTCGAAGTACTGCAGCAAGTGTAAGGCTGGATACGCCCCAGTAGATGGTATTTGCGTATCGACAGCAACAAGAGAAGTCATGGGATGCACGCCAGGAAACGACGGGACATGTACGGCCTGTACAGGTTCATACTTCCTGCAGTCTGGCGGGTGCTATCAGTCGACAGCATACCCAGGTAACACATTATGCAGTAGCGCTCAGAATGGACAGTGTCAGACATGTGCAGCCAATGGACAAAGCCCAGCCGGAGGAAAATGTCCGGAATGTTCTGAGGGCTGTGCAAAGTGTGGGGCTAGCAATTCGGATGTTTGTACTGAATGCTATTCTGGATATTATAGAACTGGTACTGGTAAGTGTTTCAAATGTGCAGCTGATAGCGATAATGGAATAGTTGGTGTGCCTAATTGCGTAAGCTGTGCTCCTCCAACTAATGGTCAAGGATCTGTCATCTGCTACATAACGCGACAAGAGACTGACGATGGCACCGGCGGAGACACTGGAGGAGACAGCATGAACAAGAGCGGCCTCAGCACAGGCACCATCGCGGGGATCTCTGTTGCTGTGATTGTCGTCGTCGGAGGGCTTGTCGGCTTCCTCTGCTGGTGGTTCGTGTGCAGAGGGAAGGCGTAGACTTAGGTAGTGAATGCTGTACAGTGATAGGGTGATAGTGGAGTGAGATATGCACACAGGCCAGTAACGGAGTATGCACTGCTTGTAAGGCAGATAACGGCCTGTTCAAGAACCCAGTTACACCTCAGAAACCTGGTAGCGAGTGCATCCTCTGCTGGGACACGGTGGGAGATGGCACGACAAAGGGAGTCGAGGGCTGCGCTACATGTATGGCACCAAACACCCCAACGGCTGCCACATGTGATACATGCAAGGCTGGGTACTATAAAGATAACGGAGCATGTAAGAAGTGCGTTACTGGATGCATAGACTGCACCGGTGCAGGCCAGTGCACAACGTGTGAGGATGGGAAGTACCTGAAGAATAATCAATGTGTAGATGCTGGTCAATGCGAGGCAACCCAGTACGCAGACAAGAAGACCTGGACTTGTAAGGCATGTGATCCCGACATAACTGATTGCACTGCATGTGAATATAGTGATGCTACGGGGAAGCCTCAGTGCACCAATTGTAACGGGAAGCTGATAAGAACTGCTGCCGACGGGACGACAACGTGCGTTGATGCTGCTGGGTGCGCAACTGTCGGACAGGACGGGACGCACTTTCGAAGTGACGGAGATACCAAGTGTATACTGTGCGGTGATAGCAGTGGGTCTGGCAACGACCAGGGCATAGCAGACTGCGAGACGTGTAGCAAGGAAGCCTCTCAGAAGCCGGTGTGTAAAGCATGCTTCCCTGGATTCTACTTGAGTAGCACTTGCAAGCCCTGTGCAGGAAACTGCGCAAAGTGTGGCTCAACGGGAAACATACAGGACTGCACTGAATGCATGCCGGGGTACTTCCTTAAGGATGCCCAGGGAACAAAGGAGTGTGTCCTATGTAGTGATACAACCAAAGGTGGCATCGATGGATGCAGTGTCTGCTCGAATGATGGCAATACTTTCAAGTGCACTGAATGTAAGCCCAACTACAGGCCCAGCGGAGAACCTGGCGACCTCACATGCACCAAGACTTGTGAAGATGATACTGCCTGCGGGGGGACATCTGGAGCCTGCGATGCCATCGTAATAGATGATAAGGGCACCACAAAGCATTATTGTTCTTATTGTGGAGATAGTGGTAAGGTACCAATTGATGGTCTCTGTGCTAGTGACAAGGCTAATAATAATGGATGTGCCAATGGTGTCTGTACATCATGTACTGCTGCTAACTACTTCCTCTATATGGGAGGGTGCTATGATGTGTCGAAGGCCCCCGGTAGTCATATGTGCAAGACAGCTAACAACGGGGTCTGTACAGCTGTTAGTGAGAATAATAAGTACTTCGTAGTCCCAGAAGCAACCAATGCTCAACAGTCTGTATTGGCATGTGGCAACCCCCTAGGCACACTAGTAGATACTAAGGCATATGTGGGGGTGGATGGCTGTTCGCAGTGTACAGCCCCAGCAGCTCTGACTGGGGCTGGCATGGCTGCTGCTGTGTGCACCTCCTGTGACAGTGGTAAGAAGCCCAACAAGGATGGTAGTGGGTGTGTGCTGTGCTCTGTGAGTGACTGCAAGAGCTGTGTGATGGACAATATATGTGGGGAGTGTGTTGATGGATACAGTCTAGACAATGGCAAGTGTGTGTCCTCTGGCGCCAACAGGAGCGGGCTCTCCACGGGGGCCATCGCGGGGATCTCCGTCGCTGTGGTCGTCGTCGTGGGGGGCCTCATAGGGTTCCTCTGCTGGTGGTTCGTGTGCAGAGGGAAGGCGTAGACTTAGGTAGTAAACGCGTTACTGTGCGTAGCTTGTGTAGATGTGCTGATAGGTCCGCCTGCGGTGCATTCAAGGATCTCACGAGTAAATTCTCGTTCAAGTTCTGGTCAGTCCAAGGACGATGGCTGGTTGTAGACGACATACTAGGGAGTCCTCTTTATTAGTATATCTAAAACCTGGCACCTTCCCCGGTCGCTCTGTGGAAGTGTGCTCAGTCTGTGTGTGCACGTCTGCCTGCCCAGGATTCAGGCCTTCTCGCAGACCCTCTGCTCTACCGGTGGCGCCTCTCCTTGGTCTTCCTTCGTGGTGGGTGAGGCCCGGGTCGCTGTCTTTTTTAGATGCCTCCGTCTGTCAGGGGCTGCCACCGGGCTCTCCGCTGGCTGGGCCCTCGGTGTCCGGGCAGCTGTGGCTCGAGTCAGGGCTCCCACAGTCGCGGTCACCTGGGTCTCAGTGGGCCGGCTGGTGGGTGGGGCGGTGAGGCTGGTGGGGCTGGTGGGGGCTGAGGTGGGGGTACTTGTATATGCCCCTGACCTCTTGGTGAGTGAGGTGATCGTAGCTGTGGTGACTGGGGGCTGCCCATCTGTGACTCATCCCTCTGTGTGCTCGTGATCTGTGAGTGCCTCCACCCAGACAACCCTCAGGAGCCGTGCACACCGGGACAGAGAGGATAGCCAAGGGAAGTCAAACAGCCCTGCCATGAGGGTGCACAGCAACCAGCCTGATCTGCATGGGCTGCTCGAGCGATGTAGTGACAGACGACTCCCTCTGACAGCAGCCCTGGCGACTGCACTGGTCTGCTCTCGAGACTGAGTGACAGTGTGCACAGATGGACATGAGTGCAGGAGGACCGTCCACACACGGACAGACTGTGTGGACCCAGAGAGGACTGGAGTCTGCTCGGGACACGCTGACTGTAGACCTCATGCGAGAGCCCCAGACAGCCACCCGAGAGGCAGTGACAGACACGGGCACCAGAGATCCCTAGCCAGACACATTGCTATGCTCATCCACAGGGGCATCAGAGGGCCAGGTGGAGTCACCCTCACAGTCAGGGCCTGGTAGGAAGCCAGAGGACTCACGCAGCACAGCAGACCCAAGGGAGGCACACTCCAGGCAGGTGAGCAGTGGCAGAGCCCTGACAGCTGCCAGCCCCCCATGACACCCAGGCAGGCACCAGACTCGCTGGCCTCGACTGCATTCACGATGACCTGAGGGGGCAGCAGCCAGAGGAGCGAGGAGGCCTTCGGACGCCACAAGAGGCCGGCTGTCCAGCAGGCGATGAGGCAGACAGGTGGCCCATGAGCACCACACAGGCACAGAGCCGACCATCAGAGTGATGCCCGGTCACAGAGATGACCACGATCACCCTCCACCGCACTCTGGGGCTGTCAATCATTCACTGCCTCTCATAGCAGACCTCCTTGGAGGCAGTGCAGTGGGTCCCAGCTCATGCAGGAGGGTGCACGCCCCTCGGCATAGGATGCCCCGGCTCTCCCCGAGGGGTCATCAGAGCCACGAGGAGGGGTCAAGATCCTAGTAGACCACATCGGGAACTCCCGAACGGGCACAGCAGGTGAGGTATGGGTAACCATCAGCGTGCTCCTCTCTGCATGGTAGAGCATCCTGAGACCAAGGAGGCTCACCTCTGCCTACGGACGACACACAGCGCTCCACAACGAGGACCCACCAGGAGCAGCACAGCTGACCACAGGGACAGTGCAGTCACCAGTGCCCCACTGTGCCAGTCTTCTGGGCCATCACACTAGAGGCACGAGAGAACCCATCCCATCCACAGGCCATCCACACCCCTGCTGGCCGAGGTGAACTACCGTCGAGGCACTGGACAGGGCATGCCAGGGGCCCAGCAGACCCGCACAGAGCAACAGGAGGGGCTGCGATGGCCTGCCTCGACACTCACGCACCAGCCAGTCAGAGAGGCAGTACTGCCTGAGACAAGGGGCCAAGGGAGGCGCTCAGTCAGGGGACACGACACGATCGTCGGTGCCTGTGTCTTGGAGTGCAACGAAGGCTGGGGATCAGACACAACCACCTTGGCAAACAGAGCGGAGATCACCCACCACCCCACTGACCCACTGACACCAAGGGCACATACAACACCCCCCACCCGGTCCCACCAGCCGGCCCACTGAGACCCAGGTGACCGCGACTGTGGGAGCCCTGACTCGAGCCACAGCCGGACGGGCACCGAGGGCCCAGCCAGCGGAGAGCCCGGTGGCAGCCCTTGACAGATGGGAGCATCTAAAAAAGACAGCAACCCGAGCTTCACCCACCAGACGGCAGGCCAAGGAGAGGCACCACCGGTAGAGCAGAGGGTCTGCGAGAAGGCCTGAATCCTGGGCAGACCGACGCGCACACCCGGATTGAGCACACGCTCATGAAATGGCAGAGGAATGTGCCAGGCTCTGGATATATCACTAGAGAGGACTCTCTCATTATGTTATCAATGACCAACAGTCGTCTCTGAACTGGCCAGAGCTTGAACGAGAATTTACTCGTGAGATTTTTGAATCGTGCCTGCAGGCGGCCCGGCAGCACAGCGCTGGAAGCAACCGGTGGGTGGAGTGAATCACCGTACAACTGATGAAATTATCTTTGATAACCAGAAACAGGATAAATATTTATTGTCTTCACGAAGGAATGTCGTTGAAGAGATCCACTACACCATTACGGGTTCCCCAGATTCTTGGAGGCTCGCTGCAGAAGACCGAGCGCGACACAGCAATGGGAGGCAGCATAATTCAGGCCAAGAATGGAGACCGAGTTAAAGCAGTAACAACAATACTTCCAATTTCTTCTTGCCATAATGAAATAGTCCATTTGATAGAAGTCCTAACCACACAATGTGCAAAAGATTTCTGCAGCAAAATATCCACAGGGATTAATTTTAATGGTTTGCAGTTTCACTGTGTGCCAATGCAGTTAGGGTGCCCTGGGTATATACTAGTGCGGCCTGGCTATTACAGGTGGTGTCAGATATACCATGTTGATTTTCTATACAGACGAGCTGTTCTGCTTATGAAGAGAGAAGTAGTGGTTGCCCCACTCGCCCTAGTTCGCGTGAATAGTTATGCTAGCCTGAATAGTATCCTTGGAAACATATTCTATAAGGAGATTAAAGCAGTTATGGCTAGTCCTGAGCTCGATATTTATGCTTCCAGTCTTGACACAGACTCTTCTAACAAGTTAGTTACGACTCCATGGCGTAACAGATACCTCCTTCCTGCAACCTCTAACGACCACCTCTTTAAGCAGAATCCCGTATTAAAGCATGGAGTATGCCCAAATGAGCATCTTATTACTTTGATTAAGGTACTAGTTAAAAGGGAATGGGAAAGGTTTACAGTAATGTATTCATCGCGTAAGGGGTTTGTCCAGGGGCTAGATCTTGATAGTGTCGAGCATCTATTCATTGACGAATTAAAGTCTTCAATAACAGGACTAGCACATCTTCAGGAGGATCAGTTCTCGCTCACTAACAGTTACCTATTGGACATAATGGTTCCAAGCGTTTATATATCAAAAAGCTTACTCACTTTTGCGCCCTCTGAGACGTCCGAGGAAAATTCTGAAATGGTAGTGAAATACGATCTAGAAGATGCCGAGTTGCATGGTCTTTCTTCATTGTATAAGTTCGTTATTGCTAAAAGCATCGTTGAGAACGCTCTAGAAACAAACAGACTTGATACACGCCATAGGTTTGATCATTTGCGCTTCTATTCTAGACTGTCTCTAAAGCATGCAGAGGGCGCACGCTTATTTGTAGATCCTTCCCATAAAACCCTTTATGGGGTTGAGCTTTTCTGTCTACCTCCTTGCTCTGTGCCACACTTTCAGGATGCTCATGACCGCCTTCTTTCTTGCTCTAAGTTTGATCCTTTATTAATTGCGCTTCAGAATAAGATATTTAGAATCATTGATTATGTCCTTCGTCTCCTTACTCCTCTCCCTGATGGTACGCACGAGGTAGAAGAAGACGCCCTTGTAGAGATTCCTCATTTTATCGTGTCATCTCTTGCAACAGAGTTTTTTATAGACGAGGAGCTTTGTACAGCAATCAAAACTGATCTGCAAATTCTTCTGGATAAAAGAGTTACTACAATCTTACATAATACTTCTGCTTTATCTTCACAGACGAAAGACACAGACTCATTAACCTCTAACCTCAGGACTGCCAATCAAAAGCCTGCGTTAGATGTATCCGAATCTCTTGAACTTTTCCTACGGAGACACCTTTCAATACTGTATGAAACTGAAGCTACACCAGAGGAGCGCGGGTCTCTATTAATGGAACCTTTCTCATCGTTCTTACCCATATCTAACATGGCGGAACGGTATTATCTTGTTCGATTATACTTCGTAGAGAAGATCATTCCCTTGATATTAAGTTCAACAATAGTTGCTCTTCTGCAGTCGAGCCTGTTGAATTATGTGGTAGATAGCATTGTTCCAACATGCGTTTCAGATAGTACCTTTTCTATTGACTTTTCAACAAAGATCAAACAGCTTCGTGTCAAATCACTCAAAGAGGCCTCCGAGACGAAGAGTGACAGACGTGATCGCTTACTTGCATCTGGCTTGCCACTCTCCGTAATTCATACCGCGCTTTCTATTCTAGCAGATGGGAATCAGGATCTTTCTAGCGACGCCATCCTAATGAGAGCTTTCGATCGCATATGGCCCCGCTTTCTCCGTACATTGGTTGAACAAATAAAGACACACATCGGGAATATTTTTTTGCAGATGCACGAGATGTGGAGTCGTAATCTTCTGGATAGTTTGCTATCAGTGACTGGCTTTCCCCGCCTTCAGTTTCGTACAGACTCATCAATGTACGCACCGTTCATTTCATCTACACTCACTATTAAGAATTCAAGTATTGGCTTCACTCACCAATCTACTTCCGTGACAGGTTTTGCTTGGTTACAACAAAGCCTTCGCGAGCTGTCATTTTGCTTATACACCACGGAGTCTTCTATCTCTTCTATCAATTCTCTTGTTCTAGCGCCTCAGTTATCGTTTGATCCCACGTCCACCGAAAAAACTGCCATTGTTTACTCTCGTCCCCTGGGCAATCTTCTAGATAGACGGACGCGGTCCTTGCTTTTCTTAGATAAGTATAGCTTTGAGGTCCCCACAGCCAGATATATATGCAAAGCCCTTCTCTCCAACGTCAAACAACTTGCGCAGACGGATTCAGACGACTTTGCATTCACACTAACACAAGACTTACTTCTGTCAAACCCTGATCAAGAGGTGGACCAATTTTTCTCGTCCTGGCTTGGCTTGAAACAGCGCCAATCTAATATCTTAATACCTCTAGAGCCTATAGTTCGTCCTAGGATGCATTTGCAACTTCCTCCCCTTTGTCCGTCGTCCAGAACAGAAAAGCCGCCACAAAGCTCTAGTACAACAGCTATGCACTTTTCCGATGTAGATAATGATCCTATATATGCGAAGGACACTATGGATTCTCCGCTTGTCCTAACTGCGTTCATTGCACCATCTGATACTGATGTTGTTGTGAAGAAGCAAATAGACACCCTATTTGAGGCTCTTTCTATAAAACTTGTAGAGCTTCTCTCTACATGTAATAACATTAGCAGCTTCTATCGAGCTTTTGAGCTCGTTGTAGACAGTGGACTACCAAACGTTAGCCTCGACGCAGATGATGTAAAATCTGTCTACTCAGCGCCTCCTGAACACTTACTTAAAACACAAATGCCCAGCGAAACTCCTGATGACGAGACACAAAGCTTTGACACTTCTCAAGTACCTAATCCTTATACTAGCATGGGCGAAGACAGTATGAAGGTCTCGCCAGGATTTGTACGTTCGCTGTCTGCTATCGAAACCATTGCTAGGGATTACGTGAGCGTTATTCTAAAAGGAGAGTCCCCTAATGAGAATATTGTTACTTTGGCTAATTCGTCGGGGGTCGATTATCTTGTACTTATGGTGCATATATCGGCTGAGCTGGTTCGTTCTATCGATCAAGAGATACTAGATGCTTATGCCATTTCCTCATATGTTTCCACTGGCAGTATTACTGTTAGTCTTATCGACTTTAAGCTTTCTCTTATTTCGGCCTTTATTACAGTACGCCAAAACATTACCGAGTCCATTTCAAAGATTATTACGCAAGCTTCTTCTTACATGTTACGGGTGCTGCAGCTGACAGAATCCGTGTTAAATATTACAACATTAAACTTGGACAAGCTATCCAAAATCCTAGTTGTGATGGAGGACCACGGGTTATTTGTGAAGCAGTGGACTCCAGTTGCATGCTACCTTTGCGACTTCCTTGGCCCAATCTCGAAACTGAGCAACTCCTATTGTCTTTCCACTTTATATGATATCAGAAATTCAATTACCCACACAATCCCTACTGTTTTTGGACTCTCAGGTTCCTTTGATCAAAACGAGACGACACCAAGGCCTCACCTGGCCTTGAGCCAGGCCCAAGCGCCTCGTCCAACTGAGCCATCAATTCTATCAAGTAATGAACTGCATGTAGCATTACAGGCGGCTGCTAAACTAGGTTGGGTGAACCATGCCTATAAGAATGCACGATTTAACTATAAGCGCCATATTCGCGTTTTTTCACGAGTACTGTTGGTGTTTTCAGACTGGCTTAGCAAGGTGACCGGAGCTCTCTACGCAATTTCGTCCGAGGTTCTTAAGATGCAACTCTCAGACTTTCAGTTAGCGGTAACAAATCCCTTACAATTCAGAAAGATGTTTCCAATCTTTAGTAAAAACATTGAAATACCTTACTTAGAGACAATGTATTCAAATTTCGAGGGGAACGACCTTCTACTTGTTACAGAGGTTATAAAAACACTTCAGGCCTACACCTGCATCCATATTAGTATTAACTCAGAAGTAGTCAATGGATTCCCAATTCTGAATACTCAGTTAGCATCTCAGGAGGATCAGCCAGTTACTGCAGATAAACATACAGAACACCCTTCATCTTTAGAACCAGAGCATGGAGCGTTAGAGTTTCCTTGTCAATTCACTGAATATCATGTTGGATGGCAGCTTCCATATCAAGGCTACAGGTGGCCCTATCTCTATTCTCGGCCGTGCCCAGACAGTGTGTCGGAGCAATCTACTAGAGAGAGCGCCATACAGGCTCCAACATCGCCTTTGGATTATCTTCTGGTAACGGACTGTAACTTCGAATTCTCTGAGAGGTCTGATTTGTTTGCTTCAAGAAATAGCCAAGGTCTCATAGTCGCGTCAACTTACATGCATGGCCATCTATGCGACAATAAGGAATCAGACATCCCTGTGGATCATCCAAGCTTGGCCCACTATGATGTTTTCCGCATGTTCATGGAGCTCTATATCTTGATAGAAGAAATTAAGAACGTCTATCTGCGGGTTTCTAGTTGGAGCAGGGCACTCAATATAGACATGCACCTAGTTGACTCGCCAGCCGAACTCGAAGCAGTATTACTTCCGCTGTGTTTACTGGTAACTTCATTTGTGAAACTGAACCAGCTCTATAAGGCAGCTCCTTCAAAGGCACTGATTGATCTAGACGCCGGGGCCCTTGTTACTCTGCTCGAGATATGTGCTACGTCCATCTCCACTATTCGTTCATCTTTCGTATATTCTAACTGGACCTCTACTGCCGATCAGGTAGACTGCTATCTGCGGGCCATCACTCCTCGGCTCTTTCTGCTATGCTTTTTGACTTCCCCTGACGCCATTGAAGAGGATCTAGCAGGGTTTGGTGAGGTTACCGGTCTCAACGCTTTCCTGAGGAGTGCACCAACCATTCATGCAGCTCCTATCGATACATACTTCGAGCCTGATCGTACGATTCTCGTAGAGCACCTCTTCCTATACGATAATACTGATGCTATGTTCGAAGCAGCCGCAGCCATTTATGCACGGGGCTTAGTTAATAGACAGGCGATGGTGACACTTAATAAGATTGATGATTGGATTAATGGCCTGAATTTCCAGCCAATCACACTGACTGCTTCACACAGGTCAGGGCACCTTTTATCTGTACTCTATGCGTTCTGGGGGATCACTGGAAAAGGAGAGTTTTCAGACCATACAATTGCAAGCAAACTTGGTCCTGTCATGGGAGGTAAGGCATCATCTCTTACATCGCTTTTACAGAAAGTCCGCACTCTCATACTTGCAAAGGAGAAAGTGTTAGAGGCTTACTCTAGTCGTTTGGGAATACTAGCCGATGCAGCTGATGATTCCTCTCTGGCACAACTATCTAGTTTTGAGTGCATCAGTGACGATATCTCCGTTGATGAAGAGGCAGGTCGTGACGACAGCCTGTTTGCCATGCAGTCACTTGATCGAAACAAGGATCTGTTTGCAGGATCTATCGTTCTTGCATCTGATGTACGGACACGGAGTCGTGCTCAGTCTATAACTGGAAGCCTTGACCTTACTACAAAGCAACCAAACCAGCACGATCATCTTACAAGCAAGGAATCCTTGTTGGGTGTACCAACCCTTGTATGCTGTAAAAGACATGTGGAGTATATACGAGAAGCCATGTTTGCAGTTGCCTACATCCTTTTCAACGACTATTCACCGTCCACACAGACGGTTGCTCGAAGACTTGAAGCCGAGCTTATTCTCCTTCACACGCTAGCGATATGTGTTCAGCGTGCAATGACAATTCTTCCTGAGCTTCTGCTCCTACTTCCGGATCTCTGCAGTATTTCATTAGGAAGTGCCCATCCACGGTTACGGAAAGCCTTCTTATCTTCTCAAGACCCGTTGCTTGAAGTCGTTTCTCTTCTCAATATCATGCGTCAACTGCACAGCCTTTGCAAGGAGTCTTCTGAGGAGAATGCATGCTGTCTATCCGGTGAGATAACCTCATTGAGAGGATCACCTGTGCAGCCATCTCTGCTACCCACAGTGGGAAGTTTTGGACTTCTCCGGGGCATAGTGCGGCGCTGTCCTTATATTATCCGGTCGTTATCTTTACATATAGCTCGGGCTGATAGCATTCTAGGAGTGTTTTCTGATACAATTCTACGTTTTCCGCTTGTATCTTCTTTCACCAGCAATCTTTCCTTAGAGTATGCGTGCATCCCTTGTATTCCTGCTACTTACCATGCCCAGGGCCAGCACCACGTTAGTGATTTGATTCGGCGGTGCCCACTTATTCGGAGTGCGGTTCTCTACAACAACATCTACACTTCCACCTCAGCATTAGTTCCCTCTGGAAAGCTTCGCCCCATTGTGTTCCACACATCTAGCAGTGCATTTAGCAACTCTATTTACGACATTATGACGCTTCGGACCGGCACCGGCTCATCGACTCGTCTACAGATAACGGGGTTGTGCGCTGGGTATGAGCAGCTGCGTTTTCTAAAGCCCATAGACATGCCAGACACGTTACCAGCTTTCGGGGCCTCCGTGTTTGCACCCTCTGTGCACCGTGCCGCCCTGATTAAGGAGTACTTGAAGGGGCTTCGCCTCCTTATGGAGGAGCGATATGAGGAGTTAGTAGGCTCATGCCTTTATCAGTGCGTTCATTACGCACTATCCACGCTTGTGTTTATGCATCTTGATGGTTCTCCCGTTAATTTTCTCCAGCTATACTACAAATGTATGCCTGAGTTCAAGAGGGCCGTAGCAACAGTAGCAATAGGAACAGCAACCGTACTCACTGATAAATCGCTTACTTCTTGCTATTCACTTCGGAATTACAAGCACGATAGAAGGATGTACATTCAGGCACTACTGGCACGCATTGCTGAACATGAACGAACACTGCAGACTATTATGGAAGATTCTCTGACATTATACATAATGCGGGCTATTCCAAATCTTTCTAGAGCAGCCACAGCTGAGAAGGTAGCATCATTTATATCTGATGAGGGTCAGGTTCGAGCTGCATTTACAGAGCTATATGCAGATGCAAAGAGCCAAGCATGTATCACAGCTATGTCGTGCGGGGTCCACCCAAATGTGCATATGCATCACATAATTTCAACGCTTCCATATGGACTTCCCACAGAATCGGCTCTTACTGAAGCGTCTTCTTCAGCTTCCTGCGGCGAGTTGACAGACTGGCGCAAAGACAGAGTGTATACGACTCATAATCAAAACTTCTTGTCTCAAAAGAATGATGAAACGCTTCTTGTCACTTGCGCAAATGTTGCCATCCCCATCATAGCGCAGTATACAGGAAAAGCTTCCTTATTGGATTGTATTCCTCTTAACTACAGGCAACTTCAGGCTGTTTCGCAACTGGGAATAAGCATGCAGAGCCGAATACCGGCTTTCCTCGTTGGAGATACCATGCGTTCGTACAACAATATCGACTACCTTATTATTGTGCACACGCTTTGCAGGTATTTTGGTATGCGCTACGAGTTTGTTTTCTGTTCTCCAGCTACAGATCCTGACGCTCTTCTTCATCGCCTTTGCACAAGGATCTTGGGAGGACGCTATGTCGTTCTCTGTGGCGTTGAATTCTTAGAAGAATCTCAGCTGAATGGTTTGATTAATGTGCTTTCCAGCTATAATTTGGCAAAAGGTGCTGTACCGACCGTAGAACAGGCAGATACAGGCCCGCTGGACTTTTCTATTCTTCATTCCACAGGGAAGGATGCCATATTTCCTGGTGGTTATGCCATCTGCCTTCCAGAAGCAGTATATGAAGGATCTAAGCTTTCTCTAACCATTCGGGGAGAGCGACTTCGAAAGCTTTTCCCAATGCACAGCCTGATTGAAATAAAGGACTATGGCACGCTAGTTCCAGTGAGCCTGCTTCAGCAAACGAATGCGCTTCTTTACGACCTTTGCTTAGAGGCCCGCGCGTCTACCAACAACGTCGATCTGCACTCACATAAGAGCAAGGCCACTGAAGAACAGATAACCAACTTCTTTGCAGAGAAAAACTTGTCTACAGAGTATCGCCTATCAGTCTCCGATGATATTCCAATTACTGCACTAAACTTTGATGCATTATATCCTCACTGTAACTGTAAGCATCAGACTGAAGCCAATCAGCTTGGCCATCTTTTCCTGCAAAGATCTTCTCAGTATGGGCCCAAGCTATATGAAATATCCCTATTCCTGAATACGGCGGGGCTATCTACTCCACAACTTCGACCGGAAGACGTCGATCTCGTGCTTAAAAGATGCAAAGATATGAGCAACCCTATCTCTGTTGCAACGTCCCTGTCTGCCTTTCTTTTGTCTCAGACCACCCTTCGTCCCGCTAGAGACATTGTTTCACGCGTTATCGAGGGAGCGTTTGTACTTCAGCCGCAACACAAGGCTGTTCTCAATTCAGTTGTTAGTCTGCTCAATGTTCTGCATGGCGTTCAGGAACCCAACGATATAGATATTGGCATGCTCATTTCACGTAAAACACACCATGGCACTGACAGTAATTTCACTGCAAATAACATCGCGAAAGTGTGGAAGACGCTAAAGCAGATGTATACGCCTACGTATGCCGAATTCTGTGAAACCCTCTCCCAGGAGTTTGCTCTTCTAGAGCCAGTGGGTATCGACGCCTTGGCCCTCTGTTTGGACATGCTCTCCCTGGGGCCTGTTGTCCTACTTCCTCCGTCAACAAGCGTCCTTCAGGGTACAAAAGGCACAGGGCTTACGATCCCTCAGTTGTCAAATAAAAGTGTTACAGCCCAACTAGTTAAGTCTAGGGCTTTATCCAGCATAACCCTACGCCAGTCGCATTTTCAGCTTCTTGTTGTGTTTTCTCAGCTCGTTGCCAAAGTCGGAAAACTCAGACCTTTTTTTATCCATTCGTTGGCAGATTTGCACGAGAACATTCGAACTATAATGTATCTAGGCTCCCAGGCATTATTGATATTCATTTTCAATCCACCAAGTGGTACGTTGGCCCGAAGCATGCTTTCCTCGATCACGGCTCTCCAGAGTTATTATCCAGAGCTTGAGCTGTACTACAACATTAGAGCCAAATTTGATTTCTTTAACAAACCTCGCTGTCTTCTGCTAGTGACCGCTTATGAAACTGCATCCATTATTGGTTCGAATGTAGGATCTGTCCAGCGGCGACTAATCGTAGTGCCTGAGTATCTTAAGTTTTCCACCATGCTCAATAACTATGTTGGAAGACACCTGCATTTAGCCGAAGACGAACAGCTGACTGAGAAGTCGCGCAAGCTGTTCACAGTTACATCCCTGATAGACATGAAGACATCTGCTCTATCCATACAGTACCTTCAGTCGCTGTGTTCGCGACGAACAACTGCAGAGCTTAAAGGAGAGTGTCTTGCCGAAAAGCGATTGCGTTTGGGCAGCAAATTGTTTGGAGCCTTCATAACTTGTCTAACAGACAACCTAATGCGCAGGGAGTTTAGCATCGTTCCCTCTCATATTGTGTGGACCCTTTATCGTCAACTGTTAGTTCTGTTCCTGACTAGTTTTAGGGTTCTCGTACTGAGCCCGTGCCACCCCGAGGCTTACGCTACCTTCGAGCCAATTCCAGAGGTTATGAACACACAGCTTTATCAGCTAGACTCATATCTCTCCTTGCACACAATTACATCGTCTACTCCTTTGGCCAAATATGATAGTTACATGCAGCTCCAGAGTGCACCGCGTACAGCGTTTTTCAGCGTTAGTTTTTCCGTTACCTATCTCCAGAATTTTATCTATGAGGCTTTGGATAACTTGTCTGTCATTATCAACCTGTTTCTCCCCATATATGCAGCTGTTTTTAATGCACTGCATGTCCTTCATGTAATGTATTTTAAAAGGCCTCTGAACAAGTTAAGTAAGATCTACAAAAAGGGTTTGGTGGAATGTGTCTATCGGCCCGAGAAATTTGTGGCACATGTGATGTCAATGTTTGCAGATTCGGCGCAGCTTCTCAACAAATCAGATCTTGACGATGCAATGGCGTTACTTCCCGATCTATTCCCCGAGCATTATGCAGATGAAGACGACGATCTTTCAGCTTATTCGTATCTAGGTGTTTCAGACTCTGATGGATCCTTTCTATATTTTGTGGCATCAGATAAAGGAAGAAGGCTCTGTGTGCAGCATTTTCCCTACATGTGCTCTTCTGGAATATTTGCTGATGCGTCTTTCGAAAGGCTCTTTGACCAGAGCACAACCCCGAAGCATGAACTTACATTAACATTTGATTGTGAGCGCATCTTATTTATCGTCTACTTGTCCAGCTTTATCATGGCAAAGCTCTCCGTCTGTCTTATTGGAGAGGCGTTTTCAGGGAAAAGCACCTATATAAGAGCCGCGGAGATTTTCCTAGGCAAGTATGTGTGGCGCGAATGTGTTGCTCTTTTCGATATCGATTCCTTTGATGAAGTGCTACAAAAGCTGATAAGTACGTGCTACCTGCACAACATTCAAACGGCCCGTACTCAAAAGACTGCGATAGAAGCAAACGCATCCCACCAGGACGGTTCTGAAGCAGCGCATTATTCCTCATCTTCCAAAGCAAAGAGAGCAAGAGCGAGTTCTGTTATCGGTTGCCCTCTATCTATTCTTGACGTTACTGAGGATAACACTCTGCTGGATGAGACAAAGGATATCAACCAAAGCATAATTTTAGATGTTCCAAGCGGCAAGCTGCCTCTTTACCACTTAACCGTAACGAACTTGCTCACAAGTACAATCGCTCACCGTGTTTCCGACGATGCCCTGGTTGCACGAGGCGCAGCTGACGAACAGAGGCTTTCTATGCTGGAGTCTCTGGTCGCTAGTGCTTCAGAACCCCAGGTTGCAGTTCAGAACGACAGACTGTCCATGCTTCTGGGAGAAAAGTATATTATTATGGAGAACTCTGAACGATCCCCTGTGTGTGGTTTAACTGGTGTTACAGGGGCTCGCTTCTCTTCAGGGATATTTGTGCCAAACATTTCCATTGTGGTGGAGAGCTCTTACCTGTATGACTTTTTCTTGGCTAGCGAACTCACCTTTGTTCTTCCACCAATGAACAACACAAAGGAATTTTTACTGCTGTTGTTGAAGCGCAACTTTCAGCATCCGTCGCTAAGCAATCTGGATTCTTTTGCACCGAAGATTGCTCAAGCTCATGTGGCATCTGCACCTCAGCCGCGTGTTTCCTCTGTACATACTAAAAACAAATACGACTGCAATCTTTATGTTGGAGTTACGGAACCAGAACAAGAGTTTCTATATGAGTACTCGGACTCCTACCTTCTGCAATTCATAGAGGGACTATTGCTTGTAGAATACCATCTTCCTGTCTCTATTCTCAGGGTTATCTCTGAGATGAAAAGATTGCAAAAGTACATTGATTCTGTAGATCTAGATAACATTCAATTGAGCGCTGTGACCTTAGGATCGCTTATGGGTGCACTCCGCAATATCCCTGCTGTTAAGCATAGCCACGTGTCTTGCATACTGGATGAACTGGCATCTGCCGTGGCAATAGGCCGTCTGGCGCCACATGGGCCATATGGACCACTAAATCCAGAAAACATGAGCAAGTACCTTCGGACCAATACGCTCATTTCCATGAGCTCCCATACAGGGGTCCAGGCACTTCCCAACTGGGAACTTCGAGTTCTTAAGGCAGTGTTTAAGCGATCATTTTGTAACACAGGAACGTCATCGTCTAATATTTCCAAGGCCCCTGGTGATATAGATGGCACCCTTATAGACTCTCAGAAGTTTAAGTCTGGCTCCAGCATAAAGAGATTTCACTATTCAGGTGACATTGAGCTACTCAATGATGGGGGAAAATATAAGCATTTTGTGGACGCATGTGCAAGAGCACGACAGCATTATGCTAAGCTGCTTTTTTACAATCCACACAACAATTCTATCAATCGTCAAGTTTTTGAGGTACACTCGTCTGTGGTGCACGAGTGTTTACTGGATGCCATGGACCCCACTGTTTGCAATAGAGTATTCACCCTTACCATAGATATATCCATGCTTATGGAGCAGAATTCCTTAAAGGTATTTTACTATATTAAGTACCTAAGAAATCCGGGATTGTTCTCTAAGCTACACTCTCCAGCAGACGCCAAGAGTATGCAGGCATTAGCACTGCGTGTGCCAGTATTCCTGATGTCTCAGCTAGAGATGTCGGGGACGCTCTACTCCTCGTTCTTGCATGCGCTCCAAACTATGGGGAACTATAGGATTTCCAATCGGAAGACGTTTCTAAAAGTCGCACAACAGACCTTTTCTTCAGACATGGAGGGCTTTGGTATTGACGCCGATTCACAAGCCAACAGCTTTTCCTGTTCCCGTAGCGTAACTTCTCTGCATCAAACTATCTCCGGTCGAAGTCTTTCTGAGTGTGATGGGCCACTGTTAGCTCATGCGGCCAAGAACTTCGATCTCCGTGCATTTCTCTCCATCACTGAAGAACCTACAGAGATAGCCATCAAGCGGCGGCAAAGAATTCTAATAGATACACAGACCATGATTCAATCGCTTATGCACCAAACTGTGGGAGGATCAGAGTCGGACTCTGAGCCTGAGCCAAATAACATTACTACTTCGTCCTTGCAATCAAGGCCGGTGACTACAACGGTAGCTTCCGAGAACCTTATGATAGAATTAACTGACGCCCTTGTTTCGACCCTCACTGCCAAGAGCGAGGCGGCTGCATCCCACTATATTATTCGAGCTGCAGTTCTTATAGCATTAGGTATTAACCCGCTCATTGCCTTCCAGGACTTTACACCCACTTCGTCAACGTATCTATGTGATCGATGTTCGTCCACAATTCCAGACTACCTACTGCACTACATCAATAGGGGTAGTCTCGAAATCAACGCAGAGGAATATACTGACCTCTTTCTCTCCACACCCACAGATATTATGGTGACGATCCCTATGTCCTTATTTAATGCTCTCCTTAACAAATCTCCTGCCATTGGTATCCTTTCCATAGTAGAGTCTGGTAGCAGTCTATTGTCCCTTTTCACAAACGGAGAAGTTCGAGTGCTGGGTGCTCTCTTGGCCAAGTACTTCTGCCTCACAACCATGCTATCTGGGAAGGAGATTATCAACATCCTCTCTAGATCCTTTTCGCTGGTGGTATTCGCAGATACTAGCGTTGATCATCCTCTTCCATTGCAAGAGCTTCCGGTCATACGGCACACGATTGATGAGAACGATAGGATACATTCGCTGCAAGTAGGGACTGCTGAGAATATACTACAAGGCTCATACAAGGCGTCTGAAACAGCAACGCCCAGTCTGCAGCTCGTTAGGGCAATCCCTTACTTTATTCTATCAAATATTCCATATAATCTTGACCCTAAGCCTTTTATCACACAGCACGAGCACTCAGAAACCCCGCTTCACGATGCATATAGTAGTATGTACTGCGAGATCTTTTGCCAAACTACACTCTGCATCTATAAGTGCTGCATGCAGAACGTCTCACATTCAATCCCATACAGTCTTGCGCGCTTCTCCGAAGTTGCAAGCTATTACACAAACGAGCTTATTGCAAAGCATTTGAAGACAATCACATTTATTCAAAAGATCCTGTCCAGCATCACCCTTTTTGATAACGGCATTCGCAATGGCTTGTTTTCGCCCTCTATCCGCAACGACATCATTTATCTCCGGGACCAGCTTGTTTCCATAAAGCTTAAGGTTAAGCTGGACTTTATTCGTGCCGTGATCATGCTTCAAAATGCATGCTGTGATGGACCGCTTATTGCAGCCAGACTGCTATTCTACCCGTTCATAACATCCATTTGGGGCAATTGTGTGCAGTTTGAACTGGGCTTGTTTGAGTGTCTCAAGAATAGAAAGATTATGAATAATTCCCTAAACACCTCCTACTCTGACAATAGCACGGTAATGCTGCAATCTTTGTTTAATCTTTCAACCAGCGACGAGTTGATCCAACGGTCAGACATGCTTTCCAACTACGGTCTCCCTTCACGGTTGCTCATGCTTTGCGAGGACCTCATGTGGCCCAGGTGGAGGACGCAACTTACTTGCTCACTATGTAATCCAGATCCAAAGTTGATTCAAGAAATTATTATACTACTACAGTACATCAAGTTTGGGTTCAAGTTCCTCTTTGTGACAAGCGATTTGGCACGCATTATAATACCCGCCTGCGAAGTGTACTTATTAGAGGCTCGTCTCGAAGACTGTAAGCAGCGGCTATCGGCCATGGGGGTTAATGTGGAGCAAGCGCTAGAGAAGTACAATGCGACGGGAGCAATAAACGCTACCATCGAGGATCTAGTGCTCGGTACACAAGGCAGTCATGGCGACACTGGCAAGAGGCCTGAAAAGGGCGTTGCCCAGTACAATGAGATGCACTACCTTATAGCTGAGCTTGAAGATCTTCTAAAGCAGATAGCCAGTCTAAAATATTCGGCGGTGTCATACAAAAGGCTACCTTCAAACGTGCGTTTTGGCGCTCCATCAACTTGCTATAACTATCACGAGGTCCGTAGAAAGCTTTTGATATATTTAGATTGTCACCTTCCGCCACCCATATTTGAGGCTCTTCTTAAGCATGCACTGCTTCAAGACAAGCCTATTGTATTTCTGAACTTTGGATCTGCAGCAATGCCAATGCTCAACATGATGATACTGACAAAGCTAGCACTGCTTATCGAGTCCAGATTAACAAAGAGAAATGCAAGAGTGTCTGTGACAACAACATACTCAGTAGATATTGTCCGCCCGTTGCATGACTATAGAATATACTATGTCCTTACCACAGGAGCTTCACTTAAGTTTCTCTTGGAAACAGGTTTTATCAATCTTCGTAACTGTGACATGTCTACTCTGAACGCTCCCAAGTTCCAGTTTAAGTCTAACTCGCTCAATCTTCTTAGGATGCAAAATCCATCTGTGACGGAACATGAGCTGCAGTACAAGCTTCGCGAAATATCAGAAAAGTTCTCAAGCGTGTACTCCCTTTATGTTAACGGATTTGATGGTCTTGAGATAGTTCGCCGTGAGAGCTGCCTTGAATGCTCTGACAGACTTCACAGGAATATCGAGAACATCGCAAACAATCTCGAGAAGTATATACTTTCCAAGAAGGAGATCATGAGTCGCTTGGTCAAACGTGAAGAGTCCAATGCTGTTTTTGTTCATCTACAGCATGCATCTAAGGACAGTGAGGGCTTTGACTTTGCCGAAATGAATCTGTACTGCATTGGAGTAGAACGCTGTATAGAGCATAGAGAGGAGCTTGCAAAGAAAATCGCGGAAAGCTCGACAATAAGCGAATATGCCAAATACTTTGGAACAGCCATTACAAGCATACTCTTGCTGTTGAGGCAGATGTCCCTGATTCACCCAAGTATTGCGACTGTTTTCACCGACCACTTCTTTGAGTGCCACCTTTCCTATCTTGACGACCACGTAGGGTCCAATCCATCTCGGGCCTTCACTGCCATTGTCAATACTGCACACTACATCTTAGAGAATACTGTCTTACTGCTACCAGAGCGAGAACGGGGGCTCTACATCAATCTTTTCATATCCATATACAATCTGTGCTTCAAGCTAGGCCATCCAGACGATTTGACTCAGCTCAAGATGATACTAGTCAATGACATAAGGTTCTTGGTCTCCCATTTCTCTGACAAGTTTAATAGCCATTTGCCTCTCTACAACTATGCCCGCCAGATTGCAGCAAGCTGTCCCACTTCTTTTCGATGCAGCCCCACCGTGGTGTACAGTTGGAAGCTCTTCTCTTTGCTCTCCATATACAATCCTCGACGGTTTTCTGACTGGTACGAGTACTTCACTCATAACAAGGCTGTCTTTACGTTGCTAAACTTTGCGGGAGACGCTTACAAAATGATAGTGGGTACGTATCTATACAAAGAGAGGACTGCACAATCCAGCGACAAGGTTAAGCAAGCGGAGCTCGGCATAGCAGAGACAAGCAAGAGTGCAATCGCAGATGCCATTGACCGTACCGCTGGCGATGACATCAACCTAGATGCCACGGTAGCGCAAGAGATAGAAGAGGGCATGAGGACTCTGAAAACGACGCATGTTCCGATTGTCCCGCCCTATGTGCATGACGAGTTGGCAGCGTACAGCACACGGTTGGTTCCTCTGCCACCTAGCCTGCAGTATCCCAGCTTTGAGAACATTTGGGTCGCGCTTCTCCTTATTGTAGCTCTTCGACAAGATCTCATCCTTAGCACAATGGAGTTCTTCTGTAGGATAACTCCACCATCAGCAATTCATAAGTTTCTTCAGGACGATGCATCCCTGCGCGCTAAAGCAAAGGCAGACTGGTGCTCAGCTAACAATGAGGCCGAGCTCCTGAGCGACGGCCTTCTTTCGCGAGTGGCCAGTGCAACAGCGGTAGCGATAGATGCAGGTAATTTACAAGCCGAAGGGAAAGAGACTCAGACGAGAGCTGTCGGCGATGCCGATGGACCCCTTGACCTTTCAGTCATAAATCCAGCCAATTTGGACCATGTGGCACAGCTATTCAAGAATCTTCAGGAAGAATACAATTTTGAGGCAACACAACAGGTATCATTGGGCCGCGGCTCGCGCACCGTTTTACTGTACTATGACGAAGGCCTGGCAATCCTTCCATATCTGCAAGCAATTTTTTCAAAAGAAATTATACCAAAGTATGGCTTTCCAGACTATGTTTGTCAGCCAGCACCTGCCACCTCGTATTTAGCCACTAATGTCGTAATAGTTGATATACGGTATAACCCTCATTATTCATTAGCACACTTAATAGACCTGTACAGTTCAGGCGTCAAGCCAGCGTATCTCGTGTATGTCCTTGTTCCTTTGTCTTGTTGTCAGAAGTTTGGGACAGAAAGCGGAGCTGCAACTCCGGAAAACATTAGCGTGCAGCTTGCCGTCTTTATTGACATTTGTAGACCCGTCCAATTGTATGTGCAGCGACCTACAACATTCTTGGATGCCATGCAACATGCAATCAGTACTATGCGAAACTACACACTGTCCCATTCAGTTGGCTGCTCTGTCTACGAGTCTTCCTTTGTCAAAGCATTGACGCTCCTCGCCATTAGATACAGCATGCTGATCAGTAATGGAATGTTCAAGGTAGATGACAATGAAATGCTCCTTTTGTATGTACACCTTATATCGCAACTGAAAACGCTGCCACTCGCTAACCAGGGTCGTCGGCTCTTCTTTACTAAAAAACAAGGAGCTGCTTCGCATATCGCAAACTTGCCAATGATATACTCTGTTCTGTGTCATACGTGTTCTGAGATAAACACCAGTTACGTCCTATCTAACCTCTATTCCTTGATATATCGCAAGTCCTCGGCTATATTGATTGGATCACCGATTAATGCTTCTGTCAGTGTTGCAATAAGCTACCTGAATAGTAAGTCACTAAACGTAGCCTCATTCTATGAAGAGGTCCCTACAATCACCCACGATCAAGCGGAAGCGGAACGCACTGATTTTGATCCATCACTAACCAGCATACACAACAGTGATGTGGAGATCAGCAACTCCAGGTCGGTGTTCTCTTCTGCTGAATCGTCCATTGACGATGTATCTATGTGTTCTTTCAAGACAGATTACACTTACGCAGACCAGCGCCAGGTGGATGGAGCCCCACAGGCTACAAGTGCGCGGCTTATGACGTTAGCAGGGGACGAACTGAACGCAAACGTGTTGCTCAATGCCACTGACCCAGATGGATTCAGATCCTATTCTCGAGCAGAGCTACAAAAGATTCTGAGTAGTCGGCGCCATATGGTGACAATTCACGCATCTTCGAGGATGGATGCTCTACTGCATTTTCCGGAGACTATGTCAGAAAGAACTCTGATAGATTTAGTGGAAAAAATTAAACTCATTACAATGGACTTAGAAAAGTTTGCCATGAAACATACCAACGTTGCAGAAATAATACGGACTCAAGAACTACAAGAACGGCTGGCAGATACCCTTCAACCGATATGCTTTTTGCGGCCAGAGCTATCGAGATGCCAAAGTACTGTTCGTGATGCATTCAGTCTCATGCTATCAACTGACGTAATATCCAACATAGCTTCACACTCTATACACAGCAACGCTTATTCATCTGTAGAAGTTGACCGGGCCGAGAAGGCCTTACCACCAACACTTTACGCTGTCCTGTTGCTCAGTAAGACCTATCAAAGGGTCAGAAGGCTTACATATGGCTTCACATCCAACTCGTTGGTAGAGCAGTCTCATCCAATCAAAGTGCTTTCTGAAAACATATGGTCTGTTCGCGGCGATATCTATCAGCCGATCATGCATGACATCCTCAAGCTTTTCAAACTCCAGATGTGTCTGAAATATAACCTGGAAATGGGGTATTATTCCATTGTTTTTACCCTTCTGGACCCCACGTATTATAGAGATTGGTTTTTGCGATATGATGGGCAAAATTGCATTCAATGCTCTAAGATAGATAACAGAAGACAGAAGCGCAAGCACACTATGCCGCTTGCCACCGTCAGGGTCACAAATATGCGACTGTACGGGATTGGATATGATTATATGCTAAATACAATCGTGGACATAAGCCCAGAGAGTCTGAGCTATCCGAACAACTGTGATATCTATGCAATCCTCGTCCCATGCGAGAGCTCATCTAGCTCAATGCTTCCAGACTCTGTAAAGACCAGAGATAGCTATCTCATGATGTACGAGGCACTGAGCTACTCATCATCGCCACCACAGAGTGAGGAGGAATTGGCTGAGATTGATCAGAACTTCGGTGTAGATCACTACTACGAAAATACAATTCAACACGTGACAATACCAGTTGATTTCCCTGGGTGCTGGGATCTGATTCTCCAGAACAAGACATCCTTGAAAAAGAGTGACATCGATGCTAAGTCCCCATATTGTGGGACGGGGTACTTTTAGGAGACGTTTGTATGGCTCAGTACTCAGCAGGCCATCAACTACCTCTCCCCGTTCAGCTGTCTTCTGTATCTCTTTGCAATGAGAGAAGCTTTATATCGATCAAAGGACGACCAGCTCTTGCTCATCACGGCTCTGACAAGCTCCTCCATGAGTGTGTTCGTGCACGTGCCTATTAGTATACAAACAAATACACCGCCCAAAAGGTAGAGAAGAAAAATTGAGATAGAATAGGGTCCTATTTTTATTGCGCCTATGTTGCTGCTTATTAAGCTTATGATAACTGGTTGTATGTATAGAATCGGAAGAGCACTCTTTCCAATCCACGTCAGAAACACACGGTGCATGAGCCACTCTAGGGCGTACGTAGAGGAAATCATAATATAGTAAAGGGCAGTAGAGAACATAACAGGGACCATTATACGTGCCAATAGAAGGACAACGTAGCTTGCCACATTGGGGCTATCCTGGTAAGTTCCTAAAGTCTCATTTGGTACTTGGTTGTAAATAAGCCCCGTCTCTGTTCCTATTGCCGTGAACGTGCCGTAAATGGTCATGATGAGGATAATCGCCAGCATGTCTCCGAAGCGGCGGTGATTATAGATGAGAGAGTAGAGCTTGGTGGATAACCACTGACTTTCTTCTTTGATGACTTTCTCGCAGAGGAACTTGCACCGCTGACGGTATCTAGCGGCTCTTGGGTGCCAAAATGCAGCATCCATTGTAGACTGGACAAATCGAGCACTTCCGCAACTTTCGTTATTCCCAGGTCGTGGACTAATTTGAGAAAGCATAGATTCCACATGACGTGGCTTGCGTGGGCAACAAAACTTGACTCTTTGCTTAGTAGATTGCTCAACACGCTCATCTCTACCGGGAGATGGAGGGTCGGCTGCACCGGGCTGGCGTTCAGGGGACAAACGAAGAGCCAAGGTTTGTGAATCCGCAGGGTCAACTGGATGTTCTGGTTGTGCCGCAGGGTTACACGGTGAACAAACTGGCACAGCATCAGAGGGCTTCTGTACTGCGTCGTTCTCATCTATATTCTTAGACTCCTTTGGTAACGGAATAGAAGTGTTAAAGCAATCCATCCTCCCTGGCCCATGGGTACTCGGCTTTCCGTGACAATTTATCTTAAGGTAGCTATGCCGTTTATCATCCGTCATGTAGGATATCAGAAAGCCAAGAGAAAAGTTGTGAAATACAGCAAGAGGATTATGAAATACCACCGGCATGAAGAACTCAATTGTTAGGGTGAGAGAGAAATAGCAAATTGCGCTTAGAGTCACATAAATAAACAGAGAGACACCCATGGCGACAAAAAGGACGCTTACCAAGGAGATTTCGCGAGCGGCAGAAACATAGTAGATAAGGGTCATTATAATCTGACATTGAAAAAGCAACGCTGGAAGCCATGCAAAGTTATAAGTGTAAGAGCCAACAAAAGGAATAAAGTTGCCAAAGTAGAGCCATGCTATAACGAATAGCCCGATGTCCCTTCCTTGAGGCATGTCATACGAAAGAAATATTACCGAATAAGGGATGAAAACAAGGTAGCTGTCTAGGAAGAGTACAAGAAGAAGTATGACAGGGGCAGTAGTGGATTTGCAACGGTGCTTGAGCTTTAAATAAAATCTTGCTCCGAAGAGAGTAATAAACAAGTCATCAAGCCAGTTGGACATGAAAAAGAGGGGATACACTCCCAACTTTTCAGTCATTGTGGAAGCGCTAGTGATAGAGGAGTTGTCCAAAAACGGCAGGACTAAATTTTTATAGACATTAGAAAGGAGTGTCCATAACACCAAAACAGCCAGCAATGCATCGATGGTCTGGCTATGAAGATTCTTGTTAGACTCCATTTGTGGAGAGAGAGGGCTTCTTTTTTTAAAAAACTGTCCACAAGCGAAAAAAGGTTATGCGTTCTTCTATCGCCGCCGTTACTGCTGGTATAACGAGCTCGCTACTGCGTGACTCTATCTCAGGTACCCGCTTGACCATTGCTGGGATTGCTCCAGGCGAATTGCAACCTAAAAAGACGTACTTATATAAAAGCGTGAAGTCAGTAGCGATAAATCGAGGCATCTGCAGCAACATCTTCAGTGAGCCAGACTGTACAACTGTCCCTGGTATCATGCAGTATCCTCTCAGAGCCGCGACTAAACTTGTTCTGTCAGACCTCTTGGATCAATGCGTAGACTTGGCATTCACCGGAAGCTTAGGCGACCCTTTGCACACAGGAAAGCCAAGTATGCAACCGTCAAGGACCCCGTCTATAGTCGACAAAGCTGTCAGATCCCGGCCCAAGTTAGAATTAGAAAGGCTGGACAAACCATCGATGACCACCCCTGAGTACTGGAAACGCTTTATGAGCGATGTATTGGTGAGCACAGCATCTGACCTGGTTTACGATGTAGGCAGAAAACGGGCAGCTATGATCAATTCTGGGTCTAACCCCTCTACTATGGATGTTGCGACGTGGGCGTTCGCATCTGCAGCAGCTGGAGAGTTTGTAAGGGCCAAGCTCGACAATAAGTACACGCCAGACTATATCAGAGCAGGAGTGCGATCGGCTATCTTCAAGACCAGCTTTGCTTATGTTTATGCTCTATTAATGGCCTCTCCTTCAGCAGAAAAACTTTAGTCAAAGAAGCATAAGCTTAATATGGGGGTGCATTCGTTTCATATGATTGACGATTTCATCAGTAAACTGCGGGGGAACATTAATAAGTTTGAGTTCTTGTAGACGAGGAGGAAGGTATGCCAAGTCCGGGTTCTCGGAAAGGCTAGAGATGGGCCCAATTGTCAGCCGCTCCAGGTCTGGGTTGAGCATTAGCACTTTCTTAAAGAACGTAGGGGTCAATTCCGCCGTTATGATCGTCACGTCTCTCATCAAAAGAAATTTATTCTAATGAATAATCCCTGCCCTGTGTGCAATGCAGACCCAAACATGCTTGTGAGAATCGAAGATATCGGTAGATATGTGTGCTCACGCTGTGGAGCATGGGCCAATGCAATCGTGGACGAAGGTCTCGGGTTCCGCAATTTTCGAGATTCGGAATCTGCAGAGGCCAGAAACGTTGCAGGTCGACAGCACACAGATTTTCAACGGCAAATCTTCATCACAGGTGACAAAAGGACATCTGCGTACACTACCATTCAGGCTGCAAGTACCGAAATAAGACGCTTGAGTGCTCGCTGCAAAATCAACGCAGAGTATGCCAACATGGCGCTCACTATATTCAACGAGTACAAGATGAACAAAGAGACGCTTCTGAAAAGCAGGAGTATTGTTGTCATCGCGGCTAGTTGTCTCCTTTTGGCTGTGGAACTGGCTGAACAAGAGGAGCGTAAACGCAATGAGAAGACTGGTCGATCGATGTACTTAGGAATGTCTTCTACCACTGCCCGACAGCGTCTCCAAAAGGAGATCCAAGGCTGTGGACGAATCGGAGGCAAGGTCTCTCCATTGGACCGGCAGTTGAAGGATATCAAAGAAAAGGTGCAGCCCAACGCCCTGCAAAGTACATGCGAGTTTATTCCTCTCCTTGGAGATCAGCTCCAACTCAGCGGGGAGCAAAGAAGGGCGCTACTGAAACTTCATGACCATATGAAATACGTTGAAGACCGCGTTGTGCCAGATAAGTATACTGTGCCAGAATATGTCATTCTCCTGCTGTTCTTGCTTATAGATGCTGCAGATCAAACAGGAATAGAATTTAAAAATATTACAAAGCAATCTGTTTGTGAAAGAAAAAATCTTGCCCTCGGGGTCTTAGAAATGGACGCCGACGGCTTGAAAGTTAGTGAGCAAGATATATTAGCAAGTGCATACAAAGAGATACGCGAAGCTAAATCAAGAATGGCAATGCAAAGTGAGGGCAATGCCAAAGAGGAAATTAGTATTTAGACCAACTACCTATTCAAGATACAGCCTAACTGTAATGACAGAAATATTATCCTGACTGTTTAGCCGATATGCTTCGTCACGTAGCTTAAGCGCCCCTGCTTGTGATGATAGACAGGTAGACAGAAGCATTGCTGCGTCAATATCACTGATTGAGTCCCAGCAACCATCGCATGCTATCACTATCCATGCATCATAGGTACGAAAGTGATAAACACTGACAAAGGGGACAACGGAAATGGAGGGTTTGTACACAAAATCTCCAAAGGATCGGCAAACAGACAATGTCCCCATCACACGACCTCCGTGGACGTATCCCCCCGATGCTTCTATTCGACGTGTCTCTGTGGGGTCATCGGGTTTATGGTCTTTACTAAGGCGTAGTGAAAGGCCTTCAACTCGTTTTCCTCGTCGCTTGGCAGACACAAGAGCTTCCTCACTTGTCTCTTCGGGATTCATAAAGTACCGAGCAGAGTTGATAATAGCATGGCCAGAAAGCTGCGCTGTCTGGGACTGCTCTAATTGAAGAAGAGATCCGCTGGATATTTCGTTGATTCGCGAGCTTCTTGTTGGCCCCTCTACTTTATATAGCATAGAGTCACAACCAAACGACTTAATCATGGCCTCGTCACGGGTGAGGACCGTGCGCGAATCCCCACAATTGGCTGACACAACAAGATTGTCAAGGATAAAGCATATAGCTGCGGTTGATCCTGACTGTATGTTCTTTAAGCGAAGAGTATCATCTAGACGGAGAAAGACCCCGACGAAGAGCGGCTCCCAGACGCTGTCTGGGAGATCATAGGCGTGGTTGAGCTGAGCAGCATAGAGGACGGAATTGAGGGCATCTGCAAAGGCCACTGGGAAGAGGTCTCCCACCATAGAGGAACACTCAGTACCTCCGTGACCATCGAAGATACCCAGTAATATTTCTTTGTGTCCTGACTCATGGCACTTCGCACCTCTGTATGAAGACCTTCCCCTCCTGTACGATGCAAAGTCCTTGATAATCATAGTTACATCCTCCATCTCGGTACGCCTTCCAATCGTCTCTGACTGAGAAATAGAGAATCCGTGTAGCACAGCATCAAGAGGCCGCTCAGGATCACCCAGCCCAAGCTCGCTGCATGATTTTAGTGAGCTAGTAGATGTCTTTGGAGGAGGGTTAGCTAGGATACGGCAAATCTCTGTAAGAATTACATCCTGCATAGACGCCTTGGTGTTTTGCAACCTTCTAAGGATGTTTTCCTGAGCAATCTGGTTAGCGCCCTGAAAGATCTGTGGTTTTTCTTGGTATATAACAAGCTCATCTGGCAAACTGCTAGGAGGATGCCCAGCACTTGTGATATTACTTCTTGTATTGTCTCCATCCAGCACGTTGTCTATACGGGCTAGTGCATTGTCTATCAAGTCATCAAGAGCTTCTCGCATGATCTGGTTGCGACTAAGATAATAACTAACTAGGTATTGGCCGTTCTCTCCCACATTACACATGTGGAGATTCAATTGTCGCACGGTTTGGTTCGTTTTAAATGCGTGCACAAACGTATTAACAGAACTCGATGTTATTCCAGGATTTTTAGAAAGGTCTATATATGCTAGGTGTTTTAAATAGGGCAGGTACTCGCACAGTGCAGTCACCCCACCGTCTCGGCACCCGGTGGCCGCAAGGGATAAGTACTCTATCTCCTTACAGTGCTGCAATGCCTCTATGAACAGGATCACTCCGTCGTCGTTTAACTGGTTATATGACAAGTCAAGGTATTTCAGCGACGGATGGACGGTATAGGGCATCAACGTTGTCATCAAGGGCATTTCGGGTAGGCTGACGTCCAGAGGGCGGCGGGCAGACTTAGTGCTACGAGTAGATAAAGCAGCTAGACGGTTGACTGCCATAGCCCTGAACGCAGACGCAACAACCTTAGATGAAGAGACAGTCAGTCCGCAATTATTCAAGGTAAGACACTCCAGAAACTTATTAGTTGATAACATGGCCAAGAAAGCATTCACTACCATGATATCAAACTTCTGCTGTGTAATGTTAAGACTGACGGCCACATCTGTTGTTTCAAGGGCACCCAGTAGGGAAATAAGAAACTCCTGTGAAACAGGCGTGATAACTATTAGATCCAAAAGGGCTTTGTTACTCCGGTGGCGGGCATAGTGTGACATCATTTCTCTATAATCTGCTTGCGTCTTTGGGGTCTGGAATATGGGAGAGGAAGCTTTAGTGGTAACCCCAGGGATGCCCCCATAGCTCTCGTGATCGGATTCATTGTGAGCTTGCTGGAATAGCAAGATGTTTTGGCGGGAGAACTCATCCCCTCGCGTTAATTCTCTGGTCAGGGGGCCGCCCTCGGCCTTATACTTTGTGCGGAAGCTGTCCATAAACCTGGAGAAGTTCTGCTCGTAAATGGATTTGTGCCCCATGCTGCAACCAGCACCCATTTTTTGAAAAAATCGTTGGCAAGTATCGATAAGTCAAAAATTGGACAGTGAGCCAAGCTGCCTCACACGTACGATTGCACCTTTAAAGCTTTGATAAGCTACTTATGGAAAAGATATCTAATTACTTTCATAAAGCAAAGACAGCCACAGACGCCGATCGATGTGCACGCTACCTTCATAAAGTGAGCAAGCTTCTCACAAACTATGAGCATCCAGCCACTGCTCTGATAAGCTTAGACTTCTGTGCATATATGGCCAGATACTTGACAGATAGAATGGGCGACCGAACAGTTAAGGCGTTGATTATTAATATCTTGCGAATGGGATTCGATTCAGCTGTAATCATAGGCCCGATGCCACCACAAGTCCACAATAGTCTCGTAGTGCTGAGAGCCTCGTGTGTAGCGGAAAACATAATAGACGGGATTTTACTGTTCCTTTTGGACATGGTCCAACAGCTCAAAGAGAACAATGATAGCCTCATTCTTTTAGACCAGCAATTCGAGGAATTGCGTAGTCGGCCTGTTTTGCAAAGTGACCTAAATCCTCAGATTGCCATGGACAACAGTGAACCACAGGAGGATGCCCAATTAGAACAATCTGTCGCAGATGCTGCGATCCGGTCCACTGAACTATCTGACATATCTATCATTATAGACCAAGGAACTCAGCAGCTTGGGCGCACAGACCTAGGAGACGCTATTGCCTCGGACTCTGCTTCTCCATCCTTATTTGAGAGCCCGTCCCCCCAATCTGAGCACCTTGGATTAACAGACTTAGCTAGCTTGCAGCATAAGAAGTACACTGAAGACCGGTACAGCTTATTAAAGGAAAGAGCAGCCTTGCTTGACGACGTCATTTCCTTGCTCTTCTTCTTGGAGAATCTTTTGGCAATCCGTGTGCAGCCATTGGTAGGTGCTTCCTTGCAGAAAGGAGCATCACATAAGGGGGACTCGTCCAGATCATTGTTCAATAACTTCAGAGGCCATGAGGATGACATGTTTAAAACCTTGCTTACTCTCTGCATCGCTGGAAATCTGCCACAGCTGCTAGTCATTCTTACTAATTTGGTTTCCACAGACGTTATGGCCGGGCTTGCTGCTCCTCTTCTCAGACTTCTTACCGTTTTGCTTCACACTCAATCTCTATATAGTATCAGTAAAGACACGACCCAACCGTTGGCATTCAGACGTATAGAACCCCCTGCTGCAGTGAAAGTTCCCAGGGTCAAGCTAAACATAGTTGGCACCCTTCCGGGGCCCTCTTTAAATCAAGAGAGAACCCCTTTTAATAATAGACCCTCAGTAGATGGATCAGTATCCTTGCAACCTCCGATAATGGCACCTTCTACTGATACGCACATAAGAATGAGCCGTTATGCGTCCGTATCTGCCCTTCCATCATCTCCATCCATCATAGTACCCGGTCAATTGTCACACATAGGCGCAACAGACATGGCACTTGGGGATTACTATCTATTATGCAGGAAAAATACTCCCAGAAGACCCTTGGGGAACACGTTTACACGACTAAAGGCTGTAGCAAGTTCGGGAGATGTGATTCCAGGCTTGTCTGATGATAATAGCATCATCAGCGATATAGATAGCATCACGTCATCAGACGATGCTGAAAAAGGTTCAGCTAGAAGAGGACGCTCAACTGCACTTACGTCTGCAAAAACTATTCCGGTGCATAAGATACCAGTGACATGGCCTTATCTATCACAACCCTCTGTATTCACACCCTTCCATGGAGAGATTCTCATGGCCATATGCAGAGATGGCCACTTGCTTACATTCGTTACATACTGTATGGACCATATTTCTTCCATCTGCCAAGTAGGTTTAGGGATGCAGCAAGGCTTCTCTAGACAACTACTGTACACCAAGCAGCATAGTGTAGAGACAGATCATCAGTTCAACAATGCAATGTTCTGTTGCGTGTTTGTCCTCGCTGCCCAATCTGCTGCCTACATAATATTTAGCACCCTGAACCTTTCAGACACTGAGAAGATGCACCTCTTGCGAGATGACAAAGTATTTAAGTATGTGGACTCGTCCATTCGTGTACTAAACTCAGTATTTGGCGGATTGCAGCGGCATTCCACTGCACTGTCGGGGTTCAATGACCATACCAACTGGTATGTGCGGGACACGGGGCTGTCGTGCTTCTATTGGATTACTGAACTTGTATACCATCTTGGAACTGCACCGGTATCCTCCCTTGGCAAGCGACTAGCTCTTCTGTCTGCAGAAAAGAATAATGCGACAGTGATGAGCACCCTTCCTTTCCAAGCCCAAAAGTTGGCTACCGATGCCCTAGCCAAACGGTTGCGGAGTGAAAATGATCAACTATATAAGATCATGCCTGTGCTGCAGAGTGTCAGCCGGCCATTGCGTATGAGTATTAGCTGTTTGCACACGCTGTCCCACATGCTAGAGACATGGGTGCCCCAAAAAGGTGCCGAGCTGCGCTGTCTCTGTTCTTATGCTCAACTCCTGGCTACAGAAGATCGTTTTCATAGTATGCTAGAAGCACTCTCTCTAACCGCTGAGCAGACGTTCTCAGTAGCAGCTGGATTTGCTACTAAGAGCGTCACTGGAAGGGTTCTCACCCTTGATGGGTCCACCGACGATACAGATGGCGGTGAACCAGTGGCACAGTTTGATCTAAATGCTATAGGAGACGTAGATAGCACTGAAACAGAAGTATGCACTCTTGGAATGTTTATGGCGCGACAAATTTCCAGCTCTGCATTTATCAATGGGCTGTTGATCTTCACCGACAGCATGCTTGAAAAGTCTTTGTTTGGCGAGGGCCAGGAAGAAGTCTATTCGCTCATTTTCAGAATGCTCGAGTTATTTACGCGGGCTGGCATGAAAGATAGCGGTCACACATCTGCAGTATTTGGCAATTTGGAGTCTATCCTGGTGCTAGTGACATTTCTGGACAAGCCTTCCAGCATACCATCTCATCAGAAACTCAAAGAGCTGGCCGGCCAGATCTTGAATATTGTTTGTGAGCCAGCTTATCTTACCGAAGAGAGCATTACTAACCTGTTCAAACGATCCAAGATTCCAGCCCACAGGAGCCTATTCTTTAAGTATGAAGCAGAGAAGTTGGACAACATTTTGATTAATCAACACGCTACTGGCTCTACGTACGATCTTAGAGCCCGGCATGCTGGAGCTACATACAGAAAAGATCTGAATGCCCTTGTCATTAACAAGGATCTTATTACAGATGCTGCTCTTGAGGAGATAATAGGAGACATCTCTGCTGCCAGCCTGGACTATGCAGAAGCTCAGCAATGTCATCGATCGTCTTCTGTCAGAGTTAATCCCTCTGTACCTCAAGTACCCGTATTAAGCGTCCATGAGAGCGAGAACGACAATCTTAGTTTTGGAAGTGGCGCACTGCACAATTCAACTGAAGAAGTACAGTCAGATAAAGACTACAACCAATGTGATCTTCTTTGTGACAATGGGTTTACTCCTGATATCAATCGATTAATAGTGGATCGTACTGAGAAAGAAATGAAGAGGGGAATCGCTCTAGAGGATGTGATGGGTGCTTTGATGATAGATCTGGGGTGTAGCTTTACTGTCGCCCAATTAATTGAGCAGTGGAAACTGCTGTCTTTCAAGACCGGGCATTTCTCTAAGGAAGAGGACAATGTGATCATTCAGTACTCAAAGAAAAAAGGCGGGCTAGGTAGCGCACAGATAACTGAGTTGGCAACGATATTGCACCGCAAACCGCAGACTGTAAGAAAGCGTATTTTAAAGCTCCAAGCAAACAGAGAGACTAGAAGACGTGTTAAACTTTGAGATTCAGATTGTTGACCCCTCGTCGTCTGTCTGTGTTGATTGTGGATGCTCGACCAGTTCAGAAGGACACATTATCCTGATTGCATATAGAGTCCGGCCCTTGTATGAGGCGCGATTCAGCCCCTCTTGTAGTATCTGCAGATATTCTGGCTTTAACTGAACAATTAAAACGCCTTTCCACGGACATGGACTCACCTCTAGCTCAAGTCCGGAAAAGGACACCCAGGCCCCAGATTCCTCATTTAGGAATCCCGTGAGTGCTGGAGATTCTCCAGAAAATGCTATGCTAATTATGGCCCCTTTGATAGTTATAGACTCACAGTACTCCCATAGATCTGCAACAAGCTCTTCCATGCTCTCTGTGTCACGTTGATCTTGATCTGCAACAGCGTTTAAGATTGCTAAGCACTCTATAGAAGACACGCCTACCTGATGCTCCTCAAGCTCCTCATCCAAACCTAGTTCTACCTCATAGAGTGGGAGTGTCCTGGCAGCGTAGATGTTTCCCAGCACATTGTTCAGGCTCCCATGGGCGTTGAATATGTGTTGTCTGTCGTACTTTACAATGCTACCAGTAAAGCTTCCGTTTAGAGTGTGGTTCAGTAGGTCTGTGAGCTTTTTGCACGTGTTGCTCCACAAATCTTGCGTGGCCACTATAGCCACACCATTCCAAATAAGGCGGTAGGGGCTGATCACAAGCTTGGCATATTGGAACACCGTCTCCAGTAACTTTGCTGCCTCAATGAGTGCATTTGTGTATGCCTGTATGGCGCTATCCGTTGTATTACGATACAAATTAAAGGCTAATAACTGAATATCTGTAGAGACTAACGTGTCTGCTTTCGAGATTCCATAAATACTGAGTTCCTGATCGTGAGATGTGGCCTCGATGGATATTGCGACTGATCTGAGGGAGTCCAATGTAAATTGCAGATTGTCTGTCACGCATTGCAGTTGATGGATGGCGGGAAAGAGACGTTCTGAGCCAATGGCGGAGGAGAGCAGAAGCTTGCTTCCATGCAAAGCTGCCAAAGAAAGCTCCTCCGTGCCCTGCTTCGTTGCATCGCGCTGTTGGTTAAGAGTTAGGCGTGCGTTATTGTAGAAAAGCTTCCTCTGAATAGATATCAGTGCATCTGCAATTGCTCTACAACAACAAAACACCTGCGTACATGTGCCAGTGAATCTCACCTTACACACTGTTCCCTGCTTCGAACAGTGACTCCCCTTGAGGGCGACAAGGGCTTCTCGTGATAGGTATGCTGCAACGCCTGCCAAGGTCTCCGGACTGGGTGCATCCTCAATGCCTCCGAGCATCAACCTGGTGGCTCCCTCTCGCTCTCCACAAACACAATATCCCATATCCTTCATTGCTTGGAGATCAGTTATACCCCAAAATGTTGTAGCGAAGCGTCGCTGATATCCTTTGTGTTCTGCTTCCATGGAGGACATAAGGGTAAAAGCAAAAAAGTATAATCGGACCTCTTAGTGTTTCCATGGAATCTGCCTGCATGGAGGACTACGAAAGCCTAGGTCTTATAGGCCAGGGAGGCTTTGGTAAGGTTTATAAGGTCAGGAGCCTCAAGACAAATGAGATCTTTGCTTGTAAGGAAATCGACTATGGCTGTCTCTCCGACAAGTACAAAGAGATTCAAGATAACGAGCTCAAGCTCCTAATTTCTCTGAAACACCCTAACATTGTTCATTTTACAAACGTTTACAAAGATCCCGTCAACGAAGTGTATTACATGTTGATGGAATTTTGCGACAAAGGAGACCTTTCGGATCTCATAAAGCACTATAGACGGGCGAGAAAGGATATTCCAGAGTCCACTATATGGATCTTTGCCTATCAGCTCCTCAATGCTCTTGAATACTGTCATAGCCCGTTCAAGGAGAACTGCCCGAATATGGGGCGAGTCGTACACAGAGACATTAAACCAGAGAATATTCTTCGGGCGGGCGAGGTCACTGTCAAGTTCGCTGACTTTGGTATATGCAGAACAATAGGAGATGGAATAATGGCGACTACAAATGTGGGAACAACATGCTATATGGCTCCAGAACTTCTCAAGGGCCAGGAGTACAACGAGAAAATAGACATATGGGCGCTGGGATGTGCACTGTATGAGCTGTGCACCAAGCAGAGGATGTTTGTTGGAAAGGGAACAGACGTTGTTCTAAAACAGATAGATGAGCTCCCTCGCCCTTTGCACCTAGACAACTACTCCCAAGAGCTGTGTCTTTTCATCGATATGATGCTCACCGTAGATTTTTCCAAGAGACCAGCGGCAAACGAACTACTCCGTTACCCGAAGATTCAAGAAACTGGAGAACAATATAATAGTGGAAAGGTAGACCTCCTTAAAACGCCAGCTCCAGTGGCGCCAAGTGTGCAGGATGTCTTTGGTACCAATGTCGATGTCACAGGAAAATCAATACTTGCCCGAGACCGGCATGCAGCCATCCATGCTGTAGAAAGCGTCGAAATTATGCCTTCAAGCGATCTGTTGTCTACTCAGGGTCAAAACGATTCAGTCGGTATCGGAGCAGCACCAACTAAGAGTATAGCATCTGCAATGCGAACTAAAGAAGAGCTTCTAAACCCTGTCAGATCTCTACCAGTTATTCAAGATGTCCAGATATCCATCTCAAGAGATAAGTATGGTAATACACCTCTCATGCTCGCTGCAGCAAGTGGTAACTTAGCTAGTGTGTTGCAGTACATGGACTCCCAAGTAGGCCTGCAAAATCAAGATTGTAAGACGGCCCTGATGATGGCGGCTGAGAATAATCACCTGCAGATAGTACGCTTTCTCTTGGAAGCAGAGGCTGGTAAGACAACCGATGTTGGAGATACCGCCTTGATCATCGCCGCAACACAGGGCCATACGTCTATTGTTGAGCTCCTTGTTGAATACGAAGCAGGGTTAGCCACCAACGCGGGCTGGACAGCGCTTATGAAAGCAGCTACTGGGGATCACCATCGTGTGGCAAGACTCCTTAAGCTAAGAGAGATGAAGAAGCAAACGGGAAATGGACTTACCGCCCTTATGATTGCAGCGGCTATGAATAGCGAAGGAGTTCTCCAAGAGCTTATTGAAGAGGAATATGGAATGCAAGACAGTGAAGGAAAGACGGCTCTGATCTTTGCTACCATCAATGGCCACCTACAGCTTGTCAAGTGGCTTGCCCCTTATGAATATTCCATACGGGACAACAAGAAACAATCGGCTTTAGACTATGCACGAGCAAGTAAGGATATAGATGTTCAAGATTTTCTGACGATGTATGACGCTATAGCTCTCCGAGGATCTGTGAAGGGTCGGAGAAAAAAGCCGAACATTTTCGGACATAAAGTAGCAGCAACCAAGGACTAACTAGCCCATGCTTCAGTACTTATAAAAGCTCCTTCTTATAAGTGAACAAAAAATTCTCTTTTCGTCAAAAAACGATGATAGGGACAGGCTGGGTGGAGGCTCGGCGTCTCGTTCTGGGAAAAGCAAGCAGAAGCCCAGTTTGGTCTCTACCGGCGTATGCATGTGCATAGGCTGGCCAAGCATCGTTGATAGAAGCTGCTCTTGGTCACCGGAGGGTCTCCGGTTTCATACGCAGAGACATCCTTCAATTAAAAACTTTCCATGTCTGCGCCGTGGACTGAAAAGCACCGACCGCTGTTGCTTGACCGCATAATGCACCAAGATCACGCAGTCCGTGCAGCCAAGAGGTGTATTGAGTCGGGAAACATGCCTCATATGCTACTGTATGGACCCGCTGGGACGGGAAAGACGACGCTTATCCACGCGATGATGCATGAATTCTTTGGCCCGCGTTTCTGGCGAGCACGGGTCAGTGAGTTTAACGCTAGTACCGACAGAGGCATTAAGATCGTGCGAGAGAGAATCAAGAGCATCGCACGAACCGTGATTGCTGTAGCGCCGGATGACGTAAAGGCCGTTTACCCCTGTCCTGATTTCCAGGTAATTATCCTTGACGAAGCAGACGCCCTTACACGAGAGTCCCAGGCGGCGTTGAGGCGCATCATAGAAGACTTCTCGGAAACCACGAGATTCTGTATCATCTGCAACTATCCTAGTCAGATTATAGCCCCTATTGTTTCACGCTGTGCACGCTTTGCATTCTCCTCGCTGCCCCGACCTTTAATTATCGATAGGCTTGAATCTATCTGCTATGCTGAGATGCACCAACTTAGAAATGCAAACGAAAAGCTGTCCTCATCTGCTTCCGAGGCTCTTGGAGAAGTGGCCACCCTTTCCCAAGGCGATATGCGCGCTGCCATAACCTTGCTGCAGGCAACAGTTCAGTTTTGTCAGAATATGGAGGAAGAGCTTTCTCCAAAGCATGTTCACCTTTTGGCTGGGAAGATCCCGGATGAGCTTATTGCCTCGCTCATTGAGAAGATGACGGATGTGTCTTTACCTGTCGAATCTCTAATAGAGTATTTACACAAATCTGTTGTTCGCATCGGTTATCCTGCCTTGGATGTTATTCGTGAACTTTGGAGAAGCCTTTGCTTTGAAGCACAGGTGCCCGAATCTCTCCGCCATGCTGTTGGAGATGCTTACCAACGAGCAGGACTGTATGTAGCACGGAGAGTGTCGGATTCTAGTATCCTCGAGCGGTTTGTGCTTGCTATTTACAACAGCTACTGTCGTCTCAACCAGAAGTTGGCATGATAACTCTATTCATTTTGATCTGGGTCCAGCTTCACAGCCTGAATCAGGGTATCTAGCTGATGCATTCGCCTCTCTGGAAGTCCTTGTGCCCACTCACCAGCGTACGGTGGCTTATAAAGGATTCCAGTTTCCTCTTGCAGCCTTTTACGCAGAGAGGCCTCTTCTCGCTGGCTTGTAAGTTCGTTATTCATGCTTGTTATTCTATTGGCTACTTGCTGGGTGGTTTCCATCGGAAGTGGCGCACCCTTCGGTACCGGGCATGGCTTGGTGTATTGCTCACGCCATAAACGTACACACTCTGCGTGGTCATTCGCCGCTGCATCTTTGGCCATGTCAGACATGGGGATGTAGCTCTTCCTGTGCGTAGTTCTGTCGTCATATTTGAGCTCTCTCTCAAGTGTCATCGTGTCCTGTACGTTTTCTTCTGTGATGTTTCGAAGGTAGGGCTTGCCCCCTGTTAAACCCCAGCGAAGGCTATCCGTCTTAGAGAACATCTGGCCAACGGGAGCAGTCAAGAAGGAAGATTTAGGCGCGTTGGGGACGTCACGTGGAACGTACCTAAGCTTGCTATCTACAGGACCAAATTCTGCTCCTTCTGGCATTTCTCCGATTTTGTTGCCATATGTGACAGTAAATCTTGCTCCGGAGTCAGCTTCAGACCAATATGTGGGGACAAGTGGCCCGACTCCATCTGTTGCCTTCCGGTTGAGTGTGTAATCATGTTGGTGGCACGACACATTCCACTGCTTCCTCCACAGGGTCTCGGCCGATGAGTCTGCAGCTGGAATATAGCTTGTCTGCGAAAGCATTGCTTTAGCATAGATCGGCTTGGGAGCCGTTGATCCCTGCATTTGGGGAGGTACATAGATGTAGCCACGCTTTAGAGCAAAGCTAGATGGCTCGCTAGAGCCTCTAGTAGCCTTTCCACCGCGGGAGCCTGACTTCTGATCGAGAGTACCAGCTAGAAAGGTGTTGCAATCTACACATGTAGGAGGAGCGCCAACTGGTGCGTCATTTATTATTTGACTCTTCAACCTCCGAGAATTCGCCTTGGCATTGGCCATCGACGGGGCTGTTGTCTTGGAGATGGCCTGTTGACGGCTATATCCCCAGAGCGTAGGGCATGCAGAATGGTTCACAGGTCGTGTATCACTGTGTGACCTGTTTAGCGATGGAAGTCCACCAACTGTTTCAGTCATCTTGTCGTCATGGAGAGCTGAATGGGACGTCACCCCGCTAACAGAACCCATAGTTTGCGCCCCTTTGACTCCGCCAGGATACAATGTCCCCCCGGGTGTTGCTGGGAGAGTGCTCTGAGAAGCTTTGGGCGCATCATCGGACTGGAAAACCTGCTTTTCAGTATTCGTTAGCGGAAGGTCCTCTGGATGCTTCGCGGCCTGATAGCGCTTGAGATCGTTAGTCAGGTCCTGAAACACTGCCTTCTCATCATACTTAGCGTGCGCTGCCCAATTGTACGCCTTATCAGTGATCAGAGCTTTCATTCAAAAATTTATTTCAAATTCTCAAATTTGGCGCAATTGTACTCATCTGAAACTCCACAGAGAGATGCATTGCAGCAAGACAATTTGACCATCCTGATAGCTTGCTAACGCTTTCTGCTGATCTTTTCACTGGATGCGTTTCAGATTCTAGCGCCTAGTTTCTCACTAATCCACACGTAACAGTCATATAATCTGTCAATCCAACTTTGTTCTTGCTCTTTTTAGCAAGGAAAGTTTAATGAATTGCCAATCTATTATCTTTGTATGGACAAACAAAGGTAGGTTGCAATTAGCTTACGGGTTTGTGAGAGTATCCCTTAGAAAAGATGGCATAGAAAACACATGTCCTAACTTCATCGAAATACTTATCATAGCTAGAGTAGCTGGTCCTCCTAAAATTTGAGATACAAAGAGAAGTAATTAAAAAGTTGTGCAATGGCACGATTGGCTGTTATAAATTCACGGCTGTCCCAAGAGTACTCACGCTACGAGGCATTATGGAAGGAGTATGAGCGTGTGTCGACAGAATTTCATAATGTAGAACTGGGCCTGCAATCTGGACCCAGTGACAGTTTTGATGAACGCTTTTCCGATCTATACTCAGAATTTTCCTCACTAATCTATAAGATAGAACATATGCATAATCTTTTGGAGAGGCTGATGACAGAAGTAGACCGAGAAGAACGGGAGCTGGCGGCTCACGAGGCTCGGCTAAAGGAGTCAAAGAGGGCAATGGGAGATCTTGTTACAACGGGATCGCACTCTCATAAAGACAGGAAGGATTTAACTAGTATGCCTGAGCATGATGCAGTGGTGCCAGGAGGCCTTTCACTCAGAAGCATTGCTAAATCCAATATCATCTCCTCCCAGGGACAGAGCTATGGGCCTATGACAAGGGATAGCACAGCTGCAGCCAAACAGGCACATAGAGAATTCTTAGACAAATATGGTGCTCGTCTTAGCAAGGCGAGGGAGATTCAACAGCTGTATGACAAAGCCATACTTGAAGCAGAACAAAAGAGAGAAAACGCATTTGCTCACCTAATGGAAACAATAAAGAAAATCAATTCTGAACACTCCATACGAGTCCAGCGACGTCTTGATGAGGAAGACAAACGAACGGCTCAGAGACTCAAGGAAATCACTGCATTCCACGAGCAAATTGCTGCAAATATCGAGCATGGAATTGTGACCACTGACAATGTTTATAAAAAGTTCCGAGAAGAAGACCAAAAGAGATTATTAGCAACCTATATTAAAGCACGGAAAAAGCAGTTACTTCTTTCTAAAAAGGCCGCTGAAGAGTTTGCTACAGAAATGGCTCGCCGCGAGCTACAGTACTATAAGGATTGTGAGGCCACTAAACGCCAGAAAACTATAAAAGCAAAGAGTATTTCTTCTGTGAACAGAAGTGCAGAAACAATCACGCGGGTAACGGGACTTGATGATCCGTGTGAGGTCCTCTATCAGTCTACTCGTTCTAAGCATCTTAGGGACCCTGTGTCTGTTGTCGCAAAAAATATTGTTCCTCCTTCAGTGGGACTTGGGCTGCGCACAAGGTCTGGTGGTCTAGAGCCTGATATCTCACACCATGAAGCATACAAAGCGGAAGAGCAAAGGCTTATCAGCACATCAGCCATTCTGGCAGCATCAAAGAACAAGTCTTCCCCCAGTCGTGCAGATCCTATGTCTTACCTTTGTAAGGACCCCTTTTACGATATGCTTCCAAAAAACACAACACCGGCAAATACAACGACCCAAGTTGCTGCTGATTTACAAGAGGCTACACGTACTTCCTCCAAAGAGCAGCGACGACCTTCACCTACCCAAGTGCCAGCTCGTGGGAAAGGAGCAGATGCAAAGAAGGAGGTCAGGGAGATAGACTTTGATGCATGGCCGAGCAGTGACGATGATAACGAGGTAGCCCTGGCCTACGACCATGCCCCGCCCCCACCACCGGAAAGCTTCTCAACCACGAAAAGAGACAAAACAAATACTCAGAAGTTGCCGGTCGCTAAACCTATCGTATCTAGTCAGGCGTCCGAACGACTAGGTGCCAAGAAGTTAGCGTCGTCCCATCTTAGGAAGCTGAAAACATTGGACATGCCTTGTGCTATTCAAACGCAGACAGTGATGTCATCACACCTTAGTAGCTCTTCAGCATTTCTCTGCCATCCCTCGGCGGTTATCTTTTTTGACTACGCCCCTGGGCAGTCTAAGTCGTTTGTAATCCAAGTGACTAACGTATCAGCAGGGCTTGCTGCATTTAAAGTTCTTGAGCCAGAACCACAAGTTCTTCATTTGCTAAAGTTTACATATACACCCAGTGGATTTATGGCCTCTGGAGCAAAGACATCAGTAACGATCATATTTACGCCTCCACTAAATGAAAAAGCGTGCTTAACTGTTATAGACACTTCCCTCACCATAAAATACCAAACTGGAGAGCTTCACGTTCCGATTACCTGTTATCCGCGCCAAATAGCAATTCTTATCTTAAAAAATCTTGAATTAGTGAGAAAAGTATATGAGATTTCCATTTCTTTACGTAATTCTTCTCCAGAAACCCTGGCAACAAAGGCCACGCTCATCCATACAAATATCAATGGAGCAATTATTTCAGATCTAGGCGCTACCTTGTCACAAACTATGAACTTGTCGTCTCTAGCATTAAATAAAGATGGTGGGAGAGAGCTTATCACGTTGGCAACGCCTCCACACGGAGTCTCACAGGAGGCATTTTATCTGTCCAATAGTGGTGCGTTGCCTGCACTAGTAAGGATAAGATTGGATGCATGTGCTCTTCACAGCAGTCTGCTTGGTATCCCAGTACCACAAACCATATTAACCGGTAGCTTAACTGAAATACAGCAAATTGCAAATGATAACGTGAAGGCGCATTCTACATCTAGACCCTTTTCTATGGAGAAGCAGCTCAGCGAACAGATGCACCTCACTTTCGACGCCCAGTCGTCGTCCCCATCTACTTTGCGAGGATCTATGTCGAGAAGAAAAGGAATGCTACTTGACCGCACAATTCCCCAAACCTTTAGATCTACCAGTGTTTCTATAGACACGGTGTACTCATACATGCAACAAGCAACCAGATCGACATCTCCACGAATCCCCTCTAAGCTATACTCAACAGACGAAGTTGAAACTCGGCATCGAGAAGTGGAAGCATATGTTTCTGCACTGAATAAAAGGGTTGAGGAGATCCTTGCCAGTAATACACCGGCGGAGGTAAATCCACCGGCTGCGAAGTCTCTTGTTGCTAGACAACGATCACCAAAAGCAGGCCTTATTCAGCAAAAGCAGACACACTCTACAGATAACGATACTACAGTGGTACCGAACATTACACGTGATGATGCTATTGACGTGGCAATCACTGAGTTAGGGCCTCAACCGGAAGAGCTCAGCACAGAATTGATGGTAGAAGCCCTATCCAATATTTCAGTGACGGGACACAACGAGTCAGCCAGGACTGCTCCTCTACTTCAAATTGGAACTCCGTTCTTGGCATTTTATGAAGGAAAGGCATTTCATTTCGAGCCATACTTTGCTCGCCTTAAGAAAGAAAAGCTGAAGGATATTCTTTCTGAGAATTTGCAAGCAATTACTGCACAACTAGAGGATGAGCGCAGGGCTTACGAAAAAAGCCTAGAGCAGCCAGTAGCTCTCCAAAAAGGGAACGGAGGCACAGCGAATTCATCAACAAATAAAGGAGGAGGAAGGCCGCCCAGTACTCGAGGTACAAAGGATGTTCTCACCACGAACGACCAGCAGAGCTCTAAAGAGGATACTGCCAGCAACACACTACTGGATCCCGTGTTCTTTAAGTCAGAGCTAGACAGGCGCGTGAAGGAGAAGACAGAGACAGACATGACTGCGTGGGCCCAAGCATATAACGTAGCTAACGATTTGCTTGAGTATACGGTGCACAGTAATATAGAACTGTCTATAGTTCTTCCCCCGATGTCTATTGTGGCCCTTCCTGTCGTGCATTCTCCGCTTCGCTTTCTCTTAGACATGATACTAAAACTTAACCTAACCGTTAAACCTATCTTTCCTTGCTTGGACAAGTCCGACGATGATTATGCTGTCTTGCAAAGTAGTGGCGAATTTACCAACACTTTGCTTGTAAATGCATACACCCTCCAATCAGGAGTGTATGCTTTAAGCAGCAGTATAGATTACCTGACTTGTTTTTACAATTCAACATACAGCTCTGAGATAAGGCTGCGGTCTGTTGACAACAATAGTAGACCAATAACTGTCTTTGTACCAACTCTCATGAAAACCATTTGCTCCTCCAACGTCTCCGAAACAATTATCTGCAAGACAACGGGGGATCTTCATATAAAGGTCAGCTTACTATGCGAAAGTAAGGCTGAATTGATGAGGATTCTTAATCAGGTAGAGCAGTACCAAGAACTGGTCGACTACACTGATCTAGAATACACAATCAAGGAAAACCGTAGACCGCCTGCCACCAAGTGCCCCTTAGAATCGTGGGCAGATATTTTCATCTCCGGAGTCGACCAATATGCCCCTACCCTTCCATCTGTAGTCTTGGGGGATGATGTTAGAGCTCTCAATGAGCAACTGAAGCAGCAATTACAGGAGCTAGATTCGCTATTGAACTATCAGCAGGAGCTGGAGACCAAATTGGCAACTCTGCTGCAAAAGAAGCAAGCGGTGGAAGATGCACTTCGAGACGCAGATGATTCTAAACCCTCGTCTACATTAGGTTCTGGAAGGGCTAAAGAGCTGGCAAAGGCAGTAGAAAAAAAGACGCCTAGCAAGAGCAAGACCACAAGCTCTACATCCAGTCAAGAAGAATTTCAAAGGTTAACCCTCGAGTGTGATCAGCTATCATCAAACCTACAAACCATTAGAGACCAAGATTTGCCCTTGCTGCAAGGAAGAGTAGCTAACGCAAAAGCAGAGTTACGGAACTTGAGTTCTGTAGGTGGGTATATTAGTTGTTCATTTAATATACTAATCAGAGTATCTGGTCAGCCCGAACCGATTCTTGTTCGGTTAAGCACCTGCTTCACCAGCTCGGAGCTTCTTGTCAAGCTTCCTTATACCCACCCATCTGCGAGTGAGGAGTCAGCCTCTATACGTGCCAAGTCTAGTGTTCTTTCACAGGTTACAAAAACTGTTCGTACAATGCGTACTGTGGGGACATTAGCCACGCGAGCCAATCGTACATTAACAGAAGGATATCTAACGATTAATGACACCTTAGACCTTCAGGACCGGTCATCAGTTAATTTGGGTGAAATAGCATTGTGGCATGTGACGAATGTCCCTGTCATCGTACGGAATAGCAGTGCATTGCCGCAGCATGTTGCGCTTTTGACTAAACCTGTTCCAGATGTCTCTTTATTAGCAGGGCCAGATAATGGCACGATTCTTCTCTATCCTGGCCAAGAAGTCCGCATGCACTTGGGGATCTTGCCCAATAATGCAAAGAAGTTTCAAGTGAAATGCTCGATTGAGTCGGAGTTTGGATACATCAAGAACTTCACTATCTGTGCTACTTCTATGCAGCCCTCACTCCTTTGCCAAAGCAGCATGGATATATTTAGAATGAGTGTTACAGATATTCTTCGAGTAGAGCAAATTTATCTGCGCTCAACGGTTAACATGCCCAAAAAATGGTCTATATCTCCGGCATTTCTTCAGTTCATGGAGACTAACTTTAATGGGTTTCTAAGTATTAAGCCTACTGCTGGAGTAGTCGCTGCACAATCTATTTATAGAATGTCAGTAACAATTAATACATCTGCCTCCCTCTTGGTCCGACTACTTTCTTTTCTAGATGATCAGCATGCAGATGAAGCGCTCAAGGATTTGCTTGATCTGAGCCAGACATCCAGACCTATATCTGCCACTGCAGTTAGTCCTTCTCATAATGCCCTTGAAACTTATACAGCCGAGCCTAGTCCAAACACATCGGCAGTTCTTGGCACGTCTTCTACCACTGACATTATCAATTATCTGACAAAGAAAAATCAATTCCTTTATATCCAGAGACGCCATTTGGACCCCTCTGTTCTTCTCCCTGACAATAGCTCCATTCTGAGCGATTCTGATGTCTCTGTTGAAAATGATCCCACTACCACAGACCTAGTGAATACGGAAGAAGGTAAGCAGAAGAAGCTGGATTCCAATGAAATGGTACAATCGAAAAAACAGATCTTTGTCGACCAGCATTTGACCATTAACATACCAATTATGACAGAAGATGCTGCGTCTCCCTTTTTGGTTTGCCCGTTGAATTTGCTAATCGCCCGTCCTATTATTGTGATAGCACCCGTGCCAAATAGGCTTTGCGACGAACTTGATGTAGCTCCTGATGATGCAATACTTATTCCGCCTCTCACCTTCAAGGAGGATCTCAACTCAACCGAGGGCACTACTTCGTCTGCACTATTAACGGCTAACGGTGGATCATTGCAGGTTGTAACACAAGGTATTCCAGAAGATCCTATAACAAAACAGATGCCTGCGCTAGCTGAATCAAAATACGTAGCTAACTTGCTGCGTCAAGAGGCCCTTAAGCTTCCTACTATTTTAGCTCACAATCAATCCCTCATAACGCTCAATTTTGGATATGTTCCTTTGGGTTGTGTGTCAAACCGAAGTGCAGTCATATCGCTGAATGAGTCTCTTCCATTCTATGATCGCGAACAATATTATGGAGACCATTTTCAATTCAGACGCCAGCTGGAAGAGGCCTTTGATTCGGATATTATATTAACAAGCTGCCTTGAAGAAGCCTCTATGACAGCACAGAAGCCCCTCACACTCCACTTCGAGTATTCTCCAAGGCGAGTGGGGTACACTGAAGAAACCATAGAATTGTCATCAAGTTCTCTGCTCACAAGTCAACGACTTAACAATGTTATCCTCAAGCTAAAGGGCTATGGTGTTAAGGTTACCCTGGCTGTAACTTTAGATAGCTCCAGCTCTTTAGTACAAACAGATTTTCCGCTTCCAGATATCTACACTGCCTCTCAGTCAGACGTCATTTACACTGAGTCCCCGCCGATACTAATTGTTGACACTTCAGAGACCTATACGCATTTAATTGCACTGACTCTCAGTAATGAAAACAAGTATGACTTTAAATACAACGTGAAATATCACGAGTGTTCTGAAAACATATCGCAAACCGCTATTGCATCTGAAGGTGTAGTGCCTAAAGGAAGTAGCATTATGACCAAAATACTTATAGGGGTGTTTGGGGTAACAGAAGCCAATGGAAGCTTGGCCGTAACAGAGATTGTTTCTGGAGATGCAAAGAAGCTGGTTATATGTAGGTGCTTTGCTTCGCGACACCCTGTTTCCATGTACTTTATTGGACCAGTGGTCACTGTACCGCTCCAAGGCAGTACAAAAATATATTGTGGGTGTGCAATAGAACAGCCCCAGGCCGAGTTTAAGCACATTTCGACTTCTCCCCAACTTTTAGATCTCGTTATCTCCCCGGCTAGTGGAACTGTCCAGGCGGGAAAGATGGCAAAAATGACCCTTTCTGTTCCAAAGCTTGCGTTCTCTGGTGCCTTGTCCTTAACTATGGAAGGCTACATAAGCTTTAAACTGACCTGTGGATCGTTTGAAAAAACCGCTATCCTTCCAGTTAGAATTACTCTAAACTAAGCGGGGGCGTTTCACTACTTGGCAACTGATCAATTGATGTATCTTCCTGCGGACTCTTCTGACTTCCCTGCAGTCGGTTCTGTTTCTTCTTATAATAATGATAAGCAGTAGTATATATGATGACTCCAGATATAACGAAGCATAAGGATAGGATTTTAAATAGATCTATGCACTCAGAACTATCTACTTCACAAAATAGAAAGTGACTAAGAACGAAGACACCGATGGAGCTAATTGCCTTGTTGATCCCAACTATCACGGAGCCTACAGCCACGACAGCTGTGAATTGGGCGTATAGGTGAGCCCAGTCAATCAGGATTAATAGGAGGTAGGTGCTAAATATTTTCCAGTATGATCCACCACCAGCTTCCATTGGCTGGACAAATAGTGCCTCCCACCGAGGAATTGTGTATCCTGTGACATAAGAAAGGAAAATTGCAACCCCAAAGATTCCCATGTAGCCGGCCAAGAAAGTGGAGTGAATTGGGTACTCCTTATGAAGACAAAAGTATTCGGATACCCAGTAAACACCAGAGTGCAGAATGGTCCCCACCAAAGTGACAGCCATTCCAATTAGCGTTGACAGGCCGAACGTGGTGAAAGCGCCCACTCCAGATATCATCAGTCCAATAGTAACAACCACAACACCCATCCACATAGGCCACGTGAAGTGTCTCTTCAAGAGTAACAAAGACCCAATAGCTGACCAAATAGTGAGGGAGGAGTAGACAATAATATATAGACCCGAGCCAATCATCAGCTGGCCGAAGAGCGTGAGAGTCGTTGCACTGACATCTATCAGAGTCATTACAATTATCTCTTTGGGAAACTTATAGAGAGAGGCTCGACGTGAGTAGTGAGACTTGCGTGTAGGAATAGCCATAAGTAAGGCCATTCCCATGGAGTTAGGGATAGGAAAAAGAAAAGCCTGCTTCTCGGCTCCACCCATCCGACTAATTGAGTCTAGGACAATTGGCTGAAAGATCCCTGTAACGACATAAATTACAACAAGCAGTATGGAAAGCCATCGAGGAAGTGACTTCAATTTGAGGGGATGACGATGCTTCAGCGTGCTCTTCTGAGCTGTGCTGGGTGATTTTCTGGACATTAAGCAGCGGTTTTTTGTTCCAACCAAATTTGCCCATTTGGCGCACTCCCCCTGGTAATTGCCAATGTGGCGAATAATTATATGTGCTGAGTGTACGCATTAGTAGTTTCATCAGTTTCTGAGCCAGGCATCACAGTGTTGCTTACGCACCCCTCGTCCTACCTGCGGCCACAGCACGTGCTAGTACTCATCCCACCAAACGCACAGAAACACTGGGGCAGATAAGACAACAGACGTCTGCCCCCAAAATCAATAACTAGGCATCACCGGAATCTACCGATGATGCGTTTACTACCAAGACACCAGCCCCCGCAGAGGGAGCCAACGAATACTCCACAGCAATGTACAGGAGTGCACCCCGACCAATCATTCCACAAGAGAGGTGCGATCTGAGTCTGGTCCTCACTGGTTCTGTTCCTACTGAAGCCAGGGAGAACTGCGCTATCAGTTGGCCTCCGATGGATGTGCTCCTATCTTGTCCTTCTCCAGTCCAACCGATCAAGAGAGCAAGAGCGGCTGTCTCTCACTGCTCGCGGCAACACACCGGCCTGACGGAAGGGCAGTGGCATATGAATCCGGCTAATGTTGGTAGGATTTCTCCTAGTTTGTGCGGTAACACAGGCAAGCTGTGCGGCGGGCTGCCAGACCTGCAACCCTGCCGACCAGACCTGCACGGCATGCACCGACAGTTCTCACAACATACAGGTCGACGGGAAGAGCTGTGCCGCAGATTGCCCGCCGAACTCTGCCCCCAACCAGAAGGTGTGCGAGTGCGAGGGAGGATACGGCCCGGTCGCCGGACAGAACAGGTGCGAACAGAATCCTAGCGCAGGCTGTGCGGCGGGCTGCCAGACCTGCAACCCTGCCGACCAGACCTGCACGGCATGCACCGACAGTTCTCACAACATACAGGTCGACGGGAAGAGCTGTGCCGCAGATTGCCCGCCGAACTCTGCCCCCAACCAGAAGGTGTGCGAGTGCGAGGGAGGATACGGCCCGGTCGCCGGACAGAACAGGTGCGAACAGAATCCTAGCGCAGGCTGTGCGGCGGGCTGCCAGACCTGCAACCCTGCCGACCAGACCTGCACGGCATGCACCGACAGTTCTCACAACATACAGGTCGACGGGAAGAGCTGTGCCGCAGATTGCCCGCCGAACTCTGCCCCCAACCAGAAGGTGTGCGAGTGCGAGGGAGGATACGGCCCGGTCGCCGGACAGAACAGGTGCGAACAGAATCCTAGCGCAGGCTGTGCGGCGGGCTGCCAGACCTGCAACCCTGCCGACCAGACCTGCACGGCATGCACCGACAGTTCTCACAACATACAGGTCGACGGGAAGAGCTGTGCCGCAGATTGCCCGCCGAACTCTGCCCCCAACCAGAAGGTGTGCGAGTGCGAGGGAGGATACGGCCCGGTCGCCGGACAGAACAGGTGCGAACAGAATCCTAGCGCAGGCTGTGCGGCGGGCTGCCAGACCTGCAACCCTGCCGACCAGACCTGCACGGCATGCACCGACAGTTCTCACAACATACAGGTCGACGGGAAGAGCTGTGCCGCAGATTGCCCGCCGAACTCTGCCCCCAACCAGAAGGTGTGCGAGTGCGAGGGAGGATACGGCCCGGTCGCCGGACAGAACAGGTGCGAACAGAATCCTAGCGCAGGCTGTGCGGCGGGCTGCCAGACCTGCAACCCTGCCGACCAGACCTGCACGGCATGCACCGACAGTTCTCACAACATACAGGTCGACGGGAAGAGCTGTGCCGCAGATTGCCCGCCGAACTCTGCCCCCAACCAGAAGGTGTGCGAGTGCGAGGGAGGATACGGCCCGGTCGCCGGACAGAACAGGTGCGAACAGAATCCTAGCGCAGGCTGTGCGGCGGGCTGCCAGACCTGCAACCCTGCCGACCAGACCTGCACGGCATGCACCGACAGTTCTCACAACATACAGGTCGACGGGAAGAGCTGTGCCGCAGATTGCCCGCCGAACTCTGCCCCCAACCAGAAGGTGTGCGAGTGCGAGGGAGGATACGGCCCGGTCGCCGGACAGAACAGGTGCGAACAGAATCCTAGCGCAGGCTGTGCGGCGGGCTGCCAGACCTGCAACCCTGCCGACCAGACCTGCACGGCATGCACCGACAGTTCTCACAACATACAGGTCGACGGGAAGAGCTGTGCCGCAGATTGCCCGCCGAACTCTGCCCCCAACCAGAAGGTGTGCGAGTGCGAGGGAGGATACGGCCCGGTCGCCGGACAGAACAGGTGCGAACAGAATCCTAGCGCAGGCTGTGCGGCGGGCTGCCAGACCTGCAACCCTGCCGACCAGACCTGCACGGCATGCACCGACAGTTCTCACAACATACAGGTCGACGGGAAGAGCTGTGCCGCAGATTGCCCGCCGAACTCTGCCCCCAACCAGAAGGTGTGCGAGTGCGAGGGAGGATACGGCCCGGTCGCCGGACAGAACAGGTGCGAACAGAATCCTAGCGCAGGCTGTGCGGCGGGCTGCCAGACCTGCAACCCTGCCGACCAGACCTGCACGGCATGCACCGACAGTTCTCACAACATACAGGTCGACGGGAAGAGCTGTGCCGCAGATTGCCCGCCGAACTCTGCCCCCAACCAGAAGGTGTGCGAGTGCGAGGGAGGATACGGCCCGGTCGCCGGACAGAACAGGTGCGAACAGAATCCTAGCGCAGGCTGTGCGGCGGGCTGCCAGACCTGCAACCCTGCCGACCAGACCTGCACGGCATGCACCGACAGTTCTCACAACATACAGGTCGACGGGAAGAGCTGTGCCGCAGATTGCCCGCCGAACTCTGCCCCCAACCAGAAGGTGTGCGAGTGCGAGGGAGGATACGGCCCGGTCGCCGGACAGAACAGGTGCGAACAGAATCCTAGCGCAGGCTGTGCGGCGGGCTGCCAGACCTGCAACCCTGCCGACCAGACCTGCACGGCATGCACCGACAGTTCTCACAACATACAGGTCGACGGGAAGAGCTGTGCCGCAGATTGCCCGCCGAACTCTGCCCCCAACCAGAAGGTGTGCGAGTGCGAGGGAGGATACGGCCCGGTCGCCGGACAGAACAGGTGCGAACAGAATCCTAGCGCAGGCTGTGCGGCGGGCTGCCAGACCTGCAACCCTGCCGACCAGACCTGCACGGCATGCACCGACAGTTCTCACAACATACAGGTCGACGGGAAGAGCTGTGCCGCAGATTGCCCGCCGAACTCTGCCCCCAACCAGAAGGTGTGCGAGTGCGAGGGAGGATACGGCCCGGTCGCCGGACAGAACAGGTGCGAACAGAATCCTAGCGCAGGCTGTGCGGCGGGCTGCCAGACCTGCAACCCTGCCGACCAGACCTGCACGGCATGCACCGACAGTTCTCACAACATACAGGTCGACGGGAAGAGCTGTGCCGCAGATTGCCCGCCGAACTCTGCCCCCAACCAGAAGGTGTGCGAGTGCGAGGGAGGATACGGCCCGGTCGCCGGACAGAACAGGTGCGAACAGAATCCTAGCGCAGGCTGTGCGGCGGGCTGCCAGACCTGCAACCCTGCCGACCAGACCTGCACGGCATGCACCGACAGTTCTCACAACATACAGGTCGACGGGAAGAGCTGTGCCGCAGATTGCCCGCCGAACTCTGCCCCCAACCAGAAGGTGTGCGAGTGCGAGGGAGGATACGGCCCGGTCGCCGGACAGAACAGGTGCGAACAGAATCCTAGCGCAGGCTGTGCGGCGGGCTGCCAGACCTGCAACCCTGCCGACCAGACCTGCACGGCATGCACCGACAGTTCTCACAACATACAGGTCGACGGGAAGAGCTGTGCCGCAGATTGCCCGCCGAACTCTGCCCCCAACCAGAAGGTGTGCGAGTGCGAGGGAGGATACGGCCCGGTCGCCGGACAGAACAGGTGCGAACAGAATCCTAGCGCAGGCTGTGCGGCGGGCTGCCAGACCTGCAACCCTGCCGACCAGACCTGCACGGCATGCACCGACAGTTCTCACAACATACAGGTCGACGGGAAGAGCTGTGCCGCAGATTGCCCGCCGAACTCTGCCCCCAACCAGAAGGTGTGCGAGTGCGAGGGAGGATACGGCCCGGTCGCCGGACAGAACAGGTGCGAACAGAATCCTAGCGCAGGCTGTGCGGCGGGCTGCCAGACCTGCAACCCTGCCGACCAGACCTGCACGGCATGCACCGACAGTTCTCACAACATACAGGTCGACGGGAAGAGCTGTGCCGCAGATTGCCCGCCGAACTCTGCCCCCAACCAGAAGGTGTGCGAGTGCGAGGGAGGATACGGCCCGGTCGCCGGACAGAACAGGTGCGAACAGAATCCTAGCGCAGGCTGTGCGGCGGGCTGCCAGACCTGCAACCCTGCCGACCAGACCTGCACGGCATGCACCGACAGTTCTCACAACATACAGGTCGACGGGAAGAGCTGTGCCGCAGATTGCCCGCCGAACTCTGCCCCCAACCAGAAGGTGTGCGAGTGCGAGGGAGGATACGGCCCGGTCGCCGGACAGAACAGGTGCGAACAGAATCCTAGCGCAGGCTGTGCGGCGGGCTGCCAGACCTGCAACCCTGCCGACCAGACCTGCACGGCATGCACCGACAGTTCTCACAACATACAGGTCGACGGGAAGAGCTGTGCCGCAGATTGCCCGCCGAACTCTGCCCCCAACCAGAAGGTGTGCGAGTGCGAGGGAGGATACGGCCCGGTCGCCGGACAGAACAGGTGCATATCTTCTAGCGTCAACAAGAGCGGCCTTTCCACGGGCGCCATAGCTGGCATCGCTGTGGCCGCTGTCATCGTCGTCGGGGGCCTCGTCGGCTTCCTCTGCTGGTGGTTCCTCTGCCGGGGCAAAGCGTAGATGTAGACTTAGGTAGTAAATGCTGTATGGACATGTGGGCGGTGCTCTAGCGTGGGTGAGCAGTGGGTGCCCGATCTCTGGGCTCTCGTGGGCCTCATTCACAGACCCGCTTGGTCTCTGCACGAGAGCATCCGTTTGTGGGACGCTGAAGAGGTGCACCTGCGTGTCTGTGTCCCTGTGTGTCTCCCATGCATGCCCTTGCAGCCGTGTGTCATCCCCGGGACCCCAGCTCGGATCCTCAGACTCCACGGCGCAGGAAGAGGTGCGGGCCCGCTCCTGCCATTGGCTCGTCTGCGCGACGGTCGTGGCTGTGCGCACCCTTGTATGCACTGGGCAGCGGAAAGACAGCCCTACGCATCGCTGACCCGTGCCTTGTGCTTCCTCTGCTTCCCCTCCTGGCCCTTCTGCGACCTCCCCCCGACCCCAGCGCGACGGCCGGAACTCACCTGCATGCTCGCCATGCAGAGGAACAGGCGCGCTCCATCCACGGCCGTGAAGACGCACCGCAAGGCCCCTTCTGTCTCGTACAGGGCGCAGAACGTGTGTGTCGAAGGGACCAACTCGCACGTGCTGACAGAGCGGGGGCCGTCTGTGCCGCTCTCCACGGGCATCCTGTGGAAGTGGAGGAGGCTTCCCTTGCAGAAGGCCAGACAGAGGGTTCCCGGGGCAGCCGAGGATGGGGACAGAGAGAAGATGCGGAACGACTCAGACTCCGGGGGTAGGTTCTGGGCCCCGAAGTCATCGAGTTCTATCGTGGAGAACGAGAGATGCGACAGCAGGCCGGAGACGACCAGGAGGACCGGCAGATCGGAGCGCTCGCCGGTCTCGGAAACGGCCGACACGGCGACGACAGCCGAGGTGCCACACATGCAGACGGCCCCGACCTGCGCCTCTGCAAGCTCAGGACCCTCTTTGCAGCGGTACGAGAGATGCTCCTCGGGGCTCGAGATAACAACCCGGGACATGTAGAACTCCGTGCCGGTCTGAGTGAACCACTCGAACCCCCGTAGCACCAGGTCCAAAGTTGCGGGCTCCTGGAAGCAGACGCAGCACAGAACGACTCCTGCATCAGTCGTGGGGGCCAGGACATAGAGGAGGGAGGAGGCCGGATCGTAGCGCAGAGAGGGGCAGGCAGTGTCAGCGACGGAGACGGGGAGGACAGTTGCCTGGGGACACCCACCACGCAGGCAGAGCAGTAGAAGGCCCGTGCTTTGCGGGTCCTGTGCTGGGAGCCCGAACGTAGCGACGAGGACAATTGCGGCTCCGCACCTCTCGGCAGAGAGGCTTCGGATGGGCCAGGGGATGTCCCGCGCGGGGTAGAGCAGAACTAGGCGATGCGTTCGATGAGAGCCTGCCACGAGCTCGTAGATGGCCGACACAGAGGCGAGGAAGACCCGCTCATCCAGGGCGCAGACCGCGGTCAGGGGCTCCCCCGGAGCGGCGCGTCCGAGGCTGCAGACACTTCTGCTGCCGCTGATGCCCTTGGAGGCGATTGCATGGACGATGGGGGCCCGGCCCCGCGTGGTTAGCGCCACGACAGCGTCCCTACCGCAGACTCGCGCAACCACCGCAGCGATGACTGGGGCGTCAAGCTCGGCCCTCCACTCGCACAGGGGGGATCCGGGGGCGTGGGCAGCGGTATCCCCAGAAGAGACATCCGCGCGCTCCAGGGCGCTCATTTTAAGACTGAGGTCCATAGCTCTGCGACGCCATCTGCACGTCAGCCCCGGGCAAACAGTCGGGCTGTTCTCTTGGCCACATGCTCGCTGCTATGGGGACCCCGAGCTGTTCTCACCTCGAGTCTTCGCAACAGCCCGGGCAGATGGGTGCAGAGGCAGTCACAGCGCGGCTAAGCCGTTGCCTGCAGGGCATTCTTCCAGCCAGGGGCAAGGTTTTGCAGCGAGACATGGCCTGCTTCAGACCATCAGGGAGTTCGCGCACGCAGACTACCGACCAGGTGGTTGCCGCCGTGCAAGGCGTGCGCTAAGATTGGAGTGGAGCGTTTACTGCCTTCCAAGCGGACGTGTTTCCTCAGCATGATGGTCCGTGTGGTGGGAACGGATGCACACCACGGCTTGTAAAGGGGGCTCTAGGCTTCAGAATCCCAATAGTCACTTTGTTGCACCTTGCTACACATAGCAGGGGCAACGGAAGGAATTCAAGGCATGCAGTCCGCTTATGATGCGCCATCTGGATGCGCTGCAAGAGGCCCAGGAATTGCAGGCGTACTGCCACACGCGTTCTATGTGACCCGGAGTAAAAATGTTGTCTATGGATGACTTAGATCAATTCCTTCAGGAGTGCGACTGCGCCTTACTCCTCATGTCTGAGAAGGACGCAAGCGAAGAGGGCGCGGGAAACCCAACTGAGTCTCCACAAACAGATGATGAAGGCAGCGTGGATGAGGACGGCGTCACCACACTTATGGAGGCGGCCAGACGAAACGACGTGGACGCGGTGAAGCGCTACATCCCTTATCAGGCAAGGATGGTGGCGAAGCTTGTCAAGACAGGGAGAGTAGACATAAGTGGGGGGACAGCCATGATGGTCGCTGCGGTGCTTGGACACACCAGAGTGGTGAAGCTGCTGATGAGGTGCGAGGGCGGTATGAGGAGCAGTAATGGATGGACAGCCCTCATGTGGGCGGCACTTGTTGGCCGCACCGAGGTCGTGAAACTACTCCTGGATGTTGAGGGAGGCATGCAAATAAACGGAGGTGTTACCGCCCTCACAGCTGCAGCAGGCTTTGGCCGTCTGGACTGTGTCAAGTTACTGCTGGAGAGAGAGAAGGACGTAGGCGGCGAGTCTGCTCTTTGTATGGCTAGTACACGAGGTCACCCCGAGGTGGCGTCTTTTCTTGAAAATAAGGGCATTAGGCTAGTGGATCCTTGCCTGTGAATACTATCCAGAAAGCCCGTGAGTGAACGCGCTTAACTGTTGATTGCATCCGACGATGGACTAGAATCTCCCTCCAGCTGTGCAGCAAACAGACACCTCAATGAAGTGGTGGCCGTCAGTGGGTCACACAGCTGCCCGTTTCCGCAGAGGTCAAGGGGAACAGGCCTTTTCACCCCCGGTCAGCACTGGAACGCCGGTGGGTGAAACGGTCGCGCAGGTGGCCTTCTCATCTCCTATGCAGAAGCCCCCACAGATACAGGGCCGCTGTAGACTTGTAGACATAAACTCCTGTGGAAAGGATCGTTTCCAAAACGGTAGATTACCAAAATAATACCAGGATGGACACTGCCTCGTCTGAGCCTGCAACAACAGCTGTCAGTGCCCCGCAGTTCACCATCAGGGACCTCCACGAGCGGCTGGATAGCGTGTTGGGCAGGGGCTTCATGAGCAAGGTCTACTCTCTCAAAGCTATCTGGAGCTCGCTGTAAAGGTCATTCAGCTTGGGGGCCTGGACAAAAACAGTGTAGATGAGATCAGACTAGAGCTGACCACCCTCCCCGACCTCTCCCACCCGGGGGTCTTCAGGTACCATCAAGTAGTCGAGGACGGGGGCTTCATCTACGTCGTCACGGACCGGCACGACAAGACCCTCGAGCGCCTCCTCACCGAGCACAAACGAAGGAAGACTCTCATCCCTATCACTATAATCCTCTCAATTGTGAGGCAGCTCGCCGCTGCCCTCGCCTACCTCCACAGCATCAATGGAGCAAATACTAGGAGGTTTGTCCACTGCGACCTCAGGCCTGCCAACGTCCTCATCAGCGAAGACGGGGAGCGCTTCGTCATCGCCGACTTCGGCCTCTGCAGGGACGCCCTGTGGAGTGGGAGCACTCTCATAGGAATAATGGCATACGTTGCCCCCGAGGTGCTCCTCCACAACGAGGCCAGCCCCGCCTCCGACGTGTGGAGCCTCGGGGTCATCATTTATGAACTAGTAACTCTGAGGAGACCGGACTTCTTGGGGGGCAAGGAGCCGGCAGAGGTCTTCATCGATGGGTGGAGGCCGGACCTGAGCGGTCTCACTGATGGCTTCATGCAGAATGTTCTGGAGAGGATATTCGTGCTGGAGCCAGAGAGGAGGCCGACGGCCAGGGAGCTGCACGAGACGCTCACTACATTCGACATTCCAGTTAGTGAGCTGGGGGCTAGTGCGTGATGCTGAGGTACAGGTGCGGCTCCTTGGAGGCTGCGCTGAATGGCGCTAACGCCAGGATCGCGTTGCTGGAAGAGGATGTTAAGACTAGATCTACTAAGATCGACGCACTTGAAGACCAAAGTAAGGAACATCTAGCTATGATTAAGGCACTGGAGAATAGGCTTGCACAGTTCAGTGACAGGATGAACACGACTGACCCTCAGTCCAGCCTCTTTTTGCTGCCCAGGCTGATGCGTGCCGCGCATACGAATAGCACGGAGACCGTCTGGATGCTGCTTGAAGAAAGACTCGGTGTTGGTCAGCGTGACGCACAGGGGATGACGGCCCTCATGCACGCGGCCCAGCAGGGGCACGCTGATCCCGTCGAGTTGCTTGTTGGGGAGGAGAGGGGCCTCCAGGACAAGAACGGCTGGACTACCTGATGATCGCCGCCTCCCTTTGATCCCGAGGAGAATCTAGTTGATAGCGAGGGCAGTACGGCCCAGCCAGTACGGACAGAGCCGTGATACTCGTACGAGCAGCACTGCACAGCCACTGAAACGTGAAAGCGACGGGCATGCTAGTCACAGCCGGGTGTCCTCATGGGTGCAGTACGCAGGAGGAGAGGGGAAACAGGCACAATAGGGCTGGTTTGAGGTAGTGTCTCCCTTTAGGAGCAGTGCACCTGGTGTCGCTGTCACACTGACTTTTGGACTGCTCTGCGGCCCATGAGTAAATCTGCCGTTTCTTTTCAAAAGGGTAGAAGATGGCCAGAGATGCTACTATAGCCGGACGAAGTGCATACAAAGGCGCCTTGTTGATGTGGCGGTGGTGCAGGACAGCCAGAGGCAAAAGAGGCGCTTATGATACACAAGGATGGCGCGTAGATAAGAACAGGGGAGCTGCTCCCATGAAGACGAAAGAGGTCAAAGCTGCCCGTGAAGGTGACGGGTTTCAGTGGGACTACTACCTTGATCCAGCTGGGCAGCACGGCCACACCAAGACAGCAGGCGGTCCGAACTGGTTTCCCGTAAGCAGCAGGGTTTTCAACCATACTCTCCATTGTGTGGCAATCCATCCTGCCGGAAGACGCACCGGGACGCCTGCTATGGTAGCACCCTCTGGTACCGCTATTCCTGCCAGGCCCGGTAGATCAAGCCCTAACACAGCAGCAGAGGCAAAGGACAAAGAACGGCGCCTCCGTCTCGATAGCGTAAAGAGCACCACCGTTGGGAGCAGTCTGCTGGTGCTGCCTTGCGGCTCCCTGAGCAGACCCCTAGTGGCGGTCTGACATCCTTGGGCAGCAGCTAGTGGCCCTGGTGCAGCCTTGGGAGCCCGCCCTATGCGGGGAGCTACAGTGCGTGGAGGTCTCACTCGCACCGTCACAGGACGCTCCTGCAGAGGCCGAGGTCAGAGACGCGACGATATTGGCAAGCCTGAGGTTACGATGAACATCCCCAGCACCTGCCCTGCTGTTGTAGAGGTAACAAGGGTGACGGCGACCTGACTCATGGCGAGACCAGGAAATCCCTTGCCAGCACGTCTCCCGTTGGCCACGTAGCTCATCAAGCATGAGCGATGGCACAGCGGGACCCAGCTGCACGATTGCTCCTGTCGGTCATGCAGCTCGCCTTCAACGGATCAATGTCAGGAAGTGACGAGGACTCCGCCTGAGCGACTGTGTGGCAGGACAGGCCTGTGCCCGTACTGGGCAGGTTATCGAGCGGGTGCCTGCCCCGGCCGGTTCGTCCGACACTCGAGATACTTGTCCGGTGCATCCCCCAGCAATGCGCGGTGACCCAGCAGGAGAACAGGCTCTACTCCCCCTGCAGGCCGCGTCAAGCAAGGAATCCATGCAGCAGCTGGCACATGGGTGGGGCCGGCGTTGGTGGAGGCACATAGTGGGACAGTGCCTCAGACAGCCAGGACCGCTACCGGCCTGTTTGGGTAGTGGATATCACCCCATTGGCATGACACGTTGTTATGCAATAAGGAGCGGCCCGTACGAGGGACACGCAGGGAAGGGCCGACTGCAGCCGCTTGTCGCCTGTGAGTGGTGGCCCCATGGTGCTCCTGCTGCTCAAGAAGATTCTCCTTCCAGACACCTTTCAGGATAGCAGCGTTGCAAGACACCGGAGAACCCGCAGAGCACAGAGGAGACAGACTGTCCGAGTCTCCGATTCCTGCAGGTGTGAAGTCTACAAGTGCCTCTGGTGGAATCTACTGACTCCATGTACAGCGGTCATCGCCGTGCGCACCATAGAGAGGTTCTAAGAACTTTCGATACCATCCCCGCACAAAGATAATAAATGCTAACATACGGGTCTAGTGTATAAGTTACAAGACTCAGATATTCAAGACAGGGATCTACTCTTCCAAGCAACTTAAGATATCAAGAAAGAAAATGAACGGGGTTTCATTTACAGTGTCAGCTTCAGATCTTTCCTCTACTCTTCTGTCGCATCAGCTTAGAACGAACTCTAAACTGGTGCTCTCTCGTGGACGACGTCACAGAACGGAGTTTTGGAAAGATGATTATCACTGTGCAAACTGGGCAGGCTGTCCTTTTAGGCTATCGATAAGGCACTATAAGAAGCGCCCAGACGTTTATGAACTCACTATTCTGCAGCCACATATTCACATAGCAACGCTTCTTCCAACGAAGAAACGCACCCTCTCTGAACTTGGGAAAATAATTACTGCATATATGGACGCTAACATCCCAGAAATCCAAGAGTGTCTTCGAAAAGAAGTCCAGAAAGCACTAGAAACGACAGATTTACTTACCACCATGATGCTGGAGAGCTTTCCCTCTACGAAAGTTGCTATAGAAGACATTGACATAGAGTCTATCCTACCCTCTAAACTTCTCATTGCTAAGAGAAAGAACTACGCACAGAACATAAATAAAGACCTTTACGAGCAATAATTTTTGCTCTACTTGTCAGTCTTACTGACCATCCATAGGATCCCTTCTTCAAGGCCTTCGCCAGTTAAAGCACTGCAGCCTTGGATATGCCAAACGCGATCTCGCAGAGCCCATAGTCCAATTTTGTCACAAAGATCGCTTGGCTTCAGGGCTGTCGCTAGGTCTTGCTTATTTGCGAAAACTAGAATGGGGACACCAGCAAGTCTGCAATCCTCCAAGGCAAGCGATACTTCAAGTGCTACTTCGTCCATTCTCTTGACGTCTGCTGCGTCTACGACCCAAATAAGACAGGTAGTGCCAGCGTAGTAGTTTTGCCAGTACGTTCGAATCGCCTTTTGCCCGCCCACATCCCAGCAGTTTAGACTAACACCCTTGGGCCCCTTGATTGTTTTTGCGTTGAATCCTTGGGTAGGCATTATGACAGACGTGTCTTCTTCACAAAGCTTACGTAAAATGGTGGTCTTGCCAGAGTTATCTAGTCCGAGAATCAGCACTCGGATCTCTTTCTTACCCTTCCGGTGTCTCCTGATGAGGTCAAATAACCCCATAGGCAATTTTTAATTGCGAAACGTCTGTGCTACAGAATTTCACTATCCTCCGGCCTTTCCAAGAAGGTATTACATGCGTGAGGAGGAACACAGACGCAAGCCTTTACTCACTACAACAGATCTCGCTTCTAAATCTGTCAGAGTCCCAATGTAGCTTGTTCATGGCTGGAGTTGCAACAATGGCTCGGATCCATCACCGGAACGTTAGGCGTATATTTGATCACATGCTTGACAAGAGGAACAAGCGACTACTGATACTTTCAGAACTGTGTGGCGCTGGGTCTTTGTGGTCTTTAAACGCTGAATTCTGTTTAACATTAGGCCGGCCGTCAACTAACTTTATAGAGGATACATTTGTGCAGCTGGTAATAGCTATCCAATACATACATAGACATCTCGACGGTCCAATGAAGCGTCGTCCCCTGATCATTGATCCAAAAAGCGTTTACTTTACCGATGGAGGGATATTAAAGATAGATCTAGTTAGAATATTGATATGTAGCCAGGAGCCTGAGGTTCGTCGGTTCCTGCTTAGGTCCTCGTATGATAGCGAGGATGCTGCTGAACGATCTTCTGATCTGACATGGTACTTAGCTCCCGAGACACGTACTTCGCGATTCTTCACAGAAAAATCCAGCATTTATTCTGCAGGGAATATTGTCCGCGAGCTTATTGTTCCATGGGGGTGGAAAAAATCAGATCCACACTTGACCGACCCATCTATTTCATCACCACTAGATACATCTAGTGGATTTTTCAGACTAAGCCTTGAGCTGCTTGAACTATTAAATTGGTCGTGCTGTAAAACTCAACGTGACAGACCAAGCTCAGAGCAGCTTCTAGACAAGATGACTAGAATGGGTTTTGTGCAGAGAGCAGAGCAGAGACAAGGGGTTGTTCGGTTAGATGATGGAAGCACATTATTGATGAAGGCAGTCAGAGAGGACGATTCTACTTCTGCACGGTTACACATAGGTCAGGCAGGTCTCTCAAACAACGACGGGCTCACCGCTCTTATGATTGCTGCTATTCTCAATCGTGCAGCTGTGGCTAAAATGCTCTTGAAACGGGAGTCATTTTTCACTGCAGAGAAATTCGTTCTGCGCGGATGGCACTTTTCAGATTGCACAGCACTTATGCTAGGAGCGGCGCACGGATCCATTGACGTGTGTCGCCTATTACGCCCCATAGAAGGCGGGATTCAGACCTCTAAGGGTTGGACTGCACTAATGTACGCTGCGGGTTGCAAGCAAATCGCAACAACTGCGATGCTTTTGCAGACGGAGGCTGGCCTTTGTACAAATCAGTTGAGCGACTTTGGACGCGGTTTCACAGCCCTCATGTCTGCTGCATATAACGATAGCCAAGACACATGTCGTTTACTAGCTAGCAAGGAGGCAAACATGTTTACCACACTGGATAACAAGAAGTACCCGGGCTGGTCTGCATTAGTCTTCGCGGCTGCAGTATGTAGTCTGAGATGTACCAGGATTCTCATAGAGTATGAGGCAGAGAAATTCGGTATTCTTGCCCTTCAGAGCGTGGGTAAACTAAACAAAAAGAAGGCATTGGAGGAACAAAAGCTTCTTGTATATCAGAAGCTACTAGATCATGTAACAAGGCAAAGAGACACCAACCTGACTGATTCTTCATCAAACTCTCTTCAACGCTTGAGTAAGTCCACTTACGTATGCGCTATAGGTGGTAGAAAGGGATCAGTAATAAAGCAGTGTACTAAATGTAGTTCACCATCCTAGTATGCAATCAAGAGCTGACAGATTCTTTTGGATACTTTTTTCCTGTACGCTTAGGAGCAAAAATGGATAGAAACTGTGTTTTTATTTTAGCATTCAGCTGTCCGGGTTCCAGCCCGCGGCCTTTAGACATTTCTGCTGATGGAGAAAGTACACTTTCCGGGGACTTGGCAATAATGGTTGAAGTTCTGGAAGATTTTTCCGATATTGTCACGGTGCTGCAAGCATTTGCAATGTAATCTAAAAATTCCGCCTGAACCTTTCTAAATTCATCGTTGGATAGAGAAAGCATTTTAACAAGACGCCCCTCCCTATCAGATAGCCTACTTATATCTATTGCCTCGTCATTCATAATGTCATAGCATTTATTTCGCAGAGACTGCAAGTGCTGTTGATTGTCCAATTGAAATGTGGATAGTAATGAGATTGCTCTATCATTGAACTCGATTAAATGTAAAAACGTACTCAGGTCCGCTATTGTTACGTTAATTTTATCTGCAACAGTCTCACTCTCGCTCTGGATCTTGAATCCACCATATCCCGGTGTTTCCTTTGCTATTGTAGTAGCCAGCGCAACGAACATCTTTTGCTTAGGAGGTCTCATGCTTTCATTTTCCTCTAGGTTATATAGACTCACAAGACTCTCATGCGTATTGCTACAACTGAGCTCGTAGTAAATTCCGGTTGTAACCGAGATTTCCTGCAGTGTCTTCAGATCCTCGCAGAAGGCTCGGAGTCCTCCAGATGCTGGGATACGGAGAGCAGTCGACTTGGAAACTGTTTGCAAAAACGAATCCACCAGTAGAACGTTGGAAATCCTAATTATCTGATTAACCAACTCTGTAGGCAGAAATCTGAGCGCTGCGATAAAGTAGTTCAAAAAGCGCTCCAGATAAAGCTTAAACGGAAGTGAGGTATCTGTTGGAACTGGGGAGTTATACTTATTTATCAGTGAAATCGAAAGGGTACCTGGGAAGATTTTTGGAGCAGCCACAGAATCACTAGTGCAGAAGTCAATTGGCTGATTAGTGGCTGCAAAGAACCGGAGAGACTTGACAATTGGATCTGGAAGCACGTAGCTCAATGAGCTGAACATGCTTGCATATAGCGGGTCGATGATATCATCAAACGGCCTGCACAGCTCCCGCGAACCAAAAAGGGCAAAAAGTACCTTTGACACCAGTCTCAATGAAATGTCGAAGCCTTTGAATAGATAAAGATTCTGCAGAATGTCCAATATATTATTCTGAGAGACGTCCGAAAGTGCCTCTATGAGCTGCGGATGTACGTTGACCAGGAGGAAGGAGAAGACCCTGTCTAGCAAAGTCGTGACACTAACCTGTTCTTGTACACATCTCAGTGCTGCAAGGGCTGAGGGAGCAGGGTCCCCACAACATACGAATGTTATAAGGGAGAGCATTTTGTCATAATTGGCTTTGTATTGCTGCAAGATCTTGCATGAAGGATAGAAGAAAAGCAGCGAACCGAAGATAAATTCAAGGATAATGATCGAAAGATCAACTGCCTTTTGTAAAGTCTCGTAATAAATGTATCGCTGCAGCTTAATTGTAGTATCATTTAGTGTCTCCTTGGTTTGGCCCTTTAGGGAGAGGAGCAATGTGTCCACAAAACCCTCTCTTAAGGTCAATATCCTTGCAGTATCTGATTTATCAGTGTTAATGTGAAGCCCCTGAATAACAGAGATGATGGATAAGCGGTGTTTAGTGGCCTGGGTTTCACAGTGTACTTTCAAACAGACGTCCATGAAGTAGGAAACAATGTCATCGGCTTTTGGAAAGTTTTCCAGGAATCGTATGCAAAGGATAATGCGATGGAACTCAAGTATAAAGGCCGCGTCAGGTGCATTGCAATACTCGTCACATAGGCGGCGCAATAGCACGGTAAATCTAGAAATAGTCAGCTCATTCATTATTTGAGAAAGAGAGGGCACTATGGAGGCGAGTAAAGCGTTGTAGAAGAAGTACCCGATGTAGGCGTAAACCCTCTCATATATCTTCTTACTATTTAAAGATTCCATGTATTGAAGGTAGTCAAAGGCTTCTACTATAGGCTCCTGCTTTTGCCTTACTGAGATAATATGGGTAATCGCTTCTTCCTTGAAACCCAAGAGTTCAGAAACTGCTAGTATTTCATTGACGTAGTCAAAATAGCACTCGCTGCGAACATTGCGCCCGAGAGCAGTGAGCTTTTCCAATAATGAGGTAGTAGCCGCTGACTGATCCTCTGACTTGACGGCTGTATCGCTGCTCACATCGTAGATGGCACCGGCATTCTTTGCAGATCCAGTGGTTCGATCAGCGTGGAACTCCTGGAGTGCCTTGCTAAAGGAGTCATTTGTGTCTATAATGGATTGATCGGCTAAGATCATCAATCGGCATCCAAGGAGAGATGAGCCTTTACGCAGCTCTGACAGCCAAGAATTGAGGGAACTTAGAAGAATTCCCTGGAAGATATCGCCCTTAAGAAACCTCACCTGGCAGTGAAAATCTTTATGAATGGAGAGACGCTTTACCGAAGGCAATACCTCTCGCTCAAACGAAAACAAATCTGCCACGATGTCCTTGACCTGCTTACAGGGAGCTACGAGCAACCTAGCATTGTATGTAAAGGCCCCGACGTCGTTTTGATTCGTTGGGTCAAGGCCGTCGACCACCAGCATAAGCTTATCAAATTCTGTGCGGAACGTCTTGCACTCATTAATGGCGTCCTTTATGCGCAAAAGCGTAGAAACACACTTGTTGACATCCAGAAGGTATGCTCTGACGGCTTGTACCCGTTCTAAGTGGGTGATGGTATTTGCCACCTCATTAGCCTGCGAAATAAAGCCCTCACCTTCCTTCTCTGCAACTTGTGATGTTGCGGAGACGTTAGTTTTAAAGTCTTGAAGCTCAGCACGAAGGTGCCTTGCAACTGATCTAATCTCAACAACGCTTGCTTGGCTGGCGGACAAGTTCTTTAGTGTTCCAGCGTGTTCCTTGACTCGGTTAGAAAGAGGCTTTACATAAAGGAACTGCTCCGAGCGAGTAACTGCCGTCTGGAAGCCAGAAAGAAACTGCCCATCCTCCAAGTATGTTAGGCTATGCGGATTAATGGAGAACTCGGACATAAGAAAATGCTTAAACCCTTTTTTAGAAAGTAAGCAACACTTATTCTCCACAGAGAGGCAGGGTTTACTGATAGCTTATCCGCTGGATACCTAGCTATAGCTACTTATTCGTAGCACAATACGACTGGACATATGACTTAGGTGTGCTCAGGGAACTCTTGGCACGGTTCCACCGTAGCGATACACTCTTGCTAAAAGTCATCATAGGCTACGTACAATTACTCCCATGCTTACTCACAAGAAACGTTATCTAAAGTACTGTCTCTTCAGTGCATAATCATCCCTCCCCGAAAGACGCCAAAGTGTAGCAACAAGGGGCTGAGCACAGTTGATCTGAAAGTGAACGTAGATGATCCAGTTCTGTGAATTGTCAGGCTTCACTGTCTGCTTGAAAGTTCTTCTTATGCTCAGGGATAATGTCTGTCTTCCTCAGGGAACAACGATGCGTGTTGGTCTACACTGAAAGCCCAATCCATCTGATCCCAGCCACAGGCGCCCTCAGCTACCTCTCCATGACCTCTACTCTAACAGGAACTGGGCCTTATCCTCTGCTGCGGTCGACCACTGGTCCTCGCTCGTCTGGCTCCAAGGGTGCGTTCAGTGACAGGGACAAGCCGAAGGTCACACAAGCCAGGTCACAAGGCATGCTGGGATAATGGAGGACGTCGTTGTCGGGGTCCTCGGCTGGTGGTCCGTGTGTCACATGAAGGTGTGGCTTAGATAGTAAACGCGTCATCAAGAAGCTCTATTGGTGGCTGCTTGCTGACTCTGGGGCGTTGGTGAATGATAGGGCTAATCTCTATAATATGGGCAGTGAGCTGGTGGTACCCAAAGAGGGAATCGCCAGGTCCTCTTCTCTACCAGAGCCTAGCGGTGGACCAGAAACCAATGAGAGACCACCTTGGGGGACGGCTCAGCCGGGTGTTTTACCTGAACAATCTAGTGATGATCCGGTCTCTGCTTAGTACCTCCACCTGACAAAACACTCTCCTGACGTACGTATAATGATTACCATAGTTCTAGTTAAAAGAGAAGTGAGGCATAGCGGGAGTCAGAGGAGAAATAAATCACATCTCTCTAATAAATTCAGAATTTCTATCTGAGTTCGTAACTATAGTTTTAACACTCTGTAGAAATGCAGTTAGACGCAGAAAGATGCGCTGTCATGTCTCTGCTGACAAAAAGCTTAATAGAAACAGCCAAGGCAGGTGGTGGCGCCATCCACATCCTTTCAGGGCTTCCTGGAATAGGGAAAACGTACTCTATCAGGTCCTACCTTCAGCCACGAGTGAAGCAGGAGGGCATAGAGTTTTGCCTTTTAAATTGCTATGCAGCCCGTACTGAAGTCCTCACGTTACAGCCGCGACCACAAACGGTCTACGTTATTGACGAGCTTGACTCTCTTTTCGCGTTTACGGATCAGCGTACTGTTGATAGCCTCTCGCCTTTGAAGGTTCTAGCCCTATCGAACCCGGTCCTTGGGCTTATAAATGACTTTACAGTAGAGCTGCAATCTCGTATATCTGTTTTCTTCGGCAGTAGCATCAAGCCACACATTCACTCATTTCCTGCTCCATCTATCAATGAACTTATTGCTATTTCTCAGGCACTGTTTCTTGATGCTGAGCTGGTTGCAGACAAGGCTACACTTACATTTCTAGCATCTCAGATTGTGAAGCACAGACACGGGGACATTCGCATACTGGTCCGTACAGTTCAGAATCTGCGTGTTTTAGCTGGCACAGCGACCAAAGTGGGGCTGAAGGATGTGCACGAAGCTCTCAACCAGGCTTTACAACGATATAAGTCCCATGGAATGGCCTTGGAACTCTCTGAGATGGAGGCCAAGGTTCTTAGTGTTATCCTAGATCACTGCAGAGAATCTAATGGCACGATAAGTCTGTTAGAAATTCGGCGCGGCTACAAAGTAGCGATGGGAGTTGACATAGACATTCCTGAGGCAAGCATCATGACCACTTTAGAGATTCTACTAAGCAAAGGCGTTATCGTGGATGCAACAAGAACGAACGTTCAATTAGAAAAGTCCCGGTTGTCCCATAAGCGGATGAAAAACACGACTGCCACGTTTAGCATTCACAAGTCTTATCGCCTCAACAGTACTCGGTACAATTCCACGCTCTTACGGAATGCATGCGAGGCGGCATTGGTTGGCTCTGATAAGAAGGCATTCGCTCCTTAACTAAAAAGTCTTTCAACTCAGGGACCCATGTCAGCTGACTACCGATTACGCTCAAATCCAGTAAGGTTACAGAGGGAGGAGCGAGCTAAGATCGCTATGCTTCATGAGCAGTCACGAGACTTTCCGTCTTCTCTCGTGGGAAAGGATCTTAGCACTCTTCCAGGGTCCTTTCCAGCCGCACAGAGCGTTGATGAGTGCAGTCTGCTGCCTGTGTTCAACTTTCCGCCTCTTCCCACGGTCACCTGGAGCCGCGAAGAGGGCATTTCCAATTCTCCAAGCAAGCTTCTGGGCGAGCTCCCAGTCATCCACAGAGTGTTAACTACCGCTGAGCGAGAGCAGCTAGCGGCAAATCCACGGTCTAGTCAGCATCTTCGGCGGGAACTTCATCTTGGGTGGCTTCAGTATGAGCCATATGCTCCTGGAACAGACCAGATTGGCCTTTCGGAAGCGGCTCAGGGGGATGGTGATACTATAACCAACTGTACCCTTCCCATGCATTCATTCAGATCTTCGTTTAACCTTTCAAAAATGGAGGCCATGCAAGAGCGAGTTGTTGTCTTCAACAAAGTGAGAAGCATAGCGTTTTCCATGCATGAAGAAGCGGCAAAGGCAGTGCTACTATACACCATTTCTCTCCCCGAAGGAGAGCATCTATTGATGCATGTTAGAATGCCGGCGGTGCCTCGCCTCTACACTATTCTGCGCGAGGTCCTCATCATGGTTGTCGAGGACCCACCACCTGATAAATTCCTACAGTCGCTTATTGGCCAGCTAGACACATTGAAGGGATACCGTCAGAGATCTTCGCACTTTCTACTCATCAAGGCAACCCTGTTTATTATGGATTCCCTGCAGTTCTATCCTCTCTCGTCATGGGCAGATAAAATGCAGGACCCTAGCTTTTATGAGTGCTGCAGGCGGATAGTTTCTGAGCTGGCCGTATCTCTCCATACATCACCTAATTCCAGCCATTCCGTGCCACCAAGCGAATCGTCAACCTATATGGTTATGTCAAATCAATCTGCAGATACCCTGGGAAGCGTCGACGTAAATATAAACGATCGAGGTACTTCGGGGTCTTTCTTGTCACCGAACCTACTTAATCATCTTGCAGAGGCGTGTCGCCTAAGTGCTCTACTAGATAGCCTATTTCAAACATTTAAAGTAGAAGATGGAATAGATGCTTGTATACTCAAGGAGGAGAGATATGCCAATCTGATTTCACAACAGCAAAAAAGACATCGATTGACGCAGCTGAGCTATTTAAACTTTTACATAATGCAGACACGTATCCATAGGATTTACGCTTCCCCAGAAAAAGAAAAGGCATACCATTGCGTACCAACAAAGCAACTCCAGACCGGTTTCCCCCACTACAGACAGCTTATAAAGAAGAGAAATATAGATGCTCTTGTCCAAGCGATTCATAAACGCGCCCTTTCTTCCACTAAACAAAACTCTAACCCAAAGGCTGCGTTAATGAAGCATAGAATGCACCGGTTAAGGGGGCGTCAAAGTGTATCGGATGACCAAATGTATCACTACATTTCTGATATCCGGCTCCCACCCTGTTACATGCGGTGTCTCAAGACAGATCCTGTTCTCTCTTCCGTGTTTAGGCCCTACCCTCAGAGGACCAGAGAGCTATTTTATTATAGATCATCAATCCATGGATTTGGCCTGTTTCTTGCTGAGCCGGCTCAGAGGAAAGAATTGATTACGGAGTATTGCGGTGACGTTATTAGCTCCCTTGTTGCGGATATTCGAGAGCGCCTCTATGCGGAGTCAGGTCTGAAGTCCGTTTACATGTTCAGCATCAAGAATAACTATGTCATTGACGCCACGCTCAAAGGAAACTTTGCTAGATTTCTCAACCATAGCTGCGCTCCCACAGCGGAATCTGTCCATGCAAGGTTCTCCGCATCTAACAACGCCCTAGAGCCGGTTAGTCTGATTTCACAATCACAAGGGATTGCTATCTCTATGCTGTCCAATCTTGGAGAAGGAGCAGAAGTCACCCAGAATTACTATCTGAGCAAGGAGTCTGCAGATAACAAGCTTTTTTGCCAATGCGGCTCGACGCGATGTAGACTTTATATGAATTGATCTTAAAAAATGCACCCGCATCAACCACCATTCCAGTATAGCAAGCCTTACGTACCCTTTGACTGGAAGGAGCTGTACGGGTTAAATTTGGAAAATGCGCTTGCCAGAAACGACTTTAGAGTTTTCGGAACTGTCGCGAGTTCTCTAGCATTTGGCGACATAGAGACCCCTTTCCGCCAGGGAGGCGTACCTGAGGATGTTGTAAGACTGGCTTCTGTGCAACAGTATCTTGCCCAGTATCTTCTCCACATGCAGGATGTCCTGATGCATGAAATAGATTTGGCTAGAGCTAATCCACCCCCGTCGCCAGACATACAGGCGCTACTTGCGGAGCGGGACGCTCTCCGGAAGCAATTGCGCATAGAGCGCGCCAAGCGGCAGACAGACGCGATGATGCTCCGGCTGGCTTCTGTTAATCCGGAAACGGTCAATATGCTTTTCCGCTGCCACGTGTGTGGAAAGGTCTTTGCAGATTATCACTTTCTTGTCTCACATTACGAGAAGCGGCACGAAGGAATACAGCCCATCCAGCCTCCTCCTTTCAAGCCTCCCCCAGCATCTCAGCAGAATCATTGTTGTAAGCTGCACATGCTACCCCAGGCTGTGGTGGAAGCACAGCCTTCTCAGCAGCCCCAGCCAGCTCAGCAGGCCGCACGGTCTCTGCAGACATCACTGGTACCAGATAACCCCAAACCCGAGGAGCCGCCTAGTGATATCTTCGCAGACTACATTTCTGACGTTGCATAATGCAAGAAAATTTACTGGATTCGAGCCGCAATCCTGCTTGTTTATTGTGGCTGAATAGACGCTAGGTTGTCGTCTAATGTGGCTATTCCAGCACGTAGGTCTTCCACCAATTGTTGGTAGTACGATATGGCAGCTGCCTGTCTTTCCATCTCCTCTTGCTTCTTTAGTAAATCGTCCTTTGTCTGCTCTATCTCTGACTCATTGGCTGCAAGCTTGTTGTGAAGGCTACGGATTTCATCCTGCAAGGCAGTCATTTCCGCAGCCTTGTCCGGCCCAACCATACTGGCCTGAATCATGTTCGAGAGTTCGTCCAGCTCGGCCTCCTTTTGACGCTCCTTGAGACGCATGTCAGCCATGTTCTTCTCTTTGTCGTCAAGCTGGTCCTTGAGGCGCTCGACTTCCTGCTTCGAGACGGCAAGCTCTTGATTAATGTCCTCCAGCATGGCGTTGAGAGCATCAACAGTCTCGATTGGAACATCTGTCGCGCGCTCATCGAGGGTATTCTTGAGATCGACAATTTCCCTGTCCTTGTCCTCCATGGTGGACTTGAGAAGCTCCACCTCACTGCGCAAGGTGTCGAGAGCGGGGAGGCTCTCATCGAGGCGGAGCCTGAGCCTGGCGAGCTCTGTGTCCATTCCTTGGATTTCTTTATCTTTTTCAGAATTCGTCTGCCTTTCTGACTCTAGAGCCTCGCGAAGGAACTGGTTCTCGCTCTGAAGCTCCTTGATTGTTGCCGCATCTTCCATATCGCTTCCACCCTCCTCAACGATGGTGCTCGTGGTGGGCTGTACGCTGAGCTGGTTCTGAAGGCTTGTGATGGTGTCCTCCTTCTCAGCAAGGTCATTCTTGAGGTCTGTGATCTCGGCGTCCCGACAAAGGATCTGGTTCTTAAGTTCGTCTGCATCTTCTGCATCACGCAATTCGTCACGGAGACGCTTGATCTCTTGCTCGCGTTCATCGAAGTCCTCCATAAGTTTTGCGTAATCAGTTGTTGCTTTGTCGAGCGCCTGCTGAAGATCCTCAGCGTCACGAGCGCTGCTGCGCAGGTCTGAGATTTCCCTTATTGCATCAGCAAGTCTTGCCTTGAAGTCTCCTAGCTCTTCTTCCTTCCTAAGGAGCTGGTTAGCCATCTCTGGGTCAGTAGCCTTTCCAACCAGTTGCTTACGCAGAGTCTTGATAACCTCATCCTTTCCGGCATGCGCGTTCTCAAGGTCCCTGATGCGCGCACTAGCATCATCAAGCTGCTCAAGCAAGTGGGCTACCTTGGCATCAGTGCTCGATGCTTCATCGATAACGGTGCGCGTTGTGGGGGCATTGAGAAACGCATTGCGCAGCTTCTCGCACTCATCCGTAAGATCACCCACCTCCTTACGAAGTCCAGCAGCCTCTTCTTCGCGGAGATCAGCCAACTCTTTGAGTCTGTCGATCTCGGCTTGGAGTTTGCGCTTTGCATCTTCATCCTGTTCTGGGCTTGCCCTAGTGTTGCTTCCTCCCACCTGAAGAGCTATGAGATCATTCTCAAGATCATGCACTCTCTTCTGAAGCTGCTCCACCATGCCCTCCGCGGCAGCAAGCTTGGCCTCAGCAATGGCTCGCGCAGCCTGAAGTTCATCAGAGAGGTTCGATATTTCGGCATCCTTGCTAATGAGCTTATCATGCAGAGCAGCAATCTCCTCGGCTGCACGCTCTTCGGCGTCTACAAGCTGCTTGGAAAGAGACTGGATTTCTCCGGCGTATTCACGGCAGCGCGTATCAAGCTCATTGATCTCAGCATCCTTCTCGTGGAGCTTTTCAGTGTTGAAGTCCAACTGGCGCTGAAGTGACGAGTTAATCCCCTCTAAATCTTCGATGCGCTTCTTCAGTGCACTGCGTTCAGCAAGGAGCCTAGCCACGTCACCTTTCGCGTCATCCAAGTTAACAACCTGCGCGTTCTGTTGTGCTTCCTGGAGCTCCCTGCGAAGCTGCTGGATTGTTTTGTCTTTCTGTGCGTTATCTGCTATATAGTCCGATAACTGGGCCCGGAGTTGCTCAAGGTCCGCATTAAGCCCGTTGTCAACATAAGGACTCAGCGGCGGAAGCGCACGAGCAGCCTCATTCAGAAGATCTTGAAGGCGAGAAATCTCGGCATCCTTGTCCGCGAGAATCCGATCGTACCTCTCTGCGTCATCTTTACCAGACCGAAGGTTAGACAGGCTAGAAGCAGCATCCAACATCGCTGCAGCTGCAGCAGGTCCGTTGGGAGAGTTGCGTATCTCCTGCAATCGACGCTCCAAGTTCTGTATGATAGCACTCTTATCGGCCGTTTCGGCAAGTAAACCGTCAATCTGTAGCTTAAATGTGGTTATGTTCTCTTGTAAAGAGCCGATGGTCTTGTGCAGCCCCAGATTCTCACCAAGCACCACAGAAGACTGATCATGGAGCGTCACAAGGCGCATCTCGAGCTGCCTAATTCTAGCCTCCAGCTCTGTCTCAAGGGCAGTCTTTGGAGGGACTAAAGAGTTAGATGAGCTACGCATGACGTCTATGAGCTGCATATTGACATCGAGATTGACGTGCTCAGATTCGGAATAATTGAGGAAAACCTGTCTAGTGGCGTCAGGAAGCAGCGACGACTCGTGCTGGGTGAGCAGCCCAACCACCTCAGTGTGGCAATTCTCTGCAGCAAGAATAAGCGCTGTCTTCTCATCGTGCGAGATCATGGCTTTCTCCCGGGGCAGAAGAGCTTCTGCGATCACCAGATGCCCCGCCTCTGCAGCATACATCAAGGCGGTCCTGCCTCGAGCGTCGCGCCTACCCTTCTGGTAGGGCAAAAGAGCCTGAACGGCATCTGTGGCACCGGCTCCAGCAGCGAGCATAAGCGCCGTCTGCTGCTCCTTTGTGGTGATGTCGTTCTCGTCCATAACGAGACGGCTGCACATCTCGCCCTTATTCTCCAGGGCCGCTATCATCAGCGCGGTCAGTCCATTCTCATTCGTCTGGCCAGCGCATTTTGAAATAAGGAGTCTAGCGATGTCCACGTTGTTGCTTCTCACGGCCTTCATAAGGCCTGTTTCTCCGTCCCTATCGACACTATCACCGAAGACGTCCAGGTGGTCCTGGACACGACGCAGATCTCCGCGTTCGATAGCCCCAAACCAGTCCTCCAGGGTCCTAATGCTCATATCTGCGCAATTAATTTCTTGGCAAAACTTTTGAACCACATTTTTAGAAAAATGGGCGCAAAAGAGAGAAAATGTGCACTGTAGCAGTGGATTAAAGATTGGGTTTACAGGCCGCGCAAAGAACTTCGTGCAGTTACCACCTAATCTGATAAGTCCCCGCGCTTGTCTTGTAAGTCAGCCACTTCTCAGTCTCATACCCTTCCTGGGCTATAATCCTTATGTAGCGCACCTCTATGCCAGATGCCGTATACATGGGAATATCAAAGTTCATAGCAAGAGGAGGTCTCCTCCACTCACGAAGGTCTATGGACGAGGAGCTTACGCACTGGACCTCCATCGAAAGGGTAGCAGTGGTGCCTCCTGTGATCGACTTGATACGCCACTCGGCTGCCTGGCCATCCTTTCGCAGCCTGCACTTCCCGAGTGATTCGATGGCGGTGACGTCTGAGACGTTCGAGGGCATAGGCACGCTGACGATAACGTGCTCCGCGACATTGTTTGATGGTATGCCACACCTCAAGTTGAGGACTATCTCCATGCGATTTCTCCCGTGGACGGTGACGATAGGCTTGATTGAAAATGGCTCCTTGACCTCTTCGGTGACGCGGAATGCCATAAGCTGGAACTCACCATCGGGTGGAACGAAGGCTATCGACCTGTCAACAGCAAAGTTCCCAAGGCGGACACAGTGGTGGAAGGATAGATCATCCATCACGACCCCCGCCTGGCTAACACCCGCGACCTGCTGTGCAACCTCTGTTCGCGGCCCGTTAGCGCCAGCACCGACAACACGATCGTTGAACCCAAAAGAGCAGTCCGGCATTCCTGTGAGGCTGTTCTTGATGATGATTTTTCCAGAGACGTCCGCATGGAGGGACTGACCAACATTGTTAAACATGGCATTGACAGACTCAACGACGTCGATGAAGATCTCGTTGCGCTTGTAAATAATTCCCTGGCGGCGGTGGGAGAGAGCACCGGTTGCCTGGACAGTGATCTGCTGATTGCTCTCCTCCGCTTTATTGATTTTCTGTCTGGTCTGGATGAAGAGCTTGAGAACCTCAGGATCGGTCGTCTGCACATCGCCATTGTCGATCATTTCGTCGAGAAGCTCATGGATAAGGGGAATAAACTTCCTCAGATTTCCGGCCAGCTCCTTTTCCTTGAGGAAAGCCCCCATTGCCTTATAAAAACGGTCGAGGAAAGTAATGGCGGACATAGTGTCTGTTTTGGCAGATATTGTGCAGAAAAAGTGGAGTGCATCGCACCTCTTGTATGCGTATATGTGGGGCGGAATTCTAAGGATAGGCTGTGAAATTGACCCTCCTAAGACGTGGGTACGAAGAAGGTCCAGGGCTGTCTTGTCGAACGAACCCATAAAAACGCGCTGCAAGATAAGCTCACCTACATCATCCAAAAGAATGACCGCCTTGATCATTTTAATTTTTTTGGCTGAATTATTTATGTATGTACATCCACAGGACTGTTATATTAGGGCTGTCTGAGGCCGCTCAACTCAGACAATACATAAACATATAACAGATCTCTTTAAAAAAAATGCCAGCTTTGAATGTGGTCTCCATCGTTTATGCCGCTAGAAGAGATGACGGCTATGTCGTCTCAGACTTCAAACGCTATAGAAACCGCTGTGCCCATCGTATAGCCCATTATAGACACACCGTCGGTGTTAAAAGCATCTTTTATAGAGACGAGAACGATTTACCTGAAGAGCACAGGAGTCCATCTGCTTATGAGAACCTACTCCTACTTGTTCTCTTCGAAGCTGAACGAGCGCTTGGCGAGGCCATGCAGGCGCACCAAGCCATGCAGACAGACGCCCTTTACAGCAAGATGCGACGCCGGGTATTTACTCGTCTTCATCGCGCTGTAGAAAGAGCTTCTGTTGTGGAAACATTGGGCAAAAAAGGCTCTGCTGTTTACGCTTCCTGTCTCTTCTATATGCACTATTTAAGAGGTGTCCTGAAGCATGAACGTGAGGACTATACAGCAGCCGCTTCGGACTTCGATGTTGCCAAGGCATTACTTGACAAGATGAAGGCAGCTCCTGGTGCAGACCTTGCTGGACTGCAGTTCTTCTCTGATGAAATTGAGAAACGTAGAAATTACTGCATTTATATGGTTTCCGCGTTTGTAGACGATCCAGTGGTTGCTAAGCTCCTGGATAATGAGCGTAGTCAGATAGTAGCAGAAACTATTGCGGGGCTAGCCACAGCCGACGACATGGAATTTGGTGCGGCGCTAGATCTTTGTCTTTTAACTGGCCGCACGTCTCTAGCCCGTCCTCAGGGACCTCTTTCTAAACGCTTGGAGCCACTTCTAGAAGCGCGATCATCTATCGGAGACCCTTCCTCTATAGTTTGTGAACTTCTGTCGGGCTATGAAGCGTTCTATGGGTGTGCAACACAGTTCTATTTTGGAAGCAAAGATGAAGCCCTCCGCAAGACGCTAAGCGAGGTATCAATCGGACTCAAGACCGCAGGGAAGAAACTAGCCATTTATAAGGTATGGCTTGCAAGATTTAGGACCCTATGCCTAGTGTATCGTGAGAAGACAGGTTCATTTGATAAGCCCCGATTAGATGCCATTCTTCGTGTCCTCAATGGGGAAATGCGACTCCTAAAATTGATTTCTGGCCTAACCATGGTGATTTATAGGCTTGTCTATTTCCAGGAAGAAATATTCCTTATCGATACGGACACAGCCCCTGCTGTATCCCTTGGATCGCTACCTTTAAAGGGTAAGGGCGCCTTAACGCTGATAGTTGAAACGATCGCCGTCCTTGAGGGCATGACTGCGCCAACTCACCGTGCAATACATGCACTGAATGCCACAAATGATCCGCTATTGTCTCTCCTGTTGGCTCTCCACAGCTTTGAATCCGCTCTCTTCTTGTGTAATAAACACCAAGAAGATGTCAGCGGGGACGCAGAGAATAACAAGCTGAAAAAGGACCTACTGAGGCAAGCCAGCTCCCGCTTTTCCCAACTAAGTGCAGCATCGGCCACCGTGAAGCCAGATCTCATCCAATCAAAGATTACTGAATTGGGTGGCCTGTTTCCGGGGCTAGTATCATTACTGATAGGCGTTCTTAAGAATGATAAATTATTTTCCAACATAGCGACCTTGTCCACCAACAGGCTGATAGTGCTTATGGTGGAGGCTCAAAAGAGGATGGACCCCGTAGTCTTCCAGCTATACGGCCTGCTACCGCCTCCCTATACCGAGGACATGGTTCCTGACTTACTGGTTCCTGATTTCATAATGAATTCTAGTGTTGACGAGCCCGAAAGAGAGTCTAGCAAAGAAGTTGTAGAAAAAGCTGACGTACCTAAGAAGAAAAGGTTCTTTGGCCTATTCTAGCATTAACGAGTAACCTCCTTGAGCGTGTTCTTGACACTAGCATCCTCTGTAAACAGCTCTAGCATGCGAGATTCTTGCTCCGCTATAGATGGACTTGGTACGACTAGCGCATACATCGGCTTGCCATAGTACTCATCGGCTTGCGATGCACACCTACCGAGCGTGGTCAACTCAATGAACTGGGTGTCTGTACCCACGCGGCAGCAGACTACAACAAGGGTCTTATCAGAGACTTGCTTATAGGCATCGGGATGCTCATCAACAAGGGAGAGGATTTGGCGTGCAGCTTGATTAGGAAGTAAGTAGTACGGATCGCTGTATCGCTCAAGGCCCTTGTTGCAATAGAGATCCATATCGAGCTCTCTAGTGCTCATCTGCAACAATACTAATGTATGAAGATTGAGACGAGCATTCTCAAGATAATAGTCCATAAAACTAGATGGTCGCCAGGTAGAAGTGAAGATGGGAATGGAAACGGTTCTGCCAAAACGATACATCTCCAGACCTGTACAAGACACAGCAGTCATAATGCTTGCATTGTGCATTACAACCACAGAAACCTTTTGCTGAACAGCTTTCAGGTAGAGGTTGGTGTGTGTAGTGGCACAAAAAACGTCTCCGGCGACCAAAAAAGCGACGTTGTATTGCAGGGCATCGGCAATGATCTTATCCTCTTCTTGCTCGACGGCTTTCCGATCACATTGTATTAGATCTGTCCGCTGCAATACATTCTCCATAAGATGTCGCATATCCTCGTAACTAATAATTACGCTTGTGTATGTATCTAGATAGACCCTAGTGCAGCTTCGCACAGCACGGAGAGCCCTTACAGAAATGTCCTCCGGCATAAAGCCTAGTCCTATCATGTATAGCATTTTATTTTGCACGGTGTCTGCTTAATCTAACTCCAGGGTCCGAATTATGGATTGATAAGCCTGTAATTTGCCTAGTGCACGCTAAGGAATACAAGAGTCAAAAGTGGAGCACGACATATCGCAACCTGAAATAGCAACTGATAACGCACTCGACATGGACAGGCTGCTCGTCTCAAGATCAACATGGGCGGAAACGTTGCTGTTTGTCATGCTCTTACTGAAGTATCCTATTATATCCCTCATGTTGGACTCTATGGCGAGTCTATAGCAAGACCGCTTCTTGATCAAAATTCCTTCCTCTGCTGCAATGAGGAGGCAAGCAGCCCCTGCGTGTCGTCGCGTAATAGCATGGGCTAGTGCCGTTAGTTTCTCCTTGTCCCGCATTTTTGCTTCGTACCGTCTGAGTATACCTACGCATTCCTCATGTCCATTCATAGCAGCATACATCAGTGCAGTTCTTCTTGCAGAGTCCCTTTTACGGACCTCGAATCTTAAAAGCTGGCGCACCACCTCTACTCTGTTCGCAGCAGCAGCAATCATCAAGGCGGTTTGCCCAGTGTTATTGGTCATGCCTGCCTCTAGACCTTGAAGCTGACGTACAATTAGCATAGAGCCGTTGGCTGCTGCCATCATCAAAGCTGTCCATTGCTCGGGAGTTGTAAGCCTGGCTTCGGCATCTTTCAATAGCTTAACAGAAGCTTCACACACGTCACCCTTCTCTGCTGCATGCATAAGGGCTGTTTTTCCTCGTGCATCCCTCATACGCCGCTCATCAATATGCCCCTTCTGCGGCCTTATCAGTTGGGCTATAACGTCTGTAGCATTAAGCTCAGCTGCAATCATGAGGGCTGTCTTTCCTGCAGCGTTTACTTCTCCACGAAAGCACTTCAGTATATCACTAACCAAATGGAATGCTCCGTGTAGAATGCACCTCATAACAATGTTGTTGCCATCTTCATCTACGTCTGTCAGGTACGTTGCTGGGGTTGTCTTTAGATAAGATGTAAGTAACTTTGTATGAGTCTTGGTAATGGGGCCCTTCTCAAGTAGGGATCTACGGACACGCTGAAGCGCAGGCATTGTAAGGAGCTCAAGGGCCGTTGGCCTGTTTTCAGGGCTGAAGGTAAGCATTAGATTTAGTATTTTAGCAAGGTCTTGTGATGCATTAGGGATAACAAGTGGCCTCTTCCATTGTTGTATCTCCTGCAATATATGTGACCCGAAAAATGAATTGATTAGAGGCTTGCCATTGGCTATAAGTTCGTAGATGGTGACACCGAGGCTCCAGATATCTACTGCCTCCGTGTATGCTGACCTGGCATGCATCTCTGGTGCGATATATGCGACAGACCCTGCCACTGTCTGCATATCAGTCATGTTATCAATGATCTTACTCAGTCCAAAGTCAGTAAGCACTACCACGTCGTCCTCTCCCATAAGGATGTTTGCAGGCTTTATGTCACGGTGCACAATCTTCGACGGGATACCGCTTGTAGCTTCCCGAACTCCATGGAGAAATGCAAGGGCCTGGAGCACCTGGATCAAAATAACAAGGACATCTGCTTCAGAAAGAGTCTTCTTCTTGCGGTAAGCTACCAAGTCGCCGTGCGAATAGATAGGCATTAGTATATACAAATAGTCTCCCTCGTGAAATGCATCGACAACTTCCACAATGTTGGGGTGCTTAATTGTCTTCAGGAGCGCCACTTCCCTCATCTGGGCATCCACGAGATCCTCTGGAAGCTTCGGTAAGAATATCTCCTTACATGCAAATTTCTTTCCCTCTTTCCTTTCTACTACTTTATATACTCTTCCAAAATTACCTGTACCTAGGAGTTCCAGTTCTTGATACTTGTCGGCAAACTGACCTGGCATAAATTTTCTTTTAGTTTTGATGGTGTAGTTTGGCTGTCCAAGGAAGCAAGTTATCTGCTAGCTCCACGGGCACAAGAACTAAAACTGAGTGTCTAGCTACAATCCCACTTTCGATATAGCACAAAAAGAATGACAGAATTAAGGATAGTTTCGGAGCCCGTGGGGCCTTTACAATCGAACTGTATAGTTCTCTATAACGAGAGAACGCGGTCAGCAATACTGATAGACCCTGGGTGGGAGGCGCCGGTCATAGACAAAACAATTCAACACCTCAAGCTCACCGTTAAGGCAATTCTTCTAACACACGTTCACTTTGATAATGCTCTCTACGCAGGAGAGTTCAAGAAGAAGTACATACAGCGTTATCCACCCCTAAAGATCATGTGTCATCAAGCTGACCTTTTTCTATGGGATAATCTGTTGTCTACAGCAAAGGAGTGCGGGGCAGAGGTTCCTAAGCATTTTCCATGCCGTCCCGATGAAACTTTCGGTAGCGATGATAGCTGGGACATCGACGGCATAACATTGGAGGTTATCCATACGCCAGGCCACACACCAGGCTCTGTTTGCCTACTAAGTGATGCAGACAAGGTCGTTTGTACGGGCGACACTCTTTTTGCAAATGGGTATGGTCGTTTGGATTTCCCAGAGGCACACAGAATTAGTCATAAGGATTCTATCCGAAGACTCAAAAGCCGCTGTCCAGGCTACTTGATCTACCCAGGTCACGGGCCTCTTGCAAGCATCAGTGAGTCAATCCCTGACCAGCAACTGCACTATTAGAAAATAACATAAAGCAATAGCTCAGCCCGGCTACTTTCCTTGTCAATCGTGAGCAGCACTAACATGCGTCTTGTGTAGTAGAGCGGATTATTTTGTATTTACTTCGATATAATCGTCTACGGACATTTCACATATCACACATTTTTTTGAAGCCTCAAGCTGCGCCAAGCTTGCAAAGTGGCATATGTGTTCACAAGGAAGACAAACAATGTCTAAAGAGGTATCAGAAGAGGCAAGGTCTCTTGTCGGACTGCTTGATAAACTAGGCCTGTCTTCTTCGACGCCTTCTGGCACAGTAGTAAACTCAGCTGAATGCAAGCAGTTTGGCGGGAGATCAAAAATGGAAGGATCTGGGCTAAGGTTCTGTGTGTTATGGTCTGGGCGGACAGGTATTGAAACAAGGCTGGACTCTACCTCCTCTGCAGAGCTGGGAAGCTTAACCGTAAGAGGAGACATGTCTCTATTCTGCAAGATGCCACCGATGAGTATGTAAAGCTCGTTGATCTGAGCTGTCTGTCTGTTGACAATCCTTTCCAGAGAAGCCACTGTCTCAACCGAGGAGTTTAATTGCATAGATAGACTTTCTATGGTTTTCTTTAGCATATCTATTTCTAGCAATGTGCCTTGGTCAGCAGCAGAGACTGTTTGTAAGGGACCGCCGTCTCTACTTTGCCCTGCTAGATCTGCAGTGCACAGCGTCGACTCTATGGGGATTAGTGCCTGCCTGGTGATTGTCTGCGGCATATCCTTGTCACCAGATTCCTCAGAAAGCAGTGCACAGACATTGCGGTGGCCAGCAGCAAAGGCAAATGAGTACGCTGTCTGGCCTTGCAATGTGCGTAAACCAAATTCCTTGTTCAGTAGAAGCTGAACAATATCTGAGTGTCCACGTCTAGCTGCTATCATCATGGCCGTTATACCGTCTATCTTTCTCATCCCCGCCTCACTGAGTAATATTTTGCAGATGTTTGTTGCTCCCGAATCTGCTGCGATCATTAGTGCTGTCCAACCCTTGTTAGATTGCCGTGACTTCTCCGTGTGAAGCAGAAGAGAGACAATATCTGCATATCCTGCTTGTGCAGCGAACATGAGCGCCGTCCACCCGTCTGCTTTGCTTAACCCAGCTTCCTTTGGTACTAGCAAATGCGCCACCTCTTTTTGCCGGTTGTTGAGGGCTATCATCAAAGCAGACCAACCCTCCTTGTTCTGCTGTCCCGCCTCCGCTGGGATCAGCTGCTTAACTAGATCTACAAACCCATACTGTGCTGCTAACATAAGTGCGGTGTGTCCTGTATCTGTAGATGCCCCTGCTTCGTCATTGACGAGGAGTCGGGCCGCCTCCAAGTGTTTGTAGGAAATCGCCTTCATAAGCGCTGTAAAGCCAGCGTTATTCTGCCGTCCCGAATACTCGGCCCGCAGCTCACGCACTTTGGAGACATTTCCAACGGCAGCGGATCTCATTAAGGGTGTCTCCATTCCCGGTCTCAATAAAATATGGAATCGTATTCGGACCATGTTAGACAATCCCAGAAGACATTTACCAGTATGGGCAAGGTGACCAAGCAACTACTACAGCATTTTGGAATTGTTGTGAATCGCCTAGTCGATTTAAGTGACCTGTTGGCTTCCGTAGCAAAATGTGAGTCTAGCTTTATGCGGGACCCCCTTGAAGCCATGTCTTCAGTTACAAAGGCATTGGCTGCCGAATGGTCTGTAGCAACTAAGGGGATCATGGCCTTACCACACTGTTTTGACATGAAGGAGGACAACGCTCGCATTCAGACCTCAATTAAGCATCAGGCACTAGCACAGCCACCATTCTGTATTCAAACAAACCACGAGCTTGTCATCAATGCAGCTGTGTTTGAGCGTACAAGAGCAGCAAATATCCAACAGGGAATGTATAATTTAGGTCACAGTCTCCTGTATATGGGCATTCGTGCAGTTGAGGCGGGGACAAATCTCAAAACTTTATCTTCAGCAATAGACCCACACACCGGCGTTCTGGACGTTGCGATGCGTTTTCGTGAGCTCGATCTAGGAGAAAGCGTCACCATGAACATGCTACTAAAGCTATCTGCCAACGAAATCAGAAACTACTTAACCCCACAATTGTCGCAGAAGGGAATCAAGTATGCAGGACAGCTCAATTCATATAAGGACAAGCGGAAGTCGAGAAAGCACCCACCAGCGTCAGCTTTGGCGATATCTCAGCCGCTGCCACCTAATCTATCTCTAACGACAGATAAATCAGAATCTAGCCAAGAAGCAGCGCCTGGGACTTTGTTGGGCTATCAGAATGTGACAATTAATAGCCCAACTGGAGATGCCGTGCTGCCACCGCAGTACCCTCGGTCAGCACCACAACAAGCAGAAGGTTTGTCAAGCGATGCAGAGAAACAGAAAAACTCACAACAAAATCATGAATGTGAATGCTCCAAGCAATTGCAAGAATACCAACAACAGATCATTGAGCATCAGAACATGATCACGTCCCTACAGGCACAGCTTAGCCAGCAGCTCCAATTACAGGTGCAACAGTTGCAGCAAATGCATCAGATACAAACACCACAAGCACTGCAATTACAGCAGCCAATCTCTTCCAATAACCCCATTTCTCAGGGGGGCCTGCAAGCACCTGCCTCTCAGGCTGACAACGGAACTCTTGCCCCCTTACCCTCTGCCTTGCCGCCACAGCAGCATTACTACAGTGAAGATGCGGTCAGTACATCAGACGATACTCAAAGCGTGAACCCGGCAACATATGCGCAACAACAGGCTAACAATCCATTTACGAAGCCAAAGCTCCAGCCGCAGGGATTATTGGTTAACGAATTGTCAAACTATATTCAAGAATCTGAACTCACAGACGCGCATATGCGTGAGTCTACCGAAGTTTCACAAATTAGTGTGTCTAAGCGTGCCAGCAATGCTCTGAATCTCATGACACGGTCAACAACAGAGCTAGATAACATGGGGGACGAGTATGACCTTTCCAAGCCAGAAGAGAACGTTGCAACAGAAAAGGGTGTTAGTGGTCACCATCAGACGGTTAAGGAAGATGCCCCAACATTGGTCGTAGCGAACTCGGTTGACCAGATAGATCCTAAGCCCTCTAGAAACCAAGAAACTGCAAAGCCAAAGAAGTTTGCAATCAATGACTTCCTTCGTGACCCTTCAGCAAAGAATAAAGAACGGCCGTCCTCAAAAGCTACAGCAGGCCTCTATAGCAGCCTAAAAGACGAGGACTCCTTTGGCCTCATAGGCTCTATACCGGCTCAGCCAAGTAAGCCAAAAATAGATATTAATGCTCTGGATGACGACGATCTTGATTTCTTTTAGCCACGTAGGATATTCTTGTCGCTGCAAGGCGACTATCCTAGTTGTTAGTTTAAAACAAACAAGCAAACAAACAAACGAATATGAAAGGCATGCAGCTGCACGCTAATCAGCCATATTATACTGATCTCTCATTTGAGCAGAAACTATTGTTCAATGCAGCTGTGGTTCGACGCAAGTCCCTCTTCTTCTCAGGCTCTGCAGGAACGGGAAAATCTCATCTTTTACGTGCTATCATTAAAGGGCTAAGCAGGCTGGATGATAATGAGAAGATCGTTGTGACGGCGCCCACAGGAACAGCAGCTGTTAACATTTCAGGCTGCACCATTCAAAGCTTTGCAGGTTTTTTGGATGAAAACTTGACAGAGCAGAAATTCCCCGATATGCTTGCACGCGTACGCCGTGTAAAGCAGACCAGGAAGCGGTGGGTGGAGGCCACTGTCCTCATCATTGACGAATGCTCTATGCTGCAGGGCACATACTTCGACTGCCTGGAGTATGTTGCCAGGCACCTACGTGGAGGCGCATCCAAGTCATTTTTCGGTGGACTCCAGTTGATCCTTTGCGGAGACTTTCTTCAGCTTCCTCCAGTGGTGAGGTCCAACAACCCTCTAGTGTGGCTCTTTGAAGCAACGGCTTTTCAGTTGATTCCTCTTAAGGCATCACTGACACATTGCTTTCGGCAGTCGGACAAGAGTTTTATAAACATGCTTAACGAAACACGCATAGGCTGTGTTTCCAATCAGACTGATAGTTTGTTACAATCTCTCTTGATTCATGAAAATGAGCTGAACAATGAGCATGACAAGATATCTGAGAAGGCGTATAAAGAATACTCTACAGAACTTGAGCGCCTAGAGAATGAGAGTCAGAAAACAGAGGAGGAGCGTCAATTTGCCCTGGAGAAGCTTGACGATGTCACTGATGACCTATCTTTCAGACACATGCTTTTAAATCTAATTCACATCAACCGTAGGCGATGCGAGCTAGAGGTTAAAAAGATCCGGACAACGTATGTGTCCCCATCCTTTCCTGTTAGACTATATACTCACAGACAGGCCGTTGATGAATATAACAATAGCAACCTGCTAAAGGGGAAGCAGATAGTATTCAAGTTGCAAGCGGTTGACGAGAACCTTTCTGATCATCAGCATCTGATGGACCCGCCGCCGGTGATTAGTATCTCCATTGGAGCCCAAGTTATAATAACAAAGAACATAGATGTGCAGCGAGGTCTGTGTAACGGTCGTCAGTGTGTCGTTAAAGATATCTTTTACTTCTGGTCCAAGGAGGGCAGTCGCGTTAAGCGCAATGCTGCATCAGATCTTTACCGATCTGACTTTAATGGTGAGCTTTCTTCCGGCACTAATGAGATAACCCTAAACGTGGGGATGCGGATGGTAGTGGTGGAGGTGCAAATCGGTAATCAAGTCCAACAAATACACCCAGTCACGTACGAAATCAAGAAGGGCAACGATGATGTGATAGGAAAACGCACTCAGATACCCCTTGGACTAGCATATGCTTTGTCTATCCACAAGTGCCAAGGAATGACTCTAGATACAGCAATTATCAATATTGAAAAAGCATTCAGTCCTGGACAGGCATACGTAGCGCTCAGTAGGCTTAGAACCATAGACGGGATAAGGCTAACGGGGTATGCACGAGGTCGCATCCGAGCCGACCAAAGGGCCATGAGCTTCCATGAAACGCTTCTTCATATCGACATATCCAACCCTGGATCTCTGAAAGCAAATGGACTCTGGTCATTTGGGAACGAGGTTTGTCAGTGGAAAGCAGATCGCAAATGTCTTACCCACAGCAAGGGCTACGAGCTGGCGCCGCAATACTCTGGGATTAGGAATCTTACAGACGCATTCTCTGTCTTGGAAAGCAACTTACTGTGCCAATCAAATAGCTCTGTGCTAGCACCTGTTCCTCAATTATCGGCCACCTTGGACCCACCGTTTATAACGAAGAAACCTATCGGTGAGCAGAGCAACTCAAGTGTTCAAAATGCTTCCTTGTTGACCGAATATCCCTCGGTCAATGCTTCTACCAATTCAGCACCTTCTAACACAATCGGGATTGTAGATTTAACATCATCTCAAGGGGAGGAGCCAGTTTCAGAGCCCGATCCCAACAATGAAGACTCCGCATCGATACCTAAGCAACCGGAACGCAAGCAGTTATTTACTGTTGAGATGTTTTTGCCACATTTGCACCGACTCATAGAAGCAGAAAACAACCACCAGCCCAAGCTGAAGCCACTGCCGACCGACCTTTTTCTTCAGCAACAAAAGCAAGCATTTGCTGCTATCACTGCACAAACGACGAACACAGGAAGCTATTTTTCCGGCGCTACTCCATTCAAGCCGGCAGATTCTGTGCTATTTGAATAAGCTAAGCTATGTGGTGCTTCACAGAACAGGCAGTTCAATAAACTAATTTTCCGGTCGCTCGCCGCAACTAATCTTTGCCAAACAAAAATCAAAAATTCTAGAGGGCTGCCGCAAGCAATGCAACAGCAGCAAGACCCACTTGTACGCATCAAAACAATCATGTACACGCGCAGGCCCCGCATCCTTGAGTTCCTCCAAGATTTTGATAAATTGCGCAGGGGTTTTGTGTCCGTGGATCAGTTCTTTCGGGCTTTAGAATCGATGGGTCTTATTTTCACCGATAGCGAACGCTACTATTTAGAGCAGAAGTATGCGACTGCCACATACCCACGGGAGATCTGTTATCAAGACGTGGTTGATGAACTTGAGACGCCTCTCTTAGACCCTTCTCTGGCACCCAAAGGCTCTCTCGCGGGAACTACTGCCGTCTATTCCACGCTAGTCGTTCCGGATTTGGAGCTAGACCACTTGACTCCCGAGGAGGACCGCCAGTGCAGAGAGCTTCTGGAGCAGCTGCGGCACTGGGTCCACTGCAGACCCATCATTGGGAAACTATTCTACCAAGATTTTGACTTGCATAAGACAGGGCTTGTGACCGCCAATCAGTTCATGCGCGGTACATCAAATATGTGGGAGGCCCTTATACGTAAGTTCCCCACGAAGGAGCAGCTTGAGCTCCTAGCAAAGGCCTTTAAAGCAAAACGACTGGTCGAGTTTCCCACAACCACCCAAACGGAGACTGAGGATGTCAGAAAAGAGTTTTCCGATTCCCATAAATCTGTGGAGACTATTTGTGATTACAGAATCTTTGTCTCTGCCATCAATGCAGACGAGGGGGATCTGATGCTGGATGCTAAAGCTGCGTCTCGTCCCTTCGACAAGGGGTTTGCAAAATATTTTGACGGAACTGGTCGGCCAGATTTCGTCGGAAACACTGGGCTCAAGAGAGTGTTGGATGCGTGGCTCAAGTTTCGCCCAGACTTTAAAACATTTCTCTTGGCCCGTGATACAATGAATAGAGGGACTCTTCCGTATCGTGACTTCTGCTCTGCCTTAGCCTCTGCCCTGACCGACTCTGGGCGGTCGAACGTGGAGTTTGTGGACATCGAGGAAGCTGCAAAGCAGTTCTTAGTTAGTGATCCTCTTAACACATCAGACCCAGAGGGCCTTCCTGTTAACTACCGTAGCTTTTTGGCAGCTATCCAGAATGCAACCCTCGACGCCCCCTCCAAGTCTACAATGTCAGAGGCTATTAACACATTTGTTTCCAACGCAGGACACCACTTTGACAAAACCAACACCGCAAATTTACCTGTACCGAGAGAGAAAGCATTTACGTTTAACAGCAAACCTATCGATTATGATCTTGTTAGGAAGTTGCAGGCATACTTACATGCACATCCTGCTCCTCTCCTGCAGCATTTTTCTATATTTGATAAAAGACATACGGGTGTGATAACGTCTCATCAGTTCAAGCAAGCTCTATCGGGGATAGTTTCCATAACTCCAGAAAGCTACACACCCTCCTGCATCCCTGTGGACACCAAGGTTCGTACTTCTCCATTCATCAGAAAGAACAACGGTCTGACAGATGCGGAACTAGAGAGGCTTGCAGAGATGTTTGCCTCTTCCACTGTTTCTGGACGGGGTACAGTGGAGCAGCCGCCGAGCACACCAGCTGTCTTGGCAAAGGGAGGCCTCTATGTTAATTATAATAACTTTATAGACTTCATTTCGAATCGCTGCGATGACATAATTCCCGATCGTGAGGCTGTTAGGCGGCCACATGATATCAATGATTACCTACTCCCCCACCCAGATGACGTCGTTTACAAGATTGCGAATTCCTTGCAGGTCCGCAACCTGAAGATTGCAGATTTCCTTGCGTTAGGTGAATTTGGTGACGCTCTGCGACCAAAGTCTATTATTGGCTGTGTCAATCTTCGCAACATTCAGCGGTCTTTGTCCTATAGTCTCGATATAACCCTCACAGATGCTGAGATGCTTTCCCTGGGATATGCCTTTCCAAATCCGATAGACGAGACAAAGACGTTAGCCTATATGTATCCAGCGTCACTTGTTGAACATGATGTTACCAACCCGTCCACACAGGCAACTTACAGCACTCCATATCCTAGTAGAATCTTGCGCAAGAATTTGGACTTAGACCGTATAACAAATAGCATTGATCATGCGGAGCTATGCACAGGCAAGTTAGTCGCAGATATTCAGAAGGCATTTGACGCGTGGAAGCCAACGCGTATGACAGGAACCTCCTACAAGGTAAAACCCAGTCTGGATTCGACCACAAGAACAGACCCTGCAGCAGTCAACGATATTTTCAACAACGTGTCTGCTTCAAACAAGCAGTACGACAACATTGGTGACTGTAGCGAATTCAAAAATCTGAATGACAACGAGCGGGTAACCATCAAGGGTCAATGGTTCTCGATTGGAGACCTCAAGCGCTTCTCCCTTCAGGTAAAGAACGGGGAAGTGGACCTACAAACGACATGTCAAGGAACGATGTCGTTCTCTCAAGCCGTGTCTTCAGTGACATCTGATAACAATGAAAGGCTTTTCATGCTGGTGCAAAGAGCAAGTCCAATCATCCTCTCGATTTATATAGACTTTCACCAGCGGGCTGGCAGACCTTTGGATGCCTTCCGAGAGTTTGACAAGTTACGCACGGGATTTGTCAGCAAAGATAACTTTGCCAGGGCCTTCGTTATTGCTAACATGGAGAAGATCACTGATGCTTACCCGCTGTCGTTTAAGTTTCTTATGGAGCTTTATACGTGTGTTGACAGTTCATCGATTTATCTGGGCATGGTTGATTATGCCTTTTTCCTCAGAGATCTCTCCCTCCCCCCAGACTCGTCAATATTCCTCTCCCCAGAAGAAGCCATCGAGCTAAAGAGACTGAAGTATGGTGAACAGGAACGTCCGAAGAAGGAGGACTATGCGACTGTCAAGAGGGAATTCGCTAACGCAGCAAATAAGCAAAAGTACGATGCAAGTCTTCAGGGAATTTTGGAGCAATTGGGTGAGGTCTGTAGAAACTATCGCCCCCAGGTTCGGAGCTACTTCGTCAATTTCGATAAGGGTCGCATGGGAATCTGTGAGATGTCCAAGCTTGGAAGTGCTCTTACATTTATGCACGCAAATCTTAATCAAAGCCAAGTTGCCACACTCCAGGACTATTATAAAACGGACCGGGTCGGGTTCACAAGCGGATTTAAGTGGAAGGACTTTGTGACAGACCTAGAGAGTGTTCTCCAATATCGTTTATAGGTGTCCCTTTGGCAAGCTGTGAATTGTGTCATTCGGTGGGTCAATTTGTTTCCCTTTTCAATATAAAATTGATGCCGGAGGACGTATGCACAGTTATCCCCAACCACGTGTATGTTGTGGACACCAAATTCCTTCGCGATAAGATGTGCGGAGTTACTATCATTCGGGACGGTGAAGAAGCGATTCTGGTCGAGGCGGGGTCGACTATTTCAGTTCCTCACACACTCAATGCCCTAAAAGAGCTGGGGATAGACTGCAACAACGTCAAGTATATGTTCATTACTCACGCACATCTGGATCACAGTGGTGGGACTGGGCTTATATTGCAGTCCCTGCCCAACTGTACCGTGGTGGCACATCCAGCGGCTGCCCCCCACATAATTGATCCTCATGACAAGTTAGTGCCAGCAGCGATACAGGTATATGGCGAACAGGTCTTCAATCAAGACTATCCAGGGATCGTTGGAATGCCCGCCGACCGCATGATCAGCGCCGAAGATGGCTCCGTCTACGGGGCTGCGTCTTCACTACTCAAGCTTCGCGTCATCCACGCTCATGGACACGCCTTTCACCACGCTGTCTTCTACTCAGAGGCACTGAAGATCCTCTTTGCGGGTGATGGCCTCGGCTTTTCGTTCAGCGAAATCAACTTCTGCCCACTGCTTTGCACAACGCCAACGCAGTTTGATGCTACAGCATGGCGCAAGACTGTCGACATCGTCAGCAAGCTTGACGTTGACTATCTGATTGCTACTCATTTTGATTGTGCCGAGAAGAATTCACTTCAGCGTCGCTGGGACTGCATACTGCGCCAGCTGGATGACTATGAAGCCCTTATCGCGGCAAGTAAAGGTCGTGATGAGGTCAAATCCAAGTACATGGGTATCATTCAGAAATATTTAGACGAGTACGGTGTCAAGCTGTCTTCCGAGCGCGTGTACGCCCTTATCTATGGAGACATCAATGTTGATGGGTTATGGTATCGCGTTCAACGCAATCTAGCCAAAGCGTGACGGAATAAATTGGTCACTCATTTTCCCCGTTGATAGATATTGTCTAGACCATGAGGATATGAATCGGAGTATCGATTGTCCTTCCGGAGGGCCGGATCGTAGAACAGCTCCACTTTCCCATGAACGTAGATCCACAGTTTCATGGCCGAAATGTAAGTGCAGACCTTACGCTCTGCTTCCTTGTCATAAAAGACCTGGTGGAGCCTATCAAGAATTGTTGATATTGCCGACGTGAGCTTTGGGTCATCCTGATGAAAGTAGAAGCCACTATCACAACAAGTGTCCGAAACATCATTAATTGTCCCAAATCGACCCGCTAGCCTTGCCAGTGCGTCACGCACAACAAAGGCCTTCGAAACGGTTCTCGGTAGAATGGATGGATTTGCAGGTATATCTGGTAACCGTTGCGTAGGCGACCTCTGGATGGGAACGACCGGGACCCTGTGTCCCCGAATGACATATACAAAGGGGTAATTAGGCAGCAGGTAGAATCGCATTTTCTCCTGTGCTCTATACGCCAGTGTTTCTCCGTTTGTATACTGAAATGAGGCCTCCTTGATGAATGAAAGGGTGGTATTCTTATCCTGTCTAACGCGAGAAACGGCATTGATACGTGTTTGTACGTAAAGGTGTGACGCTTGGGGAGTCATCAGCTCATCTGGAGAAGTCTTGGGAAGAAGCTTATACTCGTGGGAACTGAGAAGTAACAAGTAAGAGACGGCGTATCCAATAGCGTTAACTACTGCAATGTCAATCCCATAATATGTTGCGTTAGCAGGAAAAGTAGGACCTGAAGCACCCGTGTTGGCTAACAAACGATACTCGCCCAGCATAGGAGACGTGATGGCCAAAATTGCCGCCTTTGATGGCTCCGTCATTGGAAGTAGCAGCTTCACATCTCCAAAGGACTTCTCTCCGGCCATCTTTCCCTTACTATCAGCGGCAGATAAGGCTGAATTCAGAGATGCGTCCGCTTTGCGTAGATGCTGTGAAGAGTCGCTAATAAATGAAAAATAGTCACTTGCAGCGTACTTAATACCTTGTAACTTTATAGGAGTTATTGTATATTGTGCGAAGCTTTCAAAGTAGTCTCGTTGAATTAGATTGATCGTTGTTCTGTTTTGGGCCATTGTGAGCAAAGAATCGGTGAGAGGATCATCAAGTAACGTGTTATCAACAGAATCTCTGTATTGCTTAAATAGACTGGCTGTAGAAACTATGTTTTTAGAGCAAGAGTTAGTCAAAACAGCGTGTGCTAATTGAGCTGGAGAAGGTCCACCTGTAGCTGAAGAGCAAATACTGATTGCGGCTTGGAGAAGTGTGTTTGCACGGACAAATGATGACAATAACTCATTTCTAGGATTAGAAGGTGTTTTTGACTGTTTTAGTGGCGGCTCAACGCTAGAAAGAGATGCTGGCAACCTGTGGCTCTTCTTGGACGTATCAATCACGCTGCTCTGTACGGCGCTTGGCTCAAGCGCATCAAAGCATCCATGAAACTGAGGTCCTGTCTCATGAAAGGGTGTCCCTCCTGCAGAGTCAAAAAGGCTTTCAGTGGCTGTGAACTTTAGTTGCTTGCCTTGGTTGGCTTGGATGCACTGTGGGATCAGCTCATCAATCAGTGCGGCAGAGGGAGAGGTCATGTAGTTGAGAGCGGTCAGAACCGCCTCTGTCACCGGCACGCCTTCTGGGATAAGCAGGTTTGGTACAAGAGTGTACGTATCGCGTATGGCCACAAGAATGTGCGGCAGTAATGCTGACTTTCTTCCTTGGATCTTGGAGCACTCACCAATGGATTCGTCAAGAGTTCTGGTCACTCCAGTCTCATCCATATAAAAGAGAGGATCGTTAGAAGCGTGGGAGTATGGGGATGATATGTAGCTGTCATTTTTCTGATGGGCAAGTAGAGCCACAAGGAAGTGGCAAATCGTTGGATGGGTGCGAAGAGAGTCAGCCGTTTGATCGACAGATGCAGTAGAGAGAAACCCAGCTAGTTGGGGTATTGCTGTATTTAGCGAATATTCAGCAGCCGCGGCATGTAGGTGAAGCACCTGAATGGCAGGACTGGTGGTAGCCTTGGCTGCGGGCATGCCTTCTGGTGTGGCCTGTATCCCCGGCGGCTTGAGTAAAGAAGATACGGCGCTAGTACGCTGTGCATCGATAGGGGACGCAGGAATGGTTCTAATACCACTATAAAGTTCTGTTAGAATACTCTTCCCAGATAGCTCGCATTTGTCTTCAAAAGAGGTAAATGATAGAATGAACTTTTCGGGGTCTTGGTTTGTTAAAAGCTGTGAAGGGACAGAGGTGAAGATCTGGAATACCCGTTTAACTGCTGCTCGTGTAAACTGACTGAGCTTTGCTTTCGAGAGTGGTCGCTTGTACTCCATAGTGTTAACAAGCATATGTATGGCAGGAAACACAGCTGCATCTGCGGCAAAGGACGAGCTTCCCGGTCTATTAAAGGCGGGTAGCACAGGAAAGGTCCGAGCCAGCTTTTCACCCATGAAGAAGGTAGCCTTAAGAGATCCAACAACAAATGGCACATTGTTGATTGCTTGAAGCTCGGCCACCTTTTCCACTGCCAGTGAACTCACGCAGATAGGCTCAGAAGTTCCGTGACGCCTAAGGGTAGCTGCATGAAGGGCTTGTTCCGGGAGTACAAAAGGTGCAGGGTCATATGGCTCCATTGGTTGCAAGGAAAAGAGCTCGCACTCCATGGAATCCTTTCCTTTCGGTGGACCAAGCTGTAATGTCCTTTGTATCTGGTCTAGATCTTGGTCTAGATCAGTTTTGGTATCAATCACTCCATTTACGACCGCATTCTTGGTGCTGCGAACGATGACCCGATCCGCATTCAAGTAGTGCGTCACTGCAGTTATCTCAGGTGAAGGAAGCGCTGGAATGGCCTCTATCTTCGAAAGAAGAGTCTTGAATATTGACGAAGTAGCTATAGGAGATCTGCGCCTTTGCGTATTCTGAGAGGTGTTGCCGGATGAGCTCAGAGCCGTTTTCCTTAGTGCTGCAGAAAAGCTTACTGGATGGTAGTAATTTGGTTTTAAATCGTGCCCTATATCCCTATGAATTCCCAGAGAGCTGTGCTTGAGGACCTCTGTTAGCTGGCCAGGGCCGGCATCTGACGAGTCTGTTGAAGGTGCTTGGTGAGGTGAGTCAAAGATGGGGGTGGGCTGCTCTGAATTATCGGGACTGGTGTACGAGTTAGTCTCCATGATGGCTGATATGTTATCTTTCAAGTTCTGGACCCAATATGAGTCTGCTTCTAAACGTTGCGGAGACGGTACAGAAGAAAACCCGTGTGCACGGCGCATCTTTGGAAGAGAGGCCTTTGTATATTCTAGTGACGGCGAGCTAGCGGTGAGGAGTGCCTCTGAATGGTTGATCGTGTGATATGGTGGTGGATATGTCTTGATTGACGTCGCTGATGGATCCTTGAGAAGTCTTTTCACCGGCAAATGAAGAGGCATCCTGGCTTCTCCAAACTTTGAGCTTGTGACACTTAACACAGAGGATAAACCAAGAGCTTCGAGGATGCTCTGCTCCGTGAGCTGTATCGGCTGGTTGATGCCGTTTGTAGATGTGTATTCCAAGAGCCACGAGGGGGTGATATTCTGGAGAGTTACATCCTGTAGCTTGAAAGGAAAGAGAACATCCTTGGAAAAATGCAGGTTACTGATAACATGCTCCATAGAAAGACTGTATGCAGATTGACATGCTTGACCTTCTGACCAACCGAGCACCTCCCGTAACTCTTGGAGTTGTGCATCTAGACATGCATGTTCTACCAAGATGCGATACCGAAGATTCTGCGCGGTTGAAACGCTTGGCGGCATGGCAACGTTGCCGACTGTTTCCAAAAAATTAAAAAAAGCCTTGGCTATTAAATAAAGGTAGATGACACAGAACTACCGCATAAAGCAGCTGGAAGAGCGCGTAGACTTCCTGCAGTCCCTTATCCTGCAGCAAGCCGGCCAGGGTCCACGTGCAAGCGTTAAGCTGGCGAACCAAGCAACCAAGGAAGGTGTGTGGTACGTTTTTGTCAAGAACCTTCCAGACGGCCTCACCTGGAGGGAGGTGCAGGATGAGGTATTCTCTCTGTACAAGAAGTCCATTACTAGGGTAACAAAGATCCAGGAAACCGAATGGGCCCTCCGCTTCAAGTCGAGGGAGGATGCGCAGAACTGTGCCAATAAGTACAAGAACGCCAAGGTGAATGATCACGTCATCAAGTGCTTCGTGAAGCTTGTCCAGGATGAAAAAGAGCTGAAGGTCGGTTCGGGATTGTCGACGACGTTTAAGAAAAGAAGAAGAATTTTTAAGAATAACCGCAACAAGGAAAAGTCAGGGAGCTCTGAAACCGTCAAGAAGTACTAGATCCACTTAAGCTTATGTCGTCTAAAGTGAACTAACAGATTGTGTTTACTCACCCCGAGAGGAATCTCCGCACCGAGAGGTCGAGGGTCTGGATGGCTTCCTCGAGATTGTCATTGATTATGTGGACGTCATAAAAGCTTCTGTTAGCATTAAAGAAGTCTAGCTCGCGCAGGGCGGTATCAAGACGCTTTTTGATCTGCTCTTCACTCTCAGTCTGGCGGCCGCGAAGCCTCTGCTCCAGGAGCTCAACAGATGGTGGGCTGATGAAAACAAAGAGAGCTTTCACGTTCCTTTCCTGCTCAAGAACGGCGTTTAGTGTCATTGCACCCCGGTAGTCAATGTCGAGGATGCAATGCTGTCTCTTCAGAACATCGTTGATGGCAGCAAACGACGTTCCATAGAAATTTCCAAAATTCTCGACGGTCTCCAAGAAGCCACCCTGTTCCCTCAGGCTCTGAAATTGCTCATGAGAGACAAAATAATAGTCGATGCCATCGCGCTCTCCTGGCCTGGGCGCCCTAGTAGTATGTGAAACGGAGAATCCAAAATAGTCCTTGTATCGATCCATTGTCGTGATGGCCCTAAAGAGGGTTGATTTTCCGCTTCCTGACGGCCCGTTGAGGACAATAATTTTGTTCTGCGTGGGCCTGAAGCAGCGCGTCTGCATGAACCAATCCTTTTGGCTATCTTTTCGTTAAAGCATTATGAGAGAGTAAAATTATACAACCCTGGATTTTTAAGCTTTTTTGAAATTCAGAGCAAAACCAAAGCATGGTCGATCTTCCTACGGAGGTGGTCTTCGATGCTACGCCATATGGAATCACTGCTGAAAGGCCTCTCTTTCTGATGAATGACAGTGACGGTCCCATGGGGCTTACTTTTGTCACTGACGGGCCCTTCTCTGTTTCTCCCACCAGTGTCAGCCTTCCTCCAATGATTTCCAAGCAACTCACTCTTACCTGTCACCCTACCAATGTTGGGGTGAACCGGGGTACTTTACATGTTTCTCTCAATAAGGCTCTATACAAATCCGTCGCTCTCATCTGTAGTTCATACTCTGCTGAATTTAAGTTGGAGCGGACGGTGCTCGATAATTTTCCTAAGACTCTAGTTACCCATACAGCCACATCCCATGTAGACCTAATGAATATGTCCGACGTCGTGACAACTTTTAAGGTTAAAGCCTACCCCTGTCCTCAGAACGGGGAAGACCCCGATTTTCATGAGCTACTACTGCCCTTCTCTGTCTTCCCTCTTTCTGGAACAATCTATCCTAGCAGCAAGTGTACTTTCACAGTTACTTTTCAACCATCAGTTTCAGGTCCGCACGACACCACCGCTTGGATTGAGTGCACGGGCAGCAAAGAACGTCAGCCTCTCCGGATGCGTGCATTAGCGGTTGGTCCGGAAGTTGAGTTTGATTGTGACGAGCTTCGCTTCAGGGCAGTCGTGGTCGGTGCTTCTGCACGGGGTGAGCTCACGTTAACAAACCACTCTGAGATAGAGGTAGAGTTTCACTTGATGCCTACGGAGGAGCATGATCCTAGTTACATTTTGCAATATAGCTGTATTAGTGGGGTTATTCCACCCAGATCTCATATCAATATAGAGCTTACATTCACCCCCCATTCTATAAAGGAATATATCATCCCTTCTCTCTGGTCTATTCTTGGCCTGAGCAAGTGTCTTGTCGTTGAAATCAAAGCCACTTCCGTGGCTCCCAATGTCGAGATGAAGGTCTTCTCTGACAGTCTCACCGAAACACACCTTCGTGTCCTGATCGCCGATAAGCGGCTCCGGCGGCGCATTATTGATGAGGCCAATGGACGGCGCGGGGTTTATTATAGTGATGAGCATAGCGACGTTGAGCACATGTCCTGGCTTACCAAAGAGTTTCTGGCGGTTAACGAGATCGATAAAGACAGGATCATTGACTTTGGTCTTGTGGCCTTCAGCTTCTCCAGTAGTAAGGATCTTCGAGTGCGCAATCTCTCCCAACTGGAATGTGACTTTACGCTCAAGATTGAGCCGTCCCGTTGGGTTTTTGACCACGAAGGTCAGGGAAACAGCGACACTAAGCAGGAAATGCTTTTGGCCTGTTCAGACTTTAGCGTCAATCCGCCCCATCTTAGATTGAAACCTGGTGCAGATGCACATGTCTCTTTGACGATCCTTCCTAAGCGCCGTGCTGGGTTTTACAAGGACATTGATCTAAATCTTTATCACGCATCTTCTCAGCGCCCGCTACAAACTATTCAGATAATCGGATCAATCATCAATCCCAAGTTTGAGATTGATCCCACGGTGATTAATATTGCAGAGGGGTTCGTTGGTTACAGGCATACGTTCAACGTTAAGATTAAGAACGTTGCGTCTGTGATAGGTAACTGGAGCTTTCCTGTCCAAGATGTTCTCGATAATTGCCTAATTACTTGTAGCAAAGCGAGTGGGGTACTTCTTCCTGGTGCAGAAGAATCCCTTGAATGCGGAATCATCCCACGCTCCCAGGGCCATTTGGTTATCCCAGTTGCATTCACCTCTGACGCCTTTGAGAAGCAGACGCTGTCCTGTATGGTTCAGTATTCTGCAAGAGGCCCCCGTGTAGAGGCCGGCGGCCCTCTGGAGTTTACTCGGCCGAACAACAAGGAGTCTTACGTCAGGGTTCTCGACGTGGTGCACCTACCGCTCACTCTGAAAAACGTCGGACTGACCTCTGCTCGCTGCAGAGTGATTCCAGAAAAGCACGGATCCTTCTTCAGTATTGAGAAAGAGTTTAGCGATAAGCTTGTGGCCCCTGGCGAGGAAACAAGCATTCCTATCACGTTCTACACAACTGAGGCAGGTACCTATCGTGAGAACCTGCTAGTGTATGTGACATTGGCGAATGCTAGTTGCAGCCTCTCGGAGGATACGATCAAGGCCACTAGCAGTGTTATTAAAGTGCCTATGTACGCCTCTGCAAAGGGGACCAACTTGCTATGCCCCCATCAAGATCTCAACAAAGAACCGAACGTTGACTGTGGCACGTGGTTTGTCACGGAGGAACTGCAGTACAGCATTGTTATTCAAAATCACGGCGCCTTTGCCCAAAATTGCACGTGGGTTTACATAGGAAATCCCGGGGTTAAAAAGGGTCAAGGAAACACTCATTACCTGAAATTCGAGCAAGACCGTGTCCAGCTGCAACCTGGGGCTTTCCATACATTCAAGCTAAGGGGCCGTGTTCCGTCTGTTATCACCAACGGTCGAGAGATCTATCAACTGAAGTCTAATGTACCCGGGAAGGAAACTAAAGTAGCCTTTCAGGTCACGTTTTGTTATAGTTTTATCAATGCAGAGGTAACTGCCTCCGAGATGGTTCTGCCCTTGAACGAAGGCCTGCAAACTGCTTCACTTTATCATGAGCGCTGCGAACCTCTTTCCTTGGGAAAGTACAGCTTCCTTGAACGACACCTTGTACTCGTATGCAAAGGACAAAGCCCAGGATCTGCGCCACTCGTACAAGTTACTCGAAGGCCTGTTGAATCATCCCTGACTATTACTGATGTTTCGGAAAGTATCGCGGGTTCTGTTGTAGATAGACCCAGCACACGCGTATCTAACAAGAAACAGCGCCCTTCTCTTCTAAACTTTATTTACGAAGAGTTTCCAGTTATTGCATCACCAGATTACTTCATTGAGCGTGCAGACGTTACTTCGCAATTTCTTGGTGCAGACAATATTCCATTTAATAATGATCCGCCGGTTCCCCTCGCGAAATTTGTTTCACCAGATGGTTACTACTACGTACACCACGAGCTAACAAAGTTTATAAAATTGGTGAATACAAGCAGTCTTCCTGGAAAGATGCAGATTCTTGTCCAGGCCCCATTTCGGGTTCGCGCTATAGCCAAGGATGATGAGCATGTGTGCCACTATATCCACGATACCCTAGCTCTTGAAGCAGGCCTTGCCGATAGGGTTGATGATCCTGGCTATTGTGGCGATTTCATTTCCGCAACACTAGATAATTCTCCTTCCCCATGCGCCATTGAGCAATGCCTAGATGGCGCTCCTGTGGCATGTCCTCCTAACAATGGAGACGAAGAACCTACTATCAGCGATGCATCAAATCATGCGGTCGATGAGCTAGATGAGGATGCCAGTGCTCTAGTGCCTGCCAATGTGAGCTCCCCTTTCAGACAAGCTCTTGGGCTGCAAAAGGGCACATCAGAAGACAGCGAAATACCCATTCAACCAACTGATCCCTGCTCCATTACTTTCGGCGGCCCGGTGCACTTTCCAGCCTTTGCACAAACGGTGTCTATAGACCTGAAGGGCAACTCAGAAGAATTCTGTATCGTAGAGATCAGTGTTGATACAGACTACGTTCGTTCAGACTCTACGCCTAAGTTTGTTGACTCTACGCTTATAATCCGACTTCTTCCTCCAGGTCAACTTCCCATTTCTGTGCCCACGGTTGCAGTGCCTCTGAAGCTTTCAGCCTTCTTCCCAAGTCTCGAGTTTCGTTCCTGTTCGTTGGCGACCCTCAAGGAGCATAATTTAGACATGTATTCTGCTTATTCTGCCCTTAGTAATCAAGCATCCAAGCACGACTTACCGCTTGATAACTCCTCTACAGATCCTGAAAAGGGCATCATTGACTTTGGAATGGCCAATGTTGGCACTACCATAACCCAGATAATACTGTGCAAGAACATTTCCCGTTTTCCGGTTCGCTTCCAGTGGCTTCTCCAAATGGCCCAAGGCTCGGACAAGTTCAAGTACGATATCACTCCATTAGGCGTGGACGGTAACTCTGGCCTTCTTCCGGGCCACCTGGCAAAATTCAATGTTTCGTTTGTCGGCCAAACAAACGAGATCTGCACAGATCAGTGCAGAATGATATGCTCCATTGATGGGGGAGAGTCCTACTCCTATGGATTACGAGCTGGCACAAGTAACCTTGAGGCCGATGTCCGACCTAGCTATATAAATTATGGGGATATCACCTTTTCGTCAGAGCAGACCAGCACGATATCGATTACCAATAAGTCGCCCATGAAAACTACTGTCGTTATTAGCATACCCTATGAGTGCAGACCCTTCATAAACAAACTTAGTAATGCTCCACTCCAGGTACTGACCTCTCCTGCTGCTGTTTCTGACTTTAGTTATGAGCTCAATGGACATAGCGTTCTTGAGATACCATTGAGTGTTCGACCCCTCATTCCAGGACCGCTTTACATTCCTTTATCTATCAAAATAGGATACTTGGAGCGTCTGATTTTGCCCATCACAGCCAAAGCGTATATTGAGCGTCCCCTCTTGGTTAGTGGTGGGAGCCTGCTGGCGGAGACCCACACGCAAGTCTCTAACACACTCCCCCCTATGGAATACCTTTTTCCTTGGGACAACAATGCATCTGCTTCTCCCCTTTCAGAACTGCTCCCGTATAACGCCTTTCTGATTGCTGCGAGTCTATATATTCGTCATGTTGAGGTGGATGCCGTGGGTCTGCGATGTCTGGCAGAAGACTCTGCTAGTTCTGAAGCAAACGCGGCATCAACCAGTATACAGTTGCGATCACCCTGTTCGACTCAATTAATCAGCACTTTGCACAAGAAAATAGGCCCAGATGGCTCATTAGAAATCTATGGAGTGCGTTATGAGCCAAAAGGGACAGAGACAATAACAAGCGAAGGCTTTCTTGCTTCTCTTCACAAGGATTATGTTCTGAACTCCGTAGCCAGCGACCTTTGCATAAATTTCCTAGAATTCTATCGATATTACGGAACCTTTCCGATTATAGGTGCAGAAGACATCATAGAGGCCGCCAGCCGGTCAGCCCATAATGCTGTTCGTCCGTCTGAGAAGAAGATGAGCATTGCCAGAACACGACTACTTTCTCCTTCGGTAGCTCACCGATTGTCAGCCACGAACCAGGCGAAAAAGGAGACCCCCGGCACAACTCTGTTCCTGGATGGGACATCGATGGTCTCTCAAGCATCGTCAGTTACCAGAGCACCTACATCAAACAAGCAGCCAATCCACTTGAACGACGGCCAATATCACCATCTTCGAGAGAAGCTGTCTACAAACTATCTTTGCAACAAGTTTGTCTTATTTAATGTCGCGGTCTCTCTTCCCCCTGTTATTCGCGGCACAAAGACCTCTCAGACGATCACTATCTACAACAAAGGATCCACCCCCATGCATCTATCATTTGATAAGCGCTTCATGTTGCCAGCAGGAGTCTCTGTGGAGCCTGAAAAGGTCTCTCGTCTACCCAGCGGCGAAAGCATCACACTTACAATTATGTATACTGCAAATCATAAGGCTGTCCTCGGTAATTATGTATTCGTCATCCCGATTGAGTTCAAGCAATCTATCATAGGCTTCTTGACCTGCAACGTCTCAGTGACGCTACCGACAATTCGGCCGGTCAATTTATCTGCATGCTCATCCAATTTTGTGGCACTGCCGATTAAGGAGTCCGACGCATATGTGTTAAACTTCGGTGAAGTGCTTTACGGACAAGCAAAGATGTTCAATCTGCGGCTTGAAAATCCGACAGCCGTGCAGGCTGCTTATACATTTGAGTTTCTAAGTGGAGTAGTAGGCCTATTGAAGGAAGGAAAGGAAAAGGGTCTCTCGGTAGAGGCTCCGCTCCTTGGGACCGACCCCAATATCTTTACACTAATTACTGCAGAGGACACCGCTCTCCAAAACTACGGTTCGTTAGCTCCAAAGACCAGCGATTTGTTGCTGGATATCGTGTTCAAGCCGTTTGACTACTTCCCAGATAGCACGGATAGAACCTACTTTAGGGGCTCCTTAGTTTTCCACGTAAAGATGGGTGGCATAAATGGAAACTCATCTAAGGTTACGGTGCATTTTGTAGGTCTCGGGACTCACCCGGCGGTGCGCCTGAGCAAGCAGATCGTTGAGTTTTTGCCGATTTATCCTAAGGAGTTACCAGGGAGCTTTGAAGTGGTTGAGCTGCGGAATGATTCTGATGAGACATATGAGCTATATGTGAAAGAGTTTGACAAATTCAATCATATCGAGCAGCTGCTGTACTCTTCGTTAGCAAGGAATTGCGGAAAGATGCTTGTCTTTGACAGAAAGACCACAATTCAACCAGCACTCAGGTCTTCTGATGGGACTCAGGGAGATCCCAGTAACAACTCTATTTACCGCTTTGCGGGATCGTACACTCCAGCTGCATACGGCGCTAACAGTCCGTCTGTCCTTTCCTTACTGGGAAAGCCGGATGTCTTGTCTCTTTTAGCTGCAAATGAGCAACCGACTAGCGACGCTGTGGAACCCATGCTTACTCAAACGGAGGCTCGGGCTAGGAAGCCTACTAAGATACTATCTACTCTCGATAATAAACAGGCACGTCCCCCTACCTATTCCCATCTTCTGAGTGAAGTGCCTGCTCCAGGGGATGGCTTGGGTCCTATAACTAAGAAGTTATTATTGGAGCTGGGACTGACTAGGCTAGTTGCCTGGTTTGAGCAATGTTATTTGCCGCCGGAGGCGACCGAGACATATGAACCAGATGTCTCGGTTGGTAAGACCATCAGTAAGTCTCGTGGGGCATCGGGGCGCTCCGATAAGCCGGATCCTGCACACCGTACAAGCTCTGTTATTAGTACAGATACTCAGGGGGCAAGTAGAAACGTTGCATCAGCTGCCAAGTCAGAGGCTGCGGACAAGTCCGTTGAGTTGCCAGTATCCCGGGTAGATGCGTGTGAGCTACCGGCTGAAGATGAGACCATCCAGTATTTAGATGCGCCAGTTTCTCAAGAGGACTTTGCATATGATCTTTGCCCCATAGAGCTTTTAACTCAGAAATATGCGCGCATTGCGCCGTCTGTAATCAAAGGCAGAAGCTACCGGATCGCTAGTAACGATACATGTCTCAGCAACCTTCCCTTTCTCGTTTATGTCATTCACGGAGCCCCCTTAGCAGGAAAGACAACTCTAGCAAACAAAATTTCTTCGTTCTATAACAGGCCAAGAGAAGCCGTGGATGCACTGAGCAAAGGGGTGCAGATGCCCATTTTGTCCTTAGAGAATTTACTTGAAAACAGCAAGGCATATAAGGATATCTTAGTTAGAGTCTCCCAATGGGAGGATGCCTCCAAGAAGCCTCCCGAATCGGGCGGAAAGAATGTTCCTAAAAAGAAGACGGAAGAGGCTGCGCCAGCTACAGATCCAATGAAGGAGCCGGACTACCTCGATGCCCTTGCAGACTCACTATATACATCAATCGTAGAGACGTTTGGAGCGAGGACTACGTCATTGGAGGGTATAACGGCAGATGAAGGTGGAACTAGTTATACTCACAGTCTAACCGGGCTTATCTTTGATTCACTAACGTGTAGCGCCGTCCGAGATGTCGGGGATGCAATCATAGTCATTGCAAAGGCATCTGTAAAGCACTTCATGAAACCGATCTTTTACTCTGCACAGAATGTGTCTTCACGGCTACTTTTCCATACAATAATCCTGGACTGCTCTCCAGTTGATAGTCGCCGCAGAGCCATGGAGATCCTTGTCAATGACTATAAAAGCGTCGAAATGGGGGTGCCAGTTCAAGATGAAACAGAGCCAGCAGAGACACGCAAAGCAGAGACCAAGATTTCTATGGTTAGATTAGCTCTTTCCGGCGCCAAGAAGCAATATGATAAGGAGCTTGCCCTGCATTCTAAGGAGCCAAAAGAAGCATCTCTTTCGCCCAGACAGAAGATTCCTGCCTTATCTGATTCCGATCTAGGCCCTGCTGCAACCACTGTCACAGATGCCGTGGCTAATGGAGACGAGCAAGGACCTGGTGCATCTGCTGCGACATATGTTACGCCCTTCTATGACACTGTTTTCGTTGTCGATGATCCCCACGGCGCTGCCCATCAAATGTACTTGAAGTCTGTTCCCCTTATTAATTCTGCGCTTCACGCTATTAAGGAACTAGTCACCCTAGCGCACAAAACTAGCATCGACGCCTATAGAAGCTCATCAGGATCTATGGATAGCTTCTCCCCTGAAGAGGCAAGTTACAAAAAGGCCCTTGATACGCTGAAGCAAGCTCAGGAAGCGCTTTCACAAGCAAAGAAGGCAGACCAGAAAAGACTGCAGCAGGCCGTCGATGAGGCAACTAAAGTCGTGGCTGAGCTTGAAAAAGCTCTTCCTCCACACCCTGTTACTAAGATCAATGAAGAAAATATGTTTCTGGTGACGTACATGGACACCACTGCGTCAAATCGCATCGATCCAACCTCGACCCTTGAAGAGATTCTTCACCGCGTCCGCAAAGCCTATACTTGCTATACCTCGATTCTTCAGAAAAAGCTAACCAACTTAGCCACGTATTCCTCTGCGCAAAGTATCTCTGGGCAAGGAACCTTTACAAGCTTTCTCCACGTGCAGACAAGCGATGACCTTTACGTTATAGAAACTATCCAGAGGATACTGGATGTTATATTTGATGCTGCCGACTACAAACAGGAGAGCTTTAGCGGAATTGCAAGTGATGAGAGCGACATCCCTGACCCCGAGCGAACTATGGCTGTTACAGATGCAGGCGCAGATGTCGAGTCCGTTGCTCCAGCTGTGGAATCCCTTGAAGTCACAGATCGAAAGAAGTCGCGCACGTCCAAGACGCCGATCCAGGTGCTGAACAAAATGCTTCAGAAGTATGCGCGCTCACCAGCATTCGCAACCCTTAAGCATGTCACAGGTGCCATTATGAATAAGGAATTCATGTCCCCCAAGGTGATGCTTGAGTGCCTGTATGATGCTGCGGTCTTTCAATATGAACACGAACAGACTTTCAAGCGCATCGCCCGTGTCTTGCCAGCAAATTCTTCTACCATCTACTCGTTCCAAGACGCTCAGAAACAAGTGCAGACTATTTGCGCAGAGATAAAGGACTTGCAGGCGTCCTTGTCTAGTAAGGGAGCTAACGCAAAGCAACTATCTCAAAGTTTGGCAGAAAAACAGGCGGCAAAGGACAACGCTGAGACAAACATACGGACCCTTTTCAGTGGCGTGGATTTTCCAAGCGAGATGGGATCTACTCGCTGGATTCTCAAGCCTCATTCCAGCCTACGCGTTGGGTTCCGCTTTGTCTCCAATAGCATTCTTACCACAAAGCTTCGGGTGCACTTTGGTGTTCGAGGCTGCAGCACTGTTTTCCCGCTTGTATTTGTCTGCAAATGTGACTTCCCCCATATAATAGAGCAGTTGAACGTCATATTTACGGCCCGTACTGCGACGAAGAATGGAAAGTCTCTCACTCCTTTACCAGATGGAATGTCTACAGCCATGCTTACAACATCTGGCACACAACCTGGGCCCGATGAATCAAGTGCTGCCGCGGAAGTATCACAAACCCCTAACTTTAATGATTCAGATCAGAAAGGGGAGCCAGTTGCAATTGTGCAGCGACCAGCTGAGGTTTCAGTAAAGCCTCGGCCAGGGGAGCCCGTTGCCCTTTTTGGATTTGGATATTTACGATCAGGCCTTCAGAGACCAGAGTTCTTTTCCATGAGCTCAGCCTTTTCCAATCCATACGCTGCATCTGAGGCCCCTCTTGACGTTATGCCAGGCACAAAGCAACGCCCCTCGACTAAGGTACGATCACGGCCGTCATCCTCTGTCTCTGCATTACCAAAGGATGAAGGGCAGAACCAGGGAAATAAGCCTGAAGCATCACCATCTTGTCTTCTGACTAAGCTGGATACTCTAACCCATCAGAGGGCGTGCAAGTTTATTGCTGACACCATATGCAAATTTACGCCACAACATATGGAGGTGCTCAGCATAATCAATGACAGCTACTTCCCCGTTACCGTGGCCTTTATCTTTGATAGCATGCTCCATGGACTCGCAGAACTAACGCATGCTAACAGCAGTAGAGGCACCGAGATTAACTTCTCTTCCGATGAAGTCGTCTCTGTTGTTAAAGAAGGCCTGCAGAAGGTCTTCTCATCTACAGATCCAACCCTTTCCCTTCAAGATTTACTATTCGATGGATCCCTTCAAACAAGTAAGAGCGGAACAAAGCAGCAAGGTAAGCCTGGTACCAAGGGAGCACCAGTTGCCGATGTGGAACCAGTGTTCGTTGTTTATCCATACAGATTGACTCTCCAGCCAGGTGAGCGGTCTGCCATTTATATCACATGCTTTCCTCCAGAAGACAAGAGCTATAAGGAAACCCTCTTCATAGGTGTCAATGGTAACCCTAGTTACCTAGCCATCGGGTTCAGCTGCGCAGGACAGACCCCCCGTATTGAATATAGCCTACCTGAGTGTGCTGAAGACCTCTTACCGTGTAGTAATATTTCTAAGGATGTCGACGACTTAGCAGCAAATAGCACGCGTTATTTGGCCAATGGCTATAAGCTAGATGCTAAAGACATCGTATCTGGCTCAAAGAATGCATCCAAAGCACCTACCAAGGGGAAGGATCCGGCTCACGAGAACCTCTATCAATTGAACAACCTTCTTGTCCCCCGCGTTCCAACGAGTACGACTGAGTCCTTAGAAATCCCAATTGAAAATACTAGCCAGCTGCCCCTTATGGTCGAGTATTGTCCTATGCACACGGAACTCTCTATGCTTACAGCAGTAACCCAGGTCGTTAATTATCCCGAGTACCTTGTAAAGTCTTCCGTCAAGACCACGAAGTACCCCAGATCAACGAGAATTGCCGACCAACAATATTCTTGGAGAGTCAACAATTCCCTTCTGATCAATAACGCTCGCTTCTATCTTGGTCCGGGAGAGAGGAAGGTACTCAATGTTGAGTACTCAAGTCCCACAGAAGCACGAATAGTCATGCCTGGAAAGTTGCTTGTTCGGCAGCATGTAGGTGGGCTCAAAAATGTTCCCGAAAACGACGTCCTTGTTGACAAGTCAAGGGCCAACGGGCCCAGACTACCAACTCTCGATGCACTTGGACGTGCATTTTTAGACCCTGTCGTTGAGCATGCCCTAAATATCATATGCGAATCACACAAGGTAGATGTTTTTACGACTATTGTGGGCATTTCAGAAAGTCCGGACAGGATACCATCTGCCGTTCAGAGCGGTGAGTCGGCCTTTGATACAACTAAACCGAACAACAATCTAAATCTTGGGATTGTACGGGCACTTGTGTATTTCAAGGCCGAGCTCATGCTTGTCAACAACGGACCTTATCAAGTTGGCTACAAAATCGTTGTCAGCAAAAGCTTTAAAGACGTAATCTTCCTCATAGAAGACTCTGATTCAAGAGAAAAAGCAGAGCGAGGCAAGAAGCAAGAGTCATCTGCACCAGCACAGACACGTCCCATTGATCCAGATATGTACAAACTGGTGACAATCCAAAGTGGCACTCTCGGAGTTGACGAATCCAATAGGCCGTCCAGTCGCCCTAACCCTCCACAGAAACAAGGCAAGGGAGCCTCTGAGTCCTCTACAAGCAAAGTTAGGATCAGTTTAATCTTCCGTGCGCCCGAGGCCCGAATCTATGAAAAGGTACCAATCCTCCAGGTCACATTTTTTGAGCCTCTCACAAATCTTATGTTGGCGCGAAACAATGTTAACCTTACAGCTGAGGCTGTCTTTAGCCAGGCCAAGATTCAGCCAGAACGGAATATTGTCTTCGGCGAGCACCCGCATGGAAAAGTTGTTTCAAAGACGATTTCAATACGCAACGAAGGACATTTCCCATTCCTCCTTTATATCGAGCCCTTGGAGCAGGTAATAAAACGATGGCTGCTCTTCGGTGAAGCTAGCCCGTTCAGTGATCATGCAAAAAAGGCAACCAATTCTGAATTGGATGCTTCTGCGTTACGTCAGTTTGGTGTTCATTTAGAGACGGTTCACGAGCTATACAGATTATGCGTTGAAAATGGCCTCATTCGCCCGTCAACAGAGCAAAAAGCACAATCAAAAAGCGTAGAAAAGAGAAGCTCTGCAGCCACAACTATTAATCTGGCATCAATAGCTGCGCTCCGCTCTGGGCCATTCATCATACAACCTTCTCTCTTGCACCTAGCTCCTCAGGAGTCTCGAGAGGTGACGGTGACATTCACATCACAGGCAAATGGAAACTGGCGCGACTACTTCATCATAGACTACACCAACAAGCCTCCAGATTACTTTGGTGGCTCAGCATTGACGGAGACTTTCCTTGCTTCTCTATTAGCTTCGCTGAACGACTCCGCTAAGACTGCACCAAGTATCTTACAAACCTACATTTCGAAAAATGAGGATGTCCAGCAAAGGCTTGCCAAACTGCAATACTACGTGACGAATCTTCCTTTATTGCGCTACTCTTTATCGGCAATATCTATAATACCAGGAATAGTAACGTCTAATTACTCTAACATCTTTGAAGAGCAAGCCTTATCGAACCAGCTTCCGGCCAACCCAAGTATGCTTGTTGGCGGCCCGACGTTTTCACCTATCAGCAAGATATTCTGTCTTGGTCCTTGTGTCATTGGCAGCGAGCTTTCTGAGAGGATTAAAGTTACCAATCCATATTCTGTTCCGTGCACAGTAGCCATATTTCTTAATTTTGATCAGACTAGGATGACTCCGCAAGCTCTTGATGGTGTGATTAGCGAGCGCTGCGGGGAAACAAGCACGCAGATTGTTAACTTTGTATCAGCAAATCTGAAGAAGAATGCCAAAAGGGAGAGTGCCACGCCTTCCTCTCAAGAGAGATCATCTCAACAAGCAGCAAAACCGCCGAAACCGTCTGGTGACAAGAAGGATACAACGCTTGTCACGAACGATAATGAGGCGTGGTCGTTGGAAAATGATTTCTTCCGATTGCTACCAAACGAGAGTACCTACGTGACGCTCAAGTACTTTCCCTCTGCACAGGTTGTTTCCCGTTGTCAAGTTATCTGCGTTGTTGTAGATCATCATTTTGCGGTGGTGGATCTGATAAAGAACAACCTCCCCGGAATCTTTGGATTGGCCCAGCTCCAAAGTGGAGGATCCAAGCAGCCTACCGGAAAGGGGATGCCTCCTCAAGATCACGTCATTCTTCAGCAGCTTGAGGACGGGCTTCAGGAACAGGACGTAGCTCGTCGCCGCTTCTCCTTTATTGCTGAGGCAACGGGCGTTCTTCCAGAGGTGTCCTTCAGCCCACAGTTTGTTAACCTGGGGAAAATTACTGTTGGGGCATCAGAAATGGACCTTCCAACACATCCTATATCCATTTTAAATACGGGCCGCGTCAGTGCATCTTATGCAATCGTCATCAGTTCACAAGATATGCGCCACGCGGACTGCTTCGTGATTTTGCAATCACAGGGCCGTGGCTCCTCTGATCCTGTTATAGAGGATGGGGAGGAGATACATGTCAAGGAGCCCATTCCACAAGGAAGGCTTTTTACAGGCCTTGTCGTTCTTCCGGCGTCAACGAAGAACTATTTTACCATAGCCCCAAACACAGCCGCGTTGGCCAAATTCCCTAATGGGGAAGTTATTACTGCAACACTGACCCTCAAGGTTATGACGAGCTTCGTGGACTATAACGTCGCGGAGATTCCTCTCCAGTGTATCGCCATTTCTAGCAAGCTGAACGCCATAGAGGGCCGGTTTATAAGCACAGCTATACAAATCATGTATAAAGAAACCACTGCTCTACTATTTGGGACATTTGGCAACCCTAAGGCAGAACAGCTGACTGAGACGATTCTCAGCCATCTGTCGGATAGTAAGGCATACGAGCAGCTACGCCAAAACCAGATCTCTACGTATGGAGATGTACACTTCAATCAGGCAATCAGCAATCGAGCCAATGTCTATCTCAAAGATCTCCCTCTTAACTTGGCAGGCTCGGAAGAAGAGAAGTTCGGCGAGACATCACTGCCATCTACAGAGCCTAGCAACGCACGGCCGAAAAGCAGACCCTCACAAAGTTCATCAATGTCTGTTAGCTCTCCGCCGCCAATTCCACAATATATGACCACTCTCACCTCGGCAATATATAATACAGAGGTTATCTTACAGAACACCAGTACAAACCACATCCGATTTGAATTCAACATAGATCTTTGCCGGAAGCTTGGTGTAATTGTTCACCCATCAATAGGCCACATCCATGCAGGGGCAAAGAAGACGATTATCCTTCGTCTCACTTGCCCAGGGAACGCTGATGAGTTTGCTTCTCTTTTCAGTGTGCCTGGAGGTAAGGCAGCACCGCTAAAAACCAAGAAAATGCCGTCAAAATATGGTCAGACAGTGCTGTTCGGCACTCCCTTGATTTGTCGCTATTACCCAATCATGTTCCAGCCAGGGCGACGCGTTAATGACTGGGACAATGCTCAAACAACGATAAGTTACGTGACAAATGCTAACGGTGTTGCTGTTCGCACAGAGACTGTCTGTCCAGAGCCAGAATATCAGGTTTATCTAGATGAGGATGAGGTAAGGAGCCTGCTCGAAGAAATGGTCTCATCCCGAGATCTTACCGACGGTTTGCCACGTACTGGAAAAGGACCATCGCAGGCGTCCACCAAGGCTGCTCACCCTGCTGATAGACAGGCTTTGCTTCAGAAGGTGCTATCTGATATCCATGCGCCGGACAACCGTATTGCATTGGCGTCGAGTTTTCTCGAGCTTAACCTCTTCGGCTTTGCGGGTGACTTTTCAGTTAAGTGCTTTAGTAGCTCGTCAACTGGAGACTTAGAGCCGCTGACATTGAAAGCTGATAGCGTCAATGGATACTCACTTTTGGAGTTCCCAATGGTTAGCACACCAATCCTTCAAAAGTCTGCTGCTGCCTTCTATCTGCTTAACGATTCACAGACAAGTCCTGTTGTCATATTCAATTCTATGGCTACATCACAACCCGAGAGTCCCTATCTTGTTGAGCCTGTTCTCGATGGAAAAACCGAGATTGCCATGGTTCCTGCAAGGCCTGATTTACTGGCTTCCCTTGTTCGTGAGTACTATCCGACCTTGCCAGAAATTCCCTCTATCTCCGGGCTTATGGCAAAGGTTGGTATAGGAGCAAAGACCCAGATAGACAAGAACGCCTTAAACGCTCTCCAAACTGCACTAACATCGAGCAATCCAAATATCAACCGGTACCTGATACGATATAATATTTCTTATGAGCCTCGCTTCCCTGGAGCTCATCATGAAGTGTTCGCCTCCACTGCTGGCAACATATCGTTGTCTCTCTCAGCTATGGCCATCCTGCCTGTCTGTCATCTAGAATGCAACAGCAACAATGTGTACCTCCAGACGATGCGCCCCGGCTCTATGAAGACCCCGCAATCATTTGCCAATTTGATTTGTTCTAATCCGAAGTCAGTGAAGGTCTTAGAAATACTCGGACAGGGTGTTGGGATTACTATCACGAACCATATCACCGTTCTGAACTGCATTAATCAGCCGTACGATGTAACGCTGCAGCGCCTTCCCGAAAGCAACTCCAGTATAGTGTCGACATTCGGCGCCGGTGGCCGCGTATCGCCTGGCGAAACCTCTATCATACGCTTCGATTATACCCCCACCAGAGAGAGCACTCGTGCTGGAGTTGAGGAGGGCTTCTTTATACTTCGCATTCCTCAACATGATGTTACGTTGCCTCTACTCGTTGTCGGGCGGCCCACTGAGCCGGAGGTTATACTAAGCACTAATAAGTTGTCATTCAATCCCATTCTTGTTGGTGATTGTGCTACCAAGGAAGTGAGCTTGACTAATACTGAAAAGTATCCAATGAATTATAAGATTCGCCTAGCGCAACCTGCTAAGAACATGGTGGACGATGATAGTGCCAATGCATCCTTCCAGTGCACCATTACTCCGACAGCGGGAATACTTCAGCCCCTGTCGACAACGTCTATACTATTCACTGTGAAGCCTACATGCGAGGGACGCATCAATCAACTGATAAAAATTGTGATGCCGCGACGGTCTGTACCGCTTTCCCTCAATGTCAAATATGAGTCATTTAATGCAAAGCATCTTCTTGAGCTCCTTCCAGACACCCCAGTTGGCCTTCCCCACCAGCTAGGCTCGCACAGTGAGCTTAATTTTGAAACCGTATTTGTTTCGGATTACCGTTCACGAACACTCAGGCTCTCAAATATTGGCTCCCACACGATAGGATATACATGCATTCTTTCTCTGAAGCGTCATAATTCTACTGCAAGGCGTGACGAAGTAGAATTTAAACGGGCTAAAAGCTGTCTTGAGTATGAAGTGGAAACCTCGGATGGAGATAAGGAAACCAACGCAACATCTAAGCAAACTATCAAACCAGGAGATCATGTCTTCATAACCCTGAAGTTTCAACCTACTTTGGAACTGCGACTTACTAAGGATTTCGGTCTAACCTTCACGGTCAGTGTAGAGGGCTGTGGGTCACAAGAGTTGCAACTTCTAGGAACTGGGCTGAAGCCTGGGCTGCATACGGAAATAACTCGCTTGGATTATGGAGCCATGTTGAATTCTCTCCGCCACGATAAGTATGCTCCAAGGGTCATTTCCTTTGTGAACAGGGATACTCAGCCACTTACCATGGAATACTTCCTCGGAACAAACGACTTCTTCATCGATACTCCACCTCTTTCTGAGCCTCTACGCGTTGGAAGGACACATGATGTAGCAATCAAGTTTATACCCGGCTACGCCGGAAAGTTCAAGGACATGCTTACCGTTATGGTCAACGGGCTCTATAAGTTGCGCTATCCTTTGACAGGTCAAGGTATTGATTGCAGCTTTGCTCTGCATGATGTGTTGAGTGGATCTCTTATCAATTCTTACAGCAATCTCAGTACGTCGCATGCGCTAACTGTTATTAATTTGGGAAGCACCTCGCTTTCCAGCCCGCCAATTATCAAGGCCGTTAATATCAAGAATACAACGAGCGCCACTATGCATGCGCGTGTAGCGGTCAATGACGTCTCTTCAGATGAAGTCCCTAAGGGACTTTTCTTGGCAATAGTCCCTACAGAGCAATACCACGATTACTTTAATAAGTGCATGGATATGCTTGATAACTGGAGCAATAGAAACACTAAGCAAATCTATTTGACAGGGCTCCCTAAGGAGAGTGAAATGCTTCCAAATCAACTCTGCACAATTATGATCATGCACAGTCCGGTTTCTCGGACACCGCAGTTCCAGATTTCGGCCTCGATTAGCATTGAAGATAGTATCATTTTTGATAGCATTATCAGCATTAAAGGCGCAGTCTTGGGCTCATCAGCAAAGCTTATAAATCAGAATATAGAGATGCCCCCATGTATTATAAACTCCTTTGTGTCCAGAAACTTCTTCATCGAAAATACTGGCGATACAGAGCTACGTTATACCATCTCTGTCCCTCCAAAGGGTCTCGTTAAGAAGAGCCTTCTGGAGCTTTTTGAGAAGGGGGTGGTAACGATTAGTCCTGTCTCGGGACTTATTCCAGTTGGAACGAACGCTACTATCACAGTGAAGTTTTCCCCACAGCAGGTTTGCCGGCACTTTATCCCCAGCATCCCCGTAGAGTGCACACTGGAGGGGAAGATGATTGTAGTCGGGGAAGCCACCCTTCGCTGTGTATGTCTTGACAAGGCATCTATGGAGGCAGCACCTAACGCCCAAGAAGTCCATATGTCCTGCAATGCCCGTGAATCTACATTCACCATACTACACGTTGACAACAACACAGATTCTGTCTTTGTCGTACGTTCTATTCTGGACGGACCAGACGCCAGACAATTCCAGGTTCCGGAGCGGCTCAGTATACCACCAGGCGGAATGGATTTTAAGGTCATGTATAGTCCTCTTGCTACTGCTGACTTGCATCGTGCTGACCTCTACATTGCAGGTGCAGATGGAGGGGCAAGTATATGGGCCCTGCATGGAACGGTTGGGCAGCCTATGGATGAAGCTGTGATTACTAATATGCAAGAGGCAGATTACAACGACCTAATTGGCAAATCGGGAGCGTCTGTGGCTATAGTTGGGAAGGACAAAGGAAAGCAGACGTCAGTGGCAGGCGTGCCACAGGGCCTTCCCCAGAGCTTTATTGATACCCTCACAAAGGCCCAGAGGACCATCTGCACAGGTGTGGAGGCCACTTGTTATCGGTATACTACATTCTCCTTCCCTCTGCGGAATTGGGAAAAGCGAATGCAGCGCTTCACCGTTGATGTCCAGTTCCTAGATTCTTCTCTCAGCACCTTCTGCCAGCTGAACTATCCGGAGATAGTGGATGCTCCCGCTATAGGAGCAGTTCGGAATATAGAGCTAGGGTTTATGCCGTTTATATCTGGAAAGCTATTTGCAGGAACCCTATCTTTTGTGGCACATGAAACGAACGAGAAGCTTATTTATCGCTTTGTCTTTGAATCTGGCGGGGCACCAGTTGTTGGCCGCGCTGCCCTGGAGACAACTGTGCGCGACCCTGTGGAGAAGCTCATCACTATACCAAACCCTCTTCTCAGTAACAAGACTATTTCTTCCCTCACACTTACTGCCACAAATGATCGTGATGATCTTACGATTACACCAGAGACAGTTACGTTCAACAACAAGACGAGCACCTACTCATTCAAAGTCAAGTTCAATCCATATGTCCCCTTTGACTCGGGGGCTATCAATACAAAGGTGTCTTTCGGTGTATCAACAATTTTAAGCGGTGTGGAGAAGAGCGAGCTGTGCCGGGTTGATTACACTCTTGAGCTTATGTGTTACATCCCACGGCCGTCCTCTCCTATGAAGGTTCAGGCTGACGTGGGGACTACTCTTCCATTCACGATTACCCTTGTGAATAATCTCAGGCCAAAGCCGACGGAGAAAATCGTGTATGCCCTTGGGCTAACTGAAATGCATGACATAGCAGGTATCAATGAGCTTATTTCGAAGAAGACAGCCAGCGGGGCTGTGTCAACCAAGACGAGAGAAACAGTGTTAGGAATCGTCGATGGTAAGGCTATTCAGAACAATCTTGCTTGTTTTGGATTAACATCGGCCGAGGTGGCGGCATCGTATGGTCAGCCGTTTACTATTTCTCTCAAGTTTTCGCCCCAAAGCTTCGGAGAGTATAGCGCAAGCCTTGTCGTATACAATAAGCAAGGTGGCTTCTGGGTTGTGCCATTAATCGGAAAATGCACACGCCCCCCTGCCAGCGGAACAATTACGGTGACCAAGTAAACCTCTGCTTTACCGGATTCTACGGAGACAGACTGCATAACCACCTCCACCACCATTGCATGCACACGCCAAACCAATGCATCCTGGCTCTAAGTCCTGCATGAGGTCTCCGACAATTCTGCACGAACTAGCAGCTAGAGGGTGACCATAGGCAAGTGCGTCTCCATTCTTATTAACGACTGAATCGGGAAACTCTACTTGTATGTCTAGAACTAAGCCAGCAAACGCTTCGGTAATGCGGATACAGGAGATGTCTGATCGCGGTAGCGCGAGCAAGGAAGATAACGCGCATGCTGCATCTATCGGCGCTCTGAGATATTCTAACCCGGATGTAACCAGATAGAAGTATCCAAGAACTTCTGCTTGTGGCTCACATGGTGCAAGGCTTCCTTCATAGGTTGGGGCTACTAGCGCTATTGCGACAGCGCCGTCGCTCATTGCACTGGTTGTCCCAGAGGTTAAGAGACCGGCATCGCGAAAGCAGGAGCGAAGAGATGGAAGTTTCGTCCGATTGTATCTGATTAGCTGTTCATCTTCACAGAAAGAAACAGGGACCGCAGCAGGAGGCAAGAATACAAGTTTCAAGGAATGAACAGAAGCAGAATCTCCCCTAGCTGTATATGTCACTGCGCTGACAGTGCCTGACGCCGGGTCGAGCTCAATATGAACAAGCTCTGGCTTTGCACGAGCCAGAGCTGCTTCACACGAAGCGACGGCCACCGCTTCAAGCTGCTGGCGGGTATAGTGCTGCTTGGAATAATACTCTTCTGCGATATCCCCCATAGATCTCTGGGTCTCTGCATCTAGAAGCCCGTCATGAATGGTGGCCACGTCGGTAGCGATATTAGAATGCACCATGTGTGCGCGAGACATACTCTCCATCCCAACGGCGAGATACGCTAATCCCTCGCCTACACTGATGCGTCTGCAAGCCTCAATAACTGCCTCTATACCAGAGTTGCAAACGACGTTGATTGAAATAGCAGGCACAGGCGTGGCCAGCAATGTACTTTTGGAGACAATTTGCTGAGCTGCGTGTTGACCGCAAAAGGATGGCAAGCTGTGGCCAACAACCATCGCAGATACATCTGCAGGATTGAGCTCGCTACTCGCTAGAGTTGCGTCTACAACGGCTGCTGCCAGTATGCTAGGGTGCACCTTGCTAATAGAACCACCAACACGTCCAAACGGCGAACGCTTGTATCCAACTATCCGCGGCCGTGCAGCAAAGATACACCCGGGCATGACTTTTTCCCAAAAAGCCTTTGGACGTTTACTTCACTGCTACCTGCCACGCATTCTTCTCAATGCCACACTCGTTTGTTCCGCGGAGTATCCTGAAGTAGCCATTTTCACCCCAATCCGACCCCCAAGAATTACGAACAATCCAATAGTCGTGATTGTTCATGCTTCCATAGCCAACAATAAGAACTGCATGCCCACCAAGGCTCGTGCCATAAACCTTGTGATAGATCCCACCGACATAATATAGAAAGTCCTCGTGGACGTAGAAGCCCGTTTGCACTGGCCCATCGGCAAGAAGGGACACCATGATCTCATTGTAGTTGCTAAGACGGCTGGCCGAGGCAGCTTTGTAATGGAAGGCGCTCTCGACAGGGGTTCCATCCTGGCACGTCGTGGGGCACTCACCTGATTTACCAGTTTCGCCACTGGTGTAGGGAAGACAGTCACTTTTTACTGCTCCCTCTGTTTCGAGAAAAGCCCAGGATGATTCGAACTCGCCTCCCTGACAACCGGCCTCGCCGCTGTCACACGAGACCATGTGCTGAACGGAAAGAGAGACAGCTTGGGGATCAAGCTTTGCGATGCAGCGACGTGTAGATAGTGCGCCCAGGGTTGCAAATGCATAGCAACAGGAGCATTCTTTCTGGTCTTCCGGTTCAAAAAAGCACTCCGGATGGGTCTGGCGATAGTCAAGACGGTCAGGGGAGCCGGCCGGAGGATAGAGATCATCCTCAGTAATATTCACGCCATAATAGCGGGGAATATTTGGTCTAAGGAACGCATGGGGGAAGAACATCTTTGTAACTTCATCATGCGTTCGATTAGCGAATTTAGCCGGTATTCCCGCCTCCCAGAGCTTGTTTTCCTTCTTGTTCAAATATTTCAGGAGATGGGGGCTATAGAACGGAGTTGATAGAACTGCAACAACGAGGACAGCAAATAGCATTTTGGTTCTACAGATTTAATTTTTTGGTTTTACAAACTTCATGTAGAATGGGGACAAGATGACCATTCCATTGAGGGCTGCCCACGGTCTTCTTCGGATGGTCCATGTAAGTGTTATAGCATTTTGCAATTCAATTATTTATACCATATGGCATAATAATTTGCGCCAAAGCATTTAAGTTATCAACAATGGCACCCCACACGTGGTTCGATGCAGCGCGGGCCAACAATTGTGCACTGATAATGGAGACAGTGGATGTCTACGCTAGGTCCGTTTCCGATGAGGGAGATACGGCGCTCATTCTGGCTGCAGAGAACAACGCCCTAGATGTTGCTAAGGTGCTTATCCCGAGGGAGGTATGCATGGTCAACAAGGCTGGACTAACAGCACTTATGCAGGCCGCGCTTATGAACTGCGCAGAGACGGCAGAGCTCTTAGCACCACTCGAGGCTAATATATCTATGCCGGACGGGCGTGACGCCTTCATGTTGGCCTCGTCTCGCGGGAACATTGAGGTTATGAAGGTGATTCACCCGTACTTTGCATTACGAACCGATCAGTCAGGTTTTTCCGCTCTTGATCACGCTGTTCTAGAGAACCGGGAACAGGCCGTGAAATTCATCCTTCAAATGCGTGTAACCACTCTTAAGGACCTTGAGACCGCTCTCTTTCTTGCTGTAGAAAAGGAATACACACACATCCACGACTTACTACGGGAGAAATCTGCATCACTTCTCAGTTCTAATTCGCGCGATAGCCACCGCTATGATCATCTTATCAGGAACCCTTCTCTAGGAAATAGCTTTATGCAGGCATCCACGGTATCTCAAACGACAAGGTCGGATGAGAGAGCCGTCAGTTTCTCACAAAACACTTCACCTCGCAGTTCAGTAGCAACGGACAAGGCAGGCGCCGCGACCCTGGACCAGGCAGATGATGCTGACAATCTGGCGATTACTACGCTGCGAAACTCGAACAATCTTCTTCGGAAAGAGAATGACCGCTTGAAAGAGCAAGTAAAAACACTACAGGAACAGCTTAACGCTTCAGCTGATATAATTAGTGTCATATCTGCCACAAACTCGCCTCATGGGAACCCGTTCAGCGTGGACTCAGAGATCCTCAATAGACGGGCAGGCTCTCTTCGCATGCCTGCGGAGAGCGACACGGATGATATGGATACCCTGAAGAGGTGGTATGACCAGCAACTTGCAAGCGAACGAACAAGAGCAGATGCACTTGAGAGCAAACTGCGAGACTATATTAAAGCGACTAAGCTCGATGGCGGATCCGATTACCTCAAAATAGCAATCTCTGAAAGAGACAAAGTAATTGCCCAGCTAGTTCATGAATTCGTCGATAGGATGGCAGAGTTGAGCCTTAGTGGCGAGTCTGACAGAAGCACAACACAGCTTCAGAAAGACATCGGAGATAATGTTTCGTCGGACGTGGACGTTGTTCTCATAGAGAACCCGCACCTAAAGGTTCTGCGTAGTTTGCTTGAGCGACTGTGTGGTAATATGAACAAAGCATATTTGTCTGAAGGTAGAAAGGAAGCTCCTGAAGTGTTAGAGCTAAGTGTTGCAAGGATCAGAACTCCATTAGATGGCTCTCAAGAACTGTACCCTTGCGCTGTGGAACCAGTTAACAGATTTGGGCCACATTCTTCAGAGCAATTATATCCGCAGAAACTCGTTGAAACCTCGGACAAGTCTGTGGAGACATCTACTACTGATCCCGTTGTGACAAGAAATCAACAGCAGCCTGATTCTGAGAGCTGCTCTCTTCTCATTCCTGACATGACTATCGGAGCCATAGCTTCCCGGGAGGCACAAAACCAAAAAGAAACTATTCCACCTACCCCCGTGATAGACAATTTCAAAGGGGTTGAGTATTACAAAGAGCTTCTAAAGCAAAAGGAAGCTGAAATTGCACGATTGAGTTTAAACACCCTTGCGCCTGTTACAGTTCCAGAAGGGGATGACCCAGACGCCCTTAAAAGAATCATAATGGCACGAATGCACGATATAAGATGCTTGATTGTGGAGAATAACCAATTGGAGAAGGACGTTGCCACGCTAAAGCAAGAGTTGAATCAAAATGATTCTGAACAGTTAACAAAACAGTTGAAGGAGAAGGAAGATCAAATATCGAATCTTCAGCGAGAACTTTTTAACACAATACAGCTTCAAACACGGCCCATAACAATCCATGGTTGTACCTCTGAGGAACATAAACAAAAGCTAGAAGAGCTGTCAAGAGCAAACGATGCCCTCGCACGGGAAAATGCACGGCTGTCCAATGCACTTGTAACAGCAAAGGCAGGAACAGATCGTGACAGACTGAAGGAGCTCACAAACTCTAACCGCATTCTTCTTGATGAGCTACACTCAAAAGACGAAGAAATCGAAACGCTGAAAATGAGCATGACCCTATCTGAATCCGTCGTATCTCCAAATACAACGCTTGAAAGACTGGATGCTCTCACAAACCAATTGAGTGAGCGTGATGCAACAATCCAGTCTTTACTGGAGTCACTCAGAGCACAAGAAGAAGCCTTTGTTGGTTTGCAAGCTGTCTTAAGGGATAAGGAAGCAGAGGTCGAGAGCATGCGCAATGCAACAATATCTCAAGAGCGAGCAGTTACACACGTTATTACAGCCTCACAGATTCAAACTAACTCTGCTCGAAATAGCAGAACTCTGTCACCTATTCTTTATCGAGAAGACGACGAGACCCTAACTCTTAGAAAGTCTCTACGCACAACAACTGCAGAGCTATCATCCTTGAAAGAGAAACTGAGTGAGGTAGGTCTCTTGGAGGATGGAAGCCTGGATATCAAGGCTTTGAAGGCAAGCACTAAGCGTATTGGCGCACGCCTAAGTATTGACGACAAGCCTGCAGAAACAGAGCGAATCTCGAAGTGCGATGACTTTAGTCAGAAGTTTGTCGGAATCGCTGATGAGAGCCCCTTCATCGACGTCAAGAAGTAAATCGATCTATTCACTCCTTCTATCAGTGATACGCGACCCGTTGCTGACTATTTCTGATAGCTACAAGCTGTGCTGCAGTTAACAATCTGTCGGCCACACTGTATTAATATGTCTTAGCACCAGCATAAGGAGTGCTTAACAACGGAGTCCTGCGGAGAGACTGTAGCTGAATAGTATAGAGGTACACGATCTGATGTTATGATTACCTACACCATGCATTGCGAGTTAGGCTTTAGCTTTGTGATATATTACGAAACAGATGCTCTGTATAGCAACCAATTGCATAGCAGCAGACCTGTACTAGCATTGATGACTAGATCTTACCGGTTGCCATTCATCCTCGGTTATAACCTGGGGGCCAAGAAGCTCTACCTTGTCCTCGTTTACACTAGCCTGATCGGCGTGGTCATGACCCTGGCCGTCTGGGGGCTCTGCGAGGGCCTGGCCTACCCTCTTATGTATCTCTTTGTGGGCGACGGAGAGACGGAGCGGGCCATTTCCGCCTTGGCCGTGCGGCTCGGGCTGGCCGGGCTTCCTCTCCAGCTGTTCGTGAGCATCACCGTCTCTGTGTCGCAGATGAAGCGGAAGACCGTCCTCAGCACGATACTGCAGCTTACGCGAGCAGCCGTCACCATCGTGTGCATCTTCGTCCTGCCGCTCATCATCAAGGCGACCAAGAGCCAGATCGACCCCGTGCACGGCATCTTCATCTCGCCCGCGGTCGGGGACGCCGTCTCTGGCCTGGTGTCCATGATCATCTACATCAAGTGGACCCTGGACTACAAGAAGCAGTGCGAGACAGCCTCCGACGAGTGAATTTATTTTCGGCAGCTTTAAATCTAAATCTGAAATCTACGAATTCGAGATTTGGTATACAACTTTAGGAACCTCGTCGACCCCTGGCCCCGGTAAGAGAAGAGGAAAGACGGCGAATTGTCGGACAAGTGTCTACAAATTATTGAGACAGGCAATCCCTGTTGAGGAGGCAAAAGGTGGCAGAGGGTACCCAGTGTGCCAGGAGGAGAATGGCGCGCTGTTCTGAAAAATGTACTTATGATGCATGACAATTAGTACAAATAATAATTGATGGGGGTCACGGCCTTTAGTACGGCGTTCTTCCCGAGGGTGCCGCCGGAAACAATCATAGATACGGCCAACCTGTTCATGCACCAGGGTGGGGGAGTGGATGTCATGGCTGCCCTCAAGCCGTATCTTCCGCTCCTGGTTGCCATGGGCGTCCTGCTTGTTCTTCCCTTTGTCCTCGGGCTCTGCTTCAACATTGCGCTCGTCTGCATAGCCCCCTGCCGGTGTAGCCAGTGCTGTCGCAGATGCTGCCACCGGAAGCTGGAGATGGAGCAGACATCCAGCAAGTACCGCTGCTGCTGCTTCTACACGGGCTTCGCTGCCAACGTCATCGGCCTCTGCGGATGCATCGGGATGTTCGTCGCCGTCTCCCAGCCCTTCATTGGCGTGGACAACATGTTTCGGGTCGTGGCTCGAACGACCGATCGCGTCTACGATCTAGCTTCGGACACCATTAGCGCCTCAGACAGTCTTATAAACGCGCTCATCTCGAGCTCAGATAATAGTTCCATTTCCCCAATCTCCAATATCTTGAATAAAACAGCAGACGAGGCCAGCGAGTACATAAGCGCGATTTCCAAGAGCTGCACGCTGAGAGTGGTCTCTGATGTCCTGTCGCAGAATTCCTCGCTGGCAGAGGGGGTCAGCACCATCCTTCTGCCGCCTGCGTCCCTACCCTCGTTGAGTGCTATCACAGATTTCTCAGATAACATACAGAAAAACTTAGATTTATTGTTGAACACAAAGACACAAGAATCAGTAAAGAACAATTTAGAAACCAAGAAAACTTATGGCAACTTCTCTATACGATCAACGCAACCTCCGTCTCCACCCGATGACACGGCAATCTCCGAGGCCAGCTACAAGAACATCAACAAGAAGTCTCTTATTGGCGGGGCTGTCTTTGCAGCCAATTCTATCACCAACGGGATAGCGAAGTCGCTAGATAAGCAGCAACCACCAGTTCAAGACAAGTGGCAAACTATCATTGAAAAGGTGTGCAAGCAGGCCTTTAAGGATAACTCAGGAAATAATTATTGCACAACAAAGTCCAGTGTTGCTGCTGCCTCCGATTCACCTATTGACAGAGCAGATCTGAATGTCCCGGTCAACAACAACCCCGAAACAGTGATAAAGTTCGTTATAGACTCGTTAAGGCCGAAGGCGTCTGGCAAACAGCAGGGCAAGGATGACACACAACTACTCGTTGACTTGCTTGAAGTACTCAGCACGAAGACGTCGACCGTGGGGGACATAGTCCGGAGGGCGTGTGGCAAGCCGGCACTTAAGTGCAAGCTATCGTGGTGTGCGTCTGCCACGCGGGCCGAGGGAGGACCAACAGACGAGGAGCTCGCCAGATCTATCAGCGACCAGCTGAACCTGCCTAAGCTCGCAACCGATGCCCTGACACAGGTCTCCAGCTTCTCCAAGTACATCAACTACGTGCTGCAACTCCACGACCACAAGGAGCAGATGACTGCGCGTGCTCTGTTCGACGCCTTCATAAACAACGGGGCCTGCCCCGGTTACATAACAGACCTGCCTGTAGAAGGCGGTGCGTTGGACTCGTTGAAGAATTGCAAGCTCTCTGGGTTTGATCCGGCAACGATTCCGCCTGTTGGCCGCAATTACGTTCTGATATCGATGGCCCCTTTCTTGCTCGCCCTGGCTCTTCTCCTCGTCCCAATCGGGACGTTCATTTGCGGGATCGTGGGCGCTGCGCGCTTCAAGACGAGGTGCGCTGGCTGCTCTTTGTGCTGCAACGGGTGCGTTGTTTGCTGGGTGTCGCTTTTCCTGATGCTGTTCGGGATCGTCGCGGTGGTTCTGCAGAAGTTCGCTCTGGAGTACTATTCGGGGCTCCTCACCAACCCAGACAAGCTTCTGCGCAACAACTACGACACCGTCCTCCAACTCCTCAAAGACAACGGAGTCATAGGAGACCCTGCGCCGGTCCAGCTGGACCTGGGGTCCTTTGTGCTCCGGCACACGGGGCACCCCGACCTAGCCTACACAGCCCCGTCGTCCGCCGTGTTGGATTACACCACATACGATGCTCTCCGTAAGAGCCTCGCCAACGTGACAGCTACCGTTGCCGTCGGAAACCTGCCGAGCATGTTTGGGATTCCTGCCGAACCTGATGACAGCATGGCCTCTCTGAGCCTTTCCACGAGGGTGGATACAACTCGCATGTCCATCAAAGACCTCCTCTATTACAACAAGAAGGGTGGAGGGATCCTCGATATCCTCGGCTTGCCGGATCTTTTGGGCGGGCTCCAAGGGCTGCTGCCCGCGGTGCTACCCAAAGCTATCAACCCCCGCTCCAGCCTCTCACAGTACCTCGAGACCTTCATTGTTCCGGACATTGATCCGTTTCTTAGCGGGATTAGGAACGCGTTCCTCAGTGGCGAGCTCTCGAACGCCGTCCTGTTCGGGGACTTCTCTGCAGGGCACAAGCTATATAACGACACATATTCCAGTACAGAAAAGCGCACAGCTTTGTACGGAGATGTTGATGCATCTGCTCTGGCTGCCATGAATGTCACAGCGCAGGTTGAGGCCTATATCAGAGGCATTTCCTCCAGCGCGAACTATAGCGCTCTGTCCCTCGAAGCCAGTGCCAAAGCCGTTAGGGGCCAGAAGGGGATAGTCGCAGAGTGCCTTTCCATGATTCACTTTCTGGATACTTTGGTCGCTATGACAAAGTGCCCCTCGGTGACCTTCCTTGCCGATAACCCCGTCGATAAGAATCTGTGTTCACAGGGCAGTATTAAGAGCACAATGCAGAAGATAAGAGCCGAACTAACCAACCTCAAGACTTCGTGTCCAAGCATCTCCACTAGCCTGTCCTCCATCGTCCACGGGTCTCCATACCCAGACCTCGTTGGAAACCTGTGCACGAAGATCCGCCCAGGTGACACCGTAGAACAGACCTCCATTTGCGTCTCCAACACATACGCAGCCGTGCGAGACCTCGTGTATGCGCTTCAGGAAAAGGGCTTCCAGACGATTGGCTGGAATGCTGCGAGCAATCCGAACGATGGCTCCAGCGGGGCACTAGATGTGGTGCTAGACACAACAAGGGTCTACGAGCGGTTTGTGGATGTGTTCAATAACTGGAGTAGCTTTTCAACCGATGAGGTCAGCTTCATAGATGCATACACAGAGCTGCTCAACGCTGTAGTCTCCCCTTTGTCCATTCTCTTAGATATCATCGAAGCAAACATGGTCTCGAAGAACCTGTCCGGAGGATTGTACCCGCGGTTTTCTCAGCATATGTACGACACGGTTTTGATGGAGCTTGGAAGTACCGTCAACAAGCACGTGATAGAGCCGCTCGACGTCCAGCTCAATAGGCTCCTGGACATCCTGATAGGGCCCAAGGGCTTGGTGACTCCCTACGTATTAGAGGTGGTCCCCGAGAGCATTAGGAGCCTGACGCTGGGGACGGGGCTCTTGGAGACGTTCGGAGCCATCTTCTTCTGCCAGTACCTCATCTGGGCCGGGCTCTTCTTCGGTGGAATATGCCAGAACGTCACGTTCAGGTACCTCTATAGTATGGAGTTCATGCGCTCGAAGGACTACAAGGAGACGATGATCGAGGTTAGCATGAGTGTGGTGTCATTGACCGATAGCGAGCTCTTCCCCATGATATCAGATTGCACGGCGACGGAGATGTCTGTGAGCCGTGTCTACGACCCCGTGGATAGCACCACCAGTATCTTCACCAAGAGCGGCCAGCTTTCAAACAACGGGGACTGCTGGGACTTTAGAAAGTAAATGTACACCTAATTTACTCTTCGTTTCACCAGGGTGGGGTTGTCACCTACTACCTGAGTGATCTCCCGTGCAAGCCACTGCTACCTTAGGCAAGCCTTTCGCCCATACACGGCTGGGATCAGAAATCCGAGAGTCAGGTGCCCTCGATCCCGACAGGAGAAGACTCTGTGCCCCGTCCCCCGGAAGCCGCTGCTCCTCACGTTACCTCTAGGGTTCCTCCCTTCCTCTGGCCCATCGGGGTCAACTATCGTCTGGCACTGGTGGGCACCTGCTATTCAGGGCCTTGCGTCTGTTGCGGCGATCTGGCCTCCACGTGGCCCGGGACCCTGGTACTCCATGACGAAGATGGGATACGCTATGACCCCGGGTGTCTACCCCGTTCCTCGGGGTGCCTCTTCGTCTCCTCATGAAGCGAGTCATCAGTCCCGAGTATGATCGGAGGGTGCGCTCCCCGTGTCCCTCTATCTTGAGGTTGTGGTACGCGTGCGTAGATGCCGATGGAGTACTCCCATGCGTTGTGTCGGAGAAGAGGCCCGGCCCTCTGCTCATGGATCGCAGTGCGCTCTTGCAGGTGGTCCGTCATCCAGCACGAGACCGTGTCGACGCTCACCCTGTGCAGTGCGTCTGGCTCAGTGATGTGTGGGCTGGTCCATCTGCACAGCACACTTGGGGTGATGCGTCGGTCCACCGAGGCGTCGGTCCAGGGTCATCGACTGCTGGGGCCCTCCCTCATCGGGGGGATAGACCAAGGAGAGATACAACTTACAAGCTACATATGCCAATGAGTAAGCTGAATCCTAGACTGAGCGACGCGGACGCTGCACAGAATGACTAGGGAAAGCACCTGGCTTTGGATGCACTACTAGAGAAGAACCCCTAGTATGGTATCTACAACCAGCCTTCATCTTCAGACATGGCCAGGAATTGAGCGAGGATCACTCATAAGGCCTCTGGACCACGTCTGCAGGTGGGCCCAGCAACATAGCATCTAAGTTTCCCTGTGGCCACCATTTGACTACATCCTTGTTGTCTATTCTTTATTAAATACAATCTCAAAACTCTTGAAATTTACCATAGACGAGAAAATTACCACAGTAAGTCTCTTTCCCCTTATATGTTATAAGTTGCACTACTCAAATTCATATGTGACATTTGTAAATATGCGATTATCATAAATGAAAACAAAAACCAAGCAGGAGGTAGATGTCGGCAGAAGAGTTCCACTTTGCAATGCTAGTCTACTGCACGTCAATGCGGGCCTTTGGGCTAGTGTCGATGGATTCTTCGGAGTCGTATGAAGAACAGCTTATAAAGGAAAATCTTCTAGCCTATCTAGCACACATAGCTTACGTGCAGTATCAAACAATGCACAGATTAATAACGCAGCAGGGAACTAACACACTTGCTGAGAACTGCCGGTTGTTCTGGAAGAGCCATGGCAGCCAGAGCGGGGAACCTGGACCTCTAACTAGCAGTGTTACCTCTTTTCTGAAACGAGAGATCAAGGCTCTGCTCCGGGTTATCCTGCTTGGGGCGTCTCAAACAATGTTTTATAGAGTCATCGATTTATCCAAAGCTTATCAACAATACTCTGCGTTAAAAAACGCCAGCACGTCTTCCAAAGATCCACTGCGCTACACCGACTTCGTTTCTGATATCCATGATATTATACTGAGTACTACGAACAAGCGACTAATCACTTTATTGCACAATCATCTTCTTCATTTCTACAAAATAAAGTATCCACAGCTATTCTATATGAGGAAGTCCGTCACAGGCACTGTTTTGACTCTGGATGAGCATCAGAAGTTAGACCAACAATATGCGCAGTACGTTGAGACACTTATAGAGCAGCAGGTTTACTGTAGTACGTGTCACGTCGAAGTGCACACAGAAGCAGATATGCAGGCACACATGATGGGACGAAGGCACAGGGCAGCAGTTCGACACAGCACACAGAAGACCAATCATGAGCACTATGAGGCATTTGCTATTTTACATAAGACTTTACTTTTACTGAACTTCCTGAAGAGAGAAATGTCTTTGACGGTCAACTACAATACCCTAGGGGATACCTCCACACAAAGCGTGTCGCAACCCTTTATAGAGTGTTACGAGGAAGACAGGATCAATAACTTTACTGAGAAGCTAATTGACTTATCTTATAAGCTGACAGTTTCGCTTAGTCTCCAGGTTAGCAGAGATGCATACGTACCCATTCTATCCCTTTTACCGGCGGGTGTTGTTAAGCAAAACAATGTAAGTGACGTGGCAGGAAGAATAACCGTTAAGAAACAGATATATGATCCTAACACTGGTGAGGAAATACCCAAGTGGCAGTACGATGCCCACGGGTTACATCGTCGATTTTTGTGCGAAGTATGTGGAGAGTTATTTTACTACGGGCAAAAGGTATTTGATAAGCACTTCTTAGAAAGACAGCACATAGCGGGGTTAGAGGCTCTCGGCATAAACAGTGATGAGTACAAACGGTATGCAGGACTTACCACACGGTCAGCCGTCCTTGATCTCAAGGCCGCGATGAGCAAAGCTACTCCATGTAATACTGCTCATTGCAGTAGCGCGTTGCCATAAACGTAAGTTCTTGGCGAAGAGATTCGGGCAAAGTATGACTCATCTTGGAGCAATAAGACACTATATTGTTTCCTTGACTATCTCGAATCTTTGCTTCACTGGATAATAAAAGGTACACACAGTGTAGGTGCCCCTTTTCAAGAGCATACATTAAGGCTGTCTTCCCATTCTGATCTTGTAAGCGTTCTTGTAACGGGCGCAGACACCACAACTTCACCAGGTCATTTTCTTCTGCGGCACACATGAGCTCAGTTTTTCGGTTGCCCTCTGTACTATATTCGCTGACGTCAATTCCTTCATATTTTGTTAAAAGATCCGCAATGGTATAATACCCCTTTTGAAGGGCAATATGTAGAGCAGTGGCTCCATCAACACGCTTCATTCGTGCCTCCTTTTTGACAACATACTTGATTGCGCTAATGCGATTAAATAGGGCCGCGAGCATTAGGGCGGTTGTTCCATCGCTGCGCTGCTTACCGACGTGTGATAGCATATTTAATACGCCATCCAGATTTCCCTCTACAAACGCCCTCATGAGTGGCGTGTTCTCCTGATTAGACAATTCAGCCATCATCTCCTCTGTCACTAACGAAACCTCTGTGGCTCGATTTCTAGCAGTAACTGATCTTCCTATTTGTGTTCCTGAAACAATGCTCCTTTGGCGGTTATCAGCCAAGCTAGACTGAGCCCGTTCAATATCAGCGCCTTGAGTAGATGCCATCTGTATAACTTGTGACGACGATGACCGCGATAACGGAGCCGTTCTGGAACTTGACCGCCTTATGGAAGTATTTATGGACGAGATGAGTGTATCCATAGAGTCCCTTGCCCTAGCACTTTTATTGCGTAAGGATCCATGCCCTTTACAAAGCCCTGTTGCGGACCGTTGGGGAGACGGTTCTACCTTATCATAGTCTCTCAACAAAGAAACGTAGGCCTTCTTGAGAATGTTGAAGTTAGATATAAGATGCCTTAACTCTGATGGATTTGCCTTGAATTGCGCCGCGGTGCCTTTGATAAATCGGAGATCTATGTCTGTGGGTATTACATTGCGTAAAGGTACCGCCAACTGCTCACGCAAGTCGTGGCCATAGAGTGATTTTGTCAAGACCATTGTGTTATCAAACTGCTTTCCTATCGCGGCCTCACCTTCGCACACCCTTAATCGTTGCTTAGTATTTTGTAACTCTAGTTCCGTCTTTTCAAGCTCTTCCCTCGAGGCCTTCAATTCACGCTTTAGAGAATCTATCTCTGTCGCTAGCTTCTTTCCTTCTTCCTCTTTAATCAATAAAAGACCAGTCAACTCACTCTGTGATTCCAAGCTGGTATTGAGATCTTCCCTTGCTTTATCTAGCTCCTCTTTAGCGCCAATAAGGAGCTGTTGTAAAGACTCTATGCTTTCAGATTCAATACTCGCAGAATCGGCTAAATCTTTCTCCTTGAGGCTATTCTGTAGCATTTCAACCTCGCCCATATAAAAAGCTATCTCGTTTTCCATTTTGTTAAAAGCCAGCAATCGCTCTTCGTCCGTGCTCGCTGTTATGGCCTCCAGTTTTAAACGAAGCGCTTTGTTTTCTGATTCCAAAAGTGCAATGTGCTTCTCTGCAGTTGGGTTGATGGTAGTCATATCCGAAGTAAAAGGATCATCTGGATGTGGAAGAGAAATGCGGTCTTCTCCGTTGGTCGAAGTGGTAACGACCATACCATCTTTCTTGTCGACTAATATGTCTGACTCGTTAGTAAATCCTCCACTGGATGCATCCTGGATAGGGTTGGAACTGCTATTGGCGTCTAGAGAGTCTAGATAAGCAACCACAGAGCTTCTACCTGCTTCAGATGCTAGGTCCCGTGCAATTGATAGATCAGCGGAGGATGGGCGAAAGTAGTGCACGAGCTTCATGACTATGAAAAGATGACCCTCATATCCCGCATAGTCTAGGGCAGATAGGCTATTATTGTCGCGGCATAAACTGAAGTTCGGCATGAGTATGTCTAGTACATCGCCAGAATTGCTACTAGCGGCCAGCATTAGTGCGTCCCGACCATCAGAGAGCCTAAAGTCCTTTTCTAGGGGAAGGAGTACCTCGACTATTTCAGGCATATTCGACATGCATGCTATCATAAGAGCTGTACAGCCGGAAGATGAGCGAGATCCGCTCTCAAAGGGTGCTAGCAAGCGCACCATTCCCAAAAGGCCTGCTTGCGTAGCTACCATGAGTCCCGTATCTCCTTGCGCGTCTACAGAACATTTGTACTGAGCCAGTAGCTTGTTTACCGTATCGAAATCGTTCATAATAATCCCTTGGAACCAATCAGAGAGAGACATGAAGAGAGATTTGAATTTTTAGATCATGATCAATAGCTGCCAAATGGTATGTTGTGGGCCAGGTCTTCGTCGATATCGTTATGGAGATAGACGCGAATACTGACGGCGGCAATGACAGAATGTTAAAGCTTTAATTGAGAATCTTTAACAGCAAGAATATATAAGGCAGTGATCTTAATGCTAAACTTGTAGAATCCACAATGCAAACGCCCAACATTGGTATTTACTCACAAACTACATTATACTTTCAGGTTTATAAAGCTGGCTCATCAACTAAGCTGAATAAGAAACAATCTCATTAGTTTAGAATATGGTTTTGCTGATTCTCAAGAGTGCTCTTTTCTAGGAGGAACGATAGAGAAGCATAGATGTCGATAGAAGTAACCTCGTAGATTTTTCAGGCATTGATGACTTTGCCGTAATACCAAAAAATCTGAGTGTTCAGCCACTGCTGATGTATACGATGCTTTCACGACTAAAGTCGGCCCTGCAGGGCTTACTTTCCAACCACTACAAATAGTGCCCCCAGTTCCAGCACAGCCCGTAGCTCGGGAGCGGGACCCCGCTACTCTCGCCAGGAGGCACGTCAGTGTACCAGAGGCAGCCCTGGACACCATTTATGATGTATACTGTGGTATGTGGGCACGTTTACTACCTAAGTCACGCCTTGCCCCTACAGAGGAACCACCAGCAGAGGAAGCTCACAAGGCCAGCCACGACGACAACCGCCGTGACGGAGATGCCCGCTATAGCGCCTGTGCTGAGGCCGCTCTTATTCGTGCTTCCGCCGTTGTCAGTGCCATCCGTCTTGACGTAGCAGATGACAGAACCACTATTACCAGTTGGAGGAGCGCAGCTCGCGCAGTTAGCGACGCCCTGGATGCTACCGCTTGTCTCTGTACACAGTTTGCATGCTTTACTGGCGTCCAAGTAACGGCCAGGTGGACACGTGCTGCACTTATCGGGTTGATTGGCCACGGTGCATGTCGCACAAGTGGAGTCGCATAATGGACACATGTTCGAGACAGCTGTCAAGCCATTCGCACACGTTTGGCATTTTCCATCCCCAGTGGGCGTTGTGCAGATGCTTTTCCCGGGGAGCCTGTCAGTCTTGTAGCATCCGCCCTCCTGGATGAAGTATCCGGCGGCGCAGACCGTGCAAGCACCGTTAGCGACAGTGGTGCAGAACCGAGTCCTGGCCGCATTGCTTGTGCAGACGCCATTGAGCGGCACGTTGTTCCCCTTGCACTTCGAGCAGTACTTGGTACCTCCAATTGTTAGGCCGCACGTCTCGCACTCCGGGCCCTCCACGCATTGCTCCACGCACTGGCCGCCCTCATTAAGCTTGCTCTCGTCGGCGTACCTCAGCATCTTCCCGGCGGGACAGGCCGTGCACTTGGAAGCGCCGGCCCCGCTGCACTCCGCACAGGAGGGGTCGCAGGGCGCGCACGTTTGCCCAACCGCGTACGACCCGGCCGGACAAGACGCCAAGCAAGCGTTCTTCTCTGGAGTGAGGAAGTAGTTACTTTGGCACTTTGTGCACTTCTGCTTGTCCTCCGAGCACACCTCGCAGTTGGCGAGATTGCAATCAGGGGCGGGGACTCCATCGCATGTGTTAGTCTCAGAGTTTGGTGTTCCCTGAGGGCACGCGGCGTAGCACCCGCCCTTGTAGAGGTAGGTGCTCCCCTGGCACGACGCGCAAACCCCGCCGGCCCCGCTATCCGAGGTTACGCAGCTGTTCGTGTTGTCTGCGGCCGGCTTGCACGCCCCGTCGATCGGGACGTTGTTTGGCTCGCATTTTGTGCAAACCTCTGTAGGAGAACCATTCATATTGACATCTAGACAGTTATCTCCAGATGCACAATTTTGAGAGTTGGTGCACGATTTTGGATCGGCAAGCGCCAAGTAAGCGAATGCTAAACCTGCCAAGTACAACATTGCCCGTCGAATCACGCTCACACTAACGGGCAATCAGATAGCAGTAGAGGCCGCCTCCACCGGGCCGCACGCATCCTTCAGCGTATCGCTGTGAGCACACCGCAGTGTAGAACAAGAAGACACTGGTGCTTTTCAGCGGTGCCCATGGACTAGACTAGTTGACTGGTGCCCTACTCAAGAGCATCCTATCGAGGCCATCTGTTGCAGGCGGGCGTGGCTTGTGTACCGTTAAAGCCGCCATAACACCGTGTCCTACAAGCTTCGGAAAAGTGTATAGCCCGCATGTGCATCATCCGTCAATTTGCTCTGCTAGGAGGTAGACAGCACTCATAAAGCGAGCTCCACTACCAAGGACCTTCTTCGAGAAAGGCATAGACGAACTTGAGGAGGCCTTCCAAGATAGCCAGGTTCTGCACTAATAGGCAGCGATGACGTTGGCGCAGGAGATGCAAAATACGCCATGGCCTCACGACATGGCACATGAACATTTTAACACTGCCCACAAGGAAAGTCCATTGCGATAGTATGCATTGCTGTGTAAATGTTGTTGCTAGGCTCTTTGGTCATAAGAAGATATGAGCCTCCTTTCTCGATAGCACAGCGCCTCGTCCGCTTTGGTGGTGGTGCCATTCGCCGCAGATCCTACGCATACCGTTGTGGAACGATGTCGCATGGAGGCTCTTCTTGCACGTCAAGGCAATCGCTGATCCCCCACCTGAACGGTCTGTCATTCAACTATAGGCCTGGGCATACGGCAGTGCATATCCACGCCGGCAGCCTCTTGGTCAAACAGATACGCTGCTCGTTATACTGCAGATAGGCCCAGCGTACACAAAGGATGTCTCGGTCTGAATTGGCAATCGCCTTATGACTTGCGAACTGGGGCTCTGCGAAGTATTGCCATAGTGTAGCCCACCAAGTCAGTCATGGGTACTGTGGCACAGTGTTAGCTGCATTATGTTCAAGAGAAGGTCCCTGCCTATAGACGACTGTTCCCACTGTTCTGCCATGTGGAGGCGGAGACTGACCTCTGACACGACCGCATCGGCTATCCGTTTGACCAAGAGCGTCCGGGACGAGCCCACGGGGCTACTAGCTGCAGGTACTAGCCACGACTGGGCGGAGGACTTCTGGTCTATCTCACAAGGCGTTCCTACTGTGTGTCTTACCAACGGACACTGCAGTCTTGGATCTCCCCAATCCTTGTGGGTAGTCCAGGCGCCTCCCTGTGAGCCATGACTTCACCGACTGGGCACTCATCCACGTTGAGATCGCCACCTGCAGTGCACCTGGGACTCGCCGGGAAGCATCCCCCGTCAATCCGAGGTCCACCCTTGCTGTCGTACCAAATCGCTGCAGGGCGAGTGACGCCTGCCAGGTCTCGATTCTGGTTTCCGGGTGAGCGTGCACACAAGTAGAACCTTTGTAGATGAGATGGGTCCCGATTATACGAGTAGAATACCGACAGTGTCTTAACGAATCGATCAACCCTCGATGCATCAAAATGGTAATGTCTTCTTGACCGTGACCAGCACATTGCTACTAGGAAGGTCTTTTGACATACAATACTATCAGCGCACGCACCCTTATCTGGGCTCACCACCAAGGGTGTTATAGTGTGGCCAGTGCGTCTTGTGGGCGAGTCTGGTGTCAAAGGATGAGTAACCATGTGCACTGAGCTTCCGAGGGCTAAAGAGCGCATACAAACCACTTCATCTGAGAGTGCCCTCGTGAGTACTAGGGTTTCGTTCATGGTCTCCTCTGGTAGCAGTCCTATTATCATGGGTTGGACAGTTTGAGCAAATAATCAAGCAGAGCTCACTCTTATGAGTTGCACACATGCATCGGTATTTCCAGTAGCCATGGCAAGCATAGAGATGGCAGAATATAGCGAGCCGTCGGGTCTTCCAAGAAGCCCACGATAATTTTCACTTGACACAAATCTATACAGTGACAAGGGCCTCCCTCCTTCAAATTGGAGCCACCGAAGCAGCATCTATTGACATAGGGGATATGGCTCAGCACTACGCAAGATCCATACCTGATGTGGGGCTCTACTGGGATGATTAGGGTCAGCTACTGGGGACAAAGAAATTAGTATGAGTTGTTCAATACACGCAATGATCAGTTAAATGTATCTCTTGATTTCTAATGCCCCCTGGATAAATAGGATGGCTAAGCTTTCGTTGCAGGAGGGGTTCCCGGATCATTCTATAATCATCTTAAAATGCTGATAGAGAAAGTATTGGAGACAGATGTTGGAATCATAAAAGTGGTTGTGATAGCTCACTCCAAATCTTGTGTCTTATCTATAAGCAGTGACCCCCTTGCGCTTGGATCCCTCTCTATTTTGGTTCCGTGTTTGGATGTACCCGGAACAGCGGTGGGCGTAACCTTGCTGGACGATGGTCCATGTACATGCGAGAGACTAATAGAAATGCTTTCTGCCAAGTACAATATCCAGATTATTCTCAATTCTAAGATAGAGGAACTTGTTTGGGCAGAGAGGTCCACAAACAAACTCATAACGCAGACGCTAGTGAGTCTCTTTGAAGAGATTTATAAGCCAGAAAGTAAACAATAGCGACGAATAACTTCTGGAACCACTGCAACAAATACCTGGGGTATTTAATTGTAACAAATTCCTATGCCCATCCGGCGGGTTCCCAACGTCTCTGCTACCCCGCAGTTCCTAAAAAGTAAGCCATCAGTGCAGTCTGTTGTCATACGAGATGATATAACATGTGGGCTTATGGGCTGCACACTTTGCAATAAAGATGTTTCTGACCGGCGTCCAAGATGCGCCATTCTCCTCCCCACTCCCGCTGTGTTACTGTTACACACCACTCTCTTTGAGCATACCACAATAAGGAAGATGTTTACCGTCGTTGTGCTGGATTCCGTAATAGATTATATCAGAGAGCAGCATCCCACCAGCTATCGTGCTCTCCAGCGCTACATTCAATTTGATGGGTGCATTCGCTTTCCCGATAAATCGTGCAAGGATACATCCAATGGCCACGCTGTGTGCCGTACGGTGGAACAGCTTTGTGACGCGCTAGTGACTAGTCAACGCTACTTCTTACTCCACAGTTCGCACGCAACTCCTGAGGCTACCACCGCCTGCCCAGTTGTTGTATTATGCAATAAGAGCTCCGAGCAGGAATTAGAGTTTCCGGTTCTATCAGAGTCATCGGCCTTGAAAGGGAATCTTGATAATATGCTGTCTAAGAATAGTAAGCCATGGAATCCTGTCGCCATTGACATCTCGCTCTTCTTCAGCAACGCATTCTACTGTCAGTTCGTTTCTCCTTCGATTTCTCTTATCGAGCCCAGTTTGGGGTCTCCCCATCTTTCTTATGAAGACTTCCGTGAGTTGTACAGTGACTCCACTTTGCAGCTAACTCTCAAGTCTTCGTTCAGTTACTTGCCCCACATATCTACCGAGAAAGCAGAGTTTATGATAACAAAAAGACAGCTTCTTTCAGGCAAGATGACCGTCTGGGGTCGTGGAAAGCGCGGGGAAGTCTTAACTTCCTACAAACATATGAAGGTAACACTGTGCAATCCCTTTTATTTGAATAGAAGCCTTGCGGGGGACCAGGTTGCACTTGCATTGATAGAGCAAGAGGCCTGGGAAGACATAGAGGATTCAACACATGTAGATCCTCAGCACATCTGCTATGATGCTTGCGACTACATTGACAAGCTATCCACTACTGTTCCTGGAGGGAAGATATATGGCATTGTCGTAGCCATTATGAACAGGCCCAGGCATGAATATTGTGGGACAGTCAAGATTCCCTTTATACTAAAGCACTTAAAAGAAACACCTAATCACCAGGAATCTGAGCTTTCCTCGCACACAGAGAAAACGGCAATGCTCAGGCCTTTTCGACGCAATCTCCCTGACTTTTTCATTAGATCTCTTTCGTCTATCGACCACTATATTGGGAAAAGAGTCCTGTTTATTATCGAATCGTGGGGCTCTGAAGAAAGGTCGCCGACTGCTCGCGTGAGCTCTATTCTTGGTGACGTCGGTGACAGAGATGTCGAGGCTGATGTAGTACTTTTCGAGTATGATATACCCCACGCTAACCTGCAAGAAAATGAGGACATTATGCTAGAGCTGAAACCGTTTGGGTTCTCGTCCGGATCTTACTCCATTCCAAGCGGAGTTTATGCGTCTGCAGTGACACCTCCAACCCAGCAAGAGTCGTTGGCCAGCGCCCCTGAAACAACGCTTTCTCAAAATATTCAGAGCTGTGGTAAATATCCCACTGCCCGTCTGAACTTGACTAATGAGTATACTATCTCTGTTGATCCTCCGTCTTGTAAAGACATAGATGACGCCCTACACGTTAAGACCTTGGGACCCACGACGTTTGAAATTGGTGTACATATAGCAGATGTTAGCTTCTATGTCCGCCCAGAGAGCGCAATCGACCTTGAAGCACGTAAGCGAGGCACCAGTGTATATTTTCCAGACAGACGGATTGATATGCTCCCAGCTATTCTGACTGAGGATATCTGCTCACTTAGGTCTGGGGTAGATAGGTTAAGCATGTCTGTGCTGATAGAGCTGGAATTATACAGAGAGGAGGCAGGAGTCGAAGATCTTGAGCTCGACATGGAGATGAGTAAGGTAGCAGGACTCTCGCCAGAAGAGCGAAAGCTTCGTCTAGTGGTCAAGCAGTACTCGTTTACCCAAGCGATAGTGCGGTCACGTGCCTCGCTGGCGTATCACGAAGCCCAGTGGCTTTGTGAGATGGATTCGGCAAGTGTTTTTGAAGCATATGAGGGCTCAGGTTATAGGAATATGTCTAAGGCTTTGAGAAACCATATCAACGATGAGATTCTTGAAAATCAGATAAAGGTGGCGAAAATTCAACAAAACCTTAAGCTTCTATTGTTCTTGAGCAAACTACTCAAAATGGAACGTCTTCGAAACGGAGCATTAATTTTAGAAACGCCTGCAGTGGAGTTTACATTGGACCCCATTACAAAACTACCAACAAGCCTCCACGAGCACGCTTCCCTCCCAACAATGTCTATGATAGAGGAGTTCATGCTTCTGGCCAATCGCCTGGCTGCTGAGTACACACTTGAGAAGTATCCAAGCATTTCAATTCTGAGAAGACACCCTAAGCCCACTGAGGAGCAGTTCAGTGTCCTTAAGAAGCAAATTAAGGACATCTTTCACTTTGATTTAGATACAGCGACAAATAAGACACTTAGTGCGTCCATACACACCGCGATCAAGGAAGGTGCTCTCGACATGAAGCAGATATCCATCGTTAGGCAGATGCTCACACGATGCATGATGCTGGCCAAATATTTTGTCTCCTCAGAGTATACCGTAGATGAGTTCTATCACTATGGTTTAGCCTTACCAATCTACACACACTTTACATCACCTATCCGTCGGTACTCAGATATACTTGTCCACCGTCTCTTAGCGGCCGCAGACGGAAGAGCTAACCTCCCTGCAACCCATTCCAACACAGAAGTAATGAGCCAGATATGTGCCAATCTCAATTCAAGGAAAGAGAGCGCTGACAGGGCATCCAGCGAAGCAGATAAGATTTTCAGTGTCTTGTACGTCATTCAGATGTGGAGTGGCGCTATTAAGATGCCCTGGACAGACGGTAGCAAGTCGAAAGGTGCACAATATTCATGGCTACGTGGAAGAGCGGGTGTACTTCGGATAGGAGACCGGAGGATATCGGTCATTCTTAGAGATTATGGGGTTGACGCTGAGATACGGCTGCAGCAAAACGAAATTGTTGCTGTTGATCCAAATAACATGTGGATTGATGTAGTATTCGCTGCAGATCAAGCCGTTCGAGCCGTTCGCCGGGTGACAATCTTTGATGAAATATGGGTAGAGATTGGTTTGGATTTTTCGAGAATTTATGAGTTTGATCTTCACGTAAGACTTATCGACAACGGTGAGGCCGATTCCGGAGGTGCAAATTAAATAGCTAAATCTTTTGTGGACTAAAATTTCATTTTCGTCGGAAGATGAGTGGCATAGGCATTTCCACGGCGCAGAATTGGATCGCCGCTGTCCGTGCTCAAAGCAGTTCTTTGATAAGCCAATACGCCCACAAGTATAACGGCACACGGGACGACGCTGGTTACACGGGTCTTATGATTGCTGCCAGTCAAGGAAATACCGACATCATCCGTATCCTCATGGGCTACGAACAGAAATTAACCAACAATGCTGGGGAAACTGCACTAATACTTGCAGCCAGAAACGGACACGCCGCCGTTTGTAAACTTCTGGTCGGCTTGGAGAAGGGCTGCAAACTCCCGAATGGTCAGGATGCTCTGATGGTTGCCGCACAGAATGGACATGTTTCAGTCATCAATGCAATAATTAAGCACTTCCGCCTGGTTAATGATCGACAAAATCTGTCTGCCGCTGATCACGCTTGTGCAACAAATAACCTTGACTGTCTCAAAGCGCTGCTCCAGCACTTCGTTGTCTCTCAGGATGACCTTACCTTTATGATCACTGTTGCTAGCGCAAAGTCCAACACGGATATCCTCAAGTACCTCAAGGAGTATCAAAGCCTCAGCACGCATTCACAAATCTCTGCTTGTGCTGCCCCACACGTAGATGCCGCTAGCGAGTTAGATGACGATGAGCTTCAGCTTCACAACGAGCTATCTGGGTGTTCTGACCCTCTCAATAGCCAAGACGACTCTGTAACTGCTCGAATCGCCCCTGCAAGGCGATCCCGCGCCCTCTTCCGTGCCTCGACACGCTTGAAGAGCGGCATCACTGAGGATGGCGCTATGCAGAAGCGTTGTGCCGAGCTGGAGGAGACAATTTCTGAGCTCAGAAGGAAGATAAGAGATACAGACGATGCACTTCGAATGAAGGACCTTGAGATTACGAAGTTAAAGCTACATTTGGAGACAAAGCCTGCAGACGTTCCTGCTCGTGCTTCATCTCCTCAAAAGATGGCCCAGGAAATAGAATCGCTCAGGGAAAAAGTTAAGAAGCTTGAAGCTCGACAAAAGGGTGGTGATGACTTCTCCTATAAAGTCGCTACGACAGAGATAGCACTACTCAAGGAGGAGATTGAAGAAAAAAATGAGCTCATTGGAAAGCTGCAATCTGAATTGAATTCACCAAGCAAACAGAAGTCATCTAACTATTTACGAGGAACTGCAGATGAGTCGTATGTTGAGAGACTTGAAGATGAAATCATGCAATTGCGTACAGACCTTCTAAGCCTTAAGTCATCTGACCAAGGGCCAACTCAATTGGGAGTGCCAGCATCAGCACTTTCTTCGCTGCCACAGAATCAAGATAACGCAGCTAACTGTGATGCACTCAAGGAGGAGATCAAATCACTTAAGGAGGAAGTCCAGAGCTTGCGAGCTCAACTAGCTGCGGCCAATAAAGTCAATGCGCACATGGCAATAAAATCCCATAAATCAATGACTGGGGAAAGTCGTCACGCACAACGTGCCGAGGTTCTTCAGCAAATCGTTGACAAGCAAGACACTGAGCTCAAAGCACAGAAACAGCTGATTGATGATATCCAGGCAAAGGTCAAGAGCCTCAATGAAGAGAGGGATGAACTAGTGGAAGATCTGCAGAGGAAGATTGCACAGTTAGCGGATGATGTCCGGCGGAAAGACGATATGATTACCAGTCTACAGAGTGCCTCTTCAAAAATGGCAAGGTCTGAGCCTTCGACATCGGAGGTAATGGTCCTCAAGGAGAAGGTCTCTCTACTTGAATCGGAGAACTCGCGCCTACAAGCCCAAGCACAGATGAAGGATGCCCAGTTCGCCGAGCTAACATCGTCGCTGTCTCTTTTGGATCAGATTGAGGAAAAGAATCGGTCTAATGCTAAAGCAGAAATTCACGCTCTCCGCGTGGATAAGCAGCGGCTCAAGGACAAGCTCCTGGTCGCAGAAAAACAGTTGTCTGACCTAAAGTGTGTTTTGGAAGAATTTACTATCGACTTTTCTGGCCCAACTTCTACAATTGACCCTGGCCTTAATGCAAAGGAAATTATAGCGCTCCATAAGCAGCTTTCAGAAAAAGATAAGATTATTGAGGCTTTATCTAACAATCCTGTTGGTATGCGTGGCAGAGAAGGCTCCCTTCAGGCTGTGCGGCGAATTCGAAAACTTGAGTTGGACCTCGACCAAATGAAGATCCTTGCAGAAGAACTAGCTATGTCTTATGTGATGGATTGTCATTCTATGGCTTCAAGTAGTACTGCAACGGCTCTTGTTCATGCAACGAAAGCTGCACCTTCTCGAACAGTTATGGACAATAAGACTGAGAGTGTGCAGACGGCACTGACAGTGGATGGGATGGCTAAAGATATAGCTGAACGGGACAGGCGTATCCAGTGCCTCATAGCTGCCCTTCAAAATCAGGAGCAGTCCTTCAAGTCACTTCGGATTGCTATGGATGAAAAAGGGAAGGAAAACAACTCAGTCATTACTGCTTTGGAGTCCAGTGGTGAGACCCTCAAGAAGGTGCTTTCGGGTCGATCTCTTGCAGATATACGTAGCGGTGTTATGACTCCAACCAGTGGCGCTTTAAGCCCTCGTCGCGCCCGAAGTTGTGAGAACACACCACCAAAGGATGAGGCGGTTACATCGGAGCAGATCGTCCCCCTGTTAACCAAGCTTGCCTCACAGCAGCTGAAGGAAGCAGAGAAGAATGACGAGCGCACGCAAGCAAGCTTGTCTCCTAGAGGTCGTAGTGCCGTGGCGAGTGCAAACGCGACTGTAATCAATGTTCTGAAGAATGAAATAGGTAGCTTGAAGGAGATGCTCCACGCGCGCGACAAAGAAATCGCAAATCTTCGCGGTGAAGAATGGTGTCCAGCAGAGTATTAGCGGAATGGCACCACCACTAATGCCAGTACCACTTCTGAACGCCTCCGACAAGCGTGACAAGCAAACTTCTTAATTTATCCCGAAAGCAATATCGACTGCATTCTTTAGATCATTGTAGCGGGGATGGGTTCTATCGATTGCCGACAAAAGGTCACGCATCAAAGTCCCCATGTTCTGATCGTTAGCAAGATTCCTCCCCGACGTCTGTGTCTGTTTAGATTCACGGGGCTCTTCCTCGAAGAAGGGGTGTGCCATGCACTCCGGTACGGAGAACCTCTTGCGCGCGTCCCAACTGAGCATCACTCTCAACAAGTGAATAAGAGACGTATGATACCCGTATCCATATTTGTCAATCTCACGCTCAAGAGGAAGGAGCTCCTCGTAGTGCCTTCGCTCCTGAGGATCGAGGTCGGTAGGAAGAGACCACGACTTCTTTGTTCTACAGAAGAACTCCTGGTATTTAGAGTTATAAATGTCCATCTGCTCAATAACCGTATCGGGCATAGGACCCAGGAGCCTCTCCATCATACATAGATGAACGACAGAATTGTGAGTACGAAAAAGAGTGCGTCCAGTCAGGATCTCGAAGATCACGCATCCGCAAGACCAGATGTCCAAAGTCTGATCGAAGGGTAAGCCAAGATATGCCTCCGGGGGTCTATACTGTCGGGTGCAGACAAGGGATGGACGTCTGTGGTCACTTAATCTAACACTCGACCCCAGGTCAATCAACACAAGCTCTGCACCAGAGGGATGCACAAATATCCGATCACGCACACGGGTGGCGCGGGGCTTCTCTCGCGAAAGGATATTCTCCAGCTTAATGTCTGTGTGTATATATCCGAGGTCATGAAGAAACCCCACACCAACCATGAAGCTACGGCTGAGTTCCCGCGTCCAGTCAATATTGAATCCTCGAAAATTATTTGCTTTAAGTAGATCAAGGAGGCTGATGCCATATTTCGGAAAGACAAGGCAAATGTGATTGTTATGCTGGAAGCTCCTTTCCAAGTATGCTAGATTGCAATTATTCCAACAAAGCTTTGCATAATAGCTATTCATTAGGCTAGACGAGTAGCCTGTATGCTGGGCTTTTTTCGCTGCCTGCTTAATTTTATTCAGCACTGCCTCCTCGGCTTTTCCCGCCGCCGTGTATCTGTCTATGGCGCGAATGACCTTAACGGCGACCTCTGTATCGTCGCGAGACTTATCATAGCACGCATAGACACGCCCAAACGTTCCGTGGCCGAGCCTAGCAAATATGGCATAGCGGCCACCGAGAACTTCGTTGGGCCCCGGATTGATGTGCCCCTCCTCAAGATTTTGCGTTGACGTGTCTGGCCCCAAAGCACCAGACCTTGCGGAGCTTCGGCGGGCGGTATTTGGGCGTGAAGACAGTGCCATTGTCTCTTATCGTTTTGCTTTAAGTAACTAGGAAGGTTTTTAAGATGTATGTCTCTTAGTCTCACTTTTTTAAGTTTTATTTTAAATTGTCGTATTAGGCTTGCTTGTGATAATCCAAAAAAAGTCAATCCTAAAAAAGATCGGCTGATTTAAAACGCCGATGGCTCCCAAATCGAAAAAGCAGATAGAGATACATATTCAGCCACGGGGTCAAGCACGGAATAAGCAGCGAAGTGCGGCAGTCCCAAACACAACGGCATCGACCCGCCTAGCAGACGTTTCTCTTAGCTCCTCCTTCAAACTGGATACTTCGTGGATACCTGAGTTTCTTAGCGTATTGAGATCTTCTTCCACTGTGCTTGTCACAGGGCCCACTGGATGCGGGAAGTCCACTCAGGTGCCGATAGCAATCCGATACGCTTTTCCGGACTCACGCATACTGCTGGTCCAGCCTCGCAGACTTCCTACTGAACGCCTAGCTCACTACATAGCGTCCTTACTTGGTACAACCATCGGTGAGGATGTCGGTTTCTTTATGGGGCGCTGCAACATCTCTGACAATAGAACACAGCTTCTGATTGCAACGGCTGGCGCAGCTTTTAATCGTATTGTTTCTCGTCCAGATGAATTTGATTTCATTATACTGGACGAGATTCACGAGGAGTCACCGCAAATAGAGCAGCTTAAGGCTATCTGCAAAATCGCCCAACAGCGATACAATTTTAAACTTGTGCTTATGTCGGCAACAAAGGACCCTCTTGTTCTGCGGACAATCTTCCCCAACTTCTATCACTTTGCGATTGCGGGCACTAGATTTGATGCGCAACAAGGCAACTTCCCCGTCAAAGAGTTTTATGCCGACATGGGTGACAAAGGTAAGAGGAAAGCTGGACACCACAATAACCTCAAGATAACTGCTATTATACGTGATGCACAATCTTCGGCTATTTTCAACCACAGACCATACCTTAAAGCAGCAGCTTCTATCCTTCTTAACATACTCATTAATTGGGGAGGAGGAGATATTATTGTATTTCTGCCTGGAATTGTCGCCATCACAGACTTTATAACTATCTTTGATAATATAGCGACGGCTTGGGCAAGAAACCGGAACATTAATAAGCATGCATATAATATTTTAGTTGTCCATTCGGTGTGCAGCGAGGAGTACAAGTTAGACTCCTTGGCAGCCATGAATAAGAGTCAGGCCGTGCCCAACATTTTGTTGGCAACAAATCTTTGTGAGACCTCCCTTACGCTTCCCACTCTATACTATGTAATAGACACAGGTCTTACCAGGCAATTTACACTGCATTCTGGCAGGAAGAAACTTGTAACCACTTTGACGTCTATCGAGTCCATGATTCAACGGAAGGGCAGGGTAGGGCGAGTGCGTCCTGGAGAGTACCACTCAGTGATCCCCATGGACGCATTTCAATACCTTAGTCCTTGCTATGCTAGGGAGACCGAGCTGGACAGTTTGCCATACCTAGTTTTGCTCTCGTTTCTTGGCGCTACCGACTTGGAGGACGAAGAGGAGTCATCCGGGTCTATCCTTTCATCCTTGATCAACGAGCTTCTGCTGACGTCCAATCGCTTCACAGTTATGGATATATTCTACATCCTGCGCTCTCTTCTTGCTTCTTCCTTGGTCATTCAGTACGACACAACAATCAGTAATAGGAAGGATCATCCCATACAACTGACACATGAGTATTTCGCGCAGTACTATCGCTGCTCCGCTGATAATTCAAATGCAGATGAAAAGCCCGAGGATCACTCCGAAGATAGAGAGCAGTCCTCCATTGAACCAGAAGAGCAGTCAAGTAATATGCCCATCGACGAGCCTACCGAAAATGCACAGGATGAGCTGAAAACCGATGAAGCTCAAGGCACCAATGTGCTTCCTCCTGACACAGTCGCTATGATTAAAAATTCTAAACATTATGGTGTTAGCGAGCGAGCAATCCTTCCGCTAATTATGAAGTACTCTCTAGACAAAGCACTCGGTTATTATTGGCACTTCATGCTGGGACTTCCGTATACTGGTATGGCTGTTTTCTCATTCAATGCCATTAATCATTCTATATTTATTTCTGATTTAGAGATGAGACTTTCTAAAAGCAAACTTAAGGATTCAGTAACAAGCAGGGCACTTCTGCTTCTCACAGCCATCATTTGTCCGAGCTTTTTTGTAGAGTTTCATGATAAGGTATCTTTCTATTCTCATCTGATGCCAAAGGATATTCCGTTAGAAGACTATGATCAGGAGAACTTTAATGACCTTACCGCTATCACCCTTTTCCGCACCAATCCATCTATGTATACCCTTGATGGGTGTTCAGATGGGGCTGCTTCTGCAATAATACTGGCACTTTGGAGAGAGCGCTTCCCCGTCCCTACAGAGCATCCAACACCCGAGGAGGCCAGGTGGTGCTTAGTGCGTTGTCTCTCGCCATACTCCCTGAGACAGCTTGAGCTAGAAATTATCTCTTGCCGCTCCAAATTGGCCAAAGTTGGTCTCCTGTCTGAGCCTTCAAGCCACGAGCAGCTTCTCATAGAGACCATCTACCCCTTGAGTAATACCGAGCTTGTCAGTGCATTACAATCCTATGGTTATTGTTATAATGAAACTGAGGAAAGCCAGAATTGCCAGAACAGCAACAGCAACAGCAACAGCAACTCTAAAAGCTGTTGGAAAAAATGCGCAGAAGATAAAGGGTGCATAGCGTCAACGCTTTCTGTGATACTCCGGGAAGTGGAGCGCTATGATAAAGCATACTTTAAACTCTGTGCGCTTGCAGACATCCTGACAGCCATGGACAAACCTGGATCTGAAATTGCAGCATACTTTGATATGCGTCACAAAGCCATCTTTCCACCTATGCTCAAGAAGCTTAATTCTGTTCTTGAGAAGTTACTGAAGAAATCAATCTATTTGAAATACTTTTCTAAAAATTATGTACCACAACATTTCTTCTTTAACGAGTTTACCGAGAAGTATGGGGTTACTGACAAAGTCACTGTTAACTTGGCTGGGTATAGCACAATATCAGCCAATTCATGTAAAGTATCCGCCAGGGCAATCGCTGTCAATCTTGGGAACATCAATAACATCATTCGGCGACCATGGGAGTCTATTTATAACTACTGTCCATATGATTCTTCAGTGTCCTTAGATCTAGTTGCCAGCAAGCATACCACTGATTTCCAAAGTTTGACATTTGACCAAACGGGGTCGCTGATTTATTATCTATCCATTCCGTCAGGTAGTCTTGTGGCCGGTATGCCGAGTATAGGGTGCCAGACGAAAATAGCCAATGGAGCATACCTCCACAATGGACCACTTACTACTTTTCTACTTTATGTTATAATTAATGATTATGTAGATTGCATATTTTATCAATCTAAGAAGGATTCTGGTGCGTTTGTTTTCGAGCTTTGCCGCTTTGACCAGCACTTTTATAGGCTATACCTAGATACTACTGAAAAACAAGATACCTTCTGCTCTATTTTCATAGCCATTTCCTTAGTATTAGAAAAGTACATAGCAGCACTGTGTGTCTTCAATGAAACCGGTGAAAGAAAATCGCCCGCTGGTAAACATAAGTACCTAATCGGCCTAGATCTTGTTAAACAGTTGTCTGATATATTCGGGCGTGAAATTCAACTGAACGACCATACTAAACGCTTTTTGGAAGACTTGGACAATAGTGCAAACGCGTCTCCCATCCTCTGCTTCAGCAGAGCTGTGCTAGAGTTCATAAATATGCCCCTGAATGACGATACTCCTTATATCCCTGGCATGCTTGGGTTGATAGACTTAATAGATCTGGACGAATACAAGCTGCTGAGCACCATTAGGACGTTCGAATATCAGAAAGGAACTGGCTCCATTATGAACGTGTAAAGGTAAATTTGCACCAGTGATTGGTCAGTTTGTTTTGGCCAGCTCTTCTAGAATCTTTGTTGCCTCATTTTGCTTGTACTGCCTGGCTATGTCTAAGACCGATAAACCAAACTCGTTGCGCATCTTGCCTTCAATGGGATACAGAGGTGGAATAGCCTTTATGCAGGCGCCGTCTATTGCATAGAGAAGCGCGAACCAGCCGTAGTGGTCCACCAGGCCTGCCTCTAGGGGAATCAGAAGAGCAGCTATTTCTGGATAATTGGCCTCACAGGCAAGCATTAGAGCCGTTTTCCCATCTGGTCCACTTATCCCAGCCTCTACAGTAGTCAGGAGCTGTGCAGCGGCCAAGTTACCAGTCACTGCCGTGATCATGAGAGCTGTGTGCCCCCTCCATTCCCCATCAGGTGCTTTATACCCCTTGAAGCGGCGTAGATTTTCTTGGAGAACGGAGAGCTCTCCGTTTGCTGCTGCCGTGAACCAGATTGGAGAATCAAATTGCATTCTGATAGGGGATGTTTCACTCATTGCATCACGCAAAAACGCCGCGACCTCCTTGCTGCCGGCTTCGCGTGCTACATCAAGCGGGGTCTGGCCTTGTCTGTTACGGATCATAAGCTCCATGGGGGCCAGGTACTTCACTGCATCAAGCCGGTTGGCCTTTGCTGCATAGTGGATAGCGCTGTTCCCATCCGTGTCTTGAAGCCCCCTCCATTGCACAACGCTCTCCTTGAGGATGTAAAGGTTCCCCTTCGTTGCAGCTCTAAACCACGCCGTTTCATTCATGGATTTACCTGCTTTATTTACTTGCTTTTCCCCAGCCCTCCCAATTTCTTTAGGTTCAGCGAACTGCCCGCCTGAGGAGCCCTTGGGTTGCAATGGTGTCACAGAGAATCCGATGGCCCAAACGACTGTTTGCTTCTTTGATAAATCCACTTATGTCTAACTCCCCATCTGAATCTATGTGCAGCGACAGGAGCTCAAACGTCTCTCTAGACGGAAACTCCTGTGCAAGGGTATCGAAGTCAGAGAGACAGAGAGCTGTCAACACCATTGGGTCCGATATACATTCGCAAGTCTGCCGCAACGCAAATACATCCGCAAGTGTAACACACAAGAAGACCTTACCTTGTAGAAGCCGCGGTGTATCTGTTAGGAGCGCAACTTGTCCCGAAATAGAATGTTCTTTGAGAGTATCTTCTAGTCGCTTGACAACGGCGGGGCTTGCACCGAGAAAGCAAATGGAGCGTGTCATTGCCTCTGCTCCAACAAGACAGGCAATTTTATGATTTTTATTGGCCTTTTAACCGAAACCATGGACTTATGCATAAGGTGCTCTGAAGACGTCTCCAGCTCGCTAGAACGATTGCACACAATGGGATACACCTACTGTGCTGTAGAACATTATGTGAAAGCCCTTGCAGACCTAAAAATGTGTCCAAAAATAGACTACTATGCTAGCACAGCTACCTTCAATGGCCCCGCAGAAATGCTATCTGAGTACCAGTGCGCAGACGGAAAGACGCCATTGCATGTATCTCATCAGCTTTCTGGACGACAATTGACCATTCTGTCTCGCGTTACATTAGACGCAAATTGCACTCAGCTGCAGGGGAGGCACAGCTCGCCAGAGATCCAAGCATACGATATCATAGGTGTAAGGGTGCACACCGATGATCAAATAAGACAGGCAGTGAGGCTTCCCATAGATGTAGTGCAGATAGCAGCAGGAGCGAAGATACGCTACTCCCATTCGTTACTCCGTGAATTATATGACAGTGGGCTAACCGTGGAGCTGGTATTGGAGGACGACGTTTCTGGGAATGTATACCACGCCTTTCACTTGAACAGATGCATAAGAAACAAACCAATTCTGCTGTCATCCGGTGGCAGAGTCCAACCCGTGCTGCACACAATAGAGCAGTGCAAGAAACTATACAAGCTTAACACACGCCATATCTGGCTTGCTGGGCGCCGAGTCCTCAGTCGATCTGCCGCCAGGAAGCATCGTAATAATTTCTGCAACACCAGGTTTTCGTGAAGCAATGGAACGAGATCGTTTTGGAAGCTTCTTCTAGCCTACTAAACTCCACCTCAACCCCTATACTCCTACACCTCTTCAAGTTGCTCAATAAGTTCGTTAAGCTCTCCCCTTATGCGCTCTATCTCCGCGTCCAGCTCCTTAGGACTCACTTGTGGGATGCCTGCAATCGCATCATATTCGGGGGTTGCAAGCATCTCCGTAATCCTTTGTTGTGTCGCGGCGAGCTCCTGTGTGCCCTTTGCAAGAGCCTCTATGTTAAAATGATCCATATTAGCTCCAAAGGACTGCAGCCTGGCCTCCAATACAGCCATGGACTGTTCCAGATTGGCAGTTGTTTGCTCTATCTCTGCCAACGTGCCAATCTGTTTCTGCTCATGAAGAAGTATGTTTTCCAAGTGTGTTCCGTTATTAAACTCATTAAGCTTCTTGCGCTGTTGGTGTAAACTCTGCAAGACTTTCCTCATTTGCTCCTGCTTCCCATCTATTTCTGTCAGCTGGGCTTCGAAGAACAACAGCTCTAGTTCTAGGACAGTAAGCTGGCTTACAATCTCACTCCCATAAGGCCTACTAGGTGATATGCTATTTGAAGACGCTGTGGTGGCAAGCTTTGAGACAATTGTTGATAGAGATCGCGCAGCCTGAAGAACCTTGGGAGAAAATCTTTCATGATAGGATGGGTCTATTTGCTCTAGTTCTGCCTTCAGAATTTGCTGTTCGGCTTCAGCTGCGCAAATTCTGCAAGTCAGGATCTGTTTCATCTCATCAATTGCTTGCACGATGCTTTTATACTCTTTAAGTAGTGGCGCTAGGTACTTGATAGTATCAGGATCTGTTTCAAATGCTGGCACAGTGTTGTTGAAGATGTCTCGCAGGTGCGATGCGCAGTCGACGATGGACATGCTATTTTTTGTCAACGGAGAATAGCGCCAATTGTAGGAGAGAGACTGTCTGGATGCCACTCAGATCGCTTAAATAGTACTTTACGTCATGTGGGTCTGAAAGGCCAACCAAAGTGGGAGATTTGAGGATGAGTATGGCTGCTGCGAAAACCGAAAGAAGCTCCAAAGCGTTGTATCCCAATATTCGATCCCACAATTGAAAGTATTCTCGTGGCATAAGATATCCTGCAAATCCAGTCATGAGCCACGGCACAATGATGCTGCAGAGGCTGATGTCTGGACTCTGCGCTTGAAGCATCCTGAATTTTACTACTAGGTCGGGGCAGCCTTCGGCGATAAGGAGTTCAGCCAACCCCATAAGGGGTGCAAGTCCCTCTATGGTGTGTAGCCGACAATAGTATCGTGTGTATAGTATCTGAAGGTGCGGGAGGACGGACTCCTCCTTGTACAGGAAGAGGAGCGGTGCAACGTAGCTGGACATTCCTCGAAAGGGGAAGATGCCACTGGCTGGAATGATGTCACCACTCGTGGACTTTAAGGTTGGTCCGAGATACTTGCGGGCACCGTGCCACTGAAGGGGAGTGTTAATGAAACAGCTGAGGAGGCGGAGCACGCTGTCGTTGAAAAGAAAGTGGTGCTCATCTGTACATGTGGTCAACACATCCGCTTGGAGTAAGAGGTCAGTATAGAGGATCATCCCCTCTCCGACGTCTGCAGCAGGAGGAAGCGTGAGTGGGACTCCTTGAAGAGGCTCAATTGTGTCCCCTGCGGCATTTACTGTCCCAAGCAGAATGGACCAGGCAAGGGGTCTGTCTGCGTCGTGCAGTCCTCGTTTGGCTATCTCTACGACTCTGTTGAGATTTCGCCCCAAAAACCCGTGAGACAACGCAGCAAAGGACCCCAGTACACGATCATCCAGCCCAACTTGCCGTAGAGTGGGGCTCAACTCTGCAAACCGCGATTGAAGCCTGGGCATGTCGCAAAACTGACTATTCACGAGGAATACAAGGCCACTGAAGAGACTCGGGAAAGAAAGATGATCTGCAACTCCTGTCTTAATGATATCTGACCCCAAGTGGTTGAGAAAGCGCGCCATGTCCGCCGATCCATAGGGAAGCAACCGCGGGTCAGGAATGACCTGGGAAACCTCAACCACAACGGGAATACGCGAGAACCCAAGTACCTGTGAAGACTCCTTAACCTTTAAGACAACAAAACGAAAGAATTCTGCTTGAGACGCGCGCACTTCAGCCAAAGGTTCATGTTCTGACTCCGTTGAAACGGGCGAAAACAAGGTCGTTTGCTGCTTAGACTCTCCGTTGTTAGCAGAAATGTTAGCCCATGTGGCCTCCAAGAGAGTCGGATCCTTCAGTATATTCATTCTGTGCAAAATGTGTCTTTTCTTTTCTTTAAATTTGCTTGGATTTGGTTGTGATGGTTTACATGCTACCGTACAGTATACTTGGTCTACAGAGGATGGTACACATGACCGTTAAAAATGGCTGGCTGGTCATGGCTTCATGCAGCTGAGTATGCATGGGACTGGGCTGCTGATGGTATAAACTACAGGGTCATCCCTGAGCTCCAAAGCAGCCCCCTGGTGTTGTGCTGCCTATGTGTAACTACAGTGCTGCTGATAACAGTGGCTTACATGCGCGCAGCCGCAGCGGATGCCAGGGCACTTTATCTGCTAGATTTCGCAGTATTTCAGCCCGACGAGGAGATCTACAAGACGACAAATGAGCAGCTACTGAACTTGGCGCTTGAAAGCTTTCATTACCCAGCTGAGTCCATGAAGTTCATGCGTCGGATATGTGAGGGGACAGGCTTAGGCCCGTCTACACATATTCCAAGATCCCTGAGAGATTTCAACTGTACTATTAAGACTGCAAGAGAAGAGGCCGAGCTGGTCATATTCGGCGCAATTGACGCCCTCCTGGAGAAAACAGGGATAGACCCTAAGGCCATTTCGGGGGTAGTAACTAACTGTAGCCTCTTTTGTCCTACACCCAGCTTCTCCGCTATGATCGTCAACAAGTACGGGCTGAACAAGAATGTAAGAAGCTTTTCTTTGGGTGGCATGGGGTGCTCTGCTTCTATTATTGGAGTCGATCTTATCAGAGCCATAATGCATGATTCTCCAGGACTTATACTGCTAGTATCAACAGAGAACATGACACAGAATTTTTATCGCGGAGAAGAGCGCAGCATGCTGATGCAGAACGTGCTATTTCGGATGGGCTGCTCTGCTGTTTTATTCTCCAACAATCCATCATATAGGATAAAGGGATCTAGAAGCGACGCAAGGGACCCAAAAACCATATATGCAAAGTACAAGCTTCTGGGACTCGTGAGGACTCACCACGGGGGGAGCGACGACAGTTACAGATGTGTATACCAAACGGCTGACCAAAAGGGCAATATTGGGGTCATCATCAATAAAAGCGTTCCGCGGTGTGCAGGAAAGGCGCTGCATGACAATATGAAGATAGTCTTTAAGAAATTCATGCCAGTAACGGAAATATGCCGGTTCTTGTGGCATCAAATGCTCAGTAACGTTCGGAAGACAAGCAGAAAAGATGCTGCTCCCTTTATGCCTAATGTGGGTAAAATATTTAACCACCTGTGCTTTCACACAGGTGGTCGTGCAGTACTGGATGAAATGGAACGACTGCTGCACCTCAGTGAGCAACAGATGGCTGCCTCAAGAGCCACTCTTTACCGGTATGGTAACACATCCAGTAGTTCTGTTTGGTATGAGCTTGCCTATCACGAATGCCAAAGTGGAGTTAAGCCCGGCCACAAGGTGTGGCAAATAGCATTCGGCAGTGGCTTCAAATGCAACTCTGTAGTGTGGCAAGCTACAGATGCATATCACATGACTGTCCCAACCACATTTGACAAAACAAACCCTGATTTTTCGTGGGACCTCGCCAAGCAGACCTCCCACTTGCTATCTGACTATGAAAAGGCCAGGGACTACGATAAAGAATGTGCCATTAACACCCAGAAAGACGACGACAAAGATTACAAGGGCTTTTGCAGCAGGTTCAAGGATCGTCTAGAACGCGATTTTGGTACTAAAGGGTGCGACGTAAAGGAAATACTGGCCAAAACTTGCACTGAAATGGTTAATTAAAGACTTAGAAGCTAAGAGAAGGTCTCGTTAGGCTCTAAAGTGTAAATGCCTTGTTTCGTTTCACGCGATAGAAGGGTAACTGTCTTGACAAATGTGGAAAACATATCTTCAGATCCCATTTGCAATGGTTGTGGAGGAACCTTCTTCATTTCGGGCTCTGCATCAGGACGAGAGCCTTGCGAGGAACTGTCGTCAACAGTTTCAGAGCTACCATTAGTCTGATCTTCGCTGTCCTCAGACTCATCTTCAAGCAGATGGCTCGCAACCTCATCATCTTGTGAATGATCCGTATCCGGTTCGGTTGTATGGATAGAGTCTCCTGAAAGTTCCTCGTCAACTGGTGGTCTGTGTTTTCCAGAAGTATCGGTACACGACAAATATAAGGCAGTACTCCAGACATAGGCCTCTTTATATTGTATGGTAATACGATACACTGCAGAGGTGAGGAGGCCGGAGACGGAGATGGCAGAGGGGGTAGGAGGTGGCACAGTGAGGACAAACTTCAATTTCTGTGCAGTAGGTGGGCCTATTGGGACCTGAATAAGCGACTGTTCCGGCGAAACTCCGTCAACATATTCTACGGACCAAACTAAAGGACTTGAAAGTTTCTCGAGAAGATGAAGCTTAATTTCTAATGAAAGAGGCTCTAGGAAGGGTGTCTCTGGATTCAGTATCTTAATGGACGGCGAATCAAAAAGAACAACTTGCTCCATTCCCTGTTCTCTTCGTTTGAAACCGAAAGACAAAAATAAAATTAATCTGATTTGCCCAATTTACTTGGGTTTGCTTGGTTATGTTAGTATGAGACGTTGGCATTCATATGGGCAAACTCCGTAGTCCCAAGTGGCTGGTTCAATTAGTTGTTGATCACAGTCACCACCTTCTATCGACTCCAGCATCTGGCATATGTCGGGCGTTCCAGCCCTACTCTCGTAGTTGGACTCAAAAAGATAGTTAGTGTCCTTGCTGCTGGACCTTGCGAATCCGATATTGCCAGATATAAATGTGTCAGTGCTACGTTGCACGCTTGGAATTGATGCTGTGTTGATGGTGTGTCTATTAGGAGATAGGGAGGAGGCATAGGCCGTCGCTTTCTCCAGTATAGAGTCTATAACCCTGTCATTCAAAGACATCTTTTCTTGTAGAGCTGAAAAATCAAAGGGAGAGCTTTCGCGGGGCAAGTTGTGAGGAAGGTTTGATGCGAAACTGCTTATGGTCTGTGTCTCCTTGGTGCTGCTAGTAAGCTTACTATGGAAGGAGAGGAGGGGTTCATTAAGAGAAAGCAATAGATGCTCTAGATCTCTATCAGACAAGATACTCATAATTAAGAACCTCACCTGCTCCTTGTCCACGTTTTCAATGCATGAACTGAGCGTGAGTATGATGTGCTTAAGGTGTGCTGCGGCTACACAAAGGTCCTGCATAGCATGCATCTGTTTATGTCCCCACGTGGGGTTGGCAAATTGGGTGGTTGGTGCAACGACCGCTTCTATAAGGTCCTCTGTCCATTGATCAAGCATCCTTTGTCCCGTAGTGCAAGCTTTTTCCTGCGTTATGAGCTTAATCATATCCGTAAAGATATTCGAATATAACGGTGGTAGTGCGTTAGAAGGAGAAGAAGAGAAAGAAAGGTCGCAAATTGGAGTATTCAATCGAGAGACATTGATGAGTGAAGAGTAGGATGACCCTAGAACAGGGCCAATCACAGTTTTTGTCCCAGTTCTTCCCACTGAACCCTTTGAGCGATCAGTATAGTCTATAGTTGATAAGATAACATCATCTTCTTGACAGGACACATCGCTGAAGGCAGAGGATGCAGCCTGGCTGATTAGTGAAGTGCTACTTGCCAATCTTGCTTTATCTTGTGGTGTATGAATCTGCCTTCGTACTCCGTTATTGGGTCGAGGAATTGCTGGCAGGTGAATTTGATCGACGGGGTCAGCAGCCTGATGATCTTCATTTTTAGGTTCTGTGGCCAAGTCGGCAATAGAGAGAGACACCTCTGAACTTAGTGAGTGCAGCATGCGTGTCTCTCCCTGGACACACAGTGATTGTGATGCAGACGGTTTGCTTAAGGAGCTAGATTGGCTGCTGATCACCTCATTGACATGTTGCTGAACATGCCTCGAAAACAGCAACGCTTTCGGGCAACTGTATTCTTCTGAGGCCAAATGCTCTATTTGCTGGACTTCTTCCAGAGGATCCACGCACAGAATGCTTTCTTCTGACTCGTACGACTGGCTAACTTCAACCTCCGGTCCATTTGCATCGTCTTGGTATAGCACATGTAACGGCTGCATTTCTACAGTAGTAACAATATAAATGATTAGATCGATGAATAAAGACCGAAGAGAATATGTCTTACCTCTCCCATTGCGCCACTTTTCGACGGTTCCTGTGTTGAGTGCTGCAGTTAACAATAAAGATAACTTATTCATCACCATCTCAGCCGTGGGGTCCGTCATATTACTCGAAGGATCTGCAATGCATAGTCGCTCCCACAGAAAGTTGCACACAGACTTTTGAGGAATATCATAGTGGAGACAAAATCTGTGCAGACCATTTATGCTGTCATCACCTGTCTGCAGCCATTTGTAAGGGGACACTTGCTCGCTTGATGTGGGAGCAAAATAGGTATTTTCTCCTATTGTAACTCTTGGAAGAGTCATGGCATCCCTGCAAACAATGCTAAGAACGTAACACACATTATCATCGTCACAATCGCGCAGGATATCGTGGAGCTGACTCTTGCCAATGCGCTCGGGAACAGTGAGGTGCGTGGGGCTGATGTAATTTCGGACCAGACCAGCTAAGATATGCTTATGGTCAACGACAGAGATCCAATTGCGGATTCGTTTGGCTATTACCCACATGTTTGGGTTCTCTGACATCAAGCTCTTTAGTCTATCAAAAGTCAAAGTGGACTGGCTGCAATCGCAAGTCGAATAGCTTGCCAGTAGATCCATCGGATTAAGATTGTTGTGCGACAGGCCTTTAATGGATGCGAGTACTTCAATCAGTGATGGGCCACGAGTGCGTGAAAGACCTGCGCCACAACTAGGAGCAGCAACAATGCCTTCCATCACACAAGCATTAAGCAGAAGCTTATAATCTTTTTCTTGTTGACGCCTTGTTTTCTTGGCGGATGAATGATCTCCTCTACTTTCACTTGACTGACCAATCTTAATTTTGGCTCTGCCTTTGCTCTTGGTGAAAATAGACTTATATAAGGCGGATAGAACGTTAATTGCAACCGCATCCAATCCGTTAATGAGCTCATACATTATTATTTCACCTGTTTTGGGGTCTACTTCTCCGTTGTACACCATTGACTCCCAAACAACGTCTCCCACAAGGCCTCGAAGAACAATAGATACTCTCCTCAGTTTCGAGGCCAAACTTATGGGTATTTTCTCAGGTGTAGTCCTAGTGTATCGATCATATATGGAGCGCCTAATGATGTATCCCGCATCTACAATCAGATAGCAGTCAATGATGGGCTCTGGAAACAACGGAATAATATGATTCAATGGCATCTTTTGTAGAAATACTTTGGATGACCTTTCTGTCATGTCCTTACAGATGCAGACGGCAGCACAGGATACCTTGTCCATTGGAAGCTCCAGAAACATTCGTTTTCCGGATAGGATGTGCTTCACCTTCAGAGGTGCTACTCTTACAGTCGTTTCATAGAGCATGGCGTCGTCATTGAATATCTCTGCTGTCACAGTGAGCTCATGACTTAAGTGCGACATCCAGGGTATTGGAGTGATCACCTCTGACGGATAGATGATACAAACAGATCCATTCGTCTGTCTGCGGCGCAGTGACCCTGGATGAACGAATTCGCAGTCTACTGTATTGCGAAGCCTATTCCTGAACGTTAACGTCAACGTTACATGAGTCCCAGGCATTCGCTGAGGAACAATGAGCTCTCGTATATCTAGGTGGAGCATGGGGATGTTTTTTCTGGCATTAGGATCAAGTGCGGTTTCCAGTTGAGCCCAGTTTCTGTGAATGAACGATACCTTCTTTGCTAACACATGTATTAGCTTTTTTCTGTTTAGAAACACATGCTACAGTCATGAGCTCGGAAACGGATGTGTAGAGGCCGCTCTATGTTCTCTGGGAGTAGATAAATTTGCTCTGCCTTTTCAAAAATAAATGAACGAGCTTGCTTACAGCTTTTCCCTGACCACCTTTTCTCCGTCGGGCCACTTACGTCAAATAACCTATGCATTGGCGGCTGTTGATGGAGGAAGGCTCTCAATAGGGATTAAGTGCGCCAATGGGGTTGTGTTGATGTGTCATAAGGCAGCAGAGAACCCTCTGGTTGATTACCCTACTATCAGTTTGGTAGATAATGTGTCTCCCAGCCTTGGTATCACATACAGTGGCTTCTCAGCCGATTTTCGCAATCTACTTAATCTTGGTAGAAAGTCTTATGAGCAATACTGGAACGAGTTTCAGGAGTCCATGCCCGTTAATATGTTAGCTCGTGACATAGCATCTACAATGCAAGAGTACACGCAGCGGGGCGGTGTGCGCCCCTTTGGCTGTTCTGTCTTGCTCGCAGGCAAATCTATGGCCACTGAGCACGAGACGGAAGCAAATGGCAGCCGTATTAATCCATACATTCTTTACCAAGTAGACAGCTCGGGAAGCTACTATACGTGGAAGGCGTGCGCTAACGGAAACCAGTCGAGCCAGGCCCGAGATTTCTTGGAAAAGCGGTACAACGAGTCTGTCAGTATCAGCGACGGCATTCTCATTGGCTTGACCTGTCTTCATGAGTACGTGGATGGCGACATCGACGGCAAGACAGTAGAAATAGGAATCATTGGGGATGAGACAGGGGGGCAGTTCCGCCTGCTAGCCGCGGATGAGATCAACACTTATGCCAGGCAAGTGAAGTGAATGATGCGGGATCTTTTCTCGTAAAGAAAAATGAATCCAACTACCGATGCGCCGGAGCCCGCTGTCAAAAGAGACGCCCCAGTAACTGCTTACGCTCCAGAGGATATTTTCCAGAGATTTATCCTCTGCAAAGGGAAAGATGCATTCAACGCACTCCAGAAGGCTGTTGTCATGGTTGTGGGTGTAGGTGCTGTTGGAGGGTTCGCAGCGGAAATGCTTGCCAGGTGTGGAGTAGGGACTATTATACTTGTCGATAAGGATGTTGTTGAGGTATCTAACATTAATCGCCAAATAGTAGCTACAACACAGACCATTGGTGAGTACAAGGTGGACATTATGAAGGAACGGATAGAGCGCATCAACCCATATTGCAATGTCACCGTCTACCGTGAAAAGATTGGCGGAGAGGAGATGAAGGTGTATGCTGCCCAGCATAAGCCCGACATTGTTATAGACGCCATAGACTTGTTCATACAAAAGTGTGAGATCATAGCCTATTGTCTCACAAACAACGTTCCCATCGTGTCCTCAATGGGCGCTGCAAGGAAAAGAGATCCCGGCCAAATAAGACTCGATTTAGTTTGGAATACGACTGTGTGTCCACTTGCCAGGAAAGTGCGGAACAAGTTGTTTGATATGAACATTAGGTCTGGTAGTGTTGTGTGTGTATACACGACGGAGACACCCGTCGAACACCCAAAGGATAGTGAAGGGTATAAACTAAGCCTGCCATCGTTTTCCATCATAACCACAATGTTCGGTGTCTGGGCCGCATATGCCGCTATCAGCTACCTGATCTCAAAGGAATTTCCCATTAAGCAGTGAATTCGGCTTCTTTAGGTCTCTTGCAATCCCTTACTAACTAAATCTTATTAACCAAATCTAGAACAAAGCCGAACCAAAAATAAATGACGTCCGCAGAATGGTTTCAGGCTGTTAGAGCCGGAAATTTAGAGTATGTGGCTACACATATAGAGAACTTGTCATGCAGTATTAACGAGTGTGGAGAGACAGCTTTAATGTGTGCTGTGCGACAGAGGAACATCGAGATGGTAAAAAATCTTATGGATCACGAGAGCAGATGCGTAAACTCACGTGGTCAGAGTGCGCTTATTATAGCAATCATCGAGCACTTTCAAGAGGCAGTGGAGGCCCTTCTTCCCCATGAATATGACATGGGAGCTATCCCCGGGCATCTCAGTCCCCTTGACGCTGCAGTGGATTGTGGAGACGATGACATGCTAGCATTGGTTCTTAAACATGGGAAGAAACCAGCTAAGGACGATTGTTCTGCCAGTCACGCGGCCTCAGGTCAACAGATAAATGCAATCCACAACAACGAAGACAGCGAGAGTATCTCGTCGTGTTTGTCACCCGACTCATTTAAGATTGTCAATGCCGGTACTATTAATACATCCGCTTGCAGGGTACCATCGGATTCTACAGACCTGGACCTATGCAAGGCTGCAATCTGGAGATTGGCCAATAAGGCAATAAAGTCTCACGATGAATTCGAAAGCCAATTTATGGCTGTTCAGAAACGAATGGAGGACGTTATATTACGATATAAGCAGGAGGTGAGAACAATGCGAAGAGTTTTGGAATTGGTTGGGATTGATGGAAAAGACCTCGAAAACTACCTGCAGGAAGCAAGAATGACAGTGGATAGATATGAAAAAATATCATCTCCGCAACCCATCTCCATTTGTGAGGCTATACGCTTGGATTCAGCGTTGACTCCTCCCATACCTCCGTTCACCTCTGAAACACAATGCTCGTTGAGAAAACAAGCAGTAACTGAACCAGAATCTCTCCATAGTCCATGTAGTACCTCTCGAGAAGCAAGCCATCTAACGGATTATGCTCATTCAATGGATATTAACCTTCCACCTCAACATCCGCAGATCCAGGGTTCCAATCCAGCTACAGTAATAAAATCTACCGAACCAAATCTCCCTCCTCAAGAACATTTGCGGATGATGGATAGTCACCAAGCAAATAACAATAAATCAGAGAAAACGCGGAATGACAAGGCTCATACAGTGTCAGAGAGCACAATAGAAAGCTTATTAACAACATATACGTCACTTGACAAAAACCATGTCCTTGGCGAGAAAGGTGGATCTGATGATTTAGAATCACAAATTAAGCTACTCTCTGAAGATATCAAAAACCTGAGCTGTGCAATGGAGCTGCTTGAAGAATGCACGCCAGAGTAGGGTAGGGCTTACAGAGGTTGGCATCAAAAAAACTCCCAGGATTTGCAATTTTTCAGTTGAATGTCAACCAAAGTGGAGGTTCACCTGCGGTGCAGACCAGTCCCTGATGATGCAGAGCAGATAAAGATGAGCGTGTCTACTACCGCTGGAGGAACCACCCTCAGCATAGCAGAAGCCAGAGATTTTGCGGTGGACGGAACTGCTGCAGAAAAGGAGTATCAGCTAGATGGCATGTGGCCGGGCACAACTTCTCAGGTGTTCATATTTGAAAACATAGCGCTCCCCATCGCCGATAAAGTTTTAGATGGCTATAACGGAACTATTTGTTGCTACGGTGCTACCGGATCAGGGAAATCGTTCACCACCTTTGGAGAAAAAAATAATGAAGGTATGGTAACGAGGACCATCAGGTATCTTTTCCAGCAGCGCCAAGCAAGGGAAGGGAGCGCTGAGATTCAGTTTGTTGTATCGTTCCTCGAGCTCTATCTGGATAACACGTATGACTTACTAGATGATAAACCACCTGTACAAAGTAGCACAATGGGCTCATTCGGCAGTACCAGACAACTTGTGGAGCCGGATGCCTCCAGTGCTGGTGCGGAGCCTTCTATCGTTAGCAATGCAACACCTGCAAAGCAGCAGGATTCCAAGATCCTACAGCTTCGTGAGACAACAACCGGCGCTGTGTATGCGGAGGGGCTTTCTGCTCATCCAGTTTCTTCAGCAGATGCTATGCTTGCACTGCTTAAAAAAGGTATCAATCGAAGAGTAACGTTTGCAACGGCAGCAAATGAACGCTCGTCACGATCCCATGCTATTTTCTCTGTTGCAGTTGTTCAAAATGATCGGGTAAATGGGACAACCCGGTCTTCTGTCTTGACCTTTGCAGATCTCGCGGGTTCTGAGAGGTTGTCCAAATCAGCGTCTGATGGAACAAGAAAGTTAGAGGCTGCTAGCATCAATAGAAGCCTCTCTGCCCTTGGGAACGTTGTCCAGGCACTGGCAAAGAACTTACCACACATTCCCTACAGAGATTCTAAACTGACCCGGATACTCCAGCACGCTTTAGGAGGCTCCTGCCACACTACCATGATATGCACAGTGTACCCATTGAAATCCAATTATGATGAAACTCTATCGACAATACAGTTTGCACATAGATGTAGAAATATCATTAACCAGCCCCGTGTTTCAATAATTGATTTGTCTTCAGCAGATCTGGAGTCTAAGGTAAGGCGGCTCACGTCTGAACTGATAGATGTCCGCACGCAGTTATCAAAAGAGGAAGAATTACGCAAGGCATTGCAGGGCCGTATTAATGAGATGGTTGAAGTGCTCAAAGAGACAGGTGAATACACCATTGGTCCCAATGGAGAAATCATTGATGAAGACGGAAATATCATAATGGGTGCACGGCCTACCAGTGGTAATACTGGAAGTCGTGTTGCCTCTGCACGACAATTAGAAACATCGGATCACATAATTAGTAGTCCCAAGAGGCGCCGCTCCGCCTCTCATACTGATCCAGCAAAGGCTAACAAAGCCCTACAGAACTCACTTAATCAGGTTCAAGCAAAGCTGGATCAACGATCAAACGATCTCCTGGAGGTTCAGGCTCAGAGTAGACAGACAAAAGAAGCCCTTCTCAAGCAAATAAGCGATCAGAAGCAGCAGATCTTGTCCCTGACGAGGGAGCTCAGTGCAACGACCCAGAGATTTGACGCCACTGTGGAAAAGATGCAGAAGCAACACGATCAAGAGATAAAGCGTCTTCTTGCAGACACAAAGGAATTGTATACTAAGAACACAGAGCTCATAAATTCTTTGCCACGTATCGCACAAGAGTACGCTGAAGAAAGCAGAGACCAGGCCGAACTGGAATCTAAAATTAGGTGTGCGCTTGAGTCAGAAAAGAGTACCTTTGCTGTAGAACTGGACTGTATGATGATAAATCAACGTGAAGAACTAACCAAGCATTTTCAATACGAGCTTAATATTCTTCAAATGAGATTGAAAGAGGTCGAAGAGAGTAGCTTTGTAGAGCGGGAGAAGCTCATGGAGCGCTTTGACAAGCTCCTGCAGATCTGCATGTGGTTTCAAAGGGAGTATGGAAAGTCTTCGAATGTAATACATGAATGCTGTGAGGGTAAGCATGCAGCTATTATTATTGGCGGCTTACAACCATGTAGTAGGCCCCACAGCCGTCCGATGACTGGACCTGCACCCAAAGCTCGCAGTGGTTCGGCATACACGACAACCATTAGTGATCTTACCGAGAACGTAGAGAATAGTGAGTACAAGAACAGCGGAGTTCAATATCTTTATAAGTCTGATGGGCAGACAAGGGCGGTCAGTAGTGTCCTCCAGACCGTGGATGGACAGCAGACTAAGAGCATTTTAGAAACATCCCATGAGCTCACCTCTGATGAACAGGCAATGGGCTTAAGTGAGTCCGTTGGAGGCTATGCTTATGGTGGAACAGCTGCGCATCTTCCTGGCTATGTTCAACAGGCTCCACGGCAACCGTCTCAGCATGCAGCAATAGTCCTACCTCTGGAGCTCATGCCTGTTCCTGTTCCACTAGACTATGTAACGTTTTTGCGTAGCGAGTACGAGGATCGAGAGCATGAGCGCGAGCGGATCGCAAGCGAGGCTGCAGGGCCCGTGTCTCCTCCTCGGGGAGGAACCCCCATTGTTACCACCCCTTCTATGGTCACTCCATCAAAGCCCCCAGGCTCAGTAGGATTGAATATGGTACGGCCTTATTCAAATTATACAGCAAAACCGTACGAATATGCACTGTCCTCTTCGGGAACGGTTAAGAAAATCCGTCCAAAAACGGCTCCCAAGCCTGAAAAGTTTATCACGTCTCTCGGATCTCCTAGTGGACGGACAGGCGACCTACCGGCTATGTGTGTTATGGATAATCTAAATACATACTCTATTGCCCAGACTCAGCGAACAAGAAGTGGCTCAATATTGGTACAATCTAAATTGAACAGCCTAAGCAGCCTTGCACGGACAAGTACACAGCGCCCCAGCAGCACCACCTTTGCAACTAGAACATCTACGCTGAGTACGAGGGTACCCCCGTCTCAAACGGCCCATTCAAGCGTGTCGAAAAAGAAGGCCAGAGACGACCTTGCTCTGTCCAATTTGCATGAGAGTCCATGTCTCAACATCAGCTCGATTAATAGTACCTCAGAACAACCGTCAAACCTCACGACTGAGCAATTCTTACGGTTTGAGCTTGAACGGGAAAAAAGAAAGTCACAGCAGCTGCAACAAGCGGCTATCTACCAGCAGCACCTTCTCAACTCAAAAGTAACATCTGGAGTAACCAAAAGCCTTACAAGACAGTCACGGATCGAAATATACCATAAGTAGCTGTCTACGAGTTTCAGATTTACATGCGTTCAAGCATACCCTTTGGGGGATACAACACAAGCAGAAAATATCTGCTGTTAGTTTTATAGGGAACTTCACAACCAATTATTTTTCAAGAGATGAGATTCAAAGAAGAATAGAGCTATAATGCGCTTGATAGGTCTATGATAACATTTTATATAATATCTTGATTGTTAAAGTTATCCTAACAAATGCTTTTATCTTTGGGCAAAAGGTAAGACTGGATTGCCAAGATTCTATCCTTAGTGCGTAATAAGTAAATATAAGTAAATAAAAGGTGTTCTATATGCTTCTTACAAAAGTAGTACTCTCTAAAGATACCTTTGTAATAGAGATTGCCCTGCATAAATTTGATTACTCGCTCTTAGAGAGATCTCGAGGAGTACTGGTCATTGTGTCTGGAAGCCCCATTAAGTTAGAGGGTATGGACAGCCTCGTGCTATCGGTGGATGCACGCTGCAGCTCTGCTTTGATGTAGTCCAACTGAGAGACGGAGCGTCTGTACTGGCTCTCTAGTTCTGATAGGCGCTGCTTAAGTTGATAGTTCTCCTCCCTGTACGATCTTAGTTGATCTAATAGATTATTATCGATAGATGTGCTGAATACAGGATCGCCAAATTTCGATGTGCCGCGTTGACTGCTCTGCTGTGAATCAACTGTCGCCTGAAAACTGTTAAGCTTTGTCTTAGTGACATATAGCTGCTTTGATAGTGTATCATTGTTTGCCATCACTATGACAAGTTCTTGCTGAAGGCTGTTAATAGTTGCGTCCCTTTCAACGATATCGGTTAACAGAGTTTCACGTTCCTTCGCAATGTTGAGTTCCATGAGCTGTGCCATTTCGGCGACTGCCTCTTGGCGGGCATTTTGAAGCTCCTCCTGAATATCCCCGCTTGCATTGGCCAATGCAGTCGCCAGGTTTTCAAACTCTGTTAGAATGCTGTTCCAGTACGTGATTGGTATAAGTATGCTGTCTCCTTGAATCACAAGAGAAGTAGGACAATTAGGGAAGCGAGTAATGTCCTGTGCACTACTGCATTGAGATAGCGTAATGTTTGTATCTGCTGTAGCATAAATAGTGCCAGTAATTTCTGGACTAGGAAGACTGCCCCCATCCTCTATAGCAATATCGGTGGGGCGAGCGCGAGAAGAACGCGAAAGGGACTTGCCCATGGACCCAGCCATGGACGCCGCCGTTGTGCTAAGCACGCCGAGGCGAGAAGCTGTTTTAGAATAATTCTTAACCGACTTGGCGACGAGACCGAGTTGGAGTGTCTCTTTGTTACTGAAAAACCCATCTACCTTTCCGTGAAGATTGAGAAAGATAACTGCGTTGCACGGAAGGGAGAAATCGCTTGCAGGCTGCAGATATGGACGCAGAGCCATAGTGAGAGGAGAAGAGCGGAAACTCACAGAGGTCGTCCGTGTGCAGTTGAGGCTCTTCAGGTCCTTCATAGCCCGATCGAGCATTAGCAACGACGTACGGATGAAGCTGGATTCCTGCTGAACCTGTTTAGATGCCCCGGGCATGTGTGGTTCACTACCAGCTAAGTCGACGACTGTCAGCCCTGATGCCTGGCCCGTGGCAGTATCTAAAATTCGAAGGAAAACGATACAGTGTGATCTCGAAGACATTGTGTTCAGTGCTGTAGATGACATCTCCCTGTTTTGTAAGGCACGTCGAGTCAGAGACAAGCAGCTGGCTGCAGAATCGACATCTATCCATTTTCTTCCGGGAAGAGGATCCGTCCCTGCGCCGTGGAGTTTGAGAGGCTCTCCTTTATTCAGCAGATCCATGACGTTATTCATATATATTTGTACCACTGAAATGCTCACCAGTGCAGACTTAGCAATGGCTGAGATGTCAATGAGCCGATACAAATCGTTGACTGCCCGCCCATAGAGGCCCGTGTCCTTTCCTTCTCCAAAAAGAGTGTATGTCTTTCCTGCAGATGTGACTCCATATGCCAAAAGAAGCATAGGAACGCCACACATCACGCGATAGATGTCATTAGATATGGTTTCATAAGCGTTATCTTGGGTGGAAGACGGCCCCAGCGCAATATCAAATGGATGAGATGTGACTACCATTGAGTTGGTGGGATCACGGGCCGTAATTACGTTGTTTGATGCCGTGATGCATGCCGGGTTTGGTACTACTTCTCCAGGGAGAAAGGGTCGAACTCTTGCTATAACACGGATACGGTTGGACACACTCTGACTGCCCTGTAGCTGGGATGCCTGGAGCTCCTCAGTTGTTAATGGAGAAGTCATCGAAGCTTCAAAATTTCACTGTAGTTTTTGCCTCTTCAAAAAACGAAATAGTGAGATTGAAATGAGGCGCAGGTCTGGAGCAGACGGTCTTATCGCAGAAATGTGCCGTAACTCCAGTGAATTTGACGACTCACTAATGCGTACTGACGAGGCGCTATTTGTTTGGCGCTGCCGAGTCTGTGGTGAATCTGCTCAATCTAAAAAGGCTTGCCCGTCTTGCAGTATGATTCATTGCACTAGTTGTTCAGAAATTTGCGCTGTTTGTTCTCGAAGAGTGTGCATGCTTTGCTCCTTGCTTTCAGGAGATAGCTATCATTGTTTGGATTGTTATAATAGCAAAATTGATTACACTAAAAAACGGAAGTAGAACTGGTTTTATGCGGCGGATATACCTTGCAGATTCTCGAGACCTTTTTCACCGTAGAGATCTGCGGAAGGAAACTCAAGCACAGCCTTTTTCAGGCCTCCCTGACTCTACTGGCGATGGTTTTTCTAAGCATCCCAAGGGAGCGTCTACTTCTTCCAATACTCAGTTAACGCAACTCGATGAAGCTACCCTATTGTCTATGTGCAATCCAATAATGGCCTCTCCTGTCTTCGATCCTTCTCGCCACGGCACTGATGTCTACGAGCCTCTTGTCAACTCTCTTGCTGAACTTGTTATAGAGCTCGGCAATGAAACAGCCGTGTCTCTTCTTCTACACTTTCCCACACTAATCAATGGGGTTATCCGCCAACTAGCTTCTCCAGATCGAACCATAAGACTCCACTGCCTCCAATGTATCAACTGTTTGGCAGCTAATGGCAGCTCTCTTTCTACTCTTTTTAATTGCAATATTCTCCCTGTGCTGAAGCTACTCCTGGATCAAGTGGCTTCTGATGAAGTATTAGATGAAGATTTGCTGGGTGCAATTCTTCTCTGTTTGCAGTTCCTTTTTGATGTTAAGGACGAAGCGTTGTTTTTCACTGCCATAGAAACCGGCTTTATTGCTACATTTCACGGAATTTTGATCAAGCCCGCCTTCCCCATGCGGATTAAACACCACGTGATTTATGCTGTGGGTAACTTAGCACAGCATATTGAAACGGACGAGTGCCACCAGCTCCTTCTTCCAATCATCCCTGCCGTTATTGACGTGATGTACTCGACAACTGTGTCCGTTATTTTTGATGATTGCTGCTGGATCTATCACTTTATCACATCCTCGTACAATCTACCAACCGTTGCATCTATCCGCACACACCTTCTTGAGCAAGGAGTTGCTAATCATGTCATTAATTATTTGTACAAGCTTCCCTTAGCAAGCTGTAGACCGGGGTTATACTTCCTTCGTAACCTTACATACGATGAGCAGACGGCCTTGGCCATTCATCATGCTAACTCACGGTTCGTGCCGTTTTTGTTCAATAGTGTGCTTGTTTCTAACCTAAAGGTTCGCGAGATAATCTACAATATTCTTCAATCTTTGTCATTGGTAGATCTTATGTTATCAGTCCTTATGGGGCATAATTTGCGAAAAGTGATCATGCAAGGGTTGTGCACTAGCTCTACAAAGATTGTCCACAGTTCTATTCTTATATGGGGAAGACTCTCACAGTCACCGCTGGTGTCACTAGATTACGATGTTGACGAAATACGTGCTCTCGACCACGGGTTGCGGATGTCGTTGCGCACATCTCAGGATAGAACACTTTTAGCCGGCCTTCACCTAATCCGCTGTCTCATTGAAGAAAGCGATGGATTGATAACTGAGCATTTCATAGGCCTAGATACATTAACTATCATACATGATTTGACATGTTCTCCAAACATCGAGCTCTCAGAGATGGCAAACCAGCTTCTTGCCGACTACTTTCCATCTGAACCGCCTTGAGAACTTTAAATTCTGGATTCCCTGTGGTGACTCCCGGCGTCAATCCCTGCTCCATTAATAATAAAATATCCGCAGGGAATGTCATTGCGCTTTATCAAGGAGCTTGAAGCTGGTAATTTTAATGAGGTTGAAAAGATTCTTGTTGACACCCCACATGTTCTTTCGGCATCCAAAAGCCTGATGGCATATGGCAGAGCCAGGAAGATGCTTTCAGACCCTGAAACATATCCTGGGGTGACCGAGTATCTAACCACTCTCGGGCTGAATCCAGCATTTGCAGGAGAGTTCGTTGAGAATGATCAGTTCATTTCCTTTTGCAGCTCTGCATTAAATCTAAGCGAGGCCAATGCTGTCTATAGCGTGCCTCCCATCTTTAAGGTCATGGAAGCAATGGTATCTTGTTCACCACAGCTTAAAAAGGTAGTCTCCCAACTTCTTCCTGCGCTAGGGTCATTTGTGGCACAGGCGTCTAAGGACTACATTAAAGCAGGATACGCTTTTCTCATCGCCCAGATATTAAAGCATGGTGTCCAGTTCTCTACGGAAGTGCTACGAGAGTTGGCAGACATGATTCGGCAAGAGCTACGAGCATGTGCAGACTATTCTACTCAAATTCTTTTGGTTGAGATTCTTCTTCGAATAAGGAATCGCATACCTGACGTTAGTGCTATCGCCTTCTCGCCGGCTATACAGATGCACTTCAATTCCTTGACAAAAATGAACTTTCTACGCACCATAAACACTCTCATCTGTGCTATGAATGATGAGTTTGGGACTATAGGCTCTGGGGATGTCTTTAAGGTGCGCTATCTTCTCTATTCTGGTGGCACAATAAGCTATGATAATACGAACCTGTCAATTTCGTTAGGCGAAGGCATAATATTTTGTGGGCGTATGTCTCTCTGTACTATGCTTCCGAACATAGGGCTAATACGTCTTCCTTATGATATTCTCAGTAAGATGCAACTCAGCTACCGCAAGTGTCTACTTATAATTGGAATTAGCATGTCCTCTCTCTCCATCAATTCCCCCTTTCATGTTAAGCTTCGTGAAGCCCAGCAAAGTAATCTGGACCAAAATGTGACACTGCGGTTTTCGATTCCTAATCAGGACGATGTTTATGCATTCAGAGACGAGGTTGGATGCCTCATTTCTAGCACACGTCTTCTCGCTGCAAGCGCTGCATCTGCCAGCTCTTGTACTGCAACTGAGCAATCCGTAGACGAGGTTGCTGGCGGACTTAGCTTTTGCTCTGTGGAAGCCATGAGCCAGATGTCTCAGTTAGCACTTTTAGATGAAGATAATGTGCAGCGCGGTGCGCGACAGACTGACAGAAGATCCTCGATCTTTTTGCTGTTTGTCGATCGAAGCCCCAAAAACCCAAAAGTTACTTGTCTGACGCCAAGAACTCCACGCATGGAACTTCCTGAACGATTTCATCATTCTAAAACCCCACAGATTCATGCAAACTCCCTCGACAGTGAAGATCTGACGCAGAAGAAAACGATCACGAACCTTAATGACATAAGCATAAGTAGCATAGATCCGGATGTCAAAACTCTCAAGAATGACCATGTCTACCCGCTTGAGAAAGACAACCATTCGTTTACTATCAATACAGGGACTACACACAGTAAGCTCCATGTACATGACATTCTTCCTCCTGAGCTGGCAACGGCTCTTCCTCCAAGTTTGTGCACACAGGACAGAACAGCGACCCCTCGAAAGGACCTAACCGCAATCAAGGCTCGCCATGCGACAGAGCTGGTGGAGTTTAAGAAGAAGCATGCATTGAAGTTCACTGTTCTCAGGCAGCAACTTCTTCAAGATAAGGACGCGATCTTGACCATAGCCAACGAATTCACTGCCGAGATGCAATTGGGAATAGAGATCTTTACGGATACAGAGCAGGACATCAAGGCTGCCATGTCCATGTATCACGACGAGTCTTCAGCACTTCTCGAGAGACACAAGCGAGAGCTTCTCCTGGCATCTGCAATCGGACCTTGTAGCAACGGTCACCAAAGTAGCCGTGAAGCCAAGCGTGCCCAACTCCAGTTTCTCCGCCAACAGCGACTCTCTAAAGTTCCTCATGATTAGGTAAGCACTCTGCAACATATCTTTTATTCAATAAATTATTCTAAACTTTGCTTGTTAAAGAAAATTGGCTGTAAGCTGTTTTCAAGAACGGGCTGAACGCCACAAAAGAATTGTCCCTGCATCACCCTGTGAGAGTCATGCTGGACCACAGTAAGTAGCATACTTCCTCTCATTACAGCATATTAGTCTGCCAAACTTAACTGACAGGGGTTGTTTTCCTTTTCAAAAGGAATCATTGGAGATTTAGGTCCTTATCTAAACGCTTTCAACTTGGCATGCTTGTGGCGTGATACCCTGGGTAAAGCTGCTAAGATATCCACCAAACGTATTGGAGCTGCGTTGCTCGTTAGCTGGCCTCCTAATGTTAATTCCAGTTCCAGAAAATTCATACAGATCTATTAGTAGCTCTGCGAGAACGCCGAATGTTATTGCTCCGTCTCTTGCTGTGATAATTTCCTCAGCTGTGTTCTGGAATCCTTGGTACCGCCCACACACCGCGCCGCATTCAGTCTCCTCCTCTTCTTCTCTGGAAAGGCCCCATGGGTGTCTGCTATTGCTAGAGTCACTCTTGCAAGCTGCACCACTGCATTGAGCTGCTATGAGTTTCGGACTGTCAGTCTGTATAGAGTGACTAGGTGGATATGTGCTGCATCCATAGGTAAGTCTGTGCTTCTTCAGACGTGCCAGAACCGTGGGATTTCCATTGAGGTTTTCTACACACCAATTCATGGCAAAGGTGTTGATATCTTCCTTGCGATAGATGTGCCACTGTGGTTGGCAATGTGCAGAGGATGAAGGGGAATCAATCAGTTCTGCTAAACAAATCGCCTCTGCGTTAATATCTATAGATATGATAATCTTAATTGGAGGTACCCGGTCGGCTTCTGCACGGGAATTGATTATATTAGCTTGTTTGCAAGCGGTAGCAATGCACTGTTCTGGGGGCACAGCATTAGATTGAACACTCTCAAGAAAGACGAAACGAGACTGTATTGCATCCGTCGAAAACTGAAATAGATTCTGAAGAATATTGGTCACCTTGCAGATATCGTACAATCCTATTAGGAAACACCCTATCCGGAAGCTCCGCTTAGTCTTTTCGCGATATTCTCGATCGAAATATTTCAGAAGCCTGAGCTTTTTATGATAGACCTTTGACACCTCATGCTCCTGGTCAACCATTACAAGAAGGCGTGTTTCGATCCCCTTTTCCAGAACTTTGTCAAGTGACTTGAGCCCCGGATGAGGGACAAAAATGTGGCTATTGCTTGCTGAAATCATTTCGCTCACATTTGTGCTGTGCGGCGCAGAAAGAGCAGAGCCATAGCCAATTCCGTAGATAATATACCGGCACTCTGTGCGCGAGATGTGTGTTTCCGTGGCCATAAATCCGCACCCACACATGTAATGCTTGTTCAGGTGTTCAGCATATGACGCGGATACCGGCTCGCTGACCATATAGACCCGCACCCCGTACAGTAAGAACACCGCAGCGCTTACCTTGGCAAAGTCCTTGGCATGTGGAGACCAATCATAACCTATTCCAATACCGTGTATTTTGAGTTCTGTTTCTCCAATAACTCTTAGACAATAGTAATAGATTGACTGCGCCGTCTGAGCAATCACAAGCTCGTTAAGCTTATTGAAGCCGGGCCCATAATCCCCCTGAAGGCCATGAGATTGTATCTCAAGCCTGTTTCGTGGATCGAAGTCTTTTTGTATTTGGGCATACGACTCATTAGCGAGCATCTCCAGTGCTTTGGCCCTAGTGGCCGGCCAGAAGTCCAGGTCCAGCCAGTCGTTTATCAGTTGCTCTGCTTTGTCCTTTAAATTGATCATTTTATTTTATTGCAGGTGTACGTTTTACAAGACGGCGTTTACTTGATTCATAAGATCGTAGACTAAGTATATTAATCATACTAACCATAGTAAACATTTGAGTAAGCTGTTAACAATTGTGAATCGAATGTAAATTAGACGCCCTGATTAGATTATGGCCTGCACTTGGCGGCTCGCTTAAGGTCGTCCCCAGTCTTTGCCGTGCGTATGTCACAGCACTGGCAGCGAGTTGTGGAGACAGGACTCTGACACGAGGGGCACAGATGAAGACTAGTGAGCTTCTGGGTCTCATGTGTGGTCTTAAGGCGCAGCTTCCGAGTTGACCGAATTATACGAAGAGCCGCGTCGCTGTACGCTGGTCTGGTACAAAGGTTGGTTAGGAAGCTTCTTGGCTTACCGCGTAGTGCCGTTGTTGCATAAGGACACTCCACACTAAAGTAGTCCAGGCGTTGTAGGTGGGCGTATATGACAATGTCTCGCTGTGCTATATTGCAGAGGGGCTTTATGCGTGCCACCCCTTGATTCAAGTCAGATAATGGCTCGCTGCACCTTACTAGCTTTGCAGCGTCACCTCTGATTAAGTTCAGTAGAACGGTCTCGGCATTGTCGTCAGCATTGTGCCCGGTAGCCACCTTTGTACATTGTGTCTGGAGACTCCCGTAAGAAAGAGAATTTCGTCGGAGGATACCACAGAACGAGCAGGCAGTTGCTGTCTTCGCCGTTGGCTGTGGCCGGCCCGTGTCGTTAACGTCCTCCAGATCGGCCTTAAGTGGGGCAAATGTATCAGTGCATGAATTTCCGTTCACAGTGTTGACAAGTTGGTCTAGCGTACGTCCGTATCGCTCTTCAAAGCCCACTATCTCCAGCTCATACGGATACTTTTTATGGAGGCGCTGAAGACACGCTAGCGACTCGCCGCGATAGCCTTGGATTCCTTCGTTGACTGCAACCATAACAAAGCGAACACCATCGTAGACATCCTGACAACGAAGCCGCAGGGTGTGTAGAATATGAAGCATAACACTCGAGTCTTTTCCTCCGCTCACTCCAAGAGCGATGCTCTCGCCCGGACGGACCAGGCTGTGCATCTCCACCGTTCGCTGAACTTCATCTTCGATTGCACGGAGAAAGCACTTCCTGCAGAGGCGCTTAAGGGTCATGGAGTGCCTAATCATCGGTGTCCCAGTACCACAGCCCTCACAGTTCATGGCTTTAAAAAATCTACTCGAAGACGTACCACTCAATCAGTGGAAGCTTTTGGAAGCGCTTTTATTCCTTTCCTTGTTCTCTCCACGCAGTACTGCACTCCAAGGCCGGATTTGGGCAGATTTAGAATCTGGGCCGGGCGCAGTCTGATGCCGGAAGATTGTGGACAGGCCCGTTGGAGTCACGGCACGTTCAACATAGCGTTGGTATTCGCCATCACTCATGTATCTACGCCACGTGGAGTTTTGTTCGTTCCATGCAGAGTTGCAATCCATAAATAATTGACCAGATGCTCCTAGTTCATCGCTCGGCTCAACACTAGTGTCTTTGCTACCTCTAGAATATTCCAGATGTCTTTCATTACCTTCTAATATTAAGTTATTTAGGACATCGCTCGCCAATTCAGCTGCGTCCCCTGGTAAAAGGTTTACCATCGCTTCATAGTGTGCCTTTAGACTGAAATAGAGCCTTCTATAGTGTCGTAGCTCCGCTTCAAGTAGCTCTGTATTAAGGTCATCTCTATTGTTCAGTATTTGCTCCTGTTCATATTCCAGACCAAGAACGTGCTTCTGCATCATAGAGAGGGACTGCTTCTCATTGTCAAGTTTCTTCAGCGAATCGTTAATACCTGCAAGATTACTCGTCATAGAGTCAATGTACTTCTCTGCTAACACAGCACTTTCCTTCAAACTAGTACCGGTGCCGAATAACTCATCACTATTGTATCCCAACAGATTCTTGCCATCTTGAAGTAGTTCACAACTAGCTTTACTATCTGCATTACTCTGTACTGTATTTAAGTTCCTCATCCAGCCTTTTAAGAGTTCACGCATAGATAAAATCACCTTATCTTTCTCCAACGATTGCTTTTCCAGCATCATGGCCCTGTCTATCTCCTCTTTTAACTGTTCAGAAAGGGCTGTATTTAACTTTCCATTGATCTCGGCCTCTTCCCGGTGTCTATATCTAACCGTCTCCAGTTGTTTCCGTAATTGTAGAATTTCTGCTTCATGTGTATAGATTTTAGTGTTAAGGGTCTTTATGTAAGACAAGATGCCCTTGTCATCTCTTCTCTTATTGATGAAGGACTCAGTGCATGAGAATGGCTGATCTTTTAATGAGTCAGACTGAAGCAATGTATCAACGGAAATATGGGGATCCATGATGTTGCTAGTAGTGGTGATTTGACTATTATCTATATTATCTCGTTTATGCAGGCTTTGTATGCAATATAAGACTATAGAGAAGATGGTTCTTCCTAGGGTGTCGGGCAAATCACGTTGCAGTAGCTGATGAATGGCTTCTTCAACTCTGGGGAATATGGTAGAAGGTTGCTGACACGCAATTATAGATTGCAAAAACGATAATACACTATTAATAAGAGAAAGCTGATAGGCAGTAGAAGTATCCTCGGGCTGTTCTAGCTTTTCAAGTACGTTAGCGAGATACTTAGAATTGTTGAGATGATCCTCAGCCTTCTCTACAGACTGGGCTTTTGAGTCATAGTTTTTAAGAACTGGTAAGCTCAGTGGGTCTTTTGTGAACAGATAGGAATATCGAAGTAGTGCAGGTGCATCATCCAAAATGGAAGCAAGGTAGAACATCGCCCGATAGTTCCCATGCGTCTCTGCCATCTTGAGTGCCTGCAGTACGCTAGTATGCGAGTGAAGAGTGATTCCATGTTCTTCAGCCTGGTTAGTTATTATCTCAAGTACAATACGAAGACAATTGAAGGCAAGTCGATTATTCACCTCGAAAATAGTAGTACGGAGAATAGTTTCTAGCTCATCTTGTGATAGAGCAGTCTGTGGAGCAGTAAGAAGGCATTTCAAAGCTCGAAATGCGCGCATGTTAGAGGCGAGTAAAAAGCTAGATTCCCCGGAAGCTCCTTTGGCCTTGACATATTCTGGTGCTACACTAGCAAGATCTTCATCATACCCTTGCTCTAACTGAAAAATCCATGTCTCTAAGGACAATCTTTGAGGCTCCATGTGTAATTTTTTACATTCACTTTCCATTTTCCGCGGCGACCTGATACCCGACCCTCTCACCTGCAGCAGCCTCCGGATCCGCATGCCGATAGAAACGACTCGAAGCGGGATCCGGCAGACACTTGGCGGGATGATGGTACTGCAGGCGAAGAGGGCCCTCGCGCTCGCCGCCCCAGTCGATCTCCCTACTAAAGAGCAAGCGTGTGGCGGACTTCTAAGACGGTTGCCGCTATCACTGAACCCTCTCCCCAGCTGGGCTAGTCGTCAAATGGGAAGTGGCTCATGAACGCATTATCTCGCCTTTTGAGGCCCGCCTTGCCTCTATTGTATTGTCCATGGCGCCAGGAGTTATGGAAGACACGCCTGCACCTCCTGACTGAAGAGCTTTGCCGCGGGCAAGGCACCGAACGCCGCGTCCTGGGAAGCCTCCCGCCTCAGGCTCATTCAACTGGAGTCTCATACGCCAAATAAGGCATTTCATTTCCCTTTCCACACCTCCATAGCTTACAGGCTGTGTTACATCATGCTGCACCAGATGACGCCTACGCCAACATCCCCAGGACGCTGAGAGAGATCAGAAGGCCTTCCAAGTCCTCTGGAGGCGTTTAGATGCAACTCCTAGCTCTTGCTCTTGGGAGACCTCGATAGGGATCAGCAATCGACACGTAGACTGCGAGCTATGTAATCAAGACCTGGAACAGATGGCCTTCGTTATCGACAAGACAAGAACAGGTGATGGAGCTCCGTTCTCCCCGGATCCTGTGCTCCAGAGGAGGCAGGGCTTCCAGTCACTGACTGCCCCGATAGGAGTCATGCGTCTGCTGATGCTTTGTGAGGACCGCATGGACTCCGACTCGTACCTATACACTGTGGATGCTGCTGGTCTCTCGAGGGAGATGCTCCGACACCATAGCAAGAACAGGAGCCTTAGGTGCACATGTGAGAGCTTGACACGGGACATAGAGCTAATTCAGGCCTCATTTAAGAACCTGGGGGCGTTTCACACGCTGGAGGATACCAGGATTGGGGGAGTCCCCATCATCTGTTGCCCCAAATGCTTCAGCACCAGAATGGCGAGTAGGAGACATCTGGCTAAAACGAAACACTCTGTGCTGATGTGGCACCAGATGGTAGTCACTCGAGCATATGCTCGTTCTGCACTGAACCCACCGAGGTCAGAGAGCCGTCCAGGTGCACTGCAACACAAACATCGAGTGTAGAGCGTAACTGCGTGAAGGGATGGGAATGAAGAGGAGAGGGACATCCTTTTCAGCACCCACCCCATAGCCATGCTCAGGGATGATAAAGACCCTTCTTATAGAACCCCAGTCAAAAGAGGCGAGAGCACCTCGTGAAGCAAATGAGGTGTGCTTTGTCAGACTGGTGGGTCGTTGATATATGAGCAACAGCCACCAGAAGGCCTCTAACAGGGATCAGATTGTCAAGTGCGTCGAAGACGCCTTGATGAAGAACAACTGCCCTCGGGTCACGGGCTTCTCTCCTACAAGAACATTCACAACCTGGACTCTCTAGAGGGGATAAAGGTAACACGTGAGCTGCACTCTAATACCCCAAAGTGTTACCGTGGCTGGACGACAGGAGATTGTGCTGGTCACGTGGTGAGAATCTTCATGCGAACTTCCAGCCAGATCAGACAATAGTGAGAAATAGCTAGTTTTCTCGTAGCGTGCCTCCTCTCTGAACAGGACTGGAGGTGCCTGGGATGCTCTTCTAGAGTCTCGGTATCGAAGGGTCCATGCCAAGTAGCAGACCCTGTACTGCATGGCATGAGAGCTTTTAGGACGTGTAAATACCCGTGTGGCCGTAGCGACGCGTTTCCATCCGCAGGTACCAGGGCACGTCGGTGGACAGCGTACACAGTGACTCAGGCACTCTACGTGTGGTCATGTCCTACAGTTCCTGTAGTGGGCTATGGACAGCCTGATAACCAGTGTTCTATAGCAGCGCGACGTGGGATGGTGCGCCCAGCAGCACACCACATCTATGGTCTCAACGAGGCTTTACAGGGTGCAGTAGGGCATCCGAGCCAACTGAGCATTGGACTGGGCCCTGGGTGGGAGGTAAGGGCTCCTGTGCACGACTGGGTTGCTCCCAGATAGAATAGGGTATACAGTGAGCTAGATGAATGCGATGCTGTAAGGTATCCACAGCCGCATAGATTCATCCGGTGGTGCCGCACTGGATGTTGGGAGGCACACTGCCGACAGGTCAGGGAAGCTTAAAGAGTGATAGTGCCATTTTGCTATTATTATGTAGTACTTCGGGGCATGTAGCTAGGGAGGTATCCCCTGATGGTTGGGAAAAGGGCAGAGCTAAGTGAATAATGACCATGCCCATCATGAACAGCTCTAGATGCTACCCGATCACTTTCTAGAAGTGCATATGTCTCGGATAGGTGGGAGCTACATTCAGGGCCATGTGCGGATAGAAGGCAGCCCAGCGACTGACGCTTTGTACAACCTCCTCATCCGCTGCCTGAGCAGCCAGAAGCCAGCTTCGATATGCAGACGGAAGCTGCGAAGAGTAAACTCATCGTGGGGTCGATTGTCTGACACTAAAAAATCCGGAACAATGACGGCAGCCATTGTCTCCCTAAGATGATGTATTATGCGCGGTATCAGCTTTGGCCCTCTAGATGGGTAGTTTGGGGCATTCTGCACTAGCCTTGACTTCTGAGACGCTAAGACCTGTGAATAGCACAGAACGAGGCATGGTATGTATAGACGGTGCGTTGTCTTCATGAATGTGCACTACAGCCTCCAAATGCACGCAGCTAGACCAGAATGGACGGATCAGCTAGCTTACACAGGCGACCTGCCCACCACCATGTTTGCTGCGATGAGGGGCTGCATCTACCCAACAGACTGAGCAGAGATTACAGCAGCTTCTCTACTGATGCATGCATGGCCATGCGCCGCCCTAGTAGGTGGTGTAGATACTATAGTATCTACCCTGCCTGTTGTTAATAAAGAATATCAGTTAGTCGCACTGGACACTCTTCTAGGAAGGCATACAGTCTCTATGGTTGCAATTTCACCAGTTGTAATGACAACTGAACACTAGGAAAGGTGCCATAGAACGATCTGCTGCCTTTCAAGGTGAGACATAAATCCACACATAAGCCAAAAGCAGAACTCTATACATCGATTGTTATGATCTTAGTGCGATGACCGGTTTGAGCTATGATACACTCCTCACTTATCTATGTACTCGTTTGGATCCTCGCTGCTAGTGTTGGACAGGACTGCGAGGGGGCCTGTCTCTGGTTGCGTTGACCTTATGGTATCTAGTCCTTGGTGACACACCTCAGCGGATGAGGATGTTATTCGGGTACTCAAAAGACTATCCGTGCATAACGGTTTCTGGAGAGCCGGTCCGCATGGAGAATATAGGGTGACCAGCGAATCAGTGAAGTAAGACTGGCGTCAGAGAGGCCAGCTACTAGCCCGGATTGCAGCAGAGACGCCTGTAGCGCCTCTCTGGTCTCCGAGTGGTAAAGATCGCGGGGTCTACAGATAAGTTGAAAGCTGCTTTTTGATTTTATATATTCCTAACAGCGTAATATTTATCAGCGGCCTGCCTCGTCTGAAGTTGAAGAAGTTTACCTTCTCTCCGCATATTGGCGAGGATCTATTGTAGAGGCATGCTGTGCAGGCTGGTACCAGTCGGCGTGGTTGCTGTCCACAGATTTCTCACCTGCGTCTTCTCATGGCAGATGATCGCTAGCAGCGCTCTCAGCTCACGTGGCTAAGTCTACGGTGCATCTCCACTTCGGCCAAGGATTGTATACGTATTATATAGTCTGGATTGCTCATCAGCCAGGATAGTGTGGTCCACTCCTGTTCTCTGCTTGCCTATCTCGTGCAACCATTTATTAATGACCTTTCCAGATCAATGGGTACTTCCATCAGTTCTGTAAAGGCATACGTCACGCAGACGGCCACTACAAGCCAGACTCCTGTCTACCAAGGAAAAGGGTCAATAGATTTATCATCTGGGCATCCGTTATGTCCCTTATACAGATCTGGCAGGTCTTGGGCTCCTCAGCGTTTCTTCGTAAGTCTCTGGCTGAAGCCCGTATGCATATCGTTACTGACAAGCGCCTTAGCTTCATCTGACCACTTAGGGCATTAGATCCTTTGCCCTGCACAGTGGGTATGCTCAGCGTGGGAGGTACACAACCAGCATCAGCTTTCTCGGCTCATTGTCTGAGTAATACTGTCATTGCTTCTCAATTTAACTAGCAACTCAACTAATGGTCTCAAAAGCAGATAACAACTCACCAGCAGGTAGTCAGCAGTGACCGTGACGCGTACTTTCGCTAAGGCGCAGACTTCTAAGCAGGAGCATGAGGTAGGCCTCTGCCATTCTGTGGTCCTGTTAATTCCTCGGATAGTAAAGATTGGAACAGCTCAGGCTAGCATTGGATGCATCCGGGTCTCTATCTATCTCCGTCGTCTGGAGTGTGTTTGACTTCATAAACTGAAAGGAGCTGTACCGTGCTCGTGCCTGCAAGCCTCAGCTAGGCAGAGCTATATCTCAGTTGTTGCGTGGGGGTAGCCACACGCCCCGCAGAGCCTGCAAGGAACATTGTGGCCCAATAGAGCCTTTTACCTATCGAATGCAAGCTGTGACCTCATAGGCGCAGGCTTTCTTATAGTAACCAGTCAGCTACAGAGTTCGTCCACTCGTATAAACCCAACGGATGGAGGGCGATATCAGTCTCGTCGATCGTCTACAACGCACAGCAGTCGAGTCCTACAGGTGGACAGAGGTCATCCAGCCCGCATCAATAAACATCGATAGGAAGCCTTCACAACAATGAATGAGTGAGTACAGTAGCCATTTTTCTATTGAAGATTCTCCAACCACTGAGGTCCAGGACAGCCTCCTACAGGATTCTTGGCAGGATCGTATCCGATGCATGTTTGTGGCACTCCCGCTCAAGGTGTGTGTTGCTAGACTTTCACTTCCTACAC